TCTCATATCCACGAAAACTGATCGCTTACTTTTAAGTGTAGATATTACCTTTTACGTGTAAATAAACCTTGCAATAATCTTTATCCTAATTTTCAAACTACTTCAAAAGAAATTTTTATTTTCGGTTGTATTTTTTTTTGTTTATTACCTCACCAGAGAGAGACTTTGTACAAAAGTCGATTGCTTGAGTACCTCTGTCCCATTCGTGTTTCTACCGTAAAGCAGTTGTTTGCATGGCTGTGTTTCGATTGAAGGGTGGGATATGGCAGTAAATTTACAAGGTACAGAGGTATAACACCTTAATCCTCAAGAATTGCAACGTATGAGCAGTATCATGGGCGAAACAGTATACCCTGTTATATCCATGGTACTGCTTATGTCTAGAGGCGAAGGTTACCACTTTTCATCAGGTGGACCATCTTGTTTGCTATTCTAAGTTGCATAAATAAAACTTTTGAATGTATTTAATTAATAAACATAGCCCTCTCCTGGTATCCTGTCATTGAATATGTATATTTATAATTTTAGCATAAACGAGTGTTATATATTTTAATAGGTGATACAAAGTTCTCATTTAGTAAATAGACAGAGAATATTTATATTTTTTTCACTTATTAACTTTACAATAAATAAATAAATTTACAATAAACAAGCTCTATATAAAAAAGGGCAGATTATAGTTTAGATATATAAACCCTTTAAATAGGGGGAAAGGATTGTTAGCAATGGAATTTGACAGCCCCATTGCTGGCAATATACCTTATTAGATCGACCTCCACGTGGTTCCCCCTGGAAACCATCGTGAACAATTCTTGTTGAATTCATCACGATGGGCTAACTGACCTACTTCCATCATCCTCACCTATCATCCTTCACTGGTGCCCCGCCGGTGTATACCGATAGCGCGGGTGGGGCTACCATTCCATTATCATCCATTTGAAAAAAAAACCCTTTAAATAAACAAATACAGATAAAAACGTGTACCACCACAGGGCATCGCGTGCTAACTGAAGTAGTTAGTCAGCCAACAATGTCCAAGTTCAACCCACCTTAATATTGTAATGGTATAGGGAGACATAAGCACGATTACCTTAAACTACGACATGAAATGCCATATAAAATTATTATACACCACTCTAGTTGATCAAAAACTGCATTCAATTTAGCAAATAACGACTCCTATAAATATTGTACCAACTTACTTGTGTGGTGATACTTAACGAAGAGGCTATTTCAGACTGGGTTACCGAGTTGGCCGTGTAGTCCCGGCATAGAATAGGCCATCTGAACATAGCCTTCCCCCTGATAGAGAGGGAGGGGAGCGTCAATGGTGCTGATCATGTCTTAAGACAACAATTACTTTCTATCAAGTGGACCGTCATCTTATTTGCCATTTCAAGTATTATAAAAAAATACATCATAACACGGAAAATTAGAAAATTATCAAGGAATTAATTACAATTATGATATGGGAAACGCCGTGTGTGCCCCGATATAGAATAAGCCACTCCTTCCTTTCCCGTAGATGTCGTAAGGGGCAACTAAGGGAGGGCGAGGGATGGACAGCAGCATCCCTCTAAAAATATCTTTAAAGCCTAACTGCGGTTGCCAATCCGCCTGCCAAGTATGACAACAATTAGCAGCGGACAGTTAAAGGCTGTTTTGTTGATGATCAACGAAGTTGTGTCTGATGTAATAATAACAATGAACGACGTTTAGTTTTTCGGTTAATTTTTTTTTTTGTTAATATTCCTTTTTTCTATATATGATATAATAATTAAGAATTATTTATATTAATTTCAAGACAGTAACTGCCTAGCTACTTTACAATGTAAAATATATGTTCCACAAATAAACTGATTTTAGCAGATTTTTGTCAATCAGTTATTTTGATCTAAAAATTAAATTACTGAACCGATTTTGATGAAACTTCTATAGGACTAATCTATAAGTATATCCTTTCAGATATTTTTTTTATATTCCGTCAGTTTACAATTGACGAAATATAAAGTAACAAACAAAAAAAATATCACAACGGCATTGCAACCTCTTTCTTTTTGAAGTCGGTTAAAAATGTTCAATTTCGAAGATCTGATTGCATGAGTTTCAAACATTTTTTTTGTTCGAGGCGATGCCGTTCTGCGGAAATTATTATCAACTTAATGTTACGTGGGGTATAGGGTAAATATCTAGATTAAACTATTAATCAGTATTTAAGATTTTATTTTAATATAAAAGTCGATTGCTTGGGTACCTCTGTCCCATTCGTGTTTCAACCGTGAAGCAGTTGTGTTTGCATGGCTGTGTTTCGGTTTGAATGGTGGGATATAGCGTGAATTTACTGGGTACAGAGGAATAACACCTGAATCCTCAGGGATGGCAACGCATGGGGGGTATCATGGGCGAAACAGTATACTCTGTTATGTCCATGGTACTGCTCATGTCTATAGGCGACGGTTACCACTTTCCATCAGGTGGGCCGTCGGCTTGTTTGTCATTCTAAGTTGTATAAAAAAAAAATAGGTAGGTACGTAACATGACATCTGTTTTAGCGGGAAAGCGTAGACTACAAATGCGTTCGCTAATATTTTACATTAGAGATGCGTTCATCTCATAACACTTACGTATTACTGGACAACAATAATTATTATTATAATTTAAATGTACTGATGATGTCATCATTGATCAACATACTTTCCACATTGAACGAGTGTAACCGCAGTGCATCTTGAATATCGTAAATATTTTGCAAATAACATCAAAATAAATATTATGTATTTTCCTTATAAATGTAAATTTCATCACATCATTTTCCTGGTAGTCTAATATATAAATTCAGGTATAAACAACGGTGCTTTGTTAAATAACATTTTAAAATATATAAATGTCACGACCGAACTCCCAAAAGGGGCAGGCAAAAGCATTTATTAACTGATGTGTCTTTGCACTCGACATTCTCACGTCTTACGCGAACAATTTTTATTGTTTACTGTACTATTTATTCACAGAAACTTTATTTAAAAAATCTTATGTGTTAATTAGGTTGTGAAATTTCAAAGTGATTAAATAATAAATATCCGTACTTCTAAACATAATGTTTTTATACAAAATTTATGTCATATTCTGTCAGTGGGTGCGTAATAGGTTATACTAAGTCTATGTTTTTCGACATGAGCCCTGTCAGGGCGTTGCACATTATATTAAACGAGTTAATTGTAGTAATTTTATTACAAATATTCTCTCTCTCTCTTCGTCCTCTTCATTACTGAAGGTCGTGTCCTTGAAAGGTGTCTGTTGCCTCTCTTATGATGTTATTCCATTTTACACGGTCTTCAGCTTCTCGCAGGGCAGCTGCAATCGACAGTCCCGTAACGGCGGTTACCTGGTCCGACCATCGATTAGGCGATCGTCCGCGTGGTCTTTTTCCCTCTATCTTGCCTACAACCATTAGTTTGTCCAGATTGTCGGACTGTCGTCGAGCAATACGACCGAAGTATCCAAGAATCCTCCGATAGCAGACTGTCGAGAGCCTATCTTTTATGCGGAGTCGCGTCAGGATAGATATATTTGTGCGCTATTGTTTGTGCAAATTGTGCAAATATTCTATTAAAACTAAATTATTACAAATATTTATTTTAATTTTGTTTAGTCCTAAACTCGAAACCCAATATAACACCAACAAGAACTTCTAGTAATCTCTTCAATACAAGGAATTGTTTCAAATATAAAAAGTAAGATGTTTAATGCAATATTTACTACTAGCTACTACCATTTTGTCCAACTTTTGTTCCATACTTTCATTTGGTCAATAGAGTTAATTAAATAAATGAAATATAGTTTTAAGTCGCTATTGGGTTATTATTAACACGTTATCCATTTCTGCTGGAAAGCAGCAGGGCTCACCTACATTGTCACATTTCTGTATGAGGGAGAAACTAGCCAATGCAATTTCTAAATACAAGAATCATAATACTTAGTTCTCAAGATTACAAATCATAAGAAGTACCATGATTTTAGGTTTATTCTACCATATTTATAAATGACGATTGCCACTTCAGCCGTTAGTTGTCCACTGTTGGATATAAGAAGAAAGGTTCTTCAGCAACCTCATACAGGAAAACGCAGTGTAGAACAACCCCCCAATCGATGTAGTGACGACCTCAAATGCATTGTAAGGAGACAGTGGATGCAGGTGGCTCAGGACCGTTCCTTATAACAGTCTATGGGGGAGCCCTATGTCCAGCAGTGGACGGATAATGGCTGAAATGATGATGATGATGATAAAAATAAGCCTTACCCATAAAAGGAGTTTTGTCAATAATTGCCACGCTATCATTTCAGATACTACTAAATAAAGTACTCTGTCCACCGAGACAAACTAATCTGTCAATAGATACGAGTATGTAAGATGAATCGAGATAGTGACGTTCTACTTTTCAATCGACTTAAAAAAGAGGTTCTCGATTCGATTGTTTTTTTTTTATGTTTGTTATCTCATAACTCCGTCAGTTATAAACCGATTTGGAATTTATTTTAACTAAAAGGGTACACTTACAGATTGGTCCCATAAAAATTTGATCAAAATCGGTTCAATGGTTTAATTTAAATAAAAATAAAATGTTTTTTTTTTTGTGGCATACATCTTTAATTATTTCATTTTAGAAATCGTTTGCCAATTTTCTATAAGAGTAGAGAAATAGTTAAAGTATAGTAAAGGTTAACGTATAATATTCTGGATCATTGCCAACACAGTAAAGTCTTATCCCATAAAGAGATCCCTTTATGGGATAAGTCCGCCATTGTATAATAAATCATTTACCAGTATTTAATCTGAGTTATGTACAATAAAGATTTTTACAATACAATACAATACAGTAAACCGCTATACTCACTCGCTAAAAACCTGACCGTATCTGAAATACTCTATTCATGTATGACAGAACAATTAGCCGTCACAGTTGTAAATTGTTCACCCCAATAATAAATTCAATTTGTTACAGTGTGCAACTTCATAGTGCACGAGCGATGCGTGGGGCAAGTGGTGACGCCGTGCTGCGGGGTGGCGCCGAGCCTTATCAAGGTAACATACACCGTAAAGTCAACATATTAAGTAGAATTTACAACGGCAGTGCACGGCCAACTGGTGAACGACGGCTCGGAAGTTATGAAAAATGTATTAGGTCACGAGTCACGACATTGAAATATGTCTAAGCTTACGAATAACCGGCGAAAGCAAATCGTCAGCTCGGTTTAACTCATAGTACAATGTACGTGTATGATTAAAGAAAACATGTTATGTTTTTGGTCGAAATTGACACGAGCCCAAAAGCTTTTCAGTACACGAACTACTGAAATAAATATGTGTTTACAATTAGGGTTTCTTCAGGGTAGGCAACGCGCATGTGACATTCTTTAGTCTTGCAGACATCCATAGGCTACAGTAACTGTTTACCATCAGACGGGCTGTATGTTTGTTTGCTGTCTTGGTGATATAAAAAAAAAATGTGTATAAATTTAGAAAGGGAGAGAGATGCCTTTTTATCGGATTTTCGTCATCATACCAGGCATTAATTGATCACTGCTGAACATAGCCTTCCCCCTGATAGGGAGGGAGGGGAGTGTCAATGGTGCTGATCATGTCTTAAGACAACAATTACTTTCTATCAAATGGACCGTCAGCTTATTTGCCATTCCAAATATTATAAAAAAATACATCATAACATGGAAAATTAGAAAATTATCAAGGAATTAATTACAATTATGATATGGGAAAGGCCGTGTGTGCCCCGATATAGAATAAGCCACTCCTTCCTTTCCCGTGGGTGTCGTAAGAGCCAACAAAGAGAGGGCTAGAGATAGGCAGCAGCGTCTCTTAAAACATCCTTAAAGCCCTAACTGCGGTTTCCAACACGTCTGCTAAGAGTAGCAATTACTGGCACATCTCTCCTTATAGGGAAGGCATATGTCCAACAGTGGGCAGTTAACGGCTGAAATAATAATAATAACAAAAAATGATTTGAGAAAAATGCATGGTGAAAGAAAATTAGTTTATTTTATATCAGATGGTATACCATTACTTTCCCGAGAAAAGAGAATATTAGGGTATACAATGCTCACGTGGTTATTTAGATACTGCAGACCTAGGCATGTAAGTGTTCTCAGATGGCCTACAGTAGCTAACTATACAACTGTAAAATAATATTACTATTTCATTTATAACTACAGTTTAGTTAGATGCTGTTAAATTTTGATTTAAAGATACTAATAAAGACTACGTCCACTCCCTTGGTCTACAATCCAATCCAACTACAACTAATATCAAATTAAAAAAAACGTTTATCAACTGTTCAAAGCGAATTCTCTTCCTATCCTTATTTTTTTATCGTTTTCAATATTACACTTAACGTAGATTATAAATTGTGTTTATTATCGCAGAACCCAGTGGCTCACTGCTGGTCAGAGCCGGCACACCACAAACGGAAGTTCTGCACGGTGTGCCGGAAGCGGCTCGATGAACTACCAGCCTTACATTGCATGAGTAAGTACAGTATTGCACACTGCCAGTCCGCTACGTTCGCTACGTTTTACCAGAGGGAGACTTTGTACAAAAGTCGATTGCTTGGGTACTTCTGGCCCATTCGTGTTTCAACCGTGAAGCAGTTGTGTTTGCATGGTTGTGTTTCGGTTTGAAGGGTGGGATATGGCGTGAATTTACTAGATACAGAGGAATAACGCCTAAGTCCTCAGGAATGGCAACGCATGGGGGGTATCATGGACGAAACAGTATAGTATGTTATGTCCATGGTACTGCTCATGTCTATAGGCGACGGTTACCACTTTCCATCAGGTGGGCCGTCAGCTTGTTTGCCATTCTAAGTTGTATAAAAAAAAAGTTCCTTATTCTTATGACTCTTCTCTAAAATATTGAAAGTTTACATGAAAATATACCAAAAGATGATATTGTAAACATTTGTTTGCTTCGATGTGTTCTACTACTACAACAGTCTTTTATTATCTGTACCTCTATACTACTCATGTTTCTGCTGTGAAGCAGATGATGAGATGTTTCCTCCCACGAACACTCAGGTTGTGGAATGAACTCCATGCCGAAGTTTTCCCAAGAGACTACAGCATGGGATTCTTTAAAAGGGGGGTAAAGAGGTTTCTTCAGGGTCGGCAACGCACGCGTAATACCTCTGGTATTGCAGGTGTTCATAGGCTACGGTAACCACTTACAATCAGGTGGGCAGTATGCTTGTTTGCCAACTCAGTGGTATAAAAAAAAGCAGTTATACTCGGGTTGTAGCTTCTCGTTTTAAAGGATATGACACTGTTGAGAAAGCAACCCACACATTTTTTAATATGGCAACAAATATATTAAATATCCTATATGCTAAGTTAGGATTAACCTACCCGAATACCAAATTTAGTTACAATCCATTCAGAGTAATTTTTACAAGAATAACAAATATCAATCCGTCGTTACAAACTTTCATATTTACAATGTTAATAGGATTATTTATAATATATTTACAGTGTACAGAGGAATAACACCTTAGTCCTCAGAAATGGCAACGCATGGGGGGTGTCTTGGGCCAAACAGTATACTCTGTTATGTCCACGGTACTGCTCATGTGTATAGGCGACGGTTACCACTTTCTATCAGGTGGGCCGTCAGCTTGTTTGTCATTCTAAGTTGCATAAAAAATACCTACAGACGTTACTAATACGTGTTTTATTATTAAACTCATAGATATCAAAACAAGACATGTTCAAGGGGTTACATTCATATAACTGTAAGCACTAGATAGAGTCGTGATTGAATGCTATTTGGTAAACAACTGCGCTACTACAAGTATTGTCCCTTTATTTTGTCATTATAAAAGTACATACATACATATCTGACACGCCTGTCTCCCATTAGGGTGGGCAGAAACAATGGAACGCCAAATGCTTCGATTAAAAAAAAAATGTCTATTATAAAAATATATGTATGTAAATAAAAAGGCTGCGTAGTTTTTTTAAGCTCATTATCGAAAATGTTAGAAAAAAAAGGTTTTAATTTTACCACCCTTTAACTTTGAAATTTGTGAAGCAAAAACTTATGAAGAAAATAATTATAGTTTATAAAGGTATATCTGAATATTGCAGGTAAATAAAATGATGTTTCTAGTTAGTACCGTTTTTGAATAATTATTAAAAAATCTTCAAAGTCGAACTTTGTTATGCGGTCCAGTGTTTAAGCATAATAATGGCTCAAAACAAAAAAAAATATTGTATACAATAATAATAACGAAATAGATACCTAATATATCTTTTTCGTAAAAGAAATGCAAGAAAAATGTCCTTTTATCACATATTTATGTACAGAACCGTCAGCGTGTGAGCTTAACTCGGACCTAACCGGTTTAATTCTATCATTCTTTCTTGCTTTGACTATACTCGTATAGTCATATATTATATGGTTTGAACGTCATTACATGATATACTTCATAAAAAAAAAAGCATCTAACTTGCCATTCTGAAGATTATTATCATTCTTCTGTTATGTTGGAGATTGTTGGCACTTGATGGAATCTGAAAGTCATCTTTATAAGATGATTAGCAGTCTTTAGAAAGTTTTATAACACAAAAGAGAAAGTCAACGACAGATCACCATAGACTATTCAACACCTTGATTAAATCTCTTTTTTTTTTATTACAAACAAACCAGAGGGAGACTGTATAAAAGTCGATTGCTTGGCTACCTCTGTCCCATTCGTGTTTCAACCGTGAAGCAGTTGTGTTTGCATGGCTGTGTTTCGGTTTGAAGGATGGGATATGGCGTGAATTTACTGGGTACAGAAGAATAACACCTGAGTCCTCAGGAATGGCAACGCATGGGGGGTATCATGGGCGAAACAGTATACTCTGTTATGTCCATGGTACTGCTCATGTTTATAGGCGACGGTTACCGCTTTTCATCAGGTGGGCCGTCAGCTTGTTTGCCATTCTAAGTTGTATAAAAAAAAATCTATATGCCAGACAGTTTGATTTGTTTTCGCTGCGTAACTATGTAGTAACAGTTTGCGCTAATTCCGTAGTCAAGATTGACAAATATTAGACAAAGTTATAATGGTGTAGTTGATACCATTTTTGTAGGTATGATTAATTAGTACATATGCTAGTATTCCAACCGTTTAACAGTGTATTTTTAAATTCACTTGAAGCTAGATTTATATTTCTCTGAATAATATATATTTAATAAGAATATTTATCCACAATTGTTCATATCCTTAAAAAAAAATAACAAAACTTTTTGTAAAAATTATAAAAATTGGCTACTTGGGTTTGGTATTTCTATCCCACACATGTTTTTCAACCACTAAGCAACTTTGTTAGCAGGGCTGTTTTTCAGTTTAAAGGTAAGGCAGTGAAAATAGAAAATGCCGCTCAAAATTTGTACTAATTTTACCGCGCAATAATAATAAATATATAAAATACAGAGTACGGAGCCTTAACACTTTAGTTTTCACGAATGGCAACAGATGAGGGATACCGTGGGAATCATAATATATTCTGTGACATCCACGGTACTGTTCAGGTTTATAGGCGATAGCTTCTACTTTGCATAAAATAATCCGCACGGTATGTTCGCCATTCTATTTATATGTTGCATAAAAAACGCGAAATCAGCTATTTCAAAAATACTAAAGTTATTCCCGCCCAAATTTACTCGATGTTTACTTTGATTGATATTCTTTCTTTTATCACTATTTGAACACCCAAATAAATGAATAAAAAAATAATAATACATCTGAGGGTAAGTTTAAATGAGTGTAACCTGTGTGACGTTTACAGTATGCGAGTACTATGTGCACGGCGAGTGCGTGGACTTTGCCGCGGCGGACTGCAAGGAGAACGCGACGTACTGCGCGGGCAGCGAGCCGCGGCACGTCCACCACTGGCGCGAGGGCAACCTGCCGGCTAATTCCAAATGTGCCGCGTGCCGCCGCGCCTGCTGGTCCACCGAGTGCCTCACTGGCTACCGCTGCGAGTGGTGCGGCAGCACGGTATGTCATATGCCACACGCAACTGTGAAAATATGGACACCGTTACGGGTTGTTTTTTTTGAATAGATGATAATGGAATGGTAGCCTCGCCTGCGCTAACGGTATACGCTAACGGAGCAGCAGTGAAGGGTGATAAGCGAGAATGAAAAGGCAGGTCAGTTAGACCATCATGATGAATACACCTAGAATTCAACACGATGGTTTCCAGACGTTTTCCTGACATGTCATATAAAGCCAAATTAGCCCATTGTGACGAATTCACCTTCAAATTTTGACAATGTAATTAAGCACAATGGTTTCCTGAGGGAATCGCATTTCGCTTAACAAAACATGTTGCTATAAAAGTACTAGTTTCTATTACTAACAGTCTCCTTTAGAAGACGACGATATTTAGGACTATAATTTATACTTCTTATAATTTTAACGCTGCATAATCGTTTCTTTTTGAAGGACAGAATTGCCTTATTCCTCGGAACAACAGTCCGTAACATATAATCAAAGACGTCACTGTAACGCGCGCTCCATGATCCAAATCAAGTCTATAGGCGATGGTTAAGCAAATAACACAGACTACCTTGCTCCTATCCTGTCATAACATACTTTCATTGATGTTATATTATTGAACTCATTGAATACTATTTAGAAAAGACAATAATAATCTCACGTAGCTAATGGAAAAGACCTCGTTGGTTGGCATGAAAATCATTATAATCATCACACGAGACTGTGTACCATTCAGGCGTCATTCTCACTCTAAAAACAGACCCTTGTGTTAAACATTGTACGGCTCCTATAAAGCGTTTTAAACCCTATTTTTTAGCTCTAATAAAGGACTTTTTCAAAATTTCCCAGCAATTTTTATGTTAGAAGGGCACAAGTTCCAGTGCAAACATAAATAAGAACCATCTGTTACAGTGTCACGCCGGCTGCCGTGCACTTATCCCGGAAGAATGCAACTTCGGCATGCTACAGCCGATCTTCCTACCTCCGTCGGCGGTGTCGATCCCGCGCACGGAGGTGCCCATGGAGGCCATCATCGGCGTCCATGTGCGGCCCCCGCCCTCGCAGCGGGACTTCGGCTGCCGTAAGTGTCTGCTCCACAGCGTTGGCCGAACATCGCGCCGCATCGCTTTTGCCCTACATGTGCCTCGCAATTCGCGAGCTTCGTTAGTTAGTCGCTTGTATTTTAGCCCCGGACTTTCTAGGTCTGGTCTACTCTCGAACAATCGATGGACATCCCGAAATGCACACTTCACCATCGATCCTCCAATGTTTTGTAGGACTCTGCGATGAAGACTCGCGAACGTCGTTTTTTTTCAATACTTCTGCGTGACAATCTTTATCTATAGTTCTACATCGTATTTCGAAGCTTACGTAGAAATTGATCACGTTTAGTCGCATCATGAAATTGTATTCCCATCATCTGTAGAACTAGGTACGGCGATACGAAAGCCTTTATGAACATAGACCACCGTGTTAGCGTTAGCCACAAAACCGACACTGCGGCGAGGCGCGCAGGGTACGTTGCTGGGCATCGATGCAGTTCAAGAGTAGCACCGACGCGCGACGCTTCTCGTGCGAACGTTGACGAACCTACGTATCTGAGCGTGAATCGCGCGGCACATGAGCGTGGTAAAAGCGTGTGGGTATGGAGTGTGAGCGGTGAGCGGTGTCTTTGGGCAGCGCGGGAGCAGCGGGCGGCGGGCGGGTGGGCTCCGGCGCGGCTGGTGACGCTGGCGCGGCGCCTGCTGCCGGCCGCCTGCAGCCCGCACGGCGGCGCCTCGCCGCCCTACTCCAGAGGTACTCGCCTCGCACTCTCGCACGCAACCGCACCCTCCACCGGCACCCGCCACCCGTCACCCGTCACCCGTCACCCGTCACCCGGCGCGTCACAGCATGAACGTCTCACCCGCTCATCGTCGACTTTGCAGAACTATCTTTCTATACCTATTCATCTAATTTTAAATCTATTTAGATATGTCATTGTTCAATTAGTAAGATCTTTACAATTGTATTCTAACAGATAATATTCTGCCTCTATATTTTTATAAATAAACTAAATTATCACGGAACCTGAAAAAGAAGGTTTAAACTCGACATAGTTCTGCCCAGTTTAACTGACAATACCTACCGCTTTCGCTGTATATTTGCTTTATATGATAATCCAGCACATAATATAATATCTACACGAATAATAATGTAATTTCTCTAATTCGAAATATCAACATATGCTGATTGGGACACTTCTAAAATTTCCGACTACACACGCATGTGGTCTAGTGCTTATATGATATATATTTATGTATTTTTAAAATTACAACTGTCGCCATAATTGCACACGTGTTTTCACTAAAGATCTCCAACGAACGAGCCCTCTACGGTCACATTCTACACTTGAATACAATTTCTTGACTTCCCTTCAGAACGAACTAGTAAATTGTACTGTCCACGTTTTATTTCATAAAACTACAGAAATATTAATTAATAAAAAGGAATAATAAATTAGCAATAATTACATGTAGAAATCGCATCAAGTCTCATTATAATACATTTATAAAAAGCAATAGTTTAATATCTGTCTATTCAACATATTTTAAACGGGGAAATTTATAAAATATATTATTATATTATAAGAATTATATAGTTTTATGGGATAAACCGTCGCCATTATATATTTTTTTCGATTTTTCCCCCTCTCATTACGAGTACATACGAGTATAAACCTGTAAGCCGACCAGCCCAAGAATACTCATGATGCAGTATTCCAACGGCGCTAAGGTAACATACAGACATAAATATAATCACATATTATTTGTATTTATCGCATATACATCAATAGGGTATCATGCTGTGTGCTGCTAGCATCCAAAGCTTCAATGTCTCAGACAAAACTGTAGTGTTACGTTCTTTAGTAACGTTTGGTTTTAGATGGGACGATATGTGTTACCCACTTGGAAAGTCGTAAGATGGACATCACTCCGCCACTCCCATTGGACTCCCATCATACGGCTTCCAACATTAGAACATAATCTCACATATTGAGACAAGAACTAAATTGAACACAAATCATAAGATTGTGAAAAACTATAAGACTTGACTACTATACTGGATATTTTTATAAAATTCCATCAAAATAGGTTCTCCTTTATAGAAATGAATTCTGAAATGTAATTGAAACAAGTCATTAAGAATGTTTCAATAGCACTGTAAAGTTTCGATACATACATTCTCATAACACACACCTTGAACACAAACAGCTACTCTCCATATGTGAGATAATAGACATCATAGCGTTTGTTAATCCATTAATAAAAATGATAAATAACGTATTTTTAAATAGTGACTTAAATCCTCCTGCTTATTTAATTACATTACTTCATCATAAACATAAAATAAGAAAACTAATACACTTTTTTAACGTTGAATTAAGACCAGTTGATTTAATTCTGTTATGATATTATTTTCTGAAAAAAAAGAATGTAAGATTATTGGATGTTAGTTCTGCAGTTTTAGAAGAGTTAACGAATTTAAATTTCTATGTGTACTTATTATAATATATATGAATAATTATTCTCATATGTTCAAAGATCATCTATGATCCAACTTCTTCTAAAACTGTTGTTTCTACTCAAAATAATGTTAATTCTGGCCATGCCGTACACCTTGCCAGTGTATTAAGCTTCCAACTGCAATGGAAAGCTAATGTTGGGATGTCGGGGGGCGTATTTGAGCGATGGTGGATGTTGCAGCACGAAGCGTGAGCGAGGAGTTCAGCTCTGGGTGCGAGGGCCGATCAGGTTCGGGCGGGGGCTCCACCGGGGCGCCCGCCGACCAAGACCATAGACCTGACCACAAACAACATAGAGATCGGACACCGGATGACAGAGATGAAGGTACAATCTGTCTATAATTGTTAAAAAATTGCAATACGTAGATAAGATAGAAGATTAATCCATTCTTGATCTTGATTCGGATCAAAGTTATTATATTATTATTGCAGACAATGATTGTCATTCTAGGCATCATGGTAGCTACCCCAAACCTCTTGTAGTGCTAAAGGTTTTATTCACACGTTTCCGATCATGCAGGTCTGTCATGTTACAGTAGCCAGTAATTTTATTTTATCTCATCCTTAAAACCAAAAATAGTAGACAAGCTGCTAGATGATAATAAATATTGGGAATATTTATACAAAATTGTTTACAAATATATCGTAATATTTTAAGTATTTTGACAAAACAAGAATATTCTTTTTATTCGTATTCCCTCATCTACAACTATATTTGCAGAAGTAGTAAAAGTGTATGACGGCGAGGCGGCGTGGAGCCGTCGGCTGTACCGGCCAGTAGTGGTGGGCCGTTCCCATTTGTACTGTTGTTTTCTGTAACGCCTGCACAGCGATTTGTTGAAGTTTACTCATTGCCTCGGCGGCACATTTCGCAGACAACGTCCGCGCGTTCCATGTTGCGCGATTACCTTCCAGAAAAGCCCTTTATATGTACACTTTGACATGTCTTTACGAAATTTCGCTCACATCCTGGAATGGACACCAGTGAATTCTGGGGTAAGCATTCCCTCTCTAAAAATCCCTCCATAAATCAAAATGAACATGTGCAGAGAGCCAGAATCCGTTCGAGCTGACGGACGCGCTCGCCGGCGACGAGCCGCCACTTCGGGACCCCACGCCTCTCGCTAGGGTCACACGCTTGCCCAACAAGCGGCCCGCACTCTTCTTGCGGTTTAAGTAAGCCTCGTTCCCATTTGTAATGTTGTTTTCTGTAAGCGCCTGCACAGACAGAGATGATTTGTCTGAAGACAAATTTTTGGGTGTTTATGATTTTGTACTTCATCATCATTGCCTCAATACTGAGAATTTATCACCGGATTTTGAGTTTATTAAGAAAGAGATGAAAGTAAAATGTAAAACACATTTCGCAGACAACGTGAATTGTACATCCAAGATTATTTTTTCTTCTTCTGGACAAATCATATGTATTTAGTTAATTTCACCTGATCAGCATTAGCGTATTCAAGATTACCTTCCAGAAAAGCCTAGTTCCTTCGGAAAGCTTTATATGTACACTTTGACATGTCTTTACGAAATTTCGCTCACATCCTGGAATGGACACCAGTGAATTCTGCAAAACGTATCTTAGCTTGTACATCTCTAAATGTAATGTATGTGCGATGCAAACGATTCTGGTCGCTCTCTAAGTAAAATATGCTTTCAGTGACTGGTTCCAAAATACTTATACATTCCCCTGCATTCCCTCTCTAAAAATCCCTCCATAAATCAAAATGAACATGTGCAGAGAGCCAGAATCCGGCGGCGGCGAGGTGCGCGTATTTCCTGGGCGCGTGGCAGGTGCGGGCGAGACGTTTGTGACGGTGACGTGCTGCTCCATACACTTTCATTACTTTTTCAACTTCTTGGCTAAGGTACGACAAACTTTTAACGTTGCCGACCTTTTGATATAAGGCCGCCGCGCTCGAACGAAGGTGTAAGTAACTACAAGCATTTAGTTCCTCATTTAACTCAAAACGCATTTCTCTATATATTTTTATCTAAGTATTTTGTCGCTAAAGCTTTACGTTAAGGTATTTTAAATTTTGGTTGCAATTTTTCGAAAAATTGTATCCATAAAGGATGTTGCACCATCGATAATGGCCCGCGCCACGCAATTCTGTTTTTATATGATCATCGGTGTCTTGAAACCGCTTTATTGCTGACGGGGGCTTATAAAAGAATCATTTGTCTCTATCTCTGACAGTCCAGACATTTTGGTTTTGGACGAGCTATCTTTTATAAGTTTCGTTTCTGGAGATTTTGGTGGGCAGCATTACGAATTTGTAGACCTTATCGACGAAAATTCAACAATACTATTTTTTTAGATTATGACAATAAATTTATTAAAAAAATAATAAAATAAATACAAAAAACCTTTGTAAAATTACATCTCCTCGGAGTTGGGTCAATGACATTTTTCTCAGCAACTTCTTTAATTCGATTAGGTACTTACGCATATTATGTTAAAAATAAATATCTAGTACACATCTTAGGCTATCCACCATTATTATCCAATGACGACTCTCAGCTAACTATGCACTATCATCCAAAATAAACGTGTATGGAAAATTTTATCCCAGTCGGTTGAGGATTGAGGATAATTGCATCAACATACGAACATACCTACATACTTTTATTTACATAACGCAAGCTAAATAAAAGCTTGTAATAATACATCAAATTTTAAGTTAAAATTGTTAAGTGATCATGATATAATTGTATCATTCAAAAATCCACTTACCTTTAATTATTTCTTGTACAGAATCTAATATCTACTAGTTAAAGGTTTCTAAGTAGCTTTAATTTTTACAGCGATACTAGATGGCGCTGTTTTTGTTTGAAGAAAGTAAAATACATAGAATTTCATCAATGACTTCCACAAAGAACAACATTTCAAACATATTTCATAAGATATGGACATTGTTACACTTTTTGTCGCTGTCTTGCTAAGTTATGACGTAATGTATTATTTGTCAATTAGGTAAAGATTATGATCGAGCTAGTCGAGAGAGAGAACATGACATCATCAGTCAGAACAATTTATTGGGGATACATCAGTCTCAGAATATAGGTAAGTCAGCCACAGTTACTGACGATCGATATTTAAAGGGTATTGTCTTTGAAAAACGTTATTTAATACAAACTTGATAATCACTGGAAGTAAAATGGATGCTAATTTGAGAGATATGCAAAACAGATAAACTCTAAACACAAAAGGTACTTAGATCCGATTTATTCTAATAAATTTAATTTAAAATTGTAGAAAGAAAAAAATGTCTATCCTCTAAATATATTTGTGGTATTTGACAAAGAAAAAAACAGGATAAAGTAAAAGAAAATTTACTGAAAGAAGAAACAAACTCTTGGAGACGTTCTATCTTTATTTTCAGGAATGATAAACAAAAGAAAAAAAAACGAGGATGTCAAATGCTTAATTTATGGAGAAGAGGATAAAAAAGAAATGAGTATTTCAAAGAATTTAAATATATACATCCTAATATATAGCCCATGGCTCATGTTTATGTCTGTAGGCAGCGGTTATTCCCTCAGACTGGGCACAAGTTTTGGTTGCCTTCAGGGATACGTTATCTGATTCTACATAATATGTACAATCAGAATCGCGTGATAACGGAAATATAGATTAAATTCCATAGTATACAATGCATTCGGTTGCTTGAACTACTGCAGACACCATGGTGTAGGGAGAAGCTTTTGGAAAGGGAAACTAGAACTACCGAAGTTCCAATAAGAACTCTTAGTTGAGAGCTACGACCATACAGGACCTATATGATGATTTTAACCGTTGTGGCAGTGTCGGAGCGTGTGCTGGAAGAGGAGGAGCGGCCGTGGCGCATCCTTGTGCGGCTGGCGCGCGAGTCTGTCCGGCGCATGGAACTGGCGCGGTTCTATCTGCAGCCGCGCCGCGACCCCCACGGGCCCACGCTCGCGCTGTTCGTCGCCTCACTACCACCCGGCCTGTCGCAGCGCAATTACGAGAACATGCTCGTGGAATTCCTTGGCGCTGGTCAGTCACGTCACGCTACTTTAACTCTTCTTTACATCCTCCTACTACTACTACTGTGTGAAGGTGGCGCCCTCTAATGTCAAAAGTTTCTAAGACTTCCTGTAATATCGCTTACCGAACGACAGCTTTACATGAAGCCAGCAACACTTATTTTTAAATATTCTAAACGTATATTTGAAAAATTCATGGAGTTATACTCAGATTCGGTCTTAGGATCTCCGTGCGTTATCAATTGAACAATTTCCTACTCCCTTATTTATAAAAAAACGTCAAACCTCTCGTCAAGCCCTAATTTAACTTATTGTTTAGTCCTTTTCTTTCGTGCCAATTTCTCAAATTGAAAAACAGTGAATTCATTAACTAAAATTGCTTTGTATAAGGTTTTAGTTTTTATGAATAAGGGGGTTATACAGTGGAAATTAAAATCCTTTATCATTTAACGTCTTTCTCTGTAATTGGGATGTATTGTGTTGTGTGCACACAGAGAACAAGTTCAAGTCCATCGGGCCGATCTACTATGAATACGGTTCAATGGTGATTACGTATGAGGACGCCAGTAAGGCGGTGCGCGCGCTCTACGCGCTCAGAGAGGCCAAATATGAAGATAAGCATTTATTAGGTTCGTATGCTCTTATTTATTTACTAAATTAAAAGTAAATTGAAAAACAAAAATTGATGCGGTTTTCACAGTCGTGTTCCTGAGAGTTTAACTTAAAATCTGATTTATCTTTTATCTTGATATCCATAGGGATATGGTAAAAAACATTGGTTTTACTTCTTCTGATATTCGCGCGCGTACGAAGTAGCGGCCATAAAGCTAAAAAGAAAACATAAAGTTAAATTAAACATAATTTAACTGAGAACTGTTGATGTACCTTTTAAAATAAATAAATGAATGTTGTTTTAAAAATTTCTCAAGTAAGGCAATAGATTGGATTCTCTATGACTTATCTCTAATGTTTGCTCTAATGTATATATTGACATTTTTTGTTATATATTACATTGACATTGTATTATATATTATTATTGTTTTCCCATTTACTATAGTGGAATTAATTACAGAATTGACATTTTATGAAAATTGAAATATTGTACAGATCTTGACATGTACCTATAAAATGTAATTAGCTGTAGTGTGTTGGAGTTTGATCATCTGTAAACTGCAAATAAATAAATAAATAGATGGATGCATTATTTCTGTATGTACAGTAAAATATTCTAAGAAAATGCAATATTTTTATCCACCGTGACGTCATCAGTAAAAAGTAATTTATTGCGTTCGATTCTATTTTTATTTCTAACTCCGAGGAAAAGAAATATTAATTAAAATTGGATTCCATTTTTAAATTTGACTCCAACGAAAAAAATAAAATAAAAATCGGATTCGATTTTTAATTGTTACTCCAACGAAAAAAGTATATAAATTAAAATTGGATGTGGTACGCAGTGATGCTGCTTCCCAGCATCGAACCCTCCATGGTGCCAGCGGGCGTGAAGCCATTGCTGGTATTCGTGAACGTCAAGTCCGGCGGCTGCCAGGGGCTGGAACTCATCTCCTCCTTCCGGAAACTCCTCAACCCCTACCAAGTGTTCGATCTCGAGAACGGAGGACCGCTGCCCGGGTCAGTAGCTGTTCAGTTTCAGAGGCCACAACTCGTGGATGCGTATTACAAACTTTTAAAAACGGATCACATAATTGCAAACTAACCTGCAAATTGATGCTAAAAACTTATGCTGAATGATGCCAATGATGTTTTAATAGATTCCGTGTGGTCCCGTCATTGAATAGGCCACTCCTTCCGTTCCTGTGTATGTCGTAAAAGGCGACGTAAAAGGAACTTTTACCAGCGGGAGACTTTGTACAAAAGTCGATTGCTTGGCTACCTCTGTCCCATTCGTGTTTCAACCGTGAAGCAGTTGTGTTTGCATGGCTGTGTTTTAGTTTGAAGGGTGGAATATGGCGTGAATTTACAGGGTACAGAGGAATAACACCTGAGTCCTCAGGAATGGCAACGCATGGGGGGTATCATGGGCGAAACAGTATACTCTGTTATGTCCATGGTACTGCTCATGTCTATAGGCAACGGTTACTACTTTCCATCAGGTGGGCCGTCAGCTTGTTTGCCATTCTAAGTTGTATAAATAAAACTTAATGATAGAGGGATGAACAGAAGCGTGCCTTTTAAAACATCTCTAAAAGACTAACTGCGGTTGCCAATCCGCCTGCCAAGCGTGGCAACTACTAGCAAAACTCCCCTTATAGGGAAGGCCTATGTTCAGCGGTGGGCAGTTAACGACTGAAGTGATGAATAGATTAGATAAAAAGTGATGAATTATGCTTTTTTTTTGTTTGAAAAATATGTTTCTACGCTTTTTGGAATTTTGATTTAAAAGTGGGTTTTATTGAATTTATGAACTTTTTTATTTATTTATGCCAGCTTTATTGTAGATATATAAATATTCAAGTCGTATATAAATCAAATATATGATATAGTCAAGGAAAAAAAAAACAAAAACGGAAAGATTTCTTTCAGTCAACCTTGCTTGGGGTCTCTTTGAACAATTTTTAGTTCTTAAATTGTTCACTATTTAAATTTTTTATAATTTCTTAGGAAATATTTCTTAATATGCCCTTTGAACTTACAACGGACGTCAAGTCTAAGATGTGGTGGATATGTGAACGCAATGTGATGATGTGTCCAGGCTGTACGTGTTTCGCCACATTCCCAACTACAAGATCCTGGTGTGCGGCGGGGACGGCACCATCGGCTGGGTGCTGCAATGCCTCGACAATGTCGGCCAGGACTCGCAGTGCTCCAACCCGCCCTGCGCCATTGTACCCCTCGGCACTGGTTAGTAAATCATGTAGTGTTTTTTTTATAGGTGATAATGGAAAGATAACCCTACCCGCGCTGTGGGGGCACACTGGTGGGACACCAGTGAAGGATGATAGGTAAGGATGAAGCTGGTCAGTTAGCCCATTGTGACGTATTCAACAAGAATTGTTCACGATGGTTTCCAGGGGGAACCACGTGGAACTCGACCTAATAGGGCATATTGCTAGCAATGGGGCTGTCAAACTCCATTGCTAATAATCCCTTTCCCCCAATCATGTAATGTCATATAATAGTAATATTTTGTAACCGACTTCAAAAAAGAAGGAGGTTCTTAACTCGGTTGTGTTTGTCTGTTACCTCAGAACTCCATCATGTGGTTTTTTTATCTAAAAAGATATTCTTTCAGGTTGGTACCAAAGAAACATCAAAATCGGTAGTCTACTTTTTACATCAAAATAATTTTAAAATTAGAATAGTGATATCAATATTAGGTAATTAAAAGTTGTCAAAATTGATGTAGTTGTTAATTACATAGTTTTTTTTTCATATAATTTGTAACGGCAAAGAAAGCTGACATCTTCCCTACTACACAGTGCTAACCGACGCCTAGAGGGGGGAAAGGGATTGTTAGTAATGGAGACTGAGAATCCCATTGCTAGCAATATACCCAACCAGGTCGACCTCCTAGCGGTTCTCCCTGGAAACTATCATGGTTAATTCCTACTGAATTCATCATGATGGGCTAACTGGCATGTTTTCATTCTCATCTATCACCCTTCACTGGTGCCTCGCCAGCGTATCCCGTTAGCGCAGGCGGGGTTACCATACCATTTTCACCCATCAAATAAAAAACCGACGCCTAGATAATTAAAAAAACCTATCTTTAATTCTTTCATTTGAATTTTTGATTAAATTTGAGATGTAATAATGAAATTACTAATCGCGATAACAGTGAAATTAAAGGTTACGGTAGCATATCACCATGATCCTCTCAAATTACAACGCATGAGGTATGCTATTTACATCCTACGATGGCCCATGATGCGAATCATGTCCATAGTTTACCACTTTCCAACAAATGGGCCGTGAACTTATTTGCCATTGTAAATGTTAAAAAAACCATTGGCAATCAGGTAACGACCTGGCACGGGTGCTCCGCTGGGGCTCCGGATACACGGGCACCGAGGACCCGCTGTCGCTGCTGCGCGACGTCATCGACGCAGAGGAGATCCGCCTCGACCGCTGGACGGTCGTCTTCCACCCCGAGGATAAGCAGGATGAGCCAAAAGAGCTCTCCAAGCAATTGCCAGGTGAGTGGCATTCGTATCGTCAACACACACAAACACACACGCACACACACACACACACATCCATATAAATACATGTATTATATTTGAAAATGTAATAAGTACCTATATTACAAAATATTTTCAAATATTTTGTCATCTTATCTTTCAAATAGGACCCATGTCTCATAAAGATAGGACAGAAGCTGCTAGTTAAATAATAAACTGTAGAATTCAAGTCATTATATAGTTAATTTATTTATCAACATGGATAATATAAACGGCGTATACATTGTCCCAACGTCATGATTAATGACATTCCAAATTGACTGAGACATTTGCCAACAATTCGTGGTCTAAACGCAAGAGCGCACTAGCTCCAGTTACCTCAGAGATACGGTTTCAAAATTCTGTCCAATCCACACGACCGTAGAATTATTTTATAATTCTCAAATGCAATTTCTCTTCATAAATATTATAATACACCTGTAACCAGTATCTGATTTTCATCCAACCTAGACAGCTCTAATATTAATTTTACAAGTTACAGAGCCTAAATCTCGATAGTCTAGCTACAAAATCTATCTCTAAACATTCGATTTCATCGACTGTGGTCTTATTTCTTCATAAACGCAACTTCGACAAAAATAAAAACCGTCTCAAACTTTAAACAGATTTTTAAAAGCATACAGTTCGCCTAATGGTGAAGCAATTTTCACCGTCGCCTATAGCCTGCAACACCAGGGATGTACGCGCGCCTTATTCTTTTTTCAATGGCTGGCAATATGTAAATCCTGTCAACGCTATAGTTTTACGTTGGTAGGGTACAAGTACATTGGTAAATGAGGATAAAGTCCAATAAAGGGGTCAGTTGGCCCATGGTGACGAATCTATCAGGAATTAACTACAAGGGTTTCTATACTATCTAACAATGGGGTCGCTAGTTTCCATTATCTGTAAATAATCGCATACCAATTTGCCACCCCTTGAGCCATAAACATGTCACGTCACCTGACTGTACCAATATGCTCATATTACAGCGTCTGTGAGTACAGGGTCGCAGAGCGAAGATAACTCTCAGATCCTCGTGATGAACAACTACTTCGGTATCGGCATCGACGCCGATCTCTGCCTCGACTTCCACAACGCGAGGGAGGAGAACCCTAACAAATTCAATAGCAGGTAAGTTTTTCTTTTCTAATACCTAAGTACTTCATTGTTTTTTTTTTCTATACTTATTTTCAAGGAACAACAGTTGCAATTATTACCAGATCTACTCGGGTGGAATTGCTTACTGAATTAAAATAATTAATATAAAAACTAAAATAACTAAAATATTTAGCAAATATAGTATGGTGTATATTGGCAACCAAAAGGGTCACATCACTTTTGACATGACAATAAGTTTGGGAAATGAGAGAATTACCTAAACAAATTAAACAATTTCAAAATTGATAAATTACAAAGCGTGTTTAAGTTTTTAAATTTAGAAGTGGGCGGGTACTGGGAAGTTTTGATTGTTTATTGTTTTGTATACATCAATGACAAAAAAGTTCTGTATGACAAATTATTTATTTATTTATTAATCGTTAATACACCTAGAAAGTGTAAATGGCGGACTTAACACCATCAATCGTTATTTACCAGTCGACAATCATTTAGATTTTTTTTGTTTTATGCAACATTGTGTTTCCACCAAATATGTAGATGCAATTATAAAAACAAGATAACGTTAAATAATGCATTGATTCGAGGTTAAAAATATTCGAAATATTGTACCTAACTGGTTGGTCAGCGTAGGCTTATATTCTCATCTTATATATCGTCATAGTCGTAGAATACTGACGGATCTTTATATGTAATATTTGTCAGATCCGTCAGTATTCTACGACTATGACGATGTAACCTTCGCTGTAGTATTGTATTCCCCGTGCTCAGTTGTGGAACATTAATTAGTTGATAAAGTAAAGATAACTCTCAGATCCACATTTCTTCCAACACTTAAGCATGAAGTAACGTCCTTTTTATTTAGAATCCATAGTATAGTAATGTTTTGGACACTTTGCCTTGTCTGATGCTATTGTTTTCCTTGTACCTGAGTATTATTATATATAAATTTAATTAAATTTTCTGTTATTCCTGTCCACGATCGACTGGTAGATAACGCTATATGGTGTTAAGTTCGCCATTTACACTTTCTAGGTGTATTAAAGTTTAATAAATAAATAAATAATGATGATGGCAACATTGACCGTACTTGTTGGTGGCTCGTAATACATACAAAGATTGCCAGTGAAATGTATGATGTTGCAGATTGCGCAACAAGGGTGTGTACGTTAAGATGGGTCTCCGAAAAATGGTGGGCCGCAAAATGTGCAAGGATCTCCACAAGGCAGTGAAGTTGGAAGTGGACGGCAAGCCGGTCGAACTGCCTGCCGTCGAGGGCATTATCATACTCAACATACTAAGGTAACAACTCATTGAGGAAACGAATTAAGAATTTAAAGCTGAAATTAGGTATTTGTATTGCCCCTGGATCATCATTCTTTTCAGAGGCTAAGACCCGTGACCACGTGACAAGAATAATTAGATATCCTAAAATAATAGAGTGAAATTGTTGAATAATAACCATCTTGAGTCTGTCTTATGTTAAGTATCAAAGTGGCATATGGGAATAGATGTGCCAATTTGAAAGACCTCAACCTAATCTAACCCTGAAGTCACTATTGTCGTACAAAGCTTAGTATTTGAAATAATATCTTTGAATAATTATAGAATGATACTAAAAATTTTTCTTAAAGAAACGTGAGTTGAATAACGACAAAAAAAATTTGAGCGTCTTAATTACTCCCAAATACTAAAAAAAAACAAGTTCAAGTATCAAGTTAGTATGGTAGACTTAACAGTCTAACGACCCACGTTTCTTTGAACGTTCATTTCCTCTAAACACTTTCTTCGTGCTAATGATTTTAATTTAACATCCATAATTATTGATCAGCTGGGGCTCCGGCGCGAACCCATGGGGTCCTGAGAAGGACGACCAATTCAACAAGCCGAACCACTGGGACGGAATGCTGGAAGTAGTGGGCGTGACTGGCGTGGTGCACCTCGGCCAAATACAGTCGGGGCTGCGCGGCGCCATGCGAATAGCTCAGGTTCGTCACTGCACTGGCTGGCTTACTCCAGGCCTTATAATGGCCTATTTTGTCTATGCTTTTTTTATACCACAAAGGTGGCAAGCATACTACTTGTCTGATGGTAAAGGGTCACTGTAGTCTATGGACACTTGCAACACTAGAGTTGTCACTTGCGCGTTGCCGACACTGACCTTAGAAACTGACCTGAGACCTTAGAAGAAACCTTAATACACCCTTTTCGAAGAATCCCGTATGTTTCTAGAAGCTTATTCCAAAGTCTGAGCAGGAGAAAATTCCTCTGAAATCGCAGTATACGCGACCATTTATCATATTCTAGCTTGTAAAGATGAATTAAGCGGCATCATTTCGAACAATTCATCAGAACACAAGCCGTAGAACACACAAAGGGAGGCAGTCTCGTGTTAGACTTATGGACTCGATACCGCCTTTTAGTACTTATTTGCAGGTCATAAGTAAGGAGATTATTATGAACTGTTAAAAGCTTAATTCGCTTAGGATACATTGGTTGTTTTATATATGCTTTTAGTACTTATTTATAGAGTTTAGGGGGAAAAATCTTTAAAAGATTTGACAACTTTAGATCACGTGACAACAAACTGATCTGTATTGTCTATGCTTTTAATGCTAATCTAAGAACAAGTCTTTGGTACAGGGCAACACGATTTAATCCACAAAAATCTCAAATTGTTAGTGCTCGTAATAAGTCCCGAAATCGTCACGTCACTTTTTTCGTTTCTTTCTTAGTTCTAATATAACAACCATAAATTTTTTCCACTGACGACCAACAAAACTATTAAATCAATTCTCAGGGTTCCTGAAAGTCATTTGTACGACATTTGAGAATTTGATGTACACAGTACTTTGCTGTGAATGAATTTCCAAAATCTGCTTCTCAGTCGGGACAATTTAGAAATCAAACTTTTCTAAATAGCCTCAAAGTAGCGATATTAAGTGACCAGGATAAGGAATACCTTATCTTTATATCGCAGGCACACAAAGTAAAGCTCACACTATTACACGAATTATGTGGCCCTCAAACTCAGAACTGCCAGACTCAAGAAAATCCACGCAACGAACACCTAGGAGCACAACCGAAATCACCCAGGCCTGAGACAATTAGAATAAATTCATTTTATATATTGGCTTGACCATGAATCGAACCCAGAACCATATTTATACAACGTGCTCACCACTACGCCACGAATATATTCAAAGTAACAAAATTGCCTACTAGTTATAAATGTTTAATAATGAACATTCCAGGGTGGGCACATCAAGATAAACCTGAAGAGCGAGATCCCAGTACAAGTGGACGGCGAGCCGTGGGTAGCGGCGCCCAGCGAAGTAGTAGTCCTCAAGTCTGCACTCAAGGTACGCTCCACCTCCGCCACAATCTGTGTGTGTGTGTGTGTGTGCATGTGCTCGCTCTGCCGTCATCGGCCCAATTAGATCCATTCGAACACCATACGAATCGATACTGATGTATCTATGTACCTCCGGGGCGTCCGCTTCATTAATTGTTCTTTTATTGTAATGTTACTCTAGATCTATTAGGAATTTAAAGCCCAAATTCAAGGATGTTGATACTAGTTTGGTTTGACTGCTAGGAAATATTATTAGTATGTCATAGATCAATTAATTAACCCCCGTTATAGTACTGTATATTCTTTTATTAAATGAAATAAATTCTTAGTTCTAAAATACAGATCTTTTTGCCTCAATATTGGTACGCATGGTAATTATAGCAAATTCTTTTGTGATAATTAGAAACTTTCTGAAAAGCTCAAATTGAATATAGAGTCTAGATTCAACCCGGGACCATATCCCTAATAATTCAAAATTACAAAACCAGTATAATGGACGATTGATGAAGTGGACCGTCGTCGGATGATACCAAACCTTGATATTCAAAATTCCCGAGTCACGTAACGCCCGAGCACTCAAACTCCACGCAGCACCAGTACTCCACTAGTTAACGACCGCGTCCCCGGGCCGCCACCGAACCCTGCCCGGATCACGCCCGGGTTACGTCCGGGTAACACCCGGGCCGGGTTGACGGCGGCCCGGTGGACGCGGCCGACGGGCCCTCTCGAGGCTCCGACACACTGCGTGCATACGCCTGACACTCTGACCCTTTAGCGTAGGGTTGTCATATTCTAAACGAGACATCTTGATAAATTTGACTATAATTCAATTGATTAAGTCGATAATAGTTTTTTTAAAACTATACTTAGCATTAAAAATAATATAGTAAAAACAAAAAGAATCGTCAAACGACCTGTGAGCGGCGCCGCTCGCTTGACAACCCTACTCGGGCAGCCGCAGCTAGGCGACAGAGTGTCAGGAGAGTAGCGCTATACGCGGCGGAAAGACAGCGCGGGGCGGGCTAGCGGTGCGGGGGGCGGGTGGGCGGCGCGGGCGTCACGTGACCGGGCCGCGCGCGACTGTTGTGTCCGTGTCGCAGGCGACAATGCTGAAGAAAACGAAGCGCGGGTCGAGCGCCGGCGGCTCGGCGGCGGCGGGCCCGTGACGCCCGCGCCGCGCCCCGCTCACCCGCCCCGCCCTCCCCGCGCGCGCGCAGGCCACCATGCTGAAGAAGCGCGGCAAGGTCCGGCGCCGGGACACCGAGCCGAGCCTGCCGCGCGCGCCGCCGCCGCCGCCGCCGCCGCCGCCGCCGCCGCCGCCGCCGCCGCCGCCCGACTCCTGAATCTGGCTCAGCGAGCGCCTCATCTAGCGCCCGCGCCCGCCTCGGGCTCAAGGCCGGCGCGCGCGCACGGCGCTCGCTGGGATCCCGCGACGAGCCCGGACCGCCGCGGCCCGGGCCCCATCGTCCCACCACGCGCACTAGTTACAGTCGGCATTGAAGAGTGTATGACAGTGTAAATAAATTATTAACAAAAGTAATATATAATAAAACTTATAATAATAATAAAATTTATAATAGTCATTAGTTGTTGTTTTATTTTTAGTCTGATATGATTTGAGAATGTGTAAAAAATAAATACAGAAGTATGTACTCGGGTTTTTAATTTCTTTCCTCGCTAGGATACCTCCGACGTGCGACACGAAGATTACAGACGGCCGGCTGCTAAATCGATACCGAGCCGTATTAAAAAGTGTACCTCTGTGTCAGGCTGTCCGATAGCTAAGCTAGACATATCGACCTAGAACTCTAGATAAGTACACCTACATGGCTCTATATCAGCGAGTCAAGTTTTCCTTGAAAAAAATAACTGAGATTAAATAATCAAAATTACATTCTATTTACAAGTAATCTCAAACCCATACAGGTCAGTAGGCGTACAGTAAATGATTGCATCTATCTATCTCACTCTAAAATGTATATATTATTTAAACTATTGTGCCATTTATAAAAATAATAAACACAATAAATTTTAATATGAAGTGATACAAAAGATAGCTATAGCATATTAATATGCTACTTATTACACTTTCACGTCATAGTCGTAGAATACTGACGGATCTAACAAAGATTACATATAAAGATCCGTCAGTATTCTACGACTATGACGATATAATAAATTTATGTTTATATCGTCATAGTCGTAGAATACTGACGGATATATATATTTTTGTCAGATCCGTGAGTATTCTACGACTATGACGATATATCTCTAATAATATATAATCTGTGGTTATATATTTCATCAGTTAGCAGGTCGATGAATAAAACACATTAAATTCATTGAAAAATATGGTCACTTTATTTCATTAATTACTTAATCTAAGGCATTATGTCTCACATTGGTGCGACTAGCTATAATTCTTTCACTGGTTTACAATTATATGAAAACGTAAAAAAACAACCATCGTTCCCAATAATTTACATCAATTCTTGTTTACTATCAGATAGGTTCGTCTCAATAAATAAATATCTCTGGACATATAGAGCGCCATCTAGTGCCAATAGAAGTAAAGCTTGTACTATGACTTAGCTACTAGACAATCGATACATATACTTTTTTATAATATATCTTTTCCAGCCAATAATTGGGTCAATGTGATGAGTACTTCTAAAAATATATTTATATTGATTTGGGCGTTTTCTTATTCGTATTTATAACAAGCGCATTTCGTTTCATAAACAGCGATTTTCATCGCAACAAAATCGATACTGACTAGAACCTAATCTCACTATTCTTATTTTAAAACGACTCACACTCACCGATATATGTCAAAATGTTTCATAGACAAATTATATTTATAAATATTTGAATTTAGAATGTGGAATCGGAACGCGGTTTCTATAATTGAAATTGCTTCTCCGTAGTTAAAATTGTATACAAAATTTAAATAGCTATCAATAGGGTCGATTCTGAGGCGCCATTATTCTAAGCTTATCTCTCAAAATTAAAGTTTCAATTTGATATAACAGCGGAAACTTTATAACTTAAGACTATTATGAACAAATTTTCTAATAGATTTAAGTCAACAATATTATAAATTTAATTTATTATGACCCATAAAACAGTAATTATGCCAAACTATCGAATTAAAACAGGTTAAGAGGATAGGTTAGAGAAATCGCGTCTCAAAATTAACTCCAATGTCAGGATTACCTATGTATATTATTGGGAACAAACGCTAGCATAGATGAAATAGGAACCAAAATAATATTTTAGATACTAGTATTATAACATATGTCAGTATTCACCCATAAAATACATATATTTATTATTTATATTAATCTAGTAATTTCTATAAAAAAAATTACAAGCATTATTTTCACTAGATTTTTTATGTTTATTGTAATATTTATTTTAATTAAAAAAAGGGAACGACAAATGTATGGCTAAAAACTGACATATGGCACAAAGTTCATTAAAAAAAATTAATGGTTGAAATTACTATGTATAAGAAAAACCACACACAATGAAATCAGGTTATCTGTGCATAATTGGTACCTTACACGATCATGTTTGCCAAATAGGTACAAAAATAAACAAAAAAATCAAGACATATTTGAAAATTAACTTTTCATTAAAATTCCTAGCCTAATAAAGCATAAAAATTCTAATTATTGTTTAACATCTGTCACGTTTAAAAAATAAACAAAAAGTAATTTTGAAATTGTCGAATGTAAAAAGGTATTTATTGTGGTCGATTCTGAAGCGCCAATCTCTAAATCTATATAAAAATTAAAATTTCAATTTGATATTACAACAAAATATTTATTCTAAGAACTACATTTCTAATAGACTTAAATCAAAAGTTTTATTTTATTTAAGTCTTTTATTTTTTATTCCACAAAACAAACTTCATTGTGGCAAAACCGATTTTGATAAAATTTCTATGGAATTAATCTATAAGTATTCATTTTTGATTTTCAGATTTTGTTAATTTTTTCATTAAATTGTTAATTTTCCAAATTATTTCATAACTGTTACAAGGTACCAAATATATAAAAAAAAAAAAAACGAATTAAGACCCTCGTTCACTTTGAAGTCAATTGATAAAGCAGTACTTTCTCAAAATTATCAAATTAAAAATATTATTTTTAAACTAGACAATAGTGGTGCATCGGAATCATCCACGTTGTTATAAAAAGATATCAACATTCCTTTCACAAATTCAATTTACGTTAATTTTATATCTAAAATAAAAAAAATGCTAAAGAAAAGTTATAAATTTTGTATGAAATTTGACAGAAATCACACGAACGTTTTATAACAGTATGAAGCCTCTTAAAGTATTCAAAAAATGAGCACCAAATTTTTTAAATCATCGATGAACTTGTATATTTGGAATAAGGAGGAAATAAAATTGAAAATAGACCACTATTGTACACAAACACCTATCCACCATATCGTCATAGTCGTAGAATACTGACGGATCTGACAAATATTACATATATAGATCCGTCAGTATTCTACGGCTATGACGATATATAAGGAACTATCTAACCATCATTGTTTGTGAAAAATAATGGTACAAGACTATTGATATCAGAGGGCGCCACCGTTTCACAGGAAACGATCATAAACCCTTTCCGTTACACTCTGTATATTAGCTGTACTCTAGCTATGCTCTAAACATGTAAGCCTGCTATCAGAAAGCAATAAATACAATACACAACTTATATGGTTTTATAAAGAAAATATACGAGCGCTCTTTAATTATTATAGTACATATTTTTATACAAAATATTACAAAAACATAGTCTGATAACAGTTCGTGAACTATTTTTGAAGCTAATAACAACACAAGTTCATTCGCTGCCATGAGACCGCTCCATTTTCTATGATGCTGCGTTTAACCCTTCTTCGCATACTGGTGGAAATTTCCATCATAATATTGAATGCCTAAAACTTATATAAAAGACCAAGTTCACTTTAATTTGATCGTGTCTGGATAATATTTTAATGTCCATTGCAGAAAAAAAAAACATAGCTGTCAAATTTATTGTTTTGACCATTTTTCTTTTAATTTTAAACATGAATTATATCACTTTGATTATATGACTTTGATTTCACCAATAAAAAAAAAAACATGCAAAGAAGGGTTAAGTCGATTATTTTCATTCAATACAAGTACTCTATCTAAGAACACACCGTCGATTGTTCCGAGGTCCCAGTCCATAATTCTGTCAATTATTACCTGTAAATGGATAATAAAGAGATTTAATTATTTTCATAACTTTCAACGTTCTTTATAACAGAAACAAACAGAGATTATGTCTATATAAGAGGTGAGTAATAAACAATATCTATATACTTTCATCAGATGGAGACTGTACAAAAGTCGATTGCTTAGGTACCTCTGTCCCATTCGTGTTTCAACCGTGAAGCAGTTGTGTTTGCATGGCTGTGTTTCGGTTTGAAGGGTGTGACGATGTGGGATATGGCGTGAATTTACTGGGTACAGAGGAATAACACCTGAGTCCTCAGGAATGCCAACGCATGGTGAGTATCATGGGCGAAACAGTATACTCTGTTATGTCCATGGTACTGCTCATGTCTATAGGCGACGGTTACCACTTTCCATCAGGTGGGCCGTCAGCTTGTTTGCCATTCTAAATTGTATGTGTATGTATCCTTATGTTAGATTTATTTGCCACTAACCAGAAGGTTGATTATGATATTTAAGAAGAAGGGGGGTAGGGGGTTTGTTATAGGATGGCCACCCAAAGATTTGAGGGTAGCTGTCAACTATGCGCCAGACATATCCCCCCCCGTCCCGCCGCGGTGAATGCAAGGCGGGCGTGGTACGCACGTGTAGGCGTGCGTGTTGAGCAGCGGCGCGTGCGCGTGCGCGGTGTAGGCGCGCACGGGCGAGAAGGCGAAGGGCGGGAACTTGGCGGCGCTGAGCTCGAACTGCGTGCAGTGGTCGCGCAGGTCGCGCAGGTCGCGGCGCGCGCACGCCGAGTAGCGGCGCCACGCCAGCCGCCAGTTGCGGCGCGCGCGCGCGTCGCTCAGCTGCAGCTCCTACGCACGCGCAGCCACCGTGTACCCTCCCAGTGTAATACATATCATTCTAATCCATTCAGTCGTTTAAGCGTCACCCAGTGACTAGTATCTAAACAAACTTCCACATAATACTAGCACGGTAGAGTTCCACATTAGACCGATCTTTCGCAACGCTAGCGCCAGTACGTGAAATTAGATACAATTTACCACTCTCCGTCACACTGCACGGAATTTCGGTCATTATATCAATGAAACGCCTAAATCGGTTTTTCTATCTGGCACCCCTGGGCAAATTTGATTAAACAGTTTTAATCAATCACAAGTATAAATAAATTCAATGTTATAAAAATATAACAAATAAAGTTTTTTTTTTTATACAACTTACAACAACAAACAACTGACCTGATAAAAAGTAATAAACGCCCCCTATAGACATGGACATAACAATAATAGTTTATCTACAAATTGATTACACTGAGTTTTCTGAGTGAATAACTCTCATATATGCAAGTTCTGCTGTTTCTTTTGTTCTGAAATATGAACTATAGACAGATATTTCTTTCAAAATCACCTACTAGTGTTATCTACATTAGGCAGTAGATTACATAAAAATAAATTAAAAAAAAATTACTATTATTTCGATGATAAAGAAAAAAAAAAGTTCACGCGAATGAAGTCACGAGCACAACATTGGACGTGTAAACACCACTTACGATGTGGAAGGTCTGCTCGTGCTGGTCGTGCGAGTCCTTGCGCCGCGAACGGAAGCGCGTGTTCGACGCCTGCGCGGGCTTCTTGTCCGCGTTAGTCTTCTTTATCACAATCACTACCTGTCAAATTACATTTATTTATTAATTTAATTAACAATTTAATTTTGTCTGTTTAAAAATTGTCACAATATTGTACACTGCTCTATCCGCTGACATTGATGCTCCTTTCCACTGTGGTTGTTGCTGGAAGAAAACTCTATTAGAATTAAGCTCGCCTTTGTACTTTTGATTACCTCTGTCATATTCTTATAACTGGTGTCCACAATAAAGAATTAAATAAATAAATAACACAATATTAAATTAACACTTTGCTAACAGGTGACGAGTAAACTCGTCACTGCACTAGCGTGTAGGTACGTCCTCCTACCACGACGGGCAACACCGTTTGGATTACAAAGCGTTCATAACCAAAAAAATACTTGTTTATATATTGTATTTAGGTTTTTATCGTAATTTTAGTTGAATTTCAAAGATTTCAATCATGAAGAAATACCCGGTCAACAAAGTGTTAACAGCAAGTTAGCAAAGATAGCCTAACTAGCTCTGTGCAAGTTTCTATAACCATATTCGACGAAAAGTATTTTGATAAAAGCACGCGATGACGATGGAGATTAATTCGCGAACTAAATGTTCGGCGTCTACGCGAACCATAAAAATACAATATCCGGTTCAAAGGACCAAAAAACGGATTGTATATAAAATAAATTTAATTTCTTGTTTGAGTTTAAATTGAGGCGCACGTTCCAGAAGGTGTTTGTAGCTAGAAAAAAGAGCGATAGCTGACCAGGCCAGCAAGCCCTGCACTTCAATCGCCGCAAGCATCACCGTTGAAGTGGAAACACGTTACCGTTTCTTTATATCGTCAGAAGCAACTATGACACACGCAATCATGATAGAAAAACTTATAAAACCCAATACCGAACACACAAATCAGCCACCATTTTCTTCATGATTCCCCCCTCTTCATCGTACCAGCCGATCGATCGATAACGCGGGTGAGGGGAATTACCATTTCATTTTTATCCAAGTCATATACCTTGTCACCCATAAGCCGATAGTGTCCGGCCATGATGCCCATCGAAGTCTTAGGCGTGCGATAGCGAAGGTGGCCCACGCACGCCACTGGCTCTTCGGCGGTCGTCCACATCAGCACCACGCCCTCGGGAAAGAACCTGATCACAGGACACAGTGGAAAATTTACTTTATCATTTAAGATTATATTTATTTATTTAAACTTTATTGACCAATACAAATGTGGTACAAAAGGCTGACTTAAGGCAATAAGCATTCTCTACCATTCAACGTACAGAATGTGCACACTCGATGGCAGTATTTATTTATATTGCATAAAAAAATATTTCAATTGCATCATCGCCTATCTGTTTGTCTGTGTATCAAATATGGTATACATGTAAGTAGTTCCCTAGTTCAAAGGTGGTATGGAGTCCTAAGTTTAAAGTTTTTATATTAAGGTTTCTTCAGAATTGGCAACGCGCACGTGACATCCCTAGTATTGCAGGCCATAGGTGTCCATAGACTACAGTAACCGTTTAACATCAAACAGGCCGTATGCTTGTTTGCCAACTTAGTGGTATAAAAAAAGTAAGATAAGAAGGACTAGGTTAACGTCTCCATTACTAACAATCTCTCCCTCCCCCCCCCCCCTCCCTATTGGCAGAGAGGTCACGTAATTAAATGCGGCTACACAGCACTGCATAGTTTACCTGAGGTAGCGGTAGTATTCGATGAGGTACCAGGGCCGGTAGAACTGGTCCTGGAAGGAGTTCTCCCCGTGGCGCAGGTACGTGGTCTTGCTGATGTAGCAGCCGTGCAGCAGCAGCCGCGGCCGCGACACGTACATGTGCCTCCACGACAGGTACCCGCCGCTGCGAGGGGTGCCGCACTCGATGCCCCACGTCCTGCCATCACCATCATCGTCACCACACTGTATTGTATTAGGATTTCATTCCCCATATTTGGCTTCCCATTACAACTGTTCTACGTGTGAGTCATGGTTAATATTGCCATATCGAATACACCCAATTGTAGAAGTTTCCTAGTGTCCACGCTGGCTTTGCGGAGCAACTTCAGTGTTTAAAAAATTTGTGTATATTGTGATACTACAGCCTACTTCTATCGCTACATCAGTACTACCAACATTGTGGCGACTTCTACACTAAGACTCCAAATAAAGAAAAGGATATACCAATTTTACATAACACTGAAATATGGCAACATTTAAAAATATTAGGATGCAACTATTTCAAACATAGCAATATTATTATTCAGCTAACTGTTATTAACCGCATTTTAATCAAGATTTTCATAAGTATTAACATTTCCCTTCTTATGCAACATAGAACGCTAAAAGGGTGATGGTCTGCCTATTGAAAAGTGATTACCATCATGTATGGACACGAATAACACCATAAGTATCACAGTGCATTCTGGGCCTCTAACGTGTTGCTATTCCCGAAGACTTCGATGCTTATATGTCCTTTATTTAATTGCTATATCCCATTCTTCAAACCGAAACAGTATCGCAAGCAAAGCTGCTTCACGGGGAAAAACTATTAAAACGGAGACTCTCTTCCCTCCTTTCTAAGCTGTAAAATGAAGAAAGCCAATGAGCGCTCACTTGACGCAGAGCGTGCGCCATATGTCGGGGTCGCGCGCGGCGACGTAGAGGCCGCGGCACGCCGCCGCCGCGCGCTCCAGCGACGCCGCGTCCAGCTCCGCGCCCACCACCCAGCGCAGCACCAGCACCACCACCTCGTACGGCAGCCACGACACGTGCCCGCCCTGCCGCCGCACCACCGTCGGGTTCGTGCAATACCATTTCATGACCATTCAACCGTTTCATGGGCTAGGCAGCAGTGGCTCTCTTAAAGCATCATGAAAAACCTAACTGCGATTACCATCTCGTCTGCCAAACGTGGCAAACACTAGCAATATATAATAGGAGGTCTATGTTCAATAATGGACAGATAATGGTCGATGTTTTTTTATGCAACTCACAATGTAACCGTCGCCTATAGACATGAGCAGTACCATGGACATAACAGAGTATACTGTTTCGCCCATGATACCCCCCATGCGTTGCCATTCCTGAGGATTCAGGTGTTATTCCTCTGTACCCTATAAATTCACGCCATATCGATGATGTTTTGTCATTATCATTATGGTTGATAACCATTATCTGTTCATCATTCCTCCTCCCATTTTCCCCAGTCTTTCACACGGTCCATCCATCTCTTTTCTGGTCATACCTCTTGCAGCCATATAGTAAATACAGGTTTGGCTTAACCCCCCTTGCAGGGGGGAAAGGGATTGTTAGTAATGGAGACTGAGAATCCCATTGCTAGCAATATATCCAACCAGGTCGACCTCCTCACGGTTCCCCCTGGAAACTATCATGGTTAATTCCTGATGAATTCATCATAATGGGCTAACTGGCCTGTTTTCATTTTCATCTATCACCCTTCACTGGTACTCCGCCAGCGTATCCCGTTAGCGCAGGCGGGGTTACCATACCATTTTCACTCATCAAAAAAAAAAACCCCCTTACAAGCGTCAAACATATCTATTGAAATATATTTTGTTAACTCTTACACGTGAAAGGAGACATTACATTACAAATCTGTCGACAAATACGGATGGCAAAACCATTCTTTATGGCAGCCATGGAAGAATCCTATATTCGACAGTTGATAATTTTTCTGCTAAAACAATAATGAAATCGTTTTGTATTAATAAGTGAACCTTGAAACTGACCTTAGTAGGAAATTCAGGCTCGCAGAATGTGCCCTTCCTGGCGAGTATCCTCTGCAGGCGCGTCAGTAGATCCTCTCCCTCGACGGCGTCCTCGTCGTCACTGGTATTAGCGTGTTCCACTGTCAACACCTCTTCCGTCTCAGATTCCACTATTCGAAATAATTTATAATTATTATACTATTAAGTATACAAAAAAAATTAATAATTAGTCCATAGTTGGGGCTATAGCTTTGCATGTATAAATGCCCTGTAAATGTGTCGCAACAAGAAAGCTCATAGTATACTTATCATGCCAGCCATATCCACTAGTGAATACTGCCCTCCCCATTTGACTGCCTTTCCCATCGGGTTATAGCATACTCCAATGTTATTTATGAAATAAATGTATTGTATATCCAATATATAGGTAGGGTGTGTAAATCACCATTAAGACAACACAGATGCTTTGCACATTGCGATAATGTAGGGCTACCTCTATTCATACTCTATCTATACATAGAATCGATAGCAACACCATAGACCACGTAACCATAGCCTCTTGAAGTATCAGTGTCAGTTGAGAACAGACACCGGCCCCCCTAAACAACTAGTAAACGAATCTATTGATATAATCGTTTCAGTTAGAACTTACATAAAAAAGAACAAGACAGCAACATTGACATGTACTATCTTATAGTCCCATATGGTCTGAGTATAAAATAGGCCTTTCCCACTGCTGAACATAAGCCTCCCCTTAGGGGGGTTAGTTTAATATTTAGAATTTAGAACAATACTTATTTTGTTTATACCTTCAGGAGTGTCTCCTCTCAGCTCTGAGCTCTCATAAAGTCGTGTCTCCACATCTGGAAGGATCTGCATGGCCCTCTTATAGTTTTGTATGGCTTCATACAATTTTCCACCACGCTCCATCTCCACACCTCGTAGGAAAAACTCTTTCGCCTGTAATCAATCATTAGAATTAAATATCGCACGGTAAGTAATCCATCAGTTAGATGACCACACTAAGTTTTATAAAAAAAATAGAAATTTTGGGTCAGCAGCGCAGGCGTAATGCCACTGGTACTGCACGTTACTTGGGCCGAAAACACTTGTTTTTTAATGCATTTGTATTCGGACGAAGTATTATTAACAACAATTAACAACCGCAGTCTGGCTTTGTAAATGTTTTAAAAGGGACGCTGCTGCCCATCCCTCGTCACCTTACGACATCCACGGGAAAGGAATTCTGTTCCAGGCCCATGCTTATTCAGACGAGACAGTGTAGGGAACCCTAACCCCTGTAATTCTGGGGGGAAAGGAATTATTACTAATGGAGACTGAGAATCCCATTGCTAACAATATACCCAACCAGGCCGACCTCTTAGCGGTTTCCCCTGGAAACTATCATGGTTAATTTCTGATGAATTAATCATGATGGGCTAATTGGCCTGTTTTCATTCTCATCTATCACCCTTCACTGGTGCTCCGCCAGCGCATCCCGCTAGCGCAGGCGGGGTTACCATTCTATTTTCACCCATAAAAAAAAACCCGTAATTCAGACACCAGAATTCATTTTTGTGTGTATCCAGTTAAAATACTATGTACCTTCTCCTCATCAGTTTGGGGCTCGACAACCGCAGGTTGAGGCTTTGGTTCTTCAGTTGGGGTTGGAGTGCCCTCCAACTCTCTCTGCCATTGCTGGCGGAAAGCTGTTAACTCGTCTTCACCATCTTCAGTCTATAAAAAATAAACAAAGAAAACAAAATCTACTATATCTTATTGGGCAATTTTTTTTAATAATAAAATTTATTTTTGTACAGTTTTTTAATTGGAATCTAATATTATTTACTTGAATTTTTTTGAGTCTCAGATGTTATCCAATTCTTTTGTTTAATAATTCAGAAAAAAATCGGGCAGTGCAAATTGACAACAAAAATATAAATTGCGATTAACAAACCTGTGAGTTGTCCTGCAAATTCAGAGACTTGAGGTTATCACTGGTGGCTTTCATGTCTAATGAGGAAGACGAGTCCTCCTGCTCTTCACCTTCACAGTCCCCACTGCTGCCACCAGTTGCCGAGCCCGTTGTTGATGCCTACAACATACATATATATATGTTTAGCTTTTTATATAATAAATAATTATTAATAATTAATATAAAAATAAATATTATTAAATAAATATTAATTAAAAAAAAATTAAATAATTGGTGGGAAGAAGAAATTTATAAGAGGCCTAATGATCCTACAGCTTACAATATATGGTATATTCAGGTTGACCTCCATATGGTCCTACCTGGAAATAATTGTAACCAATTCCTGAAGAATTTATTATAAGAGACCAACTAACCTAACTTTATGTTCAGTCACCAAACTTCGCTGGTATCCTCCCAGTATAAAAAAGCAGAGCAAATGTAGTGGGTTAAGTATTCCATTTACAAACATAAAAAAATGTTATCTAGTAACTTTTTTTTATGGGTGAAAATGGAATACGCTAACGGGATACGCTGGCAGAGCACCAGTGAAGGGTGATAGATGAGAATGAAAACAGGCCAGTTAGTCCATCATGATGAATTCATCAGAAATTAACCATGACAGTTTCAGGGGAACCGCGAGGAGGTCGACCTGGTTGGGTATATTGCTAGCAATGGGATTCTCAGTCTCCATTACTAACAATCCCTTTCCCCCGTTATCTAGTAACTATAACTTTACTTATTTACTTTTTTAGATACTAATTTATTTCCAAAGATCAACAAACAAATAAATGGTCTATGCAATTTTATAATTATTAAAATCTGTAATACAGTCAATAATTTTATTTCTGTAAGTAGAGATCTAATAAAATACATTTAATACAAGAATCTTATTAGATTATGTACTCACTTAAAATTATGACAATTCAGAAGTAAATAATTAATAAGACATATTGGTGAATACCATACTTAGTTTCACATACAACAAAAATTACAATATAAATAAAGATAATATTTTTTGCCTACAAAAAACACTGACTCTCACCATTTTTTTTTACCAACGACGCTTTCTTTCCTATAGTAAGACGTGAAATATCATAAATATTTTAATGACCTTTTAACAAATTTTATAAGGTAAAGGAGGAAATATAAATATAGTAAAATAAATAGTTTTAATTTGCTATACTTTTCTCCGTGACAGACAATTATTTCACTGATAATAGACGACTGACAGATGTGAAAATGATACAGGTGACATAAAATAACTTCAATCTTAGGACATTCGGTTCTCAATGTCAATCAAAATTAAACTGTCATCTCACTCATTCATGTCGATTTTAATTTTTTTTTTTTTTAGTACGTGTGTTCCGTTTGGAACAGGCTAAGGTCGGAGACCATGCTGCCTAGTCTTCAAAAAGATAATTTGTCTGGAATGTCGATTTTAAGTTACCACAGAGTACATTTGTATATAGTTACATTCCAGGTCTGCGTCACATAAAACATTTTTTATATGTTATAAAAGTTGTATGTTACCTTTCTCAATTTATTTTGTAGTTAATTAGGCACTATACTTTGTACTACGTACATACAGTACTTACTCGTAATTATTGTTAATTAAGATTATTAAAAAATAAATAATAAAAACAATTGTTATTTAATATAAAAAAAGCATTAAAAAATAATATAAATAAGAAAATACTAAGGATTTAATGCAGCGTCAGCAGAGTCAGCCGCGAGTTTTCGTGTCGTAAACATCGTTATCAATTGCGCTGTCACTAGTAATTATTTAAATCGCATAAAACATTCAATTTTGAGTACTTATCATATACCAAATTAAACGTAATTACACGGACTAAATAAACATTAAAATAATTTAGTGTTGTAAATCTTATTAAACCTAATAAAAGTGATTTTATTTTAAACTAAAAACGTTAACGGTCAAAAAGTGAAATTCGTGACCTTGCTTACCTCTTTCAGCGGTCTCGGTCAGCTGGTGGCACTTGCTCTCTCGCACTAACTCGCGTGTGCATCTTGCTCTGGTCGGCTGTGCATTGCGGGTGAATCATCGTTTTGTGTCTGCACTTGCATATTTTTGTTATATAGAGAAATGAATAAAATGTCATCTACGGAGCTCACTTGTGCGGGATGTCGCTGTGTTATCTCCAACAGGGAATACCTTCGTTGTAGCCTGTGTCAGGAAGTGTACGAGCGTAAATGTACGACAGTTTCGGAACAACGCTTTTATAACACTATGACAAAGGAACACAAACTCTCATGGAAATGTGATCAGTGTAGAAGCAAACAGCCTAAAACGGGTAACTCAAATACACCGGTGCGTGGTGCTGATGAGAACGTCACACATCGCCGAGGTACAGCCAGGACTGCATCATATCCATGACTCTTTACTTGTATTGGAGATGCGCTCTGTTGGTGAGCAGCTGAGGGCGGTGCGGCGTCAGATGGAGGAGCTGACGGCCACTGTCTCTGGTGCCATGTTGAAGATCGAGGCCTGTAATGAAAGGATTGATGGTCTGTCAGCTCGCATGGACGGTATGGAGCGTCGAATGAATGAGATATCGGGGAGCCAACGCGATGGTGACTCCTTACTGCGAAGTATAGCCCAACTTAAGAGCGAGCTAAACGAACGTGATCAGGAGCTTCTGTTGAACGACGTCGAGCTATCTTGTGTACCGGAGCAGCAGGGTGAGGCGGTTGGTCACGTGATCCTGACATTGGCCACTAAACTGGGTGTACCGTTGACGGAGCGGGATGTGGTGAGTGCGACTCGTATGGGTCGTGTGCCGGAGCCTAGAGAGGGCACAGCTCCTCGTCCTCGTGTCATCGCTGTGCGGTTGGCGCGACGTGCTTTGCGAGACCAGTTAATACAGGCAGCCAGGGTGCGCCGTGGCGCGACAACTGAGGGTGCAGGCCTACCGGGTACGCCGCGGCGTTTTTATGTTAATGAAAGGTTAACCAGGGCTAATCGGCAATTATTTCAAAAAACGCGTGAGGCGGCGAGGCAGCACGGCTGGCGCTTTTGCTGGACAAGGAATGGGAAAGTATATGTTCGAAAGCATCCGGGGGTGATGCTGTTAAATATCGAGTTCACTCGGAGGATGACCTGGAAGGTGTTTTTGGTTTGCCTTCCGTTTGTTCGTCCGTTGAAAAACAATAGAACACGATTATTTGTAGTCACTAATTATTTATATTTATTATCACAAACTGTCCATTGTTATAAGTTTGCTTTTATTTGTATTATAAAATTTGTGTTCATAACGTTTGCCACCGTAACACACTTTTTAAGAGATTATTTTAAATGTCACTTGGTTGTCTTTGTAAATGATTTCGAACAATACACAATCAACATAAACTTTATTAATGATCAGATGTATGAAATGTCTATTTCTGGGGTTACTTGTGTGAGTTTATTATTATTTATTGGTATTTATAATTATATATGGTTAATTATTTTATTATATCACATTCATATTTAGCACTAAGTTTTTTAAATTAGGGCTTTATAATGCAGGCTCTTTAAGCACCGGACAAGATGACTTTATTGTAGCTATGAGCCGGTATAACGCTGATATTGTTGCAATTAATGAAACATGGTTACGCGAAGGTGAAGAGGCGCGTGCTCCAGTCGTGCCCGGGTATAGACTGCGCTCGGTTCCGCGCCCGCGCCACATGCGTAGCGGACGCGGCGGTGGCGTAGCTTTTTACATCAAACGCAGTTTGTGCGCGCGAGTTGTACAGCATCCTGTCGCAAATGTCGAACAAATGTGGGTAAACGTAACCTTTAATGGAGTACGGGTTATTATTGGAACGGCTTATCGACCAGAATGGGTAGGCATTGATGTTTTTCTTGATGCTGTTACGGAGTCAGTAACATACTTTTCTAATTACGATTACATTGTCCTACTTGGGGACTTTAATGCTGACATGTCAGATGCTCATAATATAAAGACTAAAAAAATTCAACAGTTTCTGCAGTGTTTGAATCTTAAACAGGTGGTAACTGAACCAACTCACTTTTCTATACACAATGAGACACTTTTAGACATTATTTGTACCAATGCACACGCGCAGGACGTAACTGTGAATAACATCACTGGTTCCTTGGGTCATGCTATGGTTATCACTACCTTATCAATTAAAAAAAGCAAAAGTACACCAAAGACCATAACGTATAGACCTATTAAAGATATGAATATGACAGAGTTTATTGAAGATTTAAATTCCATGAACTGGGAATCCGTGTTGCTTTGCTCATCAGTCGATTCTATGGTGAATACGTTTAATTCGTTAATCCTATCATTGTACAACAAACATGCTCCTGAAAAAACGATCAAAATTAGAAACGGTCGATCTTTGCCGTGGATAACAAATACTATTAAATATATGATGGATTTACGCGATGAGGCATTTAAGAGATATCGTAGATCTAAAAATGGTAATCATAAGGAGTATTATATACAATGTAAAAAGCTAGTAAATAGTAGTATTTATTATGAAAAAAGAGCGTATTTTAATCATTTAATTAATTCTAAGTGTGACGATCCTAAACTATTCTGGAGAAATATTAGGGATAAAATTAATATAAATATAAAAAAAAAGGACTGCTTACCTGATCGTTTCAATGACCCGAACGAAATCAATGACTCTTTTATTAACGTGCCTGCCCCCTCGTCTGTGTCTATTTCCGATCTGACATATTTTGAGTATCACAGATATGGTGATATTTCACTCACTCTTAAACCGGCCGACGAGAGTGAAATAGCTAAGTACTTGTTGTCTATTAAGTCCAACGCTTGTGGGGTGGATGGTATAGGGAGAGACATGATCTTACAGACCCTGCCACGTACACTGTCGATAATAACGGCTATAATTAATAAGTCTATCGTAACAAGCGCGGTGCCCGAATTATGGAAATCGGCTATTGTCACTCCTATACCGAAAGTAGATAATCCAGTAGAACTAAAAGATTTGCGTCCAGTTAGTGTTCTTCCATACTTGTCGAAAATACTGGAGAAAGTTATTTACACCCAGTTGTCTAAGTATGTTGAGGAAAATTGTATCTTACCAGCGATGCAATCCGGCTTTCGCAAAGGTAGAGGTACAGTTTCCGCTTTATTGGACGTCGTTGACAATATTCTTACGAGTCAAGATAGTGGAGAGGGATCACTTCTAGCATTATTAGATTACTCTCGTGCTTTTGACAGTATCAGTATTCCACTACTTCTGGCAAAATTGACATTTTACGGTTTGGACGAACAGTCAGTCGGATGGTTTACGAGTTTTCTCGATAATCGTAGACAGACTGTTAAATTGGTGGGGAGAGCTAGTAGACCTGCGTTTTCTGATTCTTCGGAAGTCACGCGCGGAGTGCCTCAGGGCACAATACTCGGTCCATTACTGTTTATTTTATATAGTGCTGATCTTATAAAACAGATACAACATTGCAAATACCATATTTATGCAGATGATGTTCAACTTTATATCCCGGCTTCTCGCGGAAATGTCTCAGGAAGTGTTTCAAAATTAAATGAGGATCTTGAACGTATTGCGAATTGGTCGGTTAAAAATGCAATGATGTTAAACCCCAAAAAATCTGTATACATGGTTCTAGGATCTAAAAAACAAGTAAAATTTATATTTAGCCAGAATCCTGACATATATATTTCCGGGGAAAGAATTGACTATGTTAAAGAAGCTAGGAATCTTGGAATAGTAATCGATAGTGAACTACGCTTTGAGACTCATGTTCTAAAACTAGTTCAAAGCTGCTTTTATCGTCTAAGAGTTCTATATCAAATTAGAAATCTTCTGAATGAGGAAGTTCGTGTCACTCTTTGTGAATCATTGATCTTGTCTAAATTGAATTACGGCGATTTAGTGTATGGACCTCGATTGCACTCTAAAACTCAACGTCTTATACAGCGAGTACAAAATGCATGTACTAGATTTTGTCACAATATTCCGCCTAGAACGCACGTAACGCCATATTTAAATAATTATTCCACCTTAAACATGTCCTCTCGGAGAAACTTTCATCTCGCTTGTACAGTATTTGACATCTTAAAGTATCGGCGACCGGAATATCTATATTCTAAATTACAATTTAATTCATTCCATGACAAATATAGTACAAGACCCACGCGCTACTTATTAGCAAGGCGTCCTCATAAAACTGTGGCGTTTGAGGGAAGTTTCCGCTACCAAGCTACGAAATGCTGGAATAATATACCACCCCCAATAAGATTGTCTAATAGTAAACACATTTTTAAAAAAAAACTTAAAATCTTTTTAATTAATAAACAAAAAATTGGAATATATATATATATATATATATATATATATATATATATATATATATATATATATATATATATATATATATATATGTATATATATATATGTATGTGTATATGTATGTATGTGTGTATATATGTATATATATTTATATTGTAAATTTTTAATGAAAAGTTTCGCGACTGACTCTTGGCCACAGCAGAATATCAGTGTTTTGCTCTTTTAAGGGCAAAGCAATAAACTGAGCTGTGACCATTTTGTGTTACTATGGCACACGCATGAAGGAATGTTAACAAAGGAGATTGTTAGATTATGTATTTTGTTTTTGTATTTTTGTTTTTTTATTTTTATTCTTTTGTCTCTTTTGCTGTGTATTACGTGTATGTTTTTTTTTTATTGTAATTTGTGTGCTGTAAGTAATGCAAATAAATTGTCTATCTATCTATCTATCTATCTAATGCGAAAACACATTGTAAAATTAAAATTTGTATGTGTTGCTTAGACTTTTTTGATTTGTATATTAAGAAATTGTATCCCATCATGGCGGATCATGGCTATCTCCATTAATCAATTCAAAAATAATACTTCATTTATGTAAAACCGTGTGTTCCCCGGCATAGAATGGGTCACCCCTTCCTTTTCCGTATCTGTCGTAAGAGGCGACAAAGGTAGGGCAAGGGATAGGCAGCAGCATTCCTCTCAAACATTTCTAAAGTCGTAATTGCGGTTGCCAACTCGCCTGCCAAGCGTGGCAACTCCTGGCAAAATTCCCCTAATGGGGGGGGGGGGGGGGGGAGCTTAGCGTAATTTTTAATAAATTGAAACTAGTTAGCAAACAATAAAATTAGTATTTTTTTTTATGCAACTTAAAATGACAAACAAGGTGACGGCCCACCTGATGCTAAGTGGTAACTATTGCCTATAGACATGAGCAGTAGCACGGACATAATAGAGTATACTGTTTGACCCATGATATATCCCATGATATCTGCCATTCTTAAGGACTCAAGTGTTATTCCTCTGTACCTTGTAAATTCACTGCTATATCCCACCTTTAAACTAAAACAGCCATGCAAGCACAACTGCTTCATGGTAGAAACACGAATGGGACAGAGGTGTCTAAGCAAACAAGTTTTGTATAAAGTATCTCTCTCTATAGGTATATATAAAGTTACCATATATTATCTTAATAATTAATTAATTACCTAATTAGTTATGTCATATAGATATATGTTATATGATATGATACTATATTTTGTGTTGTAGATTTAAAATGGTAACATGTATTTTCATTTTGTGAGTATAATGTTACTGTCAACTCTTATAACGTAATAATTATTTACTCTATGGTTACATTATATTCATATATTTTTCATTCTCGTCTATTAAGTCTAATTTCTTATTTTATTCCTCGTTATGAGATTATTGTATTAAAAGTCCATTTAGACCATTTCAACAGCAAAGTTATTTACATTAACATTTTACTAATTATAAAATGTAATGATTGTTACTTTGATACAATGAATTAAACATTCCATTAGTATTATCATCAGACTGACCTATATAGTTATAATTAATATCTTCAAAATGGTAAATATAATATTTTTTTCTTCACAAAATTACTGCAGTAGTTGTTTATTTATATCTTTTACATTAAACATATGTTTTTCGTAAAGCTAGTGTCATTGACATTATCTTCCTCGTCTAGATGCAATTTATGCTGTTATTCAGCCGCCAAGGCAAATTGCGGTTGCAAAAATGGTACGTGGCGCATCCTGACAAACTAAAGAAGAAAATCACACGTGAACTAATCACAACTGTCCTGGCAAGGAAACCTAAGATGTGTTCCTTTTTGGAGTGGAAAGACGTCAAAGTAGTTTACAAGAGGTAATGATTCTTGGCAGTTTAGCTAAATAATTATTAATAATAAATACCATTAAACACATTATAAACACTATCTAATCCCAAATTAAGTACAGCTTGTACTATGGCCACTTGATAACTGATATAGTTAAATATTTTTTTAACATATGTATATTATAAAAATAAAACATCTATAACCAATACAAATATATCCAAAATATGTAAGTGACAAAGGAAACCAGGAAATTGGGAATATATGTATATTGGTGAAAGGAATTTGGAAGACTAGGGCTTCCCTTCATGGCCCAGTAACCGATACCAGTAACAATAGAGATGCATGTCTATTTCAAATTTGGTAAATAACAATATAAAAACTACAAATAATATATATGGCCTGTACTCCATACATTGGGTATATAGAATGAGAATTAAACCTACACCATTGGAAGGTGTGGCAATATTGTAAACAGCTAGACCACTAAGGTGGACTATGTGTGGCTGTGGCCATATAATTTGTATAGAAAACTAGTTGTAGCTTTTTGGCATATGAAACACTAAAAATCACTTCTCAATCCTCCCAGATATGCATCGCTGTACTTCTGCTGTGCTATGGAACAAGAAGATAATGAGCTACTCACTTTGGAGCTTATCCATCGCTATGTGGAACTCTTAGACAAGTATTTTGGAAGTGTAAGTGTCAATTTTAATATTACTAAGTTAAATTATACATAAATATATCTTTTAATAGCCTGTACTTCCTTTCCTGTGGATATCATAAGAAGCAACTAAGAAAACTTAATAATCAAGGGATGGACAGCAGCATTCCTCTTAAAATACCATCAAAGCTTAATTGTGGTTGCCAACCTGCCTGCCAAGCGTGGCGACTACTAGCAAAACCCTCTTGTGGGAGAGGCCTATGTTCAACATTGGACAGTCAACAGCTGACATGATGATGATGATGATGATATCTTTTTAACCAACTTTGAAAGGAAGACATTTTTTTATATTTATATATATATTTACTTATCTTTCTTATCTTTAGTTAGGTCCCTTATGTAAGGTTTGCCAGAGATATTCAATTGTCAAAACTCCTCCTAAACTTATATCTTTTGTTCCATTTGATTTTATAATATATCTCATGTTATATGTAGCTGAAGATTTTCTATTGTACCAACACTCCGCCTACCTCATACATGCAGCTTTTTAGTTTTTCTAATGTAGCACCATTCTGCCTCTGTTGTGTTAAAGAGCCGTTACAAATATATTGAACATTTATTCTCTCTCTATTCTAGGTTTGCGAACTTGATATAATATTCAACTTCGAAAAGGCCTACTTCATATTGGACGAGTTGGTGTTAGGTGGTGAGTTGCAGGAGACCAGCAAGAAGAATGTTCTGAAGGCCATCGCTGCACAGGATCTGCTCCAAGAGGTCAGTAGCCAGGATAACGAACTAGTCTAAAAAAAATATGTGCAAGAAATAATTCTATAGTCTCCATAAGATAATATTGCCAGAGTAGTTTCTTTTTATGGAAATATGTAAAAATATAGGTACATATTTCTGTTACAACAACACACTGCCACACGACTACAATATTCAATGGTTAACAAGGAATACCTTATGCCTTGCTTGTAGTTTACGGTATTTATTTAAATAGTAGATATTATTAAGGATGTTAGATGTCCTGTGCAGTGATATTTGGTAAAACCTGTACCAAAATGCAGTTTAATGCAAATTGTTTATGCTGTGGTTTATGTGATACAGTTTATTTATTATCATGAGTCATTTTAAGGTATAATTTATCTAAATATGAAATCATATTGTTAGTGATGAATGTGAATGTAAAAGGGACTCCATTTTCCGCACTTAGCCTCTCATTTGGGCCATTGTGCGTTATTGTTAGTGATGAAACAACTTTAACTATAATTTCTTGAATTATCTCAAAGTTATACTATAGATTTTTAAAGTATCAGCGATCTGAAACAGTTACTTTGATTTAAAACTTTCATTAAAAAAAAAAAACATTTAATTTGATGACACAATAGTATCCTAAAACAGTTCATATTTGCAAGTTGTGTAATTAATAGACAGTTTTCTTTGAGAGTATCCCGTATAGACCTTTTATACTCCGTTTCATATATAACAGGATTCTGTAATAACTATGTTGCCTGCCAGTTATTTAATAAATATAATTTAATATTTATTTTTTACATAATGATTGAAACTAATTTGACATAACTGTCTCAGTTGCCAGGAACTAGTGTATGCAATCCACTTTTGCAAAACTATGTCACGTCGCACTCACATACTGAAGTTATGTGCATGACACTAGATTTAAAACATATCGCAGTGCATGTAACATCTAGTTTCATTAAATTTATGCATGCATTGTGGAATTAGAAGAATTGTTTTAGAATACTATTATGAATACATCGAAGTGTCCATTATTCTCAATTAGTTTGTGCCATTTTATGACAAGTTATAATATAATTCAATTCCAAGCCTAACCCAATAGATATTTAAATATACGCTACAGTAACCGTTTACTATTACTGAGTATATATATACTGCGTCCTCAGGAATGGCAACGCATGGGGGTTATCATGGGCGAAACAGTATACTCTGTTATGTCCATGGTACTGCTCATGTCTATAGGCGACGGTTACCACTTTCCATCAGGTGGGCCGTCAGCTTGTTTGCCATTCTAGGTAGTATATAAAAAAAAAATAGACGGGCTGTACGCTTATTTGCCACATTCGTAGTAACGAAAAAAAATTAATACATTTTTAATTAGGATATACTGTATCTGGTATTTACATATCCTTGCTGCTCTTTGTAATGAGAATTGTGATAAAATTTCTATCGTTAAAATTATTGTAATATAGTGAAACGGACCAATAGGACAGTGGCCTAAGTAGTGCCTTTTCCTTGTATTAGAATCTCTAGTTTGTGGGTAGGAAGCATGGAAGTGTAACAATTTGTAGTTGTATAAAACGTGACATATCACTACTTGATAAAATGCCATTATACAGATGTTCCTTATTCGTCATTCAACTCGTGTCCTAAAAAATCGTTTATGTCGATTTTTTTAATGACTAATTCGAATTTAGTATATTCTAATTTCCACATATAAGGTTATTCCTTTCATTTCATTATTTTCCCCACTATTCCATTCCTTGTCTTATAAGTAATATATTTTCGACTGCCTGTCTAAACAGGTGCCGATTCTTTATTATTTTTTTTTTTGTAAATTCGTAATACGAACATAGTAAGATAAAATTGTATTTTATTGTCTCTGCCTACCCTAAAGGGAAACCATCGTGTAGTATGCATGTATGTAAGACAATAAATTTAATATTTTCTTAGGTATATATTTTTTTGTTTTTGTAATATTTTTCAATTTTTTTCTTTTCTCATCGGATAAATTATAGTGAGACGTCATATCCGACTTTTTTACGGACGCTGCAGTTTTATTGTTGAATTTTGGAACAATATATAATATTATATGTATTTAAAAAATCTACGGCTTGACATAAAGAAAAACAATCTACATAATATATTTAAAACTAAACCATGTGTGCTATTTAGTAAGTAAAAATTCACAATGCACTAGACACGAGTAGGTATAATTAATTTAGTGAGAGCTTGCCAGTTATCTAAGTGTTTGAATGGTTTCTAGTAATAAGTGTTCACGTGATATTATTCTGATGTTATTTATGTGCAAAATTAGTTCTAATAGAATGGTTATTTTTAAAAAATAATCAATCTCGTTGCTCTATGAAGTGTTCTAGGGTTCCGTAGCTAAATAGTTTAGGAGGATATAAAAACGGAAGCCTGTTAATTTCATCGTGTCAACTCACATTAGCGCATCAGGCCGTCTGTCTGTAGACATCATATCTTTTAGTTTTTAAAGGATTATGTCGATTGATGTCTCACGTTAAAAAAAATTACTAACGCTTTTTCCATGTATCAATCTTTATCAAATTTACCATTGTTAGGCAGGTTTTATTGTACATATTCAGGAACGTTTATGTATTAAATTTATATGTATGTGTGTTTGTGTGTGTGTGTGCATGTATGCGTGTGTGGTGGGAATTTATGAAAGCGTCTCCTTTTGCACATCGTTAAAAAAATTAACATAAATTTTACAAATACTACTCATAAATATTCTATAAATTTTTGATTCAAGTTTACATTTACCCCATTATCTCTTAAAAGTGCATGAAAGCTAAAAATCTTAACTTTGTAACATGTCTGAATTCAGTATAGTCTTTTTCAATAAATATGAAATGTTAAATTATTTTTCTACACGTCTACGTTGAGAACGAGCTACGAGGGACCTAATTCGATAATTTTATAAGCTACGGAACCCTATCTATTAATGCGTGCCCAAAACACTTCACTCATTTGTTAAATTATTCTTCAATCTAGTCCGTATTAATTAGAACCTTACACTGAATATAATATGTTCGCTAATTGTGTGACTGTCCATTCAACGTTTGTATCTGCTCGACATCTCTGTACTCTGCGCTCTGCTAATGTTCCTTTTTGTTTTCGTGTCAAATATGCATGCTCTGGTGGCGGCCAGGACCTGAACGATGGGTTGTTACACTGATCCAGCCTTGCACAACATCGGACACTGATGAAAATTATATATACATATATGTGTGTATGCTTATACCGCTGTAGATGCTCACTCATACGCTTGCTTACACCATTCCAAGGCCGTAGCTAGGGGTTGGAGGGAGGGGGGGGATTGTGACGCCCTACCTTAAAACTAATGATCCCAAGAAACTAATTCGCTTTTCCGAAGTCAATTATGGCTTTTGCCCTTACCTCAAACTTGGGTCTAGCTACGGCTCTGTACCATTCCATTATTTTATTTTCAATGCTTGTTTACTATATAAAACATCAATTAAACGTTTATTTAAATTATAATAAAGTACACTTGGCAATTGGATTGAACACCCGTGTCTTAGAATATTTAATATCTATAGGTAATGTGGCTGTTTTCTGCATAAGTAACTCTAAAATATCAGTTGTAAATTGGTATAGAAACAATATAATTATTGTGTGATTGAGAAATTTCGGAACGGACGGGACGGTGTTGGATGATGGTGATGGTTCGAATTCCGTCCGCTTCGAATTTTTTCAATCCCTATCTACATTATTATTTTGTAAAATCTGAGTTAATACTATGCCTTAAACAGCCTACGTAGTGTATAGTTTATTTTCACGAATACTCGAAAATATAAACAAGTGAATAACTAAAGCAGCTGTTAAATGTAAAGTAAGAGAATGGAATGAAAAAGTAGATTTTATGCCTGCTAGTAATGCTTTTTTTTCTTTAATTAATTAATTTTACAACAATATAATACTCATTGAATGTATGTATACATTCATTTACATATGCTTCACTGTGACATTTCATACCACATTACACCAATGCAGGTTGTTTTCTCTACTCGTTTTATTTACTTAATTTTTTCGTTGTGAATGTTTTTATGAACATATAGGTGTTTTCATTATTGTGACTTTTTTGACAATTTGACAGTAGTTTTTTTTTTCTTACAAGCATGCAATTGCTGCATAATTAAGTAATCAACTCGACTCTTATACACCGTTAATAATAGTTCAGATGTATAAATATATAATTATATAGCGGCTATCCAGTTTAGAACATTATGTTAAGTAGGCATTGTCTCAAATATGTACGATAGTTTACTATTGTGGGTAAGCATATAGGTGTCCATTGTGATATCGTAGTTATGTATATTAATGTTGCTTTATATACGTGAAGTGGTGACAATGATTGTACTCTGAAGGCAAAATTTTACCATTTTCCCCCCCAATGTATATATGTATGGTAGATGCATATGTCTACATAAATATATAATGTAGATATATCCAAAGACTGTTAGATTAATCGCCTTCTTATAAATTAAACAGTTTCCTATGTGACAATTAATAAAAATATACTTACGACTATTATTAAAAATGAAGTTATTTGATGCTTTTGCCATTTTTTTTTATAATTATTTGCAGTAATAGTGGTACGTTGTAAGAAAAGTAAAATGTACCATTAAAATTTTATAGTCAAATTTTTAAATTGAACGCTCTATCATCTTACTGATCACTTTAAGTTGTCTATTATCGCTCAAGAATTAGTTATATGTATAAGGTGAAATTAAAATCTTTAATCCTTTTTAAAACCAGTGAAACTGAACATGTTTATTTTTTAAACAGTATGAATTAAAAGTTAAAAAAAAGGCAATAGAATTCGAGCACAACTAGATAGCTGAAAGCGTCAAGTTCGTTAAAGAGATTTTTCGTTTTTCGAACCATGTCGCTTTGGGAATAATGTTTAATTTCCCTTGTAGAACAAAACTTTAAAATAATACTATGTATTTTAATTTCATAAAAAGTTGTCCAAATATACATAACTAAAGTCCATATCACTGGTTAATGAATTATTATGGAAGGTTGTGGAACTTCTACTAATAATAATAGTGGTCAATATTTAAATGTTGCCAGTCGCACGCGTACTAATAATAGCGGAATTAAACAAAATAATTCTTATCTACTTAAATATGGAATATAAATATAGCTTCCTCAAACACGAGTGATTAGTTTCATTACATAAAAAGTAGATGCAATTTTTGGGTGTACATATATACCTAATTACCAACATCGTGGGTATTATAATGGTGAAATGTTGCCTGCATTGGTGATGGGCTGGCTGTTCATGCATTTATTGTAATGGTATGTCGAAATACATTCTTTTTAACTAAATATCTGTTTTCTTGCATGTACCTACCTCATTCCTTGCCGTGGCACGAGATATTTCCTATTAACAATTAATATTCGTATATTATGACGCTTTAAAATCGCAAAGCTACAATATTTAAGTACATTTTTTTACTGTTATATTGCGAAAGTCCACATTATTGTACTTAGTCGTTATTGGATTAGAATTATTTTGTTTAATTATTTTTAGCGAAATTAAACAAAATAATTCTAATCAAAGAATTCTAATCAGTACGTACAATTTCATAGTTTACAGAATTATGTTTCCAGACAATGAGGTAGATTTTATAATATTTCTTTAACGTATTATCACAGATTATATACAGAGTGTACCAGAACAAGCAAATATTCCGAATTTCAGAAATGGAACGTCATGAAACTGGATTGATTTCTATACAATACAGCTTAAAACCAGCCAAACAAATAAACGCTTTTGTACTCATATATATATATATATATATACTACTAACTACGTGAAATGAACATTATTTGCATCCTTTTAAGACAGAGTTCTACTAAGGTAAAAAATAAGTAGAAAAATGACAAACTCCCATGCTAATTAATATAGGACACCTGGACACGTGCATGAGAAAGTTAAATATTTTTTTTTAGGATTTTTTTACCTTTATATCTTTGGAAAGAATGATCAATTTCACTAGTAGAATTGTGTTTAAAATTACACTAACGATTTTAATATCATGTAGTAGGTATATCTTCATTAAATTACTAAAAAATAAAATTAAAAAATGTAAAGTATACAGAAAAAAAAAGAGAATAACTTTTTCAGAGAAAAGTATGAGAATTAGTGCCAATTAAACCGTAAATTTGTCCCCAAATACATGATTACTATCCCGTAGTTAATTTATTCTGGTTGTAATATTATCAGTGATTTATCTGCCTATTCTGGTCATACATTCATAAACTATACCTAATGGAATCTTTCTAATATCAAGATGTTATTTATGTACATGTGAAACTGACTCTTACACCAACTTAATATAGATTAAAATCGTAAGTATGGTATTCAATTATTTATCTAGAAATGTATGTTTGCATGTGTTGAATGGAAATGGAAGTGTGTGTTGGGTGATTCATCTCTTGCATTTGTAAAATGATTGGTTCTTTTAATATAAATTTTAAAATTTTGTGTTATTTACGTTACTTACTTCAAAGCGATTTTATAGCAAATTTGGGAAAATAATTATAAATATTACCTATAGAAATGAATAAAAATATAAAATACTTTAAAATGTTTTTGTCAAAACTGAATGAGATTTATTTATAATGAAGGTAAATACGCTTTGCTAAAATTATTTTAGGTTGCTAACTTCATGACTATTCGCTTACAAAAATAATTAGGGATAGGAAACAAGAGTTTTATTCTATTTAATCGAAACGAACTACAGGAATTTATTTTTTATAAATGTAATCATGTAGGAGTATTAGGTATTAGTCCCACATTTGGTATTTATAATAAATAATCCACACAAGCTATACCCAAGCAATTATATAGGACTAAACTCGTAACTTTCTTAGCGTATCCGAGATATTTTAAGGCCTATGAAGAGAAGGCCCTATCTATGCCAAATTCATGTCGATCGGTTGAGCGTTTAAGAGGCAACAAACAAAACTCACTTTCACATTATTGTTAGTAAGGAAGTAAGGATAGATGAAAAAGCCACAAGTTTTCGGATTATTGTGCTAGGACGAGACGGTGGATGCCGCACTTCGGGAGGTGGGCCTCCTATGAGACCTGTCGACTTGGACTGCACCAGATAACCTCCGGACCACGCGCACAGCACCGCTATTGTAGTTTCTACAGGCCATTCGCAAAGATGGCGCTAGTGTCTTCCACAACTGGTGGAAAGTTTCATAATTGTTATACAAAGCATTTTTTGTACCTTGTGTGATAACGATTTTATTTTTTAATATATCTTTAAAAAAATCTTCGCCATAAATATAAAAAAATAGTCTTTATTATAGGTAATATTAATAATAATAAAATATTATGAATAATATAGAAATAGTATACATTCTGTGTACTCTTTTCTAGTAAGGCTACTGGACTGAACAGATTTGTATGTATATTAAATTGTACAACACATGGGGAGTGCCCACCATGAGCGTCTATAGGCGTCTGTTACCACTTACCATCAGGTGGGCCGTCAACAACATTTAATTTTTAAATTGTTATTCAAATACAATAATATTATTGTTTACTTAAAGATATCAGTATATGTACAATTTAATTATTCCCTAAAATTTGTAAGTGATTATTTTCAAACGACCACACATTCCCTACTAACTGCCGTACCTGCATTTGCTATATTTATTCAAAGTTATTTATCTTGTATATGTGTTATCAATGATGGCTTTGGTACCTAATGTTCCATTATATAAGAATCTAGTACCAATACTTATACATAAGTATATATGTACTTATCCAAAAGCATACCAAGTGCATTTACATCCTAGGTGTTTCAACTCCTAGACATAGAATACCTAAAATATGTAAATAAAACACTTTATTCTAGAAGTTATGAGAATCGAAATATGTATTGAATATTCTATTGCAATTTTTACAATATATTAACTACCAAAGCGAGCGTTTATCTTAATTTCAATGTTGAAGGCAAAATGTATCCATATTTTTTTAATTTTTTTTTTCAATTTATTATTATTACTTATTGTTACCTTTTGTTATTTTTTTTTATATTTACATAGTTTAACGTTAGTTGATTCATAAATCCGAATTATTATTGTTCTTTAGAGTGTTTCATTTCATTTTTTATATTACTGATAAAAAGGATTAAAACGTAAAATATATTTTCCATTTAATTTTAGTAAACTAGATTTTTTAATGAATACTTTTTTTATACTAGATTAAGGTTAAAATTTGAGAATTTTGCTATTTTTTCAATTTAAACATAATTTTTTAATTGTATTTTTTGGATGTACAGTAACGTACATGTGTTGATTACATTTTTATACTTATAGTTATCCATCTCATGTAATATAAAAAATTATCATGAGGTTTATTATAAATTTTAATAAATGTTTTATGTCAATAACTCTTTCATTTATAATTACAATGAATCTTTGTTTTAATAAAAAAAAAATATTTTAACTATTTAGGTGGTTACATAAAAAAATAAGTATATTACATATTTATAACTGGACAACGGAATTTCTTTTTAATAAAAAAAAAAAAAAACTATCATAGACAACGTTAAAGGTTTTATACAGCTGACAAGCGATGGCTCGGTCTAACACGGCCACGAGCGACACTGGCTCAGTGATGACCCTTGTTGCAGGAGGAGACACCGCAGGGCTTCTTCGAGGACCACGGGCTCGGTTAGAGCGGCCCGCACCGCACCGCGACTGCCTCGGCGACGTAACGGCATGACATCTGATTATTATGGACACGGAATGCATATTGAAACTTTGGAACGCAACAAATTTTAATTTTAATTGACGCTTAGTTTTAATTTTAAACTAATTACTTTGTATGTTACCCATACAAGACCACAAATAAATTGTCATTGTGTGCATATAAAATAATACTTATTTGTTATCAAAAAACTTTTACTGACTATACCATAGATTTTTTAAGTAAAACCATATGACATATAGGTGTTTATAATATTAAACAAAGCTTAATTTGTTTTTTATGACGTACAATTAATGATATCGTGATATTTTCTAATAACACCTGGGATTATGGGCGTTTACTTATCCCTTTCAGACCTGAACGATACGGGCGTGAGTTGTAACTTGAAAAAATTCTAAAACCGCGCGTTCTAAAATCATTTTTACGCACGAAGCTGAAATAACATGATAGTGAGATTCTAAACCGGCCAATAAGAAATCATTTTAGCGGTTAGGTGGTGCAGTAGTCTCGTGCGTGCCGGCAAGATGGCTTGGCTCCAAAACACGAAAATATATTTAATCTGAAAGAAAAAAGTCTTACGTCTGAAAGGGTTATGACAGCACGGCACTATTTTATCGGCACGATATAATGGATGGCGACGCTTTTATGATTCCGTATACATCCACGATATCGTCGACGGTAACATTATGAAAGCACTATAGGGTTTTTTCACTACTACGCACATGGATATCCGCTGCTTGAGTACAAAGAATTTATATAGTTTTCGATTTTAATTTTTTTTTTTCTTATTAGTGTGTACACTAAAAAGTACATTTAAATAATCAAGTGAATAATATTTTATTTACCTGTTTTCGTTGCAAAGCAGTTGTGCTTGCATGGATATGTTTCGGTTTGAAATTAGTAAATGGGTATGACAAATTACTAGCTACAAATAAATATATATCTTAATCTCTAGGAATAGCAACTTATAAAGAGTTCGATAGGCATCACTGTATTCTATATTGTCATGATGCTGGTTATGTCTATAGGCGACGATTGTCACTTTTCATTAGGCGGACCGTCAGTATATATATATATATATATATATATATATATATATATAATATATAAAAAAAGTAATTTTATTTAATTTTAAATCAGTTACAACCGTTATTTCTCAATGGATATGCCACTTTTTGGATTACATAAAATACTTTTATTCCAGTCATAGATTCCCATACATTTATTACTAAATTCACGTAAATTTACAAAAATCTAATAAAATTATTTATATAATATGATATGTAGAAAAGCTATAGAATGTCTACTTGTGATCAGATCACATAAACTCCACTTGTAAATTTAAATAATAAAATATTAGTATTCTAAAAAAAAAAAACAAAAATTAACAAACGAATCATGCACAGCTGACCAATCAAGTCAATCAAATTATATGTCTATGGTATCAATATACTTATTTAATTATAGAATTCTAAATGTTCGTTCCGAACTTGCAAATTCATATCTTTAAATATGAAAAAAAAAACTTTTCGAATGGAATCTCGTGGAGACCGAAATGTAACTTAAAAAAAAACTTATAAATTGTTCATTCTATACCGTCTTATTCGTAGGGAAAACATGTACATATAAATAAATTGTTAGCGGTGTGCTTATTATAAAACCTACATATCGTCATAGTCGTAGAATACTGACGGATCTATATATGTATACTTCGTCAGATCCGTCAGTATTCTACGACTATGACGATATGACTACATTTCAATGTGCGCTCTGTGTACTTACGTGCCCATTAAGTGGACCTCCTGCTTAAAATCGTTAATACTAGTTTTCATTATTATCATTATTTCAAAACCAATTTAATAGTTATGCTAAGATACGTATAACTATAAATAAGAAATTGTTTACAATATTCGAATAATACTACAATTTAAAAACAAAACAAATGTTTTGAAAAACATTGTCAATAAATTTCTTATCAAGGAGGGACTCTTATTTTTTTTTTTATTTAATTAATACCAAGGAAAAGGCGAAATAATATGGTGAATAGTGGGCTATTGTAATCAGATCAAAGTTGTTTTAGTTCTGCCAGGGCATACAGCATTATATTATCTGTGGCCAGGCTATATAGTACCCGTATATAAAATTTTATTTTATTTTCCTAGAAGTTGTATTTTTACAAAAAAAAATTACCCAAATATCGAAATTTAATTTCTATGTCATGTCTTTACATTTAGTTCCAAGTGGTAATTTAATTTTTAATAAATAAATATTAAGTTCAAAGTCGCATGTATTATTTAAATGTATCGTTTCGTTTAATGTATTATGCTTCCTACTATTACGAAAAAGTATTCGAATTGCAGCTATGTACTTAATTTATAATTGTTTAAGGTTTAATTTATATTTAGTGCATATAAGACCGTAGTAACTGCGTGGTAAAATTCATATTTGTAATGGCTAGATCTTGTTCGAACATTAAAATAGTAAAATAAAATAAAATCATTCTTGGAATTGTAAGTCAGTCTTCCATACATCCTATTTCATCTGGCTTTAGTACTGCTTTAAACAGACTATAAAAATAAATGGGGTTTTCAGATTAAATAACTGGGTACAATTTTTTAGGCAAGCCTAAACAAAATAGACATTGGTACCGATTCTGAGGCGCATATCTCTAAATATTTTCATTTGATAATTTCGTAAAATTACTATTTTATTGACCATCATAAATTAAAAATATAATAATTTTGTCTTAATACTTTTAGAAAATTAGTTCATATTGGTCTTTGCAATAAAGATTTCGCTGTTATATTCAATTAAATGTTATTTTTGAGATAAGTTTAAATTAATGGTGTCTCAGAATCGACCCCATTATAACTTACACTGTATACAGTCCCTAAATCTGTTTGTATCTACGCCATATTTTTGTCTATGTAATACATACCCTAGTAATGGTTTGTGCCAAAAATGTGTTGTCTATTGTGAACAATTGTCGATCTATTTATTATCATAATAGCTAATAGTAATATCAATTGGATTTAAAACTCTTTCCATATCAAATCTCATATCCGAATGTAGAGCTCGTATTCTATTTTCAAAATTATTGTAAAACTTTTCTCTTTTCTCCTATATTTTTTAACTAATTTACAGGCCTAAAGGACAATTACAAGTTTTCTAAGAAAATGAAATGTACACGACTAGATTTATAATTAATTTTGGACTAATAAAGTATTATAATAAATAACACCTTTATCAATTATTTCAACCTTTAAATATTTTATCATTTTAGCGACTATTAACGTAAATATTCTAGACGTTCATTCCATTATGGCAAATATAAGCAGGCAGTCTTGAAATAAGACAAATTCCTACCTAGGATTTGGTCTAAATCCAGTTTCATATAAACCGAACAACGTTGGGATCAACATGGGAGTAAAGTTTGAAAAGGTAATTATGAAAGGTATGAAACGGATCAAAATAAGTGAAGATATCTCATAGCACAGGTAGGTAGTTTTTTTTTTTTTATGGATGGTAATAGAATAGTAAGCCCGCCTGTGTTATCAGTATACGCTGGCGGGGCATCACTGAGGGATGATAGATGAGAATGAAAAGGCAGATCAGTTAGCCCATCGTGATACATACACCTAGAATTCAGCACGATTGTTTCCATGGGGAGCGATGTGGAGGTCGAAATGACACGGTATATTGCTAGCAATAGGACTGAGCATTCCGTGTTAGTAACAATCCTTTACCCCCGGCAAATAGATAGTAAGTATGTAGAACCTTATTTTGGAAGCTGTCAATATCCGAAAGAAAGATATTCTGGGTTAACGCTGTGCATTAAACATAAAATAGGATGATGTATATTGACATGAACCTATATTTCATATAAGTATCAATAAAGGATTTGTTACAATTTATTACATTGACAACTTTATTAATGTATATAATAAATTTAAAGGAATCCTTTAATCATTTATATACTCGTATATGATTAGATTAATACAAAAATAGATATTGCAAAACATCACACCAAAATTATCACGACTGTAAATAAACAGGTATCTTGTAAATACAAACGAATTCAACATTTGCAACAGACTTCAAAAATTAAGAGGTACTCCATTGAGTTGTACTTTTTTTATGTCACCTCAACTTCGTCAGTTGTGAACCAATTTGGAAAGTTCGTTTTTTTTTTGAAAGGGTATACTTAGAAATTGGTCATAGAAATATATTCAATGTCGGTTCAGCTGTTTAATTTTTAAATTAAAATTACTGATTCTACCATAGTTGAAGTTTTTTTTTTTTTGTGGGACATAATCTCAAGTTATTAAAAATTATTTTCCAATTATTAATATTGTCATAATGCTGTAAATAGAAATATATTTAAGACCTCATTTAGCCAAGTCTTAAAGTAACGTAACAATAAAATGTCTCAAATTTTAACATGTTTAAAAAGCCAATGGCTTATTTTATAGAAGTGTTTTATATACATATTCGTACACTAACTGGATCGCCACTATCAGTTACTTTACTGATAACTTTTATTCTTTATCAAACATATTGTTAGATGTTATTTTTTGTTTTCATAATTTTTCCCGAATATTCTTGAGATGTGTGCTGACTATCCAGTCTCGACATTCCTCTACAATCTCCATATAACCTACTACTTTTTGACATTGCCCTTGGTTTTAAAAGATGCCGGATATGCGTTTTCACATAATTCTTGAAGCTCGGGATCTTTAAATATTTCCTGAATGGGTCCCAAGAGTTTATTAATAGCTTGTTCGACAGAAGATTTCAAATCTCCCGGGTGAATATTTTGTTTTGCAAAATCATCTTCTAAGTCATCAAAATTAGAAAATTCAATATCACCTCCATGATCTGGTACTCTAGTAATTTTGAAAGACTCATTAGGTTTTAGCAGTGGGAATACGACATATTTAGTGAAAGACAGCACTCCATTATCTACAATATTTCCAGGCTCACAAAATGCCTTCTTGAGTTTCTTTTTTACAGTCGCCGGATCATCTAATAGATCAATTTTGCTCTCTTCTTCAGACGCAGACATTTTCCCGCCCGTCAGACCTGGTACCATGGGGTTCATAAGATGAACTCGCTTAACGTATCCTAATTGTGGCAAATACTTTTCGGCCAATGTAAATATTTTTCTCTGATCGACACCACCAAACTGAGCGTCGACTTTTAAAAATTCCTCATCTAATGCCTGCAATCCAGGGTACAGCAAACCACTTAATAAAGGGTGATCTACCTGCTTCACTACTTCTGCTCCTGCTTTCCTTGCATCGTGTTCAGTAATAACAGAAGACATCCGGTAAACGTCTAGAGTATATTCCTTGCTTAGTTGGAAATCTGTACCTCTGATAAACTTCAACTTATCTAATGGTACGCCAATGGACTGAAGCATTGCTTTGATTACAGCTTCATAATATTGTGTGCGAAGGTGTAATAAATCCCAAGGCGCTTTCATATTATCCAAATAAGCATGTAAATCAGCAAATAAGATGGTCACCTCGCATCCCGCTTTAAGAAAATCGGCAATCTTACACATGGGAACAAAGTAAGCTATATGTGGACGTCCAGTGGTGGCAGTACCCCAATATACCTTGAGGTCTCTCTCTTTCAAAATTTCCGTCATTCTTTCTTCTCCTAAAACTTCTTGAAGATTACGTACGATAAGACGCTTCTTTTCTTCCCAATTCGTCATGATTGTTTAAATCTGGAAATTCAAAATTAACGGTTCGGAAACATGGTAACAATAAGTGTATTTTTTTTCAAATTAATATAAAAATATTTCAATCTAGCAATTTATTATTATAAATAAAAAAAAATCACATGAAAGGTTCAAAATAATTTTCATATCTATTTCGACTATCGAGACGGATTTAATGGATTATCCAGACAATTTAGCACAAAAGTTTTTGTATGCATGAGATAGAACAACACAGCAATATGCTGCATCTTGTTTTATGTGAGGAAATGAAAACCTATCTCTTGATATATTAATATCCCAATTGTAAACATAGTATAACGGCTACTTCCGTTATACGACTGTTCCTTATAGCAGTCCATAGATTGGCCTATTTTCAGCAGTGAACAGAATAGCTGAAAGGATGATACGTAGTATAGTTTTATCTATAAAGTTTTTACTTACCGTAAGTAATAGTAAGGAAACAAACGTATTTTGATAAAATTTTGTTATATTAGTAAATAAAAAAGGTTTTAATGCAAGTTTTCTGAGACGTCAATAGAATATGAAGAACCGGTGAGTTTTAAATTTTTAAATTCACTATTTTCAGATACGTATTATCTTATCAAAATAAAGTTACTAACAAAATTTATTATCGAAACAGACGTCTATATATCTTAAATTTTTGATACTATTTCGAAGAAATACGTTTATAAATAATCCTAAAGAAAAAAACGGGGAACCCCATAACCTCTAATGGCTAAAGTCAGACAAATAGGCAGGTGGATCTACAAATCATACGTAGAATAGGCCACCCTCATTATTATTATTATTGAAAGACGAGATTTTTCAGACAGAAAAACCTCTGACACCGCCACTTTTTTATGATATCTTGTTTTAGCCCTTTTTTAAGTTCACTGCTAATTCCTATCAGTGATAGGGATTTTAATATGTTTTTTGTGGCGATGTTTTTTTTTATTTCCTCAGGATATAAAGTGTATTTTCCAAAGGAGATATATCGTTTATATATGAGTGAGCTACAGCCACAAATTAAGTGCTGCTAGGTCACCCTTAGTTCATAAAATATAAGTATGTAGGTACCTTTCTGAGCTCAATAGAGGAAGTCCTGACTGGAGGGGGATTGTTAATAATGTTTTAAATCCCCATTGCTAGCAATATACCCTATCAGGTTGACCTCCACGCGGTTTCTCCTGAAAATCTTCGTGGTTAATTCTTGTTGAATTCATCACGATGGGCCAACTGATCTACTTTCATCCTCAACTGTATCATCTCGTATTTTTGCCCTAGCATAGACCGAAAGCAGGCGGAACTACTATTCAATTTCCATCCATTACAAACTAAGTGTAAGTACTTTTCGTTCAAAAATATGTAACAGAATTATCTTACTAAATAAATGTAAAACTTTGTAAAGATATTTTGTTTTTTATTACTCAATCACACTTAAATGACTGTACTAATTTGAATGAAACTTGATATATGGACAGATTATTCCTAACTTTACACATCTACAGTACTTTATATACTGATTCACGTGAACAAAACAGCGGGTAACCACTAGTATAAAATAAAGACTAAATCCCTGCTGACACAAGTATCATTGTCAAGTCCTCGAAATGTTATATTCATATTCCCTGGGTTTTCCTCCAAAACTTACAGGGGCAACACGACACCATACATGTAAAGCCGCAAGTAATGGCAAATTTTTTTACTCTATTAATCCGTGGAGCGATAGGCTCTAGGCTAGCTCACTACACCCATAGTGTCACCGATTTTTGAAATTATCATATTTCGATTAGAGGTTATGGATAAATGGATTTATTACCTACATAAATCTAATGAAAACGACGCTGCAAATTCGAGTTTTGCAACAGATGCTGTTGCATTAGCGCGCGGTACCACATTTTTGTTTGGTACAGCGTATGAAGCATAAACGCTCGAGAGGTTAAGGAACAGAGTCAAATAAAAAAAAAAACCTTTTATAATACCAAAAATATATTTCTTACAAATTCATTCACAATATAAAATATTATGCAATAATTATTTTTAAAGCCGTAAATACATTAAAATATAAGACATTCAGACAGTCTTCAATTTATATTCAATATAATGAACCTTAACATTCTAACGCCAGAACAATGTAGATAAAATATGTTTACCTGCATTGTGGCTGTGAATAATTGATAATTCTTATAATAAAAATAAAATAAAAAGCCTATATTTATTGTTTAGACTTTTCCGATATGTCCGATTTTCCTTCGGGTGTAGTTTTGACGATGGTGGCGGTGGAAGGCGCGGAGGGTTGCGAGGCGGGCGGCGCGCTCGTCGCCGGCGCAGGCTCTGCGATATTCTGCGTGCCCTTTCCCTCTTCTTCCTTCTCTTTCTGGTGTTGCTGATTCGTCACATTCGCGAGGTGCAGTGCAGCCAGCAACGCCGCAATGTATCGGCGGACATCAAACTCTATACCTGTAACAAGTTTTTCTTTTTAATTCTTAAACCACAGTTCTAAATTCAAAACGTCTTGAAGTCCAGACACTCCATTAATTTGATATATTTTAAACAGAATCTCTGTTTGTACAAACTCGGTGTACCAGCAGTAATATTTAACCAGATGCCTTCGAGCGTAGTCGCTGAATGTGGTCTCGTGCTCATCTCAACAGAATATGGCTAGACTCGTCCATACTTTTGGGGTAATGACAAATAAATATTCAGACATCCATGAAACAGACAAGATTAAACTCATAACTGCTAATATGATTAATAGCACCATATCTACTGTGAGCACACTATTGTAAGTCTATGATTACAAACTATATTATTATTATTGAAAGACGGGCTTTTTCAGCCAGAAAAAACCTGTGACACTACGACTTTTCCATGATCTTTTGTGCTCGCTCTTTTTTAAATTCGCTGCAAATGAAATAACAAACTTTCTTGTATCTATTAAGAGATATTATGGTAGTGATATTACTAGGTACTGTAAATTTGACCTTTATACCATAGTAGTCGGCAATGTGCGAGTAAAGCCTTTGATGTAAATGCTTATGGACTGGGACTGTCGCTTGCCATCGAGATCTTAAACTAATAACAGTTTCATTATCTTATCCGGGAATTCACGTCTAGATCTAAGTATAAAACGACAAACATTTAGAACTTTTAAATCTGAGAGCCTACCATGAAATGTTTCCCGAAATTTCGGATCCGAACGAAACAAAAATTTGATCCTAACTTTACATGATACGTACCGTTTAAAAATATTAAAAATGCTAAAATATCGTTCCTTTGAACATTTATGGTAGGATTTATGACAAACGAAATGTTAAGCTCCATTTACAGAGTCGATTTCGGTACGAACAAAACACGAAATTGAGCCCGAAAATTCGGAATTACATTTCATGGTAGACCCCCAGAAGACAGATCCCTCATAGCAGTAGTGTGTAACAAGTGGAGTGATATTAAAAAAAATAAAGTCATATCTTGCTTACCTGAGCTCCTGAGCTCGTTGATCTTGTAAGCAAGGTTGGCCCACACCCTCCTCGCCGCTACCGCGCTTAACCGGCCCACTGTCTGCACCGTATGCAATGCTGGGTCAGCGGTGGCCAATACTATTTCACCTGAAAATAAAAATGCATATATATAGCCATAAAAGGATGTAGGGCTGCAAAACCAGCATACAATCCATCAAATTGTAAGAGACTGGGGGGAATTGTTAGCTTGTTGAATTCGTCACGATGGATAGCTAACTGACCTGCTTCATCCTCACCTATCATCCTTCACTGGTGCCCCGCCGGTGTATACAGATAGCGCGGGTGGGGTTACCATCACATTATTACCCATTAAAAAAAAAACTGTAAGACTACCGCAACCCATGAACACTTGCTACACCATAAGCATCACGCATGCATTTCTGACTTTTGAGACATGGCAATGTCTGGAATATCACTGCTATATCGTTACTTCACTCTTCAAACTGGAAGCCAACTAGTTGTTTAGCAACTTCCGACATACTGACATCAGAAAATAGCACCCTCATAAGAGAATCACCAATATATGTAGACACAGAGGCACCCATCATCATCATCATCATCATATCAGCCGTTAACTGTCCACCGTTGAACACAGGCCTCCCCCTTATCTGTAGTTACTATACTTGGCAGGCGGGTTGACAACTGCAGTTTGGTTTTGGTGATGTTTAAACTTGGACGCTGCTGTCTCGATCATCAAGTTCCCTTAGTCGCTTTTTAAGATACTTACGGGAAAGGAAGGGTAGCCCATTTTATGCTGGGCGAAATCACGATAGCTGACTATTAGCGTTCCATACCAAAATGGTAAATTCACTAGGCCAACTAGCCCGACTTCATCCTTATCTATAACTGATGTTTAACACAACATATACTCGTATCATTAGAATTAACAGGTAACTCCTTTATCTATTAAAAAAAAAAAAAACACCGGAAAATGTATAACAACTCACCGGTAGGCTCAGGCTGAGGGCCGACAGGCGGCAAGTAGTGGTCGAGGAGTTGCATGACGTACATTGCGCCCGTATCGACGCTGTGCAGTGCCTTCTGTCCGTACGCGGTCGACAGCAGCGCGTTCGCCTTTGTCCACGACAGCTCCTTTAGTGATTTGACACGTTGCTCAGCGGCAGTACGCGCTATGCACACCTGCAACAAACAAATCAAGTGGTAATTCATTATCATCACTATCATACCAACCGTTTTCCCCATAAGGGAGATTTCATCAGTGGTTGCCGCGCTTGGCAGGCGGGTTGGCAACCACAGTTTGGCTTTTGGTACTATTTTAAGAGGGATGCTGCTGCCCATCGGTCGACCATTACGATCCCTTAGTTGTCTCTTACGACATTCTCGGCAAAGGTAGGGGTGACCCATTTTATGCCTCAACCATACAGCGAAACACAAGTGTTAATGTCACAATAACAATAAGATCATCCATCAAAATCCCAACCCGTTCTGTTGATGAGCGGTTATAACGCAGCCAATCTGGATGACTCGTAATACAACTGTCTTAGATGCGTTACTATTAGGTAATGAATTCTATTTTTTTTTTTTTTATACAACTTAGAATGGCAAACAAGCTGACGGTTCACCTGATGTAAACTGGTAACCGTCGCCTAAAAACATGAGCAGTACCATGAACATAACAGAGTATACCGTTTCGTCCATGATACTCCCCATGCGTTGCCATCCCTAAGGACTCAGGTGTTATTCCTCTATACTATGTAAATTCACGCCATATCCCACCCTTCAAACCGAAACACAGCCATGCAAACACAACTGCTTCACGGTTCAAACACGAATGGGACACAGGTACCCAAACAATCGACTTTTGTACAAAGTCTCTCTCTGGTAGGTTATTAGGTATGTAGGTAATTCATTAAATGTACTCTTAAATACTGCCCGCATAGCGTGCCGGTTACTTCTATAGGATATTGCCGACTCTCTATTCTCTTCCTACTCAGATGCAGGAATTTTCAATAATAACAGTAATGTACCAGACAATCAACAAATGTACAACAAAGCCTATAAGATATCCAGCTAAGAGAAATGTAAAACAAAATAACAAAAATTTAGAATCACAATCCAGAATACACAAACTAAATTCAAATTTGAAAAAAATCTTTTCCTATTATTCTATTATTATTACCTGGATATGAATCAATCCCGGAAAGCCCACGTGCTTAGCACTATACCATGGAGAAATCGTCATAGTCGTAGAATACTGACGGATCTGACGAATATTACATATATAGATCCGTCAGTATTCTAAGACTATGACGATATAGTAATAAGGATTGTATTCCAAAAAAAAACCGACATTAATTATCGACTTAAAACCGGTTATTTTGATTTAAAAACTAAATTATTACATCGATTTCGATAATATTACTGTGGGACAAATCTGTAAGTATATCCTTTCAAATAAAAAAAAAAAGATTTCCAAATCGGTTTACAACTGACTGTTTTTTTTTATACCACTGAGGTGGCAATCAAGCATACGGCCCACCTGATGGTAAGCGGTTACCGTAGCCTATGAACGCGTACAATACCAGAGGTATTACGCGCGCGTTGCCGACCCTGAAGAAACCTCTTTAACCCCCTTTTAAAGAACCCCATGCTAAGTACACTGATAACAAACATAAAAAAAATATAACCAAATTGAGTACCTCCTTATTTTTCAAATCTTTGAAAAGCTTATCTATACTTATAATAAATCTGTAGAGAGGTCAATTCTGTACATGAAATATATTTCCAAAATAACTATCAGGGGGTGATTAGTGATCGATACTGATGCCAAAAATGCAATTAGTAAAATTTATGTTTGTCCCGTCTGTCTATCTGTCTGTATGTTCGTTATAGAAACAAAAACTACTCGACGGATTTTAACGAAACTTGGTACAATTATCCTCTATACTCCAGGGCAGGTTATAGTATACTTTTCATCACGCTACGATCAATAGGAGCAGAGCAGTGAAGGGAAATGTGTCTGTTACATCAAAACCACTGAACCGTGAGGAAGGACATAGGCTACTTATTGTACGAAAAACGACGGAAACGCGAACGAAGTCGCGGGCAACAGCTAGTGTATAATAAAAATCGATTTACAATTGGTAAATATAATATAACATAGGAATATTTTATGTTTAACATTTTACCTTGACTAGATGATTAATGTAAAAAACAAGACAATAGTAACAAATTATTTGACATATAACTACTGTTTATTTGACTGTGGAATACTCAAATAAAATTAAAAAATAGGCCTCATTATTTTTCTTTGGTTATTGCCTCTATATTTTATTGTATTATTTAGAAATCGGGCTTGCCTGTCATACTATAAAAATTCTTATGAATTATGTTGTTGAGACGACGAAGTCTGTGGAAATGTCTATTTCCAATAACTCGGTTATAACTGACAAAATGAAAAAATTAAATTATCTTATATATTATAATATTACGATGAAGTTGACACTGTTCATTGCAGAATTAATTTATTATAATTTATTGTTATTATTATAGTTATTGGATGGTTGTAATATTCAGGTTAATGTAATGATTTTTGTATGTTTATCCCTTATTTCAGACACAGTGTACATTGTTTTTTATGACATAAATGACTAATGACTAATAAACACAAATACAGTAAATTAAGACAAAAATGATGGGGCGACATATTAACCTAGTACGTGCAGTGCTAAATTAACAATTATAACATTGCTTAGTAAACCAACAATTTATTTATTGCACTGCATGCATAAACATAAATTACATTGTGTTATCTATACACATGCGATAAATTGAATGATTTATCGATTTATCAAATTTTATCAACGTTAAACAAATCCTTTATTGTAAAGGGCTTATATTAGACTTTAAATGTGTAATGCAGTCCCCTCCCTCCCCCTCGTTCATTCCTGATGCACTGTTGCTATCGAGGCCATATCGATGTTTAAAATGTAACAAAGGCTGACGAGATCTAATTAAACAAATTGTCGTCAGCTTATTTGCCATTCTAAGTAGCATAAAAAAAATACAAACTATTCTATATAACTGGAGTTAAAATGCTGTTTTTTCCTCGTAGAACTACTATTCTTAATCCATGTGAGAATTACTACATTGTTTTTTTTAGTATCCCAAAAGGACACCCAAAAAGATACCTACAGATAATGTGAATTTAATCAAAAATTGTTTACTAACTTAAGATTGCAGAAGATGACATTATTAGTCAAAGGACGATGTTTATAACTAAACATAGATAAAGTAAAAATTTGTGTGAAGATGAGTTTTTTTTTTTTTTTTATGGATGATAATGGAGTGGTAGCCCCATCCGCGCTATCGGTATACACCGGCGGGGCACCAGAGAAGGATGATAGGTGAGGATGAAGTAGGTCAGTTAGCCCATCGTGACGAATAAACAAGAAATGTTCACGATGGTTTCCAGGGAGAACCACGTGGAGGTCGACCTAATAAAGCATATTGCTAGCAATGGGGCTGTCAAACTCCATTGCTAATAATCCGTTTCCCCCCCCCTGTGAAGGTGAGTAAATTTAAAGACAGGCATAACAAAATATGCGATATAAAATAATCGCTTATAACATACGTACATACTTGAGGGTAATTATAAACGCAATGCAAAGTATGTATGCAATAAGTAATGCATGAATATATTAATGTTCAGAAAGGAAGTACTTCGCTTCTATACACGCTTACTACCTATAAGGTAGTCTGAATAGAAGCAATCAAGCAAATGGCGCGATTTCTAATCTATGCCTGCAGATACTGATAGACAGTTAAATATAATATTTATTCCTACCTTAATTAAAAAAAATATACAAATATATTAAATATCAGTAAATTACGTAAATCTATGAAAGAATAATTCTATGAAAATTTACTTATTTAGTTTATTTCTAATTACTTTATTATTATTATTTCATTGTAAACCCTGAAGAAGTTGTTGTTGAAGTTGTGAATGTTGGGTTCGATTTGAAGGGTGAGTTATGGCAGTGAATTTACAGAGGAATAACACCACGAGTCCTTAGCAATAGCTGGGGACGCATGGGGGGGGGTATCATGGGCGAAACAGTATACTCTGTTATGTCCATGGTACTGCTCATGTCTATAGGTGACGGTTACCACTTTCCATCAGGTGGCCCATCAGCTTATTTGCCATTCTAAGTTGCATAAAAAAAACAAATTTAGAATGTATTTAATTAATAAACGTAGACACCCTCCACTGGTACCCTGTCATTGAACATGAATGAATGAATGAGTATACTTTATTTGCATTATACAATCTAGGAAATAAGCAAGACAATTAACAAACACAACGATACAATTGTATAAGTACAGTAAGGCGGTCTTATTGTTGAGAGCAATCTTTTCAAGACAACCTTAAGGTAAAGGACTAATTGTTGTACAAGTAGGTATCATAGTACTGTATAATTAAAAAAGTATAATAATATAAGCAAGTGTTACTCTATATTTATTTTTTGCACTCAAAATGTAAGTTAATCATGTACCCACAGTCGACTGTAATTGGTTCTAGCCAATAAATCAAAAAAAGGTTGAATATTCGATAAAAAAATTTGAATTTAGAATTTACTATCAGGGCGGTCTTGTAGTTTTGTTTTTATATTATTATTTTTAGGGTATCTGCTGTAAACAGTAGATAAGCATGAAAACTTTTATTCAGTCCGGTTCAATGCTCAGTTTCGTCGTAAACAAGTCGCCTACCGTCATTACAATCTTATCAGTCGGTCGCGAGCCTATCAGCAGACATCCTGCTTCATTTGTCGTCGGGCACATTAGGTATTTGACATTGTAACCTGTCCTAAAATATGATATAGTAATTTATTTGAGAAATTATCAAAAGACATATTTTAACATCTTTTCAACATATTTTAAAATTACACTGCTCCATTAGGTATGTAAATCCTAGTGAGGAAACAGTATTTTTGGTAATAATCACCTATAGAATAGGTAGGTAATTTCAAACTCTTGAAAATAATGTACGTATTTTTGTATGGGAGTTCTCAATGTAATCGCAATTTTGTGTATATGATTGTATACATAAATATACAATTCATTTGCAATGTAGGTACTAATTGCTAATACGAACTGGATTGTGAAGTGCCAACACAAAATTATGGAAGACATGAAAAGAATAGATTCCTTCTAAAAAAAATGCGTAAAAGAAAAAATCTACACTGACTTTGACAATTTATAAATATTATAATAAGTACTTACATTTCATGTTTTAAAAACAAGATATATATTAAATTATTCTAAAAGAATTAACATTTGTGTATTCCCAAAAACGTACGGCCCGGCATAGAATAGACCGACCTTTCCATTCTCGTAGGTGTCGTAAGAAATGATTAAGGGAACTGTTCGTCAAGGGATAGGCTGCAGCGTTTCTCCTAAAACGTCACCAAAGCCTAATTGGGGTTGCCAACCCTCCTGCCTACCGTAAACTACTGGCAATCCCCCTTCCCCCCTTATGGGGAAGGTCTATGACCAGCAGTGGACAGTTAACTGCACATATGATGATAATTCTACAAAGCTCCATGGTACTGCTCATGTCTATAGGCGACGATTACCACTTTCCATCAGGTGGGCCGTCAGCTTGTTTGCCATTCTAAGTTGTATAAAAAAAAAAAAAAAGCAGGTACTTATATAGATATTAATTATAATATAGTAATGCTAATCAAGATTAATAGTATTGCTAATCAAGATTAAAAAGAACTGTATGAGGTAGCAATTTTTGATAACTACTTATACTGCAATATAGAATAATAAAATATAAAATAATTTAGAAATCAAATTCGACTCAGCAGGTACGTTTATACTTCGCCCGAGCATACTTTTCTATTTTTTACGCCAAGCGCTTTGTGGGGTGGATTGAAAAAAAAACAATTGACAATACTAATAATCAGGGGGCAAGGGATTGTTAGTAATGGAGACTGAGAATCCCATTGCTAGCAATATACCCAAACCAGGTCGACCTCCTCGCGGTTCCCCCTGAAAACTATCATCATTAATTCCAGATGAATTCATCATGATGGGCTAACTGACCTGTTTTTTTTTCATCCTCATCAATCACCATTCACTGGTTCTCCGCCAGCGTATCCCGTTAGCGCAGGCGGGGTTACCATTCCATTTTTTCCAATAAAAAAAATACTAATAATCAATAGTTATCCTGCAGTTGGTATGTACATATCTACCCATTCACAATGGAAGCGTTCAAAACAAAATTGTAAGCACGCTACGTGATTCTGGTCACTGATCGCACGCCATTGTGACAGTCGTGTCTCGTCACAGCGATAATGTTACACATCCTGCTTGTACGAACTTTGAACTGGAGCACAAGAAATAGCTATTCTAAAATGTTATGTTCATCTAAACTAATATTCTGTTAATATAATAAAGAGGAAACATTTGATTTTATGTTTAGAATGTATAAAATAAAAAAAAAAAAAAAAAAAACAATTTTAAAAATTAGAACATTATGAGCTATACTATTGACTATATTATTACTCATAAGATAGCATTTATTAAAAAAAAAATAGTGGGAAGACGGGTCAGGTTGCCAGATATAAATACTCCTATGACACATTTGTGTATACCTGACTTATTTATCAAAATTGATTATTCTACTAAGAATTAATAAGAAATTACTCGATATATATATATATATATATATATACATATATATATACACTAATAAACTTATACTGTCATTGTCCCTTTTATTTTGTAATGATTATTATATTTTTCGATAAACCGACAAACTACGGACAATAATAGTTACAGCTATTACGAAACAAGTGAATCTGGATCATTGACAAGATTAAAGCAATAGGGACGACAATGTCATATTATTAATTAACGAAATAACAAATAAACAAACTCGTTAACTTATTGCGTAAACTAATGTATCTTCAATAACAATTAGTGGGGAAGATTGTCATGTGGTACCACATGCCAATTTCTACAACATAACATCTATAAAATTACCCATTGGAAGTTAGTTCTTTAAAAATGTCATGGGAAATAATTTTAGATTATAGTCTACAAAAAAGCAGACTTTAATGGTGGCAGAAATAAAAATTTTGATTTAAAAAAATCCAGTTATTTCGGTTTAAGGACTTTTTTTTAACCAATTTTGATAAAATTTCTACCTTTTAGATAAATAAAAAAAAAACCAAATCCGTCTATAACTGACGGAGTTGTGGGGCAACAGACATTAAAATAAAAATATAACCAAATTGAGAATGTCCTCATTTTTTGAAGTCGGTTGAAAAACACATACCTAATAGGCACCGATACAAAATCAATTAACACAAATACCATTTTACACTGTGACGATTTATGTAATTTTTAAGTACTATTTCAAATAAAAGATATCAAGTACCAAGAATACTAAAGTAGTATACCTAGTATAATAAAACGGATTATGAAACGTAACGATATGCATTCTTGAACAAAGAGCGATTTATTTATTTCATCATCATACCAGACTTTAACTGTCCACTGCTGAACATAAGCCTCCCCCCCTCCCCAGGGAGGTTTTACCAGTAGTGCTACGCTTGGCAGGTAAATTGGCAACCGCAGTTGCCTAACGGATTGCCTTTGGATATGTTTTAAGACGGTCGGTGCTACCCACCCCTCACCCTCCCTTTGTCGCCTCTTACGACACCCACGAGAAAGGAAGGGATGGCCTATTCTATGCCGGAACTATACGGGATTTATTTATTATCCATTATAATGTATAATCCCTTATTCATCCTTACATATATTATAAATGTGAAAATGAGTTTAAAATCTATTTATTTTGCTAGAATGCAGGTAATTTTTAGAAAAAAGTGGTTTATATTACCCGTAAACCGACATAGACAGCGGTGTTACTACAAACTGCCATCAGGAATGGTCTAAAGCCACCTGCACCCCTTGATTACAAGCAACACATTCAAGGTCGTCGCTCCATCTAATCAAGGTTCACCTTACACTCCATTTGTCCATACGGGGGTCGGCATTTATAAACCCTTTTTTTTACTACGGATAGTCAATACTTCCAGCTATCTGGCCAGTCCATAGCTACTTCAGTTTGCCATAAAAGTTTGTCACTCACCTTGTTTACATGTGGTGAGATTCTTGACATCACAGCCTGTTTGGTTGTTTCCACGATGACCTTCGGCTCCTCGGTGACCAGTGGGACGCGACGCTCCAATTCGTCTATGGCAGCGACGATCGTTGCGTCTCCAACAGCCAGTGGTGCGGAGACATATGGTACTGCTTTCAGCGCAGCCATGGTCATGTTGTCCTCTACTAATGTTAGCGCCCAGTCTAAGAGCGTGTGTGCACCTATGAAACAAAACATATTAGTTTTTAATAGGCCTAAAAAATAGAAAGCTCTTAATTTGAATGTATTTTTTAACAGAGTTCGAACAGTACTCTACAAAATGAAAAACGGTGGAAATTAAAAACCTTTGAATTTCAACAATATCGTAAAGAAATGTTTTTATTTTCAACTGACTTTAGAAAGGAAATTCTCAATTTGATTGTAATTTTTTTTTTGTTTGTTACCTCAGTGTCAGTTCTAAACAGATTTAATTTTTTTTTTATCTGAAAGGATATATTTACAGATTGATGTCATAGAAATTTTATCAAAATCTGTTCAATAGTACAGTTTTTATATCAAAATATCTGGTTTTGTCACAATTGAATTCAGGTTTTTTTTTTGTGGGATACAATCTTTAATTCATGTCACAATATCTTTCACAATTGTGTTATTTTAATTAGTTTTATTTTTTTATCGAAAGCAAATTTTCTATGAACATCCTATTAATATAATAAATGCGAAAGTTTGTAACGATGGATGGATATTTATTACTTTTTCACACAAAAGCTAGTGAATGGATTTGAATGACATTTGGTACATGAGTAGATTATATTCTATCTTAGCACATATTCAGATTCAGGGACATATTACATAGGATACTTTATATATTAATTCACACAGGTGAAGGCAAGGAATACAGCTAATAATAGCAGTGTCTAATAATTGCCCTAAAGTAGGTACTAATGTCAAAAAAACTAAATAGACTAGCTGACAAAAAAAAGGTACTTATAAACTTTTGTACAAAGTCTCCCTCTGGTTAGTATCCACATATCCACAATACTTATTATGGTACAGAGATCCATATCAATAAAGACTTATTTTCCATGGTACCAGAGATGAACTTATATCCCTATACAAATTTCAATATTTTTTGCATGAAAGAATAACAAACATTCATATATAGTAGTAGGATTTTCCCCCATTGGAAGTATCTAAATTTTATCCCCTTCAAAGTACTCCCCCTGTGACATAATGCACTTGTGCCAACGCCGTTTCCACTGTGAGAAGGCTCCTTGAAAGTCCTCTGGTTGTAGGTTTCTCAGCTGCCCCGTCGTAGCTTTTTTTATCTCATTTATGTCCCCCAAATGCCGCCCCCGAAGTACCAATTTGGTTTTTGGGAACAAGAAGAAGTCACACGGGGCCAAATCCGGCGAATAGGGGGTGTTCGGTCACCGTAATGGAATTTTTACTCAAAAACTCACGGAACGATCTTGGCGCAAATTTTTTCATTTGAAGTTCGTTTCTTAGAATTTCGTGGACCACGGTTTTGACCAAATTAAGCTATTCAGACACATGTCTGACCGTTAAACGACGGTCCCCATTAACAAACTTTCCACGTTTTCGTCGGATATATAGTGGGTCATCTTGAACGCTAATCTTTTTAGGTGGATTTTTCCTTCACAGCATCATCCCCATAAACTGTTCTGAGATCGTAAAAATTTCACGGCCATTCTTGCCGATTTCGATATTACGACGCGCTGCTCTTCAACGGAAGCGGGCTCCATGCCGACGGGGTTTCGTTAAGAGGTAACTTCACAGATGGCGTGACAAGCCAGTTCGCACCGCAGACCAGAACTGAAGCATTGTTAACATAAGGAAGGGGTCCTGCGCTTACCTGGCCTCCCCACTCCTCTTTCTCGCATTCCAGAACACTTTTATACGAACTTTCCGGACAGACCTCGTATAGTATCATGAGCATAATTCAGCATTGAAAAAACCATAAATAGTATAAATGAGATGTAAATTTGATGTGTAGATATAAGTCAGGTATGTAGAAGTCAATGTAAGAATGTAACATGCAAAGTGATGCAATATATTCTTTAATCATTTATTGGGTATATTATTACTAGCAGGATGTATTTACTGCAACATTGAATAACAGGAAACATGTCATTAATATTCTGAAGGTTACTAACATATAATTTAATTATCTTTAAAGTTTTAAATTGTTACAACATAAGTTGAGGGTAGATACAAAATTAATCATCATAAGTAATATTAATCATCTATACTAATTAGCAATTATGATTTTCCCAAATCTCTACTGCTCAGTTAAAAACAAAATCTGATTCCTAATTCTCTAATTTTATTCTGATTTGTAAACCATTGGTCTGCCATTGGTGTAATTTTATTTGACAGATATAGATATAAAATTAGAACATAGAAATTTACAATTCTTAATCTATAAAATAGAAACATTTTTTTTTTAATAAATATAAATAATCTGTGTAAGTCTTCCTCTGACTCACTTATTAATTCTGCTAGTAATTTTTTTTTCAAATAATAAGACTGAAAATGTTAAGTACTGCAACGAAGATCTAAATACATGAGGGTTGCCAAGAGACATGTGATGCTTCTGATATAACAAATATGGCTGCAATGGGTGGTTATCATCAGACAAAACAGATACTTATCAGCGTGACCATTTGTGACAGATTGCTGCCATTTTGCCAAATTTCACTCCTACATTTTGTCTGTGGCAGATCATGCTGATGATTTACAAAAGTGGCAGATTAAAGGATTTTAAGATAATTCACATATCCTAATTTGAATTTTGAATATAGACATTTTTTAAAAACCAAAATGACAGGAATCTGCCTCAAATGGCCACACTGATACTTATATACCATAAATAGGCAACAGTTACCACTTTCTATCAGGTGGGCCATAAGCTTGTTTGCCATTCTATGTTGTATAAAAAAAACTACCTTACTTAAAAAAAAAAATTACTTACCCTTAACTTTTGTGTACATGGCTCCGAATTGGCCAACAGCTGCTTCCACTGTTGGTAAAGTCATAGCCTTCTGAAAACATTGTAGCTGTGGCATGGTAGCTGCTGGTGGTGCATTAACTTCTGTAGCCATCTAAAAGAAAAAAAATATATTTAAAAAAAAAGAATACACTAAGGTTCAAATTTAGTATCTTGCTTTTCGTTTAAATTATATTGGAGTAATGAGGGTAGATAGTAAAAAATAAGAGCATGCCCGGATCAATAAGAACCATTCAGAAAATTCTAGTACCTAATTAGTAACCATTGCCACCCCTATGGTTTGATCTATAAAACTTTAATTAATTAAAAAGGCATAGAGGTCACGCTGAAGAGATTTCGTAATCGAATAAAGTAACAAAAATTTACGATATTAAAATACACGTACCTCGATATGTATCGTAATTACAAATTACAAATATATAAATTGTAAAAATTCTGTGTTAATTATTTCAATATTACACAAACGACTTATTTTACACTGCGCGATGTTTAAAACTAATTTCGAGCGACGTGAGTCCGTTCTATATATTATAAAGATTAGATAATAAGTAGGTAGACGAGAAATTCTTCTCAAATAGAACACGACTGACCACGCTTATTCTGACTCACTTTATAAAACAAATCAACAGGATGAGCGGATGATATTGGACTTTGAACGAGTTGACGCAAGAAAAACAAAACACAATTGTGCAATAGACAATGTTGCCATGACCCGAAGCTCAAAAGTAACAATTCGTTATACAAAAGGTAAAATTTTTGATGCATAATTTATATTTTTTTTTACTTATCTTTGTAAATATTTGTAAGAATCATTAAAAAAAATTGAATTTCTCTCTGTTATTACAAGATTACATTTTACACGGTTACGCTTTTATGTTAATAAAAACTGTCACATTAATAATAATAAGTAACTACATCATATATATTAATTTATATTCATCATATTCATCATTTATATTCAATATAAATAGTATAAATATAAATTTTTGAATATACTACTGTGATACAGTTATCTTATTTTAACGTAAGTCATTCCATATAATGTGGACTTTTCTATATTTTACAATATGTATTTGTATAACAAGTAACACCTGCGTTCACGATTAACTTAGTATCTTATCATTTCGTACTTTGCTTTGGCAATAATTTTTGTTACGTTAAAAAATTTAAACACACTAAAATTTATGAAAAGTTCATATAAATTACAAAAGATGTAAGAAAAATAATGTGATCGTATAGTAACACTATGCACGTTGCCAGAATATAAACTTTTTAGTATGTAAGGGTTACCAGTTTGTAAAATAAGGGGTTTTTAAATTTTTACGAAAGGAACCGAGCAAACATTGTATTACAGTAACACTATATAAATTGGACCACGTCTTTCATTTGGGCCACTGTGCGTATAAACCTGTTGCGTATAAACCTATACCTAAGGTAATGATTAACGTATAGAAGAAAGACAATTAGACATTGATCTGTGAAACGAAGTCGAAACACACTAAGGGCATAAATTCAAATTTTTACAGCACAGAAACATAAACATTTTTCGTACCTAGTTAAAAATAGCATATGAATCAACACAAACATATTAATTATCAGTATATAAAAAAAAACATTATTTTGTACAAATATACGCCAGCACTCAAACAGGGGTTAAAACATAACTAAAACTAAAAATAATAAGAAAAGGACTACAAAATTAACTAAATACGTACAAAACAATATCAATAAATGCATTAATAATTAATTACAACAGTCTCAGCAAAAATGTATGTGTGCGTGCGTCGCAATAATCAAAATAATTCATCAAAATCCATCCAATTGTTTTTAGAAGATACCTACGTATACAAACAAAATATAACTGTATACATTGATGTTTTATTGCAATTTTATAGACAGACAGGTGCATGAGAACCGGATCCAGAATGGTAGATATACCTACATCTATTTTGTAGATATGGGTAGGTATATAATAAACGCAGTTACCTTGCTTGTGCAGTTTTTAAAGTACATAAAAAAAAAAAGTTTTAAGTTCACCTGTACCTTACTACTTATACCTTATACTGTATTGTATTCATGTATATGATAGGTATGCGATATTATAAGTGTATAGAGTTATAAAAGAGTATTTTAGTCTATGATTCTGAACCGTTCTCTAAGTACATGGAGCGTTCTTTATTATTATTTCTGTAGTCAATAAAGTTTAAATTCGTGTTAATATCACATTAATTTTTCGATGAAAGTTGTTCTTTTTTACAGAGAAAAAATATTATCAATTCAGAATGACTCTACTAGTTGAAATGAGGCATCACGTGAAGAGCTTTATTTGCATATTCTATATTCGGTTTTTAACTATTTTTGTGCCAAGTATTTTTGAAATGTATGTGATAAACAAATGTGGAAAATAAATGTCTCTCCCCTTATCTCCGAAGTTTGAAACGAGTGTTCTCAAATAATAACAGTATATGTACTGCATATGTATATTACAGGAAAAGAAAACGTTTGTAATTATTTATTTAGTATTTATTGGATATATATGATTTTTCAATGGATGATAATGTAATGGTAACCTCGCCTGCGCTAACGGTGTACGTTGGCAGGGCACCAGTGAGGATGATAAAGCAAGTCAGCCCATTGTGACGAATTCAACGATAAATTAGTCACGATGGTTTCCAGGGGGATACCGCGTGGAGGTCGACCTGATAGCAATGGAGTCTAAGCTACCCATTACTAACAATCCCTTATCCCCCAGAGGAGAGACCGAGTAGGCCGTGTCCACCCTAGAATGCAAGAGAAAGACATTTCTTCACAAAGACATATATATCTTAGAGTATTTATGTGTAATTTTTAAAAGGCCAGCTCCCCCTAGTAAATTATTTTAATTACGCCATTGATATGAAATCATCAAAAACGAAGTTATGTGGTCCAGTTCCTAATTAAAAATATGGCCCAGAATAAAAAAAATGCAATAAATACATAAAATAATACATTAGGTAATTTTAACAGAAGTTATATTGTTCTAAAATAATATTATACATGTATGTACAAAAACCTCGGCGTTTAAATTCGTTTACCATTTAACCGATTTCATTTTAAGATGTTCCAAAAAAAAATTACCGATTCGACTCATCTGCACTGTGAAATCACATGAAATAAAATAAAAATTATCTACCTACACCTAGCATTATCTATCTACCTATTTATAAGTATAACAAATTTCATTTTACAATTCAATAATTTAAATGTAATATAATATTATGTACTTATCTAAGAAACGTCTTTAAAAGCTTTTACATTTTCTATTTTTTTTTTTTTTTTTATTTATTAAAGGTATACACAACAGGTTAAAATCAATAACATTATAAACATTCTATAAAGATAATAGATTGAACTAGATTGAGACCCAGACAGGTGTACACACAGCATGGTTAAAGCAGTTAGCAATGTTAAATTATAAAGTTATATAAAGAAAGCATATGAAATTGGTAAAAAAACAGTGAAGTACACGCAAATAATAAAAATATATAAAGATATGGACATGTCAAAGAGACTTGATGGCTGATTGTAAAATGCTTTTGAAGGTGTTTAGACGTAAGTTGAAGATATCAATTTGAGGACATTTCATTTTCACATTATTAATCATTAATCCTACCGAGTTATCAAATATTTGTAGCCACGTAAGTCACAAATATATATGTTTTGGTTGGTGGCCAAATGCCACACGCCAAGTCAAGCCAATGACGAACATCGATCGCATAATTTGTGGAGCGAGGCCAACATACTCATAAACAAACATTGGATAGGCGCCCGCACCTGATTGGCTGCCGAGCTCAGTAACGCCGGTATTCTAGAAGTGTTACACGTAACATTTGTTTTGATTTCTTTACTTTCACTACTCTACTAACAAACATAATGGCCTGCTGGACCAATGACGCAGTGTTAGAATTTTTAAATCTTTATAGAAGAGAACAACATTTATGGGACCCAAAACATCCGTTACACAGAAATAGAAGTGAAGTCGCAAACGCGTGGCTCAGAATACAATCATCTCTCAGTATGAACTACTCGGTCGTTGATCTCAAAAAGAAAAAAGAGTCCCTAATGACATCATTTAGAATGCACTTTAATAAAAAAAAGAGATCACCGGAGGCCTTTCATACAACTTGGTTCGCTTATCCACTAATGGAAAGTTTTCTTGGCGGGAAATATGAATGTGATAGTACTAATCAAAATATGGAACATGAGGTAAGAAATTATACAGAAACTAATTTAGAATACCTAAATAATAAACTACTTTTATGATAGGTAGGCACATATTATTTGTGTGAATTTAATGATAAATAAATAACATTGGTTCAAATATGCGGCGCATGTGTGGTGGTTGTTTGGCCCGTGATAGATATTGGTCGGTTTTGTCCCAACTTGTTATGGCGCAAACTCCAACGACAAATATTCGACAAAGCTTGCAAGGGCAAACTATTGGTCATAGACATTACGAACTGCGGTGGTGTGAGGTTTTATAAGATTAGATAAGATTAATTTTATACCGGTAATATTGGGGCATTAAACGATGTTAAATAATTTTAGGTACGTGCTTACTGATTCTAATTGGGTTTTTTATATTACGTTATTAATAACAATAACCTACGTAATTAAATTGTTATTATTATCGATTTTATAAAAGAGAAAAAAAAAATAAAGCAATATTTGATAAATTCATATAATATAAACATACACATTAATGTAGTAGGTATTTAACTATTTAACGCTCAGGTTACGGAATTAGTTCCCTGTTGAGGTTTTTTCCAGAGACTACAGCATGGGGTTCTTTAAAAAAGGGGTATATTCTCTGATATTGCAGGCGTTCATAAGTAACTGCTTACCATTAGGTGAGCCTTATGCTTGTTTGTCACCTCAGTGGTATAAAAAAATTTAAGGTATTTATTATTACTGAGCACTATAAAACGTAAAATAAGCAGACCTATATACATTATTATTGTCAAATACAAATAATAGATTTTAAAGATTTTTATGAAGATATTTAATTTCTCATTTTCAGTTTTACAATAACGTTTCGACATACACACCAAACGTGAACGTACAACAACCAATAATTGACGTCAACAGTCGAAGCATGCCTGTAACGGAACGCACCAACCTTGGCAGCAGGCAAAATAAACCGCAAACAAGCACACCAACCACAAAAACCCCCAATACTGCCGGATTAGTGTTTGTGAAGAAGCAAGAGGACGAAGAGGCTGGTACCTTGAGGAATGCAGGAGACGAGAGGACAGATATGGACGAGTACGACCTATACGGCCAGTTGTTGGCCAAAAAACTAAGAAAGTTGGACGAACACCAGCGGGACGTAGTGATGCACGACATAGACAATATAATGTTCCGTGCAAAAATGCAAAGTGGCTCCTCACAAACCAGGAGCTACTCGTCTTCACCGTCCCCCGTGCCCAGGAAGGTGAAGTCGCCAATATTCATAGTGGCGCAGCAGTCTCACACACAGTATGAAGATGAAAACACTCCGTACCAGGATCATATGCAGCCGCAGCCTCCTTCTTAGAGACAGCTTGCTTACTGACACGATGGTACATTATTGTAACAGTGTTGCAAGGCACAGCACTTCGCTTAGGAAGTTCCATTTTTTTAATGGCTGAGAATGGAATGGTTACCCCGCCTGCGTTTTCGGTATGCGCTGGCGTAGCACCAGTCAGAGATGATCGGTGAGGATGAAAGCAGGTCATTTAGTCCATTGTAATCAATTTTATAAGAATAAACCATGATGGTTCCCAGAGGATACCGTATGGAAGTCGATCTAATAGGTTATATTGCTAGCAATGGGGCTGTTAGATCCAATTACTAACAATCCCTTCCCCCCATAACAGATTTTGTAACAGAGGGAGACTTTGTAAAAAAGTAATTTGTTTGGGCACCTCTGTTCCATTCGTGTTTCTACCGTAAAGCAATTGTGTTTGCATGGCTATGTTTCGATTTGAAGGGTGGGATACGGCAGTGAATTTACAGGGTACAGAGGAATAACACCTTAGTCCTCAGAAATGGCAACGCGTGGGGGGTATCATGGGTGAAACAGGTTACTGTTATGTCCATGGTATTGCTCATGTCTATAGGCGACGGTTACCACTTTGCATCAGGTGGTCGTCAGCTTGTTTGCCATTCTAAGTTGCATAAAAAAAATACTTGTACATAGCAGTGGTGTCATTGAACCTATATTGTTTTCTATAGATCAGGGTATTTTAATTTAAAGAAGAAAGTTAAGAACGTTATTCAAATTAGCTACGAGAGCACTATTTACGAAAAACTATTCTGTCTAATCGCCGTGTGTGCCCTGGCATAGAATGGGACACCCCTTCCTTTCGCGTAGGTGTCGTAAGAGGCAATTAAGGGAGGACGAAGGATGGGCAGCAACGTCCCTCTTAAAACATCTCTAAAAGCCTAACTGCGGTTGCCAACCCGCTTGTCAAGCGTGAAAACTACTGGCAAAACTTCCCTTATGGGGAAAGGCGTCCAGCAGTGGACAGTTAACGGCTGAAATAATAATAATAATAACATATACAATAAGTAATGTGAACTAAAAGTATGTCTTTATATTTAGATATTATAACAAGTTCTTTTTTTATTACAAAAAACAAGTTTGTTGACTAATTTAAAATATTTTATTAAAATTATTGAAAAAAATAATTGTTTCCTATTATGAATAGAATAGAATAGAATAGAAATCATTTATTCAAATAAACTTACATTGAAGCACTTTTGAAAAGTCATTACATTTTTTTTAATTTACCGCTCGTTCGGAAAGCTGTCTCATCACAAGAAGAACGAGCAAGAAACTTGCGTGATGCTCTTTTAAATAATTTTATTATTATTTTACATTTTTAAGTTTAATTGTGTGAATACAAACCACCAATTAGCACTAATTCAATTAAATACTCAAAAAGAAAAAAAAAATTGAATACATAACCAACTGGTTAAACAATTAATATATAGGAAATCAGTTACATAGTGATTAGAGCAGACCAGTCCCTACAAGCAGCACCCGTTCACGAGTATGACGGATGAGCCAGCCATCACTGCGCTCGACCATATTTTAGGGAGCCCAATGACCCGGCCCACCACGCCGCCACAAGTCTGGACATTTTAGTGAGCATGACTACTCAAAACACTAGACCACGTCAAAGCTACTCACAATTGCCATCTGATAGTTATAGTATTCACATTTTACATAAGAATGCATGCGGCAATTAATACAAAAAACCGCTACGCTTTCATATTTCTAAAATTAATCAATTAAATCAAGAAAGCAATGAGAAAATAAAATTATAACGTTGTATGAACCTTTTTATATTATCTGTCCCATTCGTGTTTCAACCGTGAAGCAGTTGTGTTTGCAAGGCTGTGTTTCAGTTTGAAGGGTGGGATATGGCAGTGAAGTTACAGGGTACAGAAGAATAACACCTTAGTCCTCAGAAATGGTAACGCATGGGGGGTATCATGGGCGAAACAGTATACTCTGTTATGTCCATGGTACTGCTCATGTCTATAGGCGACGGTTACCACTGTCTATCAGGTGGGCCGTCAGCTTGTTTGCCATTCTAAGTTGTATAAAAAAATCTTCTATTTTTTTTTTAAACAAAAGAAAGTGATATTTTTATTCAAATAAATTTGATTTAAGCGTTTTTTCATTACTCTATCACCCATTCGGAACACAATTTCAGCCAAGGAGAACGAGAAAAAAACTCAACTGATGCTTTTCACAAAACGTTTAATTAAATAATATAATTAAATGCTAAGTAATATCAGATAATAAAATTTAAAATATATAGTATATAAATAAAACAAATTACATACTAAAATAAATCGGCTGCAGTCACCAGTCCCTACAGACAGCGTCCGTTCACGAGTATGACGTATGAGCCAGCCATTACTGCGCTCAACCATATTTTAGGGAACTCAGTAACATGGTTCACCACGCTACTACCTGTGTGGACATTTTAGTACCTAAACATGAGTTTCTCAAAGTACCCAACCACGTCGTAGCTTAATTAAAATAATTTCATACTACATAGTATGAAATAATTTTAATTAATTTCATACTACATAGTCACAGTATTCACACATTACACAGTAAAAGGCACAGAAGGCAAGATAAGAAAAAAACACTTCCCTAAACCACGATCTTATCTGTCTTTTGAAAAAAAAAATACATAATTACAGGCCAAATAGTTGTTTGTCTGATATAAACTTGACCTTACTACCACCACTAATATCTAATATATAAAATTCTTGTGTCACGGTGTTTGTTACCAAACTCCTCCGAAACGGCTTTACCGATTTTTATGAAATTTTGTGTGCATATTTGGTAGGTCTGAGAATCGGCCAACATCTATTTTTCATACCCCTCAATGACACGGGTCCTCAAAACATTTTTTTTGACAAATTTTTACATTTGTATTTTATTGTGAATTAGCATTGAAAAATACAAATTCAAATTTTCACATTTTTATGATCAATTCCTGTTTTTTAATCGCGATTTTTATAAGGTAAGGTTTATAGGTTGAAAATGGCAATCCAATATAATAATTGTAGTAGGATAAATTTTCATGAATAGTTCTCGAAATAATGTATATGGTAAAACAACGTTGGCTGAGTCAGCTAGTAGTACTATATTATCTGTGCTACCACTTTAGCTATTATCATAACAGGAATAGATTAACTGCGATAGTTCTTGCAGCAGACAGAAATTATATAGATAGAAATTTTTGTTAGTGCGTATAGACGTAAGTAGTAGCTAATTACTATAATATAAAAGTTTTTTTTTTTTAATGGGTAATGATGCAATGGTAACCCCGCTTGCGCTATCGGCATACGCTGGCGAGGCACCAGTGAGAAATTATAGGTGAGGATGAAAGCAGGGCCTCTAGACAAGTGGCAAGCGAATTCGTTGATGGAATCGACATCGCTAGCGAGTCTATGAGATAGAATCAGATAGCAACGCCGGATAACTCATTCCAACTCACGGACTCGCTAGCGATGTCGATTTCATCAATAAATTCGCTTGACATTTGTCTAGAGGCCCAGGTCAGTTAGCCTATTGTGACGAATTCAAGAATTAACCACGAAAATTCCCAGGGGGAACCGCGAGGAGGTCGACCTTACCCCTATATAAGTATTTGAATATATACAAGTAAATGAAGGATCCAGAGGGAAAACGTAGGGAATTACAAAGAGTAATGGAACAGGCCCATATTGGGATAACGAACTTCTCCATCTCGAATAAGCATACATATGTATATTTATTCCAAACTTCATTACGTATGATATGAGAATAGAAAGAGAGAAAAAATGAGAGACGTTGACAAACAAATACGTGACCATATTTTATAGTAGACTGTAACAAATCGGATATAAATGTTGCGTCATATTTATCATAAGTTCAAAGTCTAAACGGAACTATAAGATTTTATTTAATTACTGACGGAACAATGAGTCGTGTTTGCACTTTGTACCGTCGTACGATTCATGTTTTAACATCTAAATGTAATAACCTGACCGACTAGCGCGTGCGTGATTTTTTTTAGGTCGTCATTGTATGTACGGGACGGGAGAGCGCACAGGGATCGGACTATGGTAGTACTATTAGTAAATAAAAAAGAAGCAGTTGTTACTAAATAGTCAAAATAATTAGTAATTATTCGAATAACAAAATCATTGGGATTCGCGCACTGTTAGCATTAATTACGAATTACAAGTAATTTCATATAAAAGTCTGTGGCATAGCGAATCGTACGCATACTCTGTGATGCGGGGCCTACCAAGCCTTTGGGAGTCTCATATTAGTCCTCCTGGGGTTTCCCAGTGTTTCTTAGCTCCCCACTGGTATTTTTGCAGCTGTTATACTCATATATTACATTTTACAGCTATGCCTCTGGCGAAGAAGTATTATGTAAATTCATAAGCTATGCCAATATCTTCTCTTATTTGCACTATGTGCGAATAGGAGCTGAGTTAAGCTAAGTAAGATCCATCCAGAACAGACTTTAGACTAGACGAGTGACAATGCATGAGGGGTACGAAGGTAGGTAGCAGTGGCGTAGCCACATAATCAAAGGCCTTGCAAAAAATAAATTACGGCCCCCAATAAACTGTTTAAAATCGTTTGTTCCGTATCTACCTGTTACCGTTAAAAAATACAGTACTGTCATAGACACACAGTTCCGTTGAGTACCCTTTGGGTACGGAATTATAATTAATATTTTAAACCAATAACGCCACTTTCTTGATCGGCTATACGTTTTACGACAAATCTGGAGTATATCGAGTTCGGATCATAACAAATACGGAACAAATCTTTAAAATTTTATCAATTTAAGTCAATATATAAATATGTAGTTACATTTAAATATTAAAATAAATCTGATTTATTTATATTCCGAATGTGTGCGAAATTTTCACTATTTCAATTTATAGTTTGTAATTCAGAGTTCGTCGTTCGTCCCCTGAGCTTGGGGGCCCCGGGACACTGCTCTGTCTAGTCCTTCGGTAGCTACGCAACTGGTAGGTAGGTAGGTATGGATGTTGCGGGAAATAGGATTGTTAGTAATGGAGTCTGATCGGTCAACATCCACGCGGTTCCCGCTGGAAACCATCGCGGTTAATTCTTTACGATTCATCACTATAGGACAACTGACCTATTTCATCCTCACCAATCACCTTCACTGGTGCACTGCCAGAGTGTAGCGATAGCAAAGGCGTGGTTATTATTCTATTTTCACCCGTCAAAAAATAACCTATGGGTATTGCAATATACTAAGTGATGTTCATGGTATTGTTCTTGTCTATAGGTGACGATTGTCACTTACCATCAGGTGGGCTGGCAGCTTTTTGTCATTGAAAAATAGATAATAACTTTATTTATAATCTACCTCTAAGTATCATTAAAAATCAATTAATTAATAAATACGTTTGGCTGAAGATCAAGAGTTTTCATTTTAAGCTGTATAAAATGAATCGAGTAGTGTTTTTTCGTATCTATCTCATATAACGTGCTCTGTGGTATTTACCGATAGATTAATTTGCCAAATTTACAAAGAAATGTAGTTAGGGATATTTATTTATTTTCGAGAGGGAGACTTTTTACAAAAGTCGATTGCTTTATTTATTCTAAGTTGTATAAAAAAAAATATCTATTTAACTCTTTATTGCACCAGAAACAGAAAAATTTACAATGACAATTAGACAATTCAAATGAAATATAGTAGCATAAAGTACAAATTAACATATATACATAAAGGTACAAAAGGCGGTCTTATCGCCAGGGCAATCTCTTACAGACAACCTTGAAGTGGGCAGATGGCGTAATATCGAATTAATAATTTTTAAGTAAATTATTATTATAAGATTTTTTTTAGTAGATGATAATGTAATGGTTACCTCGCCTGCGCTATTGGTATACACTAGGTTACCAGTGAGGGATGATAAGTGAAGATGAAACAGGTCAGTTAGCCCATCGTGACAAATTTAACAATAAATTAATCACGATGGCTTCCAGGGCGAACCACGAGGTCGACCTTATATAGTTTATTGTTAGCAATGGGGTTGCTAATCCCCATTACTAACAATGAGATAAATATTTTGGTGCAGTTTCGTTATATTATAATAGTACAAAATTGAGATTATGTCTATATTTAAATATAAATCAAGATATTCAGTAAAAATAAGCATGACTACGAATCACTGTGGACTTATTATCTCGTTATTTGAATATATTATAAGACTATTGTCTTTTTTTTTTTATTTTTGAACTTAATTTTAAAATACATTTTCTCCATTATCATCATGTCAGCTGTTGTCTGTCCACTGCTCAACATACACCTCTTCCTTAGAATATTATAAGAACTGTAGTAGTGGGGTCTCCTATATCCTTAGTAATAAATAATACGTATTATGGTAACCCTATTCACGCGGTGTTCATAAAGAATTTTACTAGTTTTGAGTGAAGCTTTTATATCGAGAAACTCCATCTATATAATCTAAGGTAAGAAAATATACTTTGAGCTTATTTTTATTTGATTAAATTGCAGCTAGGTTAATAATAAATAAAGTAATAAATATATTTGATTAAAAAAAATAACCTAATTCTATGACAATTGGTTGTACGGTACGGCGTGGCGCGTGTTTATTTGTTTACCTAGTACTCGAACAAGTTGCAAGATAATTAACAAAGATTAGTATCTTTGTTATTTAGAATCTGGTTATTTTCTGCATAATTACTTTTTCTTTCACAAATCAACGATATACTTGATATGCTTGTAAATATTTAAATATGTATATTTACCGAGAGGAGGGCATCCCCTTTACAATGATACAGGTTGCCACTCCAAAATTATTTTTCAATTTTATACACTTATAAATAAATGGCGATTTTCTTGATTAAACTATTTATAAATTGTATAAAATAAGAGTAGTGTCATTTGAAACATAGATTTTAAAAACACTAATGTTTTAAAAGTACTTATATTTTTAAAGGGACACACTGGTTGAAAATGTCAAATTGACAATCCACATCGACCTCAGCTGTTTGTCACTTCTGTCAATGATCATCACAAAAATCTGAAGTAAAATCAAAACAATGAACAGTGTTATTTGTTTATTGATAAAAAAATAAACATTATTATATATTTCATGTAAATTTATTACTACATTCATTTTTATATTTCGTAAACATGGCGACTATGGTAAAAGAGAAACGTCGAGAGGTACGTAGAAGTAATTTATATTTGTATTTCAATATTTTACGCAGTTTCATTATAATTTCCTTTTTAGAAAAAGAAAACCAAGGAAAAACATACTGTAAGTCAAGAAATGGATATAGAATCACCACCTGTCGTCACTTCATCCTTAGAATTATATAACGAAGATTTAGTGGCTCCAACTGCTCCTATTGAACAACACACTATTACGGCTCTGATTGAAACTTCTAGTACTAACTCTAGTCAAGAACAGGCCAAAGATGAAACTATAATATCACATTCTATTGAACAAGTTACTGAATCACATATTCACAATGGAGAGTTGATAATAGAAAACAGAGCAGAAGTGGTGCAGTCAACACAATTGCGGGATCAGCATCCAGGACAAACATTTGAAGATTTAAATTTGAAATTGGAGAGAATGGCTATACCGGCTCCTACTCATGTCGTCCCAGAAGATGAAAAGTCGTTAGTAATCCAAAATGAAAAGGGTTCAGTGACTGATGCATCTATAGACATATCTACAGATAGTCATAGTTTGGAGGATACAGTAGTTCCTTCTGCACCAATTTTTGAAATTGAGGAGCAGACTCAGCCCAAATATGAACAATCTGAATTAGTGCAAGAGGTGGCATCTGCACCAATTGAGAATAAAATTGAGTGTATGCCATTGGAGCAGGCCATTTGGATGTATGGTGGGGAAGAGATAGCTGGAGTTAGGGCATTAAGTGAGAGGGAGGATGCAGCAGTGGAGACAGGTCCAGTCAGTGGACCTGAACATCCATTGGTGGATCTATTGTCGACCTTACGGTATGTAAAACTTAAAAGGTTATTATTATTAAAAAAACAAAAACACATTTTTTACTGAACTGACCTTGGATGGTTTTTAATATTTACTTTTATTTTAATTAATTTTATTCTATTTGTGAATACTCACTAATTATAGATCCCACTGATTTTGTCTGTTTAAAATCTATATATTAATATGTGAAGCAAAAACTTTTGTTTTAATTTTATTTAAATTGTTTTAATTTTTCCTGTTGATTATATTTTGCTGATGATGTAAAGATTTTACTCTCATATCTAAATCTAAATATGCAAGATGTTGCTGATGTCCAGCCAGCTTTAGAGATGTTTTAAGAGCGACACTACTGCCCATCTCTTGACCATTAGGTTCCCTGAGTCGCCTCTTATGATACCCACGGGAACGAAATAGGTGGGGGAAAATACATTAACCCACCCACCCACGGGAAATAAAAACCCATGGGAAAATACATTACAAAGGATTTGTTATACAATATTATAATAATTATCTAACAATATTATATTTCAGGCAATCTTACACAGCCTTAGAACGTGACCGCACACAATTATTTAATGGATTCGCAGAAGAAGAAAAGTACCGATCTGCTCTTTGGAAAGTTGAAAAGAAAACTTTGCATTTGTCAGAACTGTGTAAGTGTGGGGCCACTGTAGATTTCTGGGGCTCATATGAACACGCCCAGCTGCTGAAGGAGAGGATTCCTGCTGCTCGGATGCGGTTGACGGCTCTCTTAAGGGATGTCCAAGAATCTTACTGCCACCATCAGCATTCTACTCTTTTAGCGTTTTGTCAGGTCTGTTATTTTCTTTCAAATTATTTCTCTCTTCCATCACATACACATTAATGTTTAAAATTGTATTATAAAATTTATGTACAATCCAATGTTAAAAGTAGAAAGTTGTTGAAAAACTTTTATCTATCTTATATGTATTAAAAACATCAAAGAATGTTTATACAAGTTAGTTCTTTCGCAAGAGAAGAGATTAAAATGATCACCACTAGTTCATTAGCATTAATTCAGGATATTTTCACTACATATTCAGCAAAAGAATTACTCTATTGCCATTTCATACATTGTAAATGATAATTCAATGGTTGTTTTTATTTTTGTATTTCAATATCAAGGTATAAAATAAATCAGGTTAATAAACCTTGTGCTATCTCTAATACATCAGGGAACCTTTATCCTCAAGAGTGATCACACTTGAGGAGTTGAGGAGTGTCTGCTGACACAGTGTATTTTATTACCATGGGATTTTGTTTTCATATTTAAAAAATTAGCATTTTCACAGTTAACATTTCCCATCAAGAGTTCATTTTAATTTTAATATATAATAATAAATATAATCCAATTTACTCCTATTTTCGGTAGAATTACAAAAAAAAAATATGATTTGTTTTGTAAAGAACCCTATCTAAATAATTCTATTTCTATTTTATTTTAATTTGTAAAACATTTCAGATAGAAGATTTTTTATCTGGAGTCATTAAAACGAACAAAAATGAAATACGTGAATCTCTTACGTTGATACTACAAGCATTGAAATTGAGCGATAACGCTCCTCCGGCGCTGTCGAAAGTGCTCCAGCGGTGGGCAACTGCGCTCTCTGTGGCGTTAGTAGACGGCCGAGACTTGAGGCAGTTACTGTTTCTCATACATCACTTATTCAGGTAACTTATTTTACTTATACATATTAAGAAAAAGAATATTTTTTGTTTATAATAGATAAACAAAAAATATCGGTTGCAAAAATTCTTTTGCCTTTAGAAAGCTACACTATCTATGCATTATAAGCTTTATTTTTATAAAAAAAAAAAAAGACAGATTCATACATTGTCTGCCTATGCAAAGCAGAGATGAATGGCTAGGAATGTTTGCTTATATTTTTTCACAATTTTCATTATTACCAATAGTTATAATTAGATGAATTAATTTTATATAAAATCAACATTCTATATGTAGCACTAAAAATTTAGCTGAACTAATATTATACTATGTAATGAGGGCTGAGCGCTGTTGTCTGAGATACAGGTTTTATTACCTAGTTCAGACACAGATGTTTAAAATGATAATTGTATATAAAAAAAAAGTTATTATTATATTGCCCGCACTTAAGTAACCAATAAATAAAAAAAAGAATTTATAACTATATTCATTAGTATATTGAAGCCATTGTACAAATGTCGACCGCCTGGGTACCTCTGTCCTACTCATATTTCTATTGTCAAGCAAGTGTGTTTTAGTTCAAATGGTGATTAGAAGGTAATGATATGAAATTACATATTGTGGTGGAATGTCTATGCGTAAGATTTATCCATTGGTATCCCAGTAGAGGACGTACTCCAAAATGATACCACTTCTATAGTTTCACTAGTGTTTTTTATATTTATTTACTTATCAAAATTATAGTTATAAAATATTACATGAAGATACAAGAATGGTATAAAAATTTTTTAATAATTCTTTTTCTTTTTTCAAATATACTATATGGTTTCTTTCCAGCCATTACCACCCAGTGTATTCTGTTATGTCCTTGATATTGTTTCTACATACTTACGGCGATGTAATGACCGCTTTTCTGCGTATTTCAACCCAGACTAGTATTTAAATTTACCAGACAAAATTTATATAACCATGATACTGTTCATGTCTATAGACGACAATTACCATTTACGATCGTCGTATCGTTTTATCGTTAAAAGTTTCATAAGCACACATTATATTTTAATGTAATAACAACCGATTTAACTTACTTGTAATTTGATCGAAAACACCGCTTTATTTATCTGTGACGATGCCGCAAACGTCTACAGCTCGCGCTCAACGGGCCGAGGCACGCAGTCAGGCTCGTGCTCGCGTAACAGTTGCTCATGACTAAGGATCACGAATTGATTTCGAAACTAGTAGAGTTTTTTTGATCTAATTACATTCCTTACACTTAGCATACATGCCCTAACTTTGCGGGGATTTTTTTTAATGGGTGATAATGGCATGGTAACCCCGCCTGCACTATCGGTATATGCTGGCGGGGCACCAATGAAGGTTGATAGGTGACGTGGAAAGCAGCTCAGTTAGTCCATTGTGATGAACTCCACTAGAATTAACCACGATGGTTTCCAGGGCGAACCACGTGGAGGTCGACCTGATAGGGTGTATTGCTGGCAATGGGTCAGTTAGACCCCATTACTAAACAATTCTTTTCCCCCAACTTTGCGGGGGTGGAGCAGAGTACGGCGGCGGGTAATAGCTAGTGGTTTATAAACATGCAGGCAGACGCGGTCGGTGCGGTGGGCGGCGGCGGCGGTGGCGGCGGGCGCGGCGGGCGCGGGCGGCCCGGCGCTGCTGGCGCTGCTCGAGCTGCTGCTCACGCGCCCGCCCGCGCTCGAACGCGCCGCCGAGTGTACCGAGGGTACGTACACTGTGTAGCGTGTAACGACGGCTGCAAGTGGCGCTAATATGCGTTGTATTTTTTTCGACAATTGGACAAACTAGTCGAGCATGCAGATTGTATTTCATAACAAAAAAATTGATTTTAGTCATGGCAAAAACAAACTACTGAACTGATGATGAAAAGAATTTTCCAAATTTGTTTATTATGTATGATTGAGTTCTAAGGTAACAAAAAAAAAGTTTTTTTTTTTTTATATTACTGAGGTGACAAACAAGCAAACGGCCCACCTGATAGTAAGCGGTTACCGTAGCCTATGAACGCCTGCAATACCAGAGGTATTACGCGCGCGTTGCTGACCCTGAAGAAACCTCTTTACCCCCCTTTTGAAGAACCCCATGCTGTAGTCTCTTGGGAAAACCTCGGCAGGTAGCTCATTCCATAACCTGAGTGTTCGTGAGAGAAAACATCTCTGAATCCGCGTTGTACGCGACCATTTAGGCTGTAAGGTATGAGGGTGAACTCCCTGTTGATGGCGAGCCGTACGATGATAGAAAGTGAGCGTAGGCATCATATTGGATAATTCCTCTGAGCACAATCCGTTGTACAAGCGGTAGAACACGCAGAATGAGAATACAACCAAATTGAGAACTATATAATCTAAGAATAAAATAAATATACAAATCATAAATGATTTAAAAATGAGTGGGTGGTGATGTGGCAGAGGCGGAGTGCGCAGAGGGTTGGGAGGAGGTGGGGCGCGGCGGCGGCGGCGGCGCCGTGAGCGACGGCGCGCTGCGCGAGCGCGACCTGCTGGCGCTGCTGCGTGCCGTGCCTCTCCGCCGCCTCCTCGCCACCATCATGCTGCTGCCGCGCGCCGTACGTACACTGCCTACTATCACATCTCGACCACTTCACACAGAAACACCACGATCCTTAAATATTGTATACACGATTTAATATCGATTAAAGATTGCAAAATCCATTTCGACGTGATTCGTTTGATGGAAGTCATCCCTTATGATGTTAAATCCGCTATATGTAACATACTTGGGTCTCTCAGAAAGTTTTGCGACACTAAAAAAAATTTTCTATTCGTAAATATATTTTCTCAAACATGCTTCGAAATGTGAGCATTATTTTGACAATCTTCTTCGAGATAAATCAAAATTGCCGTACTGGCCAAGATACATGCGGGCAGCGGCCGGCAAAAGTTGTATGAAAATCCATATCGGTCGTGTTTTGCGGCCAGATAAATTACTATGTAAACTCATATCTGTCCTGTAATTTAAAAATGGAATGACCTTTTACTTCGAAACATGGTTACCAAGGAGGTAACTAATAAAAGGTTTTATTTAAATTTCGAACTGGCTTGCAAATAGAAAGTTGTTTATTGAAAAAAAAACAAAGGAACATTATGACGCGTGAAAAATTATTATTGTTCGTTATTAGTCATTGAAGTTAAAAATTAAAATTGTGTTTTTGATTTCCGCACATTGTTTGAGAAAAGTACTATACAAGCCTTGGCCACAACTAGGCATTGATGGACTCACGTATGTGTGCCTCATCTACGCCTCGGCCCACATTTGCATGTTCGTCCATCAATGCCTCAGTTGCTGGCCGCTGCAATAATGTACTATACCTATAAAAAAATTTTTTAATGTTCTATAGGGAAATATATTTTTATTACATCTTTTCAAAGTACTCTCCACTAGACTCTATACACAGTTTCATACGTCTGAACCAGTTTTTGAAACACTTTCCAGTCCGCCGCAGAAACCTTGTTTAAAGCCTGCTCGAACACTGAGAGCGCATCATCTGGCGACAAAAAGTGTATCTCTTTGTGCTGATTTTTTATTTTTGGGAATAAGAAGAAGTCACACGGTGCTAGGTCAAGGCTGTAAAGAGGGTGACCCAGGAGTTTGACCGGTGTGCTGTCTAGGAAGTCCCTCGTTTTGATGCGTGGGCGGGCGCATTATCGTGGTGGAGCAGTAGCCCGCGGAGCCCTGTGTTTGGTCGCTTGTTGCTCACAACAGAGAAAACTTTTGCCAAGCATTTGGTAGTATACCATTCGGCGTTAATGCTTCTTTAGTTTCGTAAAGGAATTGACATCAAGTAGCCAGTCAAATTGAAAAAGCTCGCGATCAAAATCTTCCCCCGTTTCTAGGTCGCTTTACTTTAGTAGGCGTTGATTCGATTTGAAATACCCAAACCGTCGACTAGCGCTTTGTTTCTGGATCGTATTGATAAATCCAGGATTCATCACCTGTAACGATGTCGTAAACACGCCGAGACGAGCCTGCTTCAAATTTGTCTATCATATCATGGCACCATTCCACCCTTGCCTGCTTCTGAACATCGGTAAGGTTGTGCGGCACCCAGCGTGAAACTATCCTCCGCAATCGTAGATCTCGTGAGGGATTCCTGATCCAATCTGTAGTATATGCTGAATCTCTTGGTATGTAACTCGTCTATTGTCTTGGATCAAATTTTTCATTGCTGGCACGTTTTCTTCCGTAACAGCCGTCAAAGGGCGATCACTTCTTTCTTCTTTCCCCAAAAGTTAGTAGACCGCGCTTAAATTCATTATACCAACGATACACGGTTGCCTTAGAAGGGCCTTCATCCATGAATGCCATTTGAAGTCTATCGTACGATTCGTCCGGTTTCAAGCTACACTTAAAATCATAAAAAATCATAGCGCGGAAATGTTCTCCACGCAAATCTATTTTTCAATGAGACACGGTAATTTTAATTAGCTCGCAAAAAATGTGAAGGGAAGTTTTGAATTTAGAACGTACCTATTTTTACTTATTTATTTATTTAGGCCAGTCTCACATACATAAAAACTTTTACTCGCAATACTTTCTGAGTGACCTGGTATATGTGTACATAAACATAAATAAGTAATCCCCGCAGGAGGTGAGCGCGGCACGCGCGGAAGAGTGGCGTGCTGACGAGGGCAGGAGTATGGTGCGGGCGGCGCGGGGCGTGCGCGTGCTGCTGGCCGCGCTGCAGCGGGCGCGCGCCGCCCACCCGCACTACGCGCGCCTGCACCGCGCGCTGCGGGCGCTCGCGGCACGGACGCTGCGCGCGCTCGCCGCCCTGCACCTGCACCTGCACCTGCACGCCAGGTCAGTAACGCATGCTGGCCGCGCTGCAGCGGGCGCGCGCCGCCCACCCGCACTACGCGCGCCTGCACCGCGCGCTGCGGGCGCTCGCGGCACGGACGCTGCGCGCGCTCGCCGCCCTGCACCTGCACCTGCACCTGCACCTGCACCTGCACCTGCACGCCAGGTCAGTAACGCATGCTGGCCGCGCTGCAGCGGGCGCGCGCCGCCCACCCGCACTACGCGCGCCTGCACCGCGCGCTGCGGGCGCTCGCGGCACGGACGCTGCGCGCGCTCGCCGCCCTGCACCTGCACCTGCACCTGCACGCCAGGTCAGTAACGCATGCTGGCCGCGCTGCAGCGGGCGCGCGCCGCCCACCCGCACTACGCGCGCCTGCACCGCGCGCTGCGGGCGCTCGCGGCACGGACGCTGCGCGCGCTCGCCGCCCTGCACCTGCACCTGCACCTGCACGCCAGGTCAGTAACGCATGCTGGCCGCGCTGCAGCGGGCGCGCGCCGCCCACCCGCACTACGCGCGCCTGCACCGCGCGCTGCGGGCGCTCGCGGCACGGACGCTGCGCGCGCTCGCCGCCCTGCACCTGCACCTGCACGCCAGGTCAGTAACGCATGCTGGGCCGCGCTGCAGCGGCCGCGCGCCGCCCACCCGCACTACGCGCGCCTGCACCGCGCGCTGCGGGCGCTCGCGGCACGGACGCTGCGCGCGCTCGCACCCTGCACCTGCACCTGCACGCCAGGTCAGTAACGCATGCTGGCCGCGCTGCAGCGGGCGCGCGCCGCCCACCCGCACTACGCGCGCCTGCACCGCGCGCTGCGGGCGCGCGGCACGGACGCTGCGCGCGCTCGCCGCCCTGCACCTGCGCGCGCCAGGTCAGTAACGCATGCGCGCGCTGCGGGCGCGCGCCGCCCACCCGCACTACGCGCGCCTGCGCGCGCGCTGCGGGCGCTCGCGGCACGGACGCTGCGCGCGCTCGCCGCCCTGCACCTGCACCTGCACCTGCACGCCAGGTCAGTAACGCATGCTGGCCGCGCTGCAGCGGGCGCGCGCCGCCCACCCGCACTACGCGCGCCTGCACCGCGCGCTGCGGGCGCTCGCGGCACGGACGCTGCGCGCGCTCGCCGCCCTGCACCTGCACCTGCACGCCAGGTCAGTAACGCATGCTGGCCGCGCTGCAGCGGGCGCGCGCCGCCCACCCGCACTACGCGCGCCTGCACCGCGCGCTGCGGGCGCTCGCGGCACGGACGCTGCGCGCGCTCGCCGCCCTGCACCTGCACCTGCACCTGCACCTGCACCTGCACGCCAGGTCAGTAACGCATGCTGGCCGCGCTGCAGCGGGCCAGCACCTGCACGCCAGGTCTATAAAATTTCGTCGCCGACCTTCCGCAACGGAACACCTCTACATAATTTTTTTTTTATTATACTAGAACGGGAAATAAGCTGACGGCCTACCTGCAATGAGTGGGCCGTCAGCCTGATACGAGTGGTAACCATCGCCTATAGACATGAGCAGTACCATGGACATAACAGAGTATACTGTTTCGCCCATGATACCCCCCATGCATTGCCATTCCTGTCTTGTGTACCCTGTAAATACACACCATATCCCACCCTTCAAACCGAAACACAGCCATGCAAACACAACTGCTTTACGGTTGAAACACATATGGTACAGAGGTACCCAAACAAACGACTTTTGTACAAAGTTTCCCTTTGGTCATATATTTATCTCATGATATTGGCGCTACGCATGAACGTTTTTTGCTCAAATTTTATCAGTGGTATTTCTTACAATATTTTGCAAATGAATAGAAGCACCAAGTCTACCTTCTTTCCTACTCCATCCGCCATATTAATTATCAACTCTATCTTCTCTTTTCATTTGAGAGTTTCCACTCGTCGGAACGACTTAATTCATCTATTGTCTTCCAACCATTATATACCGGTCATGCAAAGATCTCGCGGGCACATACCGATGAGTGCCGGAATAGACTTGTGTCTGAAATCGAAACTTCACTCCATCAAGTTTCGATCTGGGATGAACAAAATCTTGTCCAATTTAACCCCAAAAAGACACAAGTCTGCGCGTTTACCGCAAAAAAGACGCCGTTTGTCGTATCTCCTCATATATTCCCTTGATAAAAAGTCAAGTCTAGGAATTCTGGGCGTTGATATATCTTGCGACGTACAGTTTTGCGGTCATCTGGAGGAGAAGGCTAAGATAGCTTCCAAAAAGTTAGGAGTACTCAATAGGGTGAGACGATATTTCATGCCAGAACACCGCCTGAAATTATATAAAGCCCAAGTCAGGCCGCATATGGAATACTGTTCTCACCTGTGGGCAGGAGCGCCACAATACCAACTCCTTCCGTTAGACCGCATTCAAAGTCGGGCGGCTCGAATTATCGATAGTCAACGCCTTACTGTCCGACTTGACCCATTGAAACTGCGCAGAGATGTTGCGTCTCTGTGCATCTTCTACCGAATTTATCATGGGGAGTGTTCTGAGGAATTGTTCTTGATACCTGCTCTGATTTTCACCACCGTCCACAAACTCATCCCAATCATCTGGACGATCTTCCACCGTGCGTTTTTCAACACTTTCTTCCATCTTCTTTGGAATCATTTCCAGCAGCAGTATTTCCGAACCGATACGACAACATAACCTTCAAGAAAAGAATATTCCTTTTTAAAAGGCCGGCAGCACACCTGCAATTGGTGTTGTGGGTGATCATGGGCCATTGTCGTTTGCCCCCTGTGTTGTAACCATCTCTTTTCCAGGCTTTGGTCTCCTCATACGACATGATTCCTAGTGTTTCTTTTATATGTCCCATATAGTTATTTCTCGGTCTTCCCCTTCCTATTTGCCCTTTATTTTTCCTTCTAGTATGCTCTTTAAAAAATCGTCATGTCGTATAAGGTGGCCTAGTATTTTGCCTTTTCTATTCTCTGTTGTTTTTATTAATTTCCTTTTATCATTCACCCTTTTCAGGACTTCCTCATTCGTTACCATGTCCACATTTCGAATGCGTGAAGCATCTTTCTAAATGTATATGTATTATTGTTGGATATATGACCACACAGGTCATCATACAAGCGGGCGATCCGCGAGGAGTTAACGGCGGAGCTGGAGGCGTGCTACATGGCGGGCGTGGAGCTGTTCGGCACCAGCCAGCTGCAGCGGCTGCCGGCCACGCTGCTCGCAGACACCAGCGCCTCCGACTACTGCTACACGCTCATCATAGGATTGCACGGTATATTACAATTTTTTTTTAATGGGTGATAATGAAATGGTAACCCCACCCGCGCTATCACCCTTCACTGGAAATCCGCCAGCGTATCCCGTTAGTGCAGGCGGGGTTCCCATACCATTTTCACCCATAAAAAAAAAAAAAAACTAGCTATCCACTTCACTTTAAAACAATTGTTTATATGACTATTTTGCATAGTAAGTGTTCTCAGAATTGATCAACATGCAGCCATGAAAAATTAAGTACAATTTATGTATCCCTGTTTCAAATATATTGTAAAAAAAAAATTGCTTAATACATAATTTTATTCTCGTGTGGTCCCGGCATAAATTAGGTCACCTCTTCTTTTCCCGTGGGTGTCGTAAAAAGCGACTAAGGGAAGGCGAGGAGTGGGCAGCAGCATCCTTCTTAAAACATAACTGCGGTTGCCAATCCGCCTGCCATGTGTGGCAACTACTGGCAAAGCCCCCAAAGGGGGAAGCTTATGTTCAGCAGTGGACAGTTAAAGGCTGATTTGATGACATAATTTTATATGACAACATTTTAATACAATTATAACTATTAAATATTACCTGCACCAATTTAAGGCAAATGTGAATAGACCATTTGTGGGCCTATGAGGCCCATCTTAGACCACATATTTCCTTTCCAACAAGTGAGATTGTGATCAATCATGACACTCTTCAATAGTAAAGACAATACTCATCACTTAAACATCAGAATTCCTTCCGGGCTACCGTGCCATTAACCTAAAACCTGGATTCACGATTGAACGATTAAGAAATAAACAAAAGATTTAATGAAAACTTAATGATATGTGTTCAGACAAAGAACAGAAGCCGCTGGAGGCACTGCCGCTAACAGTGCCGTTGCTGTCGTGCAAGCAGCGCGTGGAGGTAGTGGCGCAGGCGACCATCGACCGCCGCCACGACCACCAGCTCGCCAGGGTTGTGGTCGAGTTCCTACTGCAGGTTTCTGTTGGACAATTTCCACCTTTTTGCAGCATGCTACCAAATGCTACAATAAACGTTAGTAAGATACTTTTATTAGGGTGTTATTTCACTCTCATTCAGATGTCACGTCATTATTATAATGTAAAGTCTTAGATTATAAAGGTAGAATATCTCCATACAAATGCTTCGAAAAAACGGGTCAACTTTTTCATACATTTTTGTGTGATAAAATGAGTGATTCCTATAGTTAGAAGTTCTATATTTATATTGTTTTATAATTTCTGCATCTTTTTAATACTTAAATACATATTTTATTAATTATTAATAATAATTAATTAATAATTAAAAATAATACAAGATACATTGTATATAAAATATACATATCTGTCACGCCTGTCTCCCATTAGGGTAGGCAGAATCAATGGAACGCCAAATGCTTCGATTCAAACAAACCTCTTTCGCTTCTTCCACATTCGTCAATAAATATACAGAATACTGATAAAAAAAAGACGAAACAGCTAATTTTTAAACAAAAAGTCGACCTGTTTTTGAGACTTGATGCTCTATCTATATAATCTAAGTATAAAGTCATGTATTTCTTTTTTATTCCGAAACAAAAACACACGCAGTTGTTGTCGTAAACTGCGTGTGTTGTCGCATTGGTTTTACTGCGACTTTGCTTTCAATTTGACTCTCTTGCATTCTTCATGTAAATGGCTACAGCAATTTAGTCACATTCGACTGTTTAGCATCTTTTTCTATGAATGAAACTTCATGTGTGGTGTAAGCGAGATAGAAGATAACGTGAAAGGTTGTATGTTCAATAAAATAGTAGTACATTTCATTTTTTATTTTGGTGGAAACGAGAGTGAGCATGTTGGTTTTTGTTTATGGGGTGAAAGTGATGGGATAACCCCATTGGTATTACTAGTAAATGCTGGTTGGGCTACTTATGAATGATGATTGACGAGGATGATGTTGGGTCAGTCAGTCAGGCCTATCATGGTGAATTCAGTAGATATTAACTGTGACTGATTTTTGGGCAATTCCCTCTTAATACCGATCTTTTGATAATGAAAGGGTTACCCAGGCTGAGCTAACGGTATATGCTGGCGGTGAGGGACGATAGGTGTGAATGAAAAGGCAGGTTAGTTAGCCCATCATGATCAATACACTTGGAATGCGGGGAAAGGGATTGTTAGTAATGGAGACTGAGAATCCCATTGCTAGCAATATACCCAACCAGGTCGACCTTCTCGCGGTTCCCCCTGGAAACTATCATGGTTAATTCCTGATAAATTCATCATGATGGGCTAACTGGCCTGTTTTCATTCTCATCTATCACCCTTCATTGGTGCTCCGCCAGCGTATCCCATTAGCGCAGGCGGGGTTACCATACCATTTTCACCCATCAAAAAAAAATACACTTGGAATTTAACCCGATGGTTTCTAGTGCAGATAGTGGGTAGTTCGACTTGACAGGGCATATACTACTAAATACTACTATATGAAACTGGCAACCCCTCATCCCCCAAATTGAGTGCGAGACGTACTAAGCGCGAGGTGCGGTTGCAGGCGGCCGTGAAGCGGAAACAAGCGGTGTGCGGCAGCGCGGGCGGCTGCGAGCGGGCGGCGCGGGCGTGGCTGCCGCGGGTGCTGCGCGCGCACCCCTACCTCTACACCGTCGCCCTGCACCTGCTCGCCGACATACACCAGCGTCAGTGGCTTCCATTCTTACACTAGCGCCGCATCCGACTTACCTTTAGTTGCCGATCATCCGCGACGGACCACCAATATAAATATACTATAAACTAAAATATACTACCAATATAATAATACCTTTAAATTGCATAATTGTATACAGTTTGCTACTCTCGGTCACACCACTTCAAACGTCGGTTATTAAGGTGGCGCACAGTGGGAACTTTGACTCATTTTCATCTCATAAATTTATATCTTCCGTATTAATAAAGATATGTACATGATTTTTTTTCCTGATAATCTTAAATATATATTCTTTTAAATAATGTATGCTTTGTGAGTAAAAATTTATTTCTAATAGTTATAAATAATATAGGAATACAAGAAATATAAAATTTGTAGACTTACATTTATGTCCTAAGAAGTTTATACAGGAATAAGTAAAAGTATCTGCGTAAAAAACAAAAACTCTTATAAAGATAACTTAGAAGTCACTCAAGAGCTCCTTTACTTCATCAAAAAGTTCTAAATATTTTTTATTGGAAGGTTTTCTTAAACTTGTTATGTATGGGTCAGAGGTATATAAAAGTGCGTGTAGAACATCTTCGTTAGTGGCTACCCTCGAACATTGTCTTGCATGATGAAGCCTGAACTGTTTATAGTCTTTGTTCCGTGACTCTTGAGCATCTTCTGAAAGTTACCCAAGAGGCAAGACAGAAAAAGTAACGTATCACACTTTCACAATGAATCAACACCTTGTGATTTTGGCGGATAGCAAGATTCTGTAACTTCACGAATCAACTTGTATGATGGAAACAATAAGCAATTCTTTGCTATCAAACAACTCATCATATTTTCATACTGTGCCTTGTTCAGATCCAATTCTACAAAAATGCTAAGATCTTCATCTTTTGAATATGCTGTTATATGTGCCGGTTCATTAAGAAGATTACTGCGTATTTTACTCTTTTTTTCTGACGGCCATACTCGTAAAATATCAACGATGAATGCTTCATCTACTTCACCACGTGACCTTAAACCCTGTACATATGAGTTCAGTATGAAATCAAGTCCACAGGTATCAAGCAGTCCCTTGTTTTTCCGTTTCTTTGTACTCTCTGAACTGTCATCGTATCTTTTAGAAGGTCTTCCTCTTTTCTCTGTCAAAGTAGAAGGTTCAGGTTCGCATGTAGTTTTTTCTAGATTTACAGTGAAAATGACATTAAACCAATTGCTCTTTTGATTTAAAAACTGTTCTTTCTTTCGACCACATTTCGTATAGCGTTGACGAAACTGAGTTATGAAGGACTTCTAAATACTTGCGATAATTTTTACTATATTCGCATCTGAAGATTCGGTAATATTATTTCGTACATAGTTTGAGATATAATCACTATAATTTGTATCACTTTCAACAATAAGAGACTTAAGTCGCGTCCGGTACACGAGACTTCACTCATTGCGGAGAGATAAGTAATTAACAATTGTTTAGAAATGACAAATGCTTATAAAGAACTGTAATATTTCATATGTAAATGCACTATTTTATACTTAATAATGATATAGACGTGTGCAAAATTACTTGATTTAAAAAATTCATCATTATGTGGTTATGCGGTAAAGAATAGGTCTGTATGGAAATGGGAACTAAATACTGTGTGAAATACTTGTTAAAAGTAACGTAAAAGATAAAATATAAAGTAATAATTGAGACAAAAGTATTTTTTTGAGTGTCCAGACAGAGAATCTCAAATAAAGAAAAAAATCTTAATATACGTACTTAGAAAAAAACATTCTCACCATGATATTATACTAGATTTAAATATATTACGCAGTAAAACTGCAAAAAAAAATCTTTTGCCCTCAAATTACATTATATTTCCTAATAAATTAAACCAAAATCAGAACTTCGGCAAGCTTCGGCAACTGTCAAATCTCCAACTGAAAGTTTGAGAAAAGAAAATAATACATATAACGATATATGGATCTTTGGTTAAGTAATATTGTACTAAACTAAATATATTTTTATTTGATAGTAAAGTACACATTCTAAGCATTTTAAAATGGTATCACACTATATGACTTCTATTGTTTTGATACTATAAAATTATACCAAACGAAATTTAAGTTTCATAATTATTTTTGTATTTTTTTCATTCCTTGACTTTAGATGCTCTGTTCTATGAAGTATGAATAGTGATAGATTTGAATCATACTTATAATGATAGAGTAACTCTTTAGCTACAATTTGAGGTATTATACATGCATATCCACAGAGTTTTAGAAAAAGTATTTATGAGATGGCTTTCTTAGGCGAGTTCCCACTGTGTGGCGTAGCGATTGCAGAACTCTCGCGCCGATCTTCCATCAACGGATGATTGGCAACGACATATAGCATATTTTTTTATGCGATGCATCACACTCGCATTGGTAGCTATTCCTGCGAAAGTACGTTGCCTGCGACGCTAGCTTGAAGATATAGTAACATTGAATCACTTATAGACGATAAGGTAACTTTTGGTCTATTTTGACTTCTAACTTGAGACCAAAAAATTTTGATATTGCTGATCCAAACCAATCAACTGTGACTGATATAGATCTTTCCCATAAATAGAGGACGTAAAACTACAATCGTTACGCTGACCATGCATTAGCGCAATCATTTATATAAAAAAAAAATTTTTTTTTTTTCAAAATTATTTTTCGTTGTTTTTGATAAAATCTGATCTGTAGTCAACGATAGTGTATCACTTATGCTAATGACTTATATCTGCGTTTTGCCGCGCCGTACTCATTTTGTTGACTCTTCCCGCTACGTTTCAACCTACACTATATTTTATTAGAAGCTGGCGATCTATTGTGCGTATATATGTGTGGCAGAATCTCCGGTGGAGGCGGGGTGCGTGCAGTACTTGCACGTGGAGGCGTGGCGGCCGACATACGGGGACGCCCGGGCCGTGCTCGACGACTGGGCGCGCCGCTGCCCGCCGCTGCTGGCGCCGCTGCTGCTGGGCCTCGACTACACGCCACACAGGTCCGACCATGCCCTCCGCTTTATATATTTAAAAACCATAGTGATGGTTTCACACGCTGCCTTAAGTTAAGGGGATTTTGCCAGTAGTTACCATGGCTGGCAAGCACGCTTGACAATCGCAGTTAGGCTTTGGTGATGTTTTAAGAGGGATATTGCTGCTTATTCTTCGACCATTAAATTTCCTTATATATTTATTTACAAGAAAACCAGGGCTATATTAGGGTAAATAGATAGATTTGACAAATGGTAACAAAATAGACTAAAAGCACTGCAAATGAAGCAACAAAAACAGGAATGAACAAAAAAATTGAATGAAAAAAAAATACAAAGTAAAAATTAAATGTAAATACTTGACTAAAATGTGGCTTTCCATCAATACAATACATATTAAAACAGTCTATGAGTCATAAAAATTGCTTGTTCTCTTAGTCTCTCGCTGATATTATATTTTTCGCCTTTTACGACACCTACGGGAAAATAAAGGGTGGCCTATTCCCTAGCCAGGGGAACCAGAAGATACACGAGTAATATGGAATAGAACATTTCTGTGTATATAAAAATAGAATTCTATAAAAGTTATGGGTTCAACCAGTCGGTATAGGGTGGAAAGCGATTATTAGTAATGAAGACTGAAAATCCTATTGCTAGCAATATACCCAACCAGGTCGACCTCCTCGCGGTTCTCCCTGGAAACTATAATGGTTAATTCCTGATGAATTCATCATGATGGGCTAACTGGCCTGTTTTCATTCTCATCTATCACCCTTCACTGGTGCTCCGCCAGCGTATCCTGTTAGCACAGGCGGGGTTACCATACCATTTTCATCCATAATTAAAAACCCGTCGGTATACTTGTTAATATTTTATAAATACGTGTTGCACAATAGGTTTTTTTTAATGGGTGATAATGGAATGGTAACCCCCCCTTGCGCTATCGGTATACACTGGCGGGGTACTAGTGAGTGATGATAAGTGAGGATAAAGTAGGTCAGTTATCCCATCGTGATGAATTCAACAAGAATTAGTCACGATAGTTTCCAAGGGGAATCACGGGGAGATCGATCTGATAATGTATATTGCCAGTAATAGGGCTGTCAAACCCTATTACTTGGGGGGAAGGGATTGTTAGTAATAGAGACTAAGCCCTATTGCTAGCAATATACCCAACCAGGCGACCTCCCCGTGGTCCCTCCTGGAAACCATCGTGCTGAATTCCAAGTGTATTGATCACGATGGGCTAACTGACCTATTTTTTTTTTTATTCTCATCTATCATTCCTCACTGATGCCCCGCCAGTGTATACCGTTAGCGCAGGTGGGGTTACTATTCCATAATTATCCTTTAAAAACCCCATTTAGTCATAGTCCTTTTCCCCCTGTGCAGCGGGGTGTCCCTGGACGTGCAGCTGACGATCGGGTCGTGGGTGTGCTGGTGCTGGGCGGCGCCGGGTGCGGAGGGCGCGTGGCGCGTGGTGCGGCGGCTGCGGCCGCACCGCGCGCTGTGGGCGCTGCCGCTGGCCGCGCCCGAGCCCGAGCCCGAGCCGGCGCCCGGCGACCTCTTGGCCACCGCCTACGCCCTGCTCTCCAGCTCGTGGGGACACTCCATACCGCTGGTAAGTCAACATCTTTTTCTCAAACATGCTTGAAAATGTGATAATTATTTTGATAATCTTCTTCGAGATAAATCAAAATTGCTGTACTGGCCAAGATACATGCGGGCAGCGGCCGGCAAAAGTTGTATGAAAATCCATATCTGTCGTGTTTTGCGGCCAGATAAATTACTATGTAAACTCATATCTGTCCTGTAATTTAAAAATGGAATAACCTTTTACTTCGAAACATGGCTACCAAGGAGGTAACTAATATAAGGTTTTATTTAAATTTCGAACTGTCTTGCAAATAGAAAGCTGTTTATTGAAAAAAAAAAAAACAAAGGAACATTATGGCGCGTGAAAAATTATTATTGTTCGTTATTCGTCATTGAACTTAAATTTAGCGTTTTAACTGAGGCATTAAACTTATTGCCTCAGTTGCTGGCTGCTGCAGTAATGTACTATTATTTTAATTATGTGCCTTTATCACATTGGATATGTGACGCAGGATATATACTATGTCAAGAGTTTCTATTGGCTCGGTTATAACTGACAAAATTAACAAGTATTAAATACAAATATAGATAGATAGATTGATTTGCTAGAACATTGTTTTTACAGATATTGATTTATAGTGAAGTACAAATGTTCGCCAGATAATCTAAAGCATGCAAAATCATTATTGGCTAGGTACAAGTTACATTACATCTAGTACATACATATAGGAAATTAATACAAAACTGGCGGGGTGATACATTGACCTAGTACGTGCAGTGGTAAATTAACAATTATTAAATTTCTTAGTAAATCAACAATTTTATTGCACTACATGTATGAGCATAGATATTTATTTTTTGGAAAACGTACAGCTGAATTACAGTCAATACATAATTAAAATTATACATAATGACACAATTGATCGGTTTATATATATATATATATATATATATATATATATATATATATATATATATATATATATATATACACATATACATACATACATATATATACACACATATACATACATACATATATATACACACATATACATACATACATATATATACACACATATACACATATATACATACATATATATACATATATACGCATATATACACACATCTATTATAATTAAAAAGTTATAAAATAGTCAATTAGGTGCAGCAGGGCGAGAACCATGGCTCCATAGTGTTTATAGTATTATTAACGTGGTACCTTTCACGCGCTACTATTCTTGAGGGTTTATGGTGTACCTCCACACACATAAAACACTGCGGTCAAGCGTCGTGCCCGCTGCTGGGTGCGTAGTGGCCATGATACTCGTGCTGGCCCGCAGATCTGCTCGCGCGGCGCGGCGGCGCTGCGGGCGCTGGTGGCGGGCGGGCGGGCGGCGGACGCGGTGCACTGCCTGGCCGCGCTGCTGCTCGCGCTATCGCACTCGCCCGAGTCCATCAAGCACGCGCACACGTCAGTACAACTACCTCGTATCGAATACTACGGGGGGGGGGGGGGTATTATGGTTTCTCCATTGCTACATGGAGGTTTATTTTGAATGAGTGAAATTAATAAGTCGAGTTTAACAGGTTTATAGCGGTGTCTGGTAGTGGCATGTCTATTTAACACGGAAAAGAGTTTATGAAGTATGTACAAGAAGGAGTTTATTCCTATTTGTCTTTCTCTTTGATATTTTGCTCTTTTAATGTAATGCTAACAATATATTTACAACTTAATGAATCAACAACTATATCTGACTATAGTGTTTTTTTTTTTATTTTGCAGTGATTTTTATTAGGTATTTAGAAAGTATACAACTATTGCAGGTTCACGGATGTGTTCACCACACTACTGAACTCCGGCCCGACGCTAATGCTGCGTGCGCTGGGACTAGGTGGCGCCAGTGGCTTCCAGCTCCTCATGCGACTGATGTTGGCGCAACTCGAAGAGCCACAGTAAGACTGCGCAGTTTTTTTTTTTTATAATTATGTTAGGAAATACACATGGTGGTATTATAGATGGGTTGCCACATTCACGTGCACAAGAAATAATAAGAATCTCATGACTGAGGGACCGTTCAATCGAACAAAACAAGAATAGAACCTGAGAATCTACCATGAAATAACATTCCGAATTTTCGGACTCATTTACCGAAATCGGCCAAAATCGGAAAAGTAAATGAGACTTAATATTTCGTTGGTAATATATTCTATCATAAGAGTCCAAAAGAACTATATTTTAATATTTTTAATATTTTTAAACAGTATATGTAATTTTAAATTTCGGTGCATAGAATAGACTTTGAGCGCTGACGAGTGTTGGGGAGGGACGAGGTCAGATTGCAGTGAGCGGCAATACTGTACGCAGTGTAGGTTAGTGGATACTTAGCGGATGCGGATGCGGATGCACAGATGCGGCTCGTTCCCGCGGGGCGCGCTGCTGCAGTGCTGGCTGCAGGCGGCGTGGCGGCCGCGGCTGGCGGCGGCCGGCGGCCCGCTCGTCGACGCCGCGCTGCTCGCCGCCCGCGACTGGCCGCGCGCGCACGCGCACGCCGCCGCCCTGCTGCAGGTCACCACCGCACACCGCACACCGCACACCGCACACCGCACACCGCACACCTCCCCACTCGCATGCGCTGCCTTACACGATCGTTTGCCATCTAGTTTTAAACCACACAGTACTTGACCTTCAGGGGTGTTCTCTAGAAATCTGTCCGATTCTAGAATAAGGGCATACGGGAATGCGACCCCGGCCTCCCGAGCCGCTGCAGTGTACCAGTCTTTTCCGTAACTGCAGTGTGCCACCCCTTTCCTTTCCCACATAAGTCCCTTATTCCTCTCATTCACCAATTTACGCATTTCCTTCCTTTTTTCCTCAATCCCTTCCTCCATACCGTAAGTGACGGAAACCACCAACAAATGCATTCCCAAAGAGGGTTGACATCAGGTAGGTGGCCGGTCGTAAAACTAAAAACCAAATCTTTTTGTAATATGGATAAAATCATATTACGCCGACCCCAAATGGTTGGGATAAGAATAGGAAGATGAGTACTTGACCACATGTGGTCTCCATTCTAGAACTTTTTTCTGTAAATGTACTGACACATTTACAGAAAAAGAGGCACATCCAATATCAACAGTCACTGGTTCTTTCACAAATGTACACAGTACTTCCTTAGATTAACATTGCTATTACTAGCAATTTATCGTATCGGGTTGTCCTTCACGCGATTCCCCTGGAAACTAACGTGGTTAATTCATTAAATTCGTTACGATGAGCTAACCTGTTTTCACTTTATTTATCTGTTTATTTTTTATTGCATAATAAAACTTTATACAAGTGACAAGCCTAATGTCATATAGCATTCTCTACCAACTAACAATTAGGTAAAAACAGAAAGCGTATTAAGGGCAGATGTAGTGAAGATGTGACGTAATTATTGTAACATATTGAAATAATTATACATAGACTTAGTAGATAAAAAAAACTAGGTTTCATATGTATGGGTTTTACATTATATATAAATATTAGCTGACTCGGCAAACGTTGTTTTACCATATACATTATTTCGAGACATATATATATAATTTTTTCGTACTACAATTATTATATTCGATTGCCATCTTTCAACCCTATTGCGGCATATAAAAATCTCGAATAAAAAACAGGGGTTGATCATAAAAGCGTGAAAATTTGAATTTGTATGTATTTTTCAATGCTTAATCATAAAAAAATAAAAATAAAAAAATTTGTCAAAAAATACAAAAATTAGGGGTGAGTCACCCTTATCATTGAGGGATATTTTTTTTTGTATATGTATGTTGTAATTTGTGTGCTGTAAGTAAGTAATGCAAATAAATTATCTGTCTATCTATATGAAAAATAGATGTTGGCCGATTCTCAGACCTACCCGATATGCACATAAAATTTCATAAAAATCGGTAAAGCCGTTTCGGAGGAGTTTGGTAACAAACACCGCGACACAAGAATATATATAATATATTAGATAATGAATTTTAATCCTCACCTATCATCCGTCATTGGTGCCCTGCCACAGTATGCCGAAAGCACAGGTGGCCTTACAATTCTATAGATACTCTTTATTGTTTTCTCCGAAAGATTACATTTTATTTTCATTTATTAAACAAAACTCCTACCCAACGTCTGCTAATCCTAACAAAAACACCCAGGTGAGTCTACTTATTCAAAGACTCCTCTCAATGAATATGTCCGTGACTTTTATTAGGAGTGTACGCGGGAGCAGCTGGGCGCATGGTACCGCACGGCGTCGGTGGCGCCGCTGGCGTGCGAGTGCTTGCTGCGAGCCGCGCAGGCGCAGGAGCAGCGCACGCTGCTGCCGCGGCTGCTGGACGCGCTGCACGCCCAGCGGGCCGCCGGCCTCAAGGCACACGTGGACAACGCACTGCAGGTACTCGCCACACGCCGTGAGCCGCTGCAATCTGTAGCCACTGTATTTTCTTTTTATGTGCTACCTCCAGCTTAGATGTGTAGATTAAAATGAATGAATAGCAGCAGAAAGATCAGAAAGAAGGAAGTGACAAAAGGCAGCCTTATTGCTAAATAGCGATCTCCTTCCAGGCGATCTAGAATAGCGAGGAATTAATTAGATAGATAAATAGATAATTCATTTGCATTACTTACAGCATACAAACAACAACAGACATAGATACACAGTGAAAAAATATAAAAGAATACATATCCAAAAATTAAAAAAAAACCTATAATAATATTAATCCCCCCCCCCCTTAAGTAGTTTGACCGATTTTTATTATTGTTCTCAGCAAATCGGCGCGAACGTACCATCGGATGAACTAGTGGTGTACCGCGCGGGCTCATGCGCGCTGGCGGCGTCGCTGCAGCACCCGGCGCACCTCATGCTGTGGGGACTCTTCATGCACGTCTACTTGCAGCGCCCGCCCTGCAGCCAGTCAGTACTACACCATTCTCTCTTGTTCAATATCAAAATCATACCGTAACCTTAAAAAGACTATTAAAAATATATATATATATATAAACCAGGATTATGATCATCCACCATTTAAACCGGAATCATGATATCGACATCTTTGGTAATTCTTTAGTGGCTTATTAATAATATGGATTGGTAATTAGGTCTTCTCTAATTGTATAATTGTTACTTGGTAATTATAATTGTTACATTGACGCTTATCTGTGAGAGCTGTATACGCCTCTAATTGATGTGTTCATATGGCCTTAAGCTTGGTAGTGAGGAGTGAGATGTTTTTGTTAAAGTAAACTTAGATTTAAGCATTTTTAAATAATAGTTTTTCACTTTTACTTACTTACTTATTTATTTTTTTGAAAACGTACAGCTGAATTACAGTCGATACATAATCAAATTTATATCTATGTTAAGCCATGAATCGTTTTCACATTTGCGTAATGATACAATTGATCGGTTTTTATATATGCAAAATACATACACACACACACACACACACATACACATATATATATATATATATATATATATATATATATATATATATATATATATATATATATATACATACACACGCATATAATATTGTATCAGATATAAATAGATGCTAAACAATTTGTGATAAAAAGATTTACTGTGCTGCCTAATAAAATGTAATAGTACGTATAGAACAGGAATGGGCAATAAATATCCCTGGGGGATGTGCTAATATACCGGCGCATCCCCCTAGGGATAAGATGAGCCACCCTATCTTGAGAGAGGAGACCTGCTCTTACCATCAGGGGGCGGGTCGCTGCCGTCGGAGATGTGGTGAGTGCGAAAGCGAACCCATGTCTCCGACATATGGCACCTCGAGGGTATATCGTCTGGTTTTTGGTGGGTACACTCCCACCTTACGGGAGGATTCCTACAGTACCCATTCAGCCCCCACAAGGTGTATGGGTCTGCATAAAGCATTTTCCAGACGTTAAAAAAAAAGGAATGGATAATATCGTTACCGGACGGGAGAAGGGATTGTTAGTACTTAATTAACAACCCCATTTGTTAACAATATACCATATCAGGGCAACCCTACGCGGTTCCCCCTGGTAACCATGGTGATTGATTTATTGTTGAATTCGTCACGATGGACTAACAGACCTGCTTCATCGTTACCTTTCATCCCTCACTGGTACCCCGCCAGTGTATACCGTTAGCGCGGGCAGAATTAACTCTACTATTAAGATCTCTTAGTCGCCCCATACGACACTCACGGGAAAGGAGGGGGTAGTCTATTCAATATCGAGACCACACGGCCAAAGTATAGAACAGGGGTTCCCAAACTTATTTTGTCTACTGCCCACTTTGAGAATAAATAATTTTTTAACGCCCCCATTTTTTCACCTACTTAAAAACCACTATTATTTCAATATCAACAAATCACCTATTTTTTTCTGTGTCTAACACCGCCCTTCCCCCCCCCCCCCCTTCCTTAGGCCTGCAGCGCCCACAAGGGGGCATTATCACCCAATTTGGGAAAGGCTGGTATAGATCATTATTATCTTGAATGTACATCATCATCTTCCTACCCTTGTCCCAATCATTTGTGGTCGGCGTAATATGATTTTATCCATATTAGAAAAGGATTTGGCTTTTAGTTTTACAACCGGCCACCTGCCTGACGTCAACCCTCTTTGAGAATTGAATGTACATATTAAATTGAATTGTATTATTTATGCAACAGGCACGAATCCACGTCACCAATAGGGCCGTTGTTCTTCAACGGAATAGTGAAGTCTCGAATGCTCACAAACATTAAAAAACGACTACAAGAGACTATAACATACCATCAGAATGAAGTGAAATCACTCAGCAGTACGTGCACTACTCCGAATAGCGAGACTGAAGGTAAACAACTATGTTCGAATGAAACGAAACGAGTCAAGACAAGTAGTGCAATCGATAGTGACCTGCCTCCCGGTTTAACGATCACCGATTTCACGGAGGAAGCAGACAGCGATACGAGCGACACTGAGAGCGAGGATGACCTTGAAGATGAGGAGGAGGAGAGGACGGGAGATGAGGAAGTGCAAAATGCAACCAGTCCAGATGTTGACGAGGACAGGACCGATCTGCTGAATTACCATGTCTGTGCTGAGAAGTGAGTATTTAGTTTAAAAAAGGTTACTTGTGTAAAAGTTGTTGTGACGTCACAGAGTTCCTTCTTTATTTTCAATGGACTTTTTTTTTATACAACTTAGAATGGCAAACGAAGTGGCGGGCCACCTGATGGAAAGTGGTAACCGTCGCCTATAGACATGAGCGGTACCATGGACATAACAGAGTATACTGTTTCGTCCATGATACTCCCCATGCGTTGCCATTCCTGAGGACTTAGATGTTATTCCTCTGTACCCAGTAAATTCACGTCATATCCCACCCTTCAAACCGAAACACAGCCATGCAAACACAACTGCTTTACTTACTAAGAATATTAACTTTAAAAATGTAAACCACTAACAAGTACTAGCATGTACTGAGACAAAATTTGCATGCCTTTAAATAAGGCGAAGGGTGTAGCTCTGTTATCATTTAAGATCATTTGTACAGACCACATTTGGAGCAGATAAATTGTTGAGAAAGCAATCCACACATTTCTTAATATGGCAACTTTATTAGTCTATGTTTGACGTAATCATATATAGAGTGATGCTCTCTGGTCGGTGTCTGGTAATTGTAAGCAAAATAATATGTCGCCTCTAATACATTTTATAATTTAAAAATATTAATAAATATACAAATATGAGTAGTGTTTAAATATAAACATAATTACTCTGCTTAAATTACTTCAAAAGAATATAAATTATTATTATTACGTGCAGGCTGCTCCGCGACTACTCGCGGTGGTTGGACGAGGGGTTGCATACGAGCGGTACGCCGCAACGCACCGACCTCTCGCGCTACATACCACAACAGGTACACCACATTCCTTTACAGTTACCCAGTATACAACTACTTCCAATACTTTGAAACTAGTTGCATGTAATTTTCACGAAACATTACATGAAAATATTACGAAACCTGTATTTTTTTAATGGATGGAAATGGTGTGGTATTAGTTCAGGCTGGCAGAGAACCACTTGAAAGGTCGGTGGACCGCTTTTTAGGTCAGAGGGTCCGAATTTGTCGTCAAAATGTATTAAAATTAAAAGGCAAATTTGTCATCAAAATTATGTCCGTCTTCTTTTCGGTCTTTTTTCCAAGTCCTTTTGTTTTGTCCCAAGCTGTCAGTTTTAATTGTAGAATGTTTTAGCGGCCAGCGATAAAACCGGTCAAAGAGGCCGCAACACCACTTGAAGATGACAGTTGATGGTAAAGTCAGAAAAGTTTGCTTATTGTGACAAGTCTACCAAGAATTACTGATTCTGATGAGAGTATTCTGATACTTCCCTAAGATTGACTGGGAGAGAATGCTTTTAGTATTAAGTCCGCATTGTACACATAGATGTACTAATTAATGAATAAATAAATATTTACCAGTGGCGGCTATTAATCTCCGTTACTAACCTTCCCATTCCGGGAGGAAAATTATTATTAGTAGTAGAAAGTAACAGCCCCATTTCTAGCAATCAGGTCGACCTGCATGCGGCTCCATCTGGAAGACATCATCACGAACCTGCTTTCAATCCTATTTATCATCTCTCACTGGTACCTCGCTGGCGTATGCCGGTTGCGCAGGCGTGGCAACCATTCCATTTTTTTTTTACAATACAGGGGGCAAACGAGCATGCGGCTCACCTGATAGTAAGTGACTACCGCCGCCCATGATCACCCACAACACCAATGGCATTGCAGGTGTGCTGCCGGCTTTTTAAAAAGGAATATACTCTTTTCTTGAAGGTTATGTTGTCGTATCGGTTCGGAAATACTGCTGCTGGAAGTTGATTCCAAAGAATGGTTGTGCGTGGAAGAAAGTGCCTTGAAAAACGCACGGTGGAAGACCGTCACTCGTCCAGATAATTGGGATGAAACTTTAGTTTGTGGCGGGTTGTACGGTGGTGAAAATCAGCAGCAGGTATTAATCCGAACAATTCCTCAGAACACTCCCCATGATAAATTCTGAAGAAGATGCACAGAGATGCAACATCTCTGCGCAGTTTCAGTGGGTCAAGTCGGACTTAAAAAACCTCTCCCCTTCCCTTCTCAACTGGTTTCATGCATGGAACTGTATTGTCTGGCGCAGGCTTTGTCAGCAGCATGGCAGTCGTGCTTGTCCCGCGTGCGAGCGACGGCAGTGGTCGCGGGGGCTGACCCGCTGCCGCTGCCCCCGCGGCCCCCGCGGCCCCCGCGACCCCCGCGCGCTGGTGAACAAGCTTCGCACTCGCCAGAGCCCACCGCCTTCGAGACAGCCGTCGCCACCATCCTCGAGATAAAAGAATTTTCCGACAAAAGGTTATATCAACATCATTATTCTTTTCGATTCTGTTTTTTTTTGTACAATTTAGAATGGCAAACAAGCTGACGGCCCACCTAATGAAAAGTGGTAACCATCGCCTATAGACATGAGCAGTACCATGGACATAACAGAGTGTACTGTTTCGCCCATGATACCCCCCATGCATTGCCATTCCTGAGGACTCGGGTGTTATTCCTCTGTACCCAGTAAATTCACGCCATATCCCACCCTTCAAACCGAAAACTTTCCTTTGAAGAAATACAAAAGATCGTTAATAATGGTTTTCTGATGAAATGAAGTATTCAAAACGTTCAAACTATAGAGTCGTGTAGAAAGTATAAAATGAACAGTTAAATTTTACTATTTGACACAGTGCATGTGACATGTTCCTAAAACAAGGCACGTAAACAAGGAATACGATGAAGAATTCATAAAGTACTATGTATAAATACGAGTGTTTAATATTAATATTAAAAAAGTTTCCCGCGTCTTTAGCTGCATATATCAGCATAACATAAAAAATAATCTATATGTTTATTGAGTTAAGGTTCACTTTTGAATATCAATTTAGGGTCACGCGTCTTTACTGGAATGGATATATTTGCTACTAACTTTAATTAATAACATCGCTGGTTTTAAACCTACGGCAGCAAAATTATTATTATTATTATTATACGGCAGCCGTGATGCGAGCGCGAGCCTAATTAGTCGAGCTTTCTCGACTAAATTACACAAAAATTTACTAAGTTATTGCATTAAAGTAAAATGTGTGCTTATGAAACATTTAACAATAAAATATATAATTATTGTTTTTCTTTACCGTTCCACAACACTTTCAACAAAAAATTTTATGAATTAGATCTCTTTTATGAATCCTTTTATATTTTGAAGAATAAATTTATTCAAAAACATGTGTTTAAATTAAATTGGCGCTCCTTTTTTTTTCATCTTTGGTACTTATGTATATTAGTTGCTTTGGATTTGTTATTAAATTTCGAGCGTGTTGGCCGTGGCTCTTCATGAATAAAAACTCTATATTTAAAAAACTGTTATTGGCACTATAAGGTCTATTGTTGTAAAACTGTAATGTATATTGTATTATTTAATAAGTGAATGTTTGTTACCATAAATAAATCAAAATAAAATAATCCTATGTAGCAGATCAAGGGTGCCAACACTGAAATCGCCAGTGGGCGACTTGTCGTACACAGACGCGCGCTCGCTGCTCGCGCACATGGACAAGTGCATCAATGACATCGAGCAGTTCGCACGGTGAGTGGCGCGACCATGTTGCCCGCATTGTTACCATCGATAAATTAGTACCGTCAGCATCATAAGTTGTTCAACATATTAATATACAATATGTTTACATAATATATTTATTTATTTATTTATTTATTATTATTTTTTTATTTATTTAACTCTTTATTGCACCATTAATAAAAATATACAATGACAAATGAATAATTCAAGTGAAATACAGTAATATAAATACACATTGAAATATACACATAAAGGTACAAAAGGCGGACTTATCGCTAGGGCGCGCGCTATCTCTTTAACAATAAGAAAAATTAGATTGACTTATATACATTTCTGTTGAGAATACTCAACTAATTTGAAGATCTTCATTCAGTTTCTACCAGAGGGAGACTTTGTATAAAAGTCGTTTGTTTGGGTACCTCTGTCCCATTCGTGTTTCAACCGTGAAGCAGTTGTGTTTGCATGGCTGTTTCGGTTTGAAGGATGGGATATGACATGAATTTACAGGGTACAGAGGAATAACACCTGACTCCTCAGGAATGGCAACGCATGGGGGGTATCATAAGCGAAACAGTATACTCTGTTATATCCATGGTACTGTTTATGTCTATAGGCGACGGTTACCACTTTCGATCAGGTGGGCCGTCAGCTTGTTTGCCATTCTGAGTTGTATAAAAAAAGTTATATACAGTTATGTCAAGTGCTTACAAGAACACCGGCAATAAAATCCTATATATATTATCCTATATATATATATATATATATATATATATATATATATATATATATATATATATATATATATATAATTCATTACACACATATTTATATAACGATATTTAGAACACAATATAAAAGATTCTTTTGTCTGTAAACTAAGTTAGCCCAGTAACCCATTGGGAGAGGCTCACTCCCAAACACAATTGGTAGAGAAGCTTCTATAGTTTGAATAATAGTAAAGGTTCTTTGGATTGTAAACTAGCTGCGAGTTAGCAAACTACGATATGTTGGTGTACGATGTGCGTGTTCCCCAGCGAGTGGTCGAGCTCGGTGTCGCGCGTGGCGTCGCTGGACGCGCGCCTGCTGGAGCTGGTGCGCCAGCTGCGCGTGCCGCGCGCGCTGCCGCCGCAGAGGAAGGCCTGCCCGCACCGCTGCCAGCCGCTCGTGCTCGTCCCCGACGTCAGTCCACCGCTACCTACCGACGTCATGGCTACTTATGTCAAGCCAATTAATAAAAAAAAAAAAGAGAAAAAATAATAGATTTTACTCCACAAAAATTGGCTTCAATCGTGTTGTAAACACACATATACGTATACACGCATACATACCTACGCACACCCACACACAACCAATACACCGTCAGATGTAAACGTACACATTCGAATGAAAATATGTATGAGTAGATTTAAAACACAATATTTTGTGTTTATAAGTAAAATTTATTTTATTTTATCAATTGGCTTTACTCCCGCTTTGTTCTCATATTTATTATGTCATGATTGAAGCTACCTATTTAATTATTGAATTTAAAACTGTTATAAAGCAAAGAACTTATAAACAAAGATGTCCTACTTCTAAATTAAAATTTTTACAAAATGAGTTGTCTAAATCCGTCCAATATTGGCAATGTAATCGTGCAAACAAGCTCCGAAAAGAGATGCGAAAATAATAGACTTTAACTGTTTTTTTTTTTCTTCTATCTCATATGTTATTAGAGTTCTAATTTCAAATAATTGTAAACATTAAAAATATTCCAGGTTCAAGAATGGTGTAGATCAACTGGAGCCGAAAATAGTATCAGAGAGAACAGGTAACCGTTGTCTATTGCCACAAGAATAAATGCTTTGGCATAATATTTATAATAATCTATAATATAAGTAATCATATTTATACACAAAAATGTATTAGTTACAAATTTAACTACTGGCATCATTATCTATACATATAATAAAACTGTTGAGGTTGTATATTTGTACATAGAAAAAAGACAAAAAAACGCTAAAAACCGAGTCTGGGGAATGTTAGAAGTGAAATAGAACACATCCAAATTTACATAAATTTACATATTTGATTAAATCTCATTGTTTAATCTTCCAATAGATTTATATAGTACTATACTTAATCAATAGATGGTATTTGGGCATGTGTGTGTTGGTTTGCCCTTGCCTTGGGTATAATTTAATTTTACTGGATTGGCAGTTAACGAATTGTTGTTGAAATTATGATTTTTAATATTGAAACTAAACTATATGAATTTACAATATTTTGAATGTATATATGAAAATGAAGAGGTGACGGTATATAAAAAGCAATTCAATTGTAACGAATGACGTGAATGTGGCTGCTGATTAGTGGGTCGTCGCAATTTGCTTCACACTTCACGCTCCTTTCAGCAACCATAGATTATGCAGTAACAGATGGCGTTGATAAAATTTAGGTGATTTTGGTATTATGTGGTAATTGTGACCTTATTACACGTTCGTCTTGTAGTAGATTAATAATTTTATTTCCTTTGGGATTTCTCTGTATTATTGAAGCGTCGTCGAGTAAACACTCATTGTGGTAATTTTATAATTGTTGTTCACAGAGCGAGTGCACGGGCAGCGGTGCGGCGGCTGATGCGACCGTCGCGAGTCGCCGTTCAGGCGGCTGTCGCGCTTCTAGCGCTCGCCAGGTATCTAACTAGTACTTTGCTCTACAATACAAAAATAACGTCTTCTCAAATTTTTATAAAAATTTTATGGGACCAATTTGTAAGTATATTCTTTCAGATAAAATATTAATTTTCCAAATCGGTTCACAACTGACAGAATTATGAGTTAACAGACATTAAAAAAAATGTCAGCTGAATTGATAATTTCCTTATTTTTAAAGTCGGTTATAAATACGAGTGGTGCCTGCGCAGGGCTGTGCGCAGCGCGGAGACGGCGCGGCGCGCGGTGGAGAGGGCGGGCGGCGCGGGCGGCGCGGGCGGCGCGGGCGCGGTGCACGCGTGCGCGCCGGCGCGCGACGCGCTGCTCGCGCACGTGCAGCTGCTCGCGCAGGTCCGCCGCCGCCGACACTCCACGCTCGCTTCTCATACTGCCGTCACTTCAATAGCACATATGCCAATCGCACAAAAATCGCTGACTCGCATCCGGCTCGAAGGATCAGAAAATTTAGTCGAAATTACCCTACACCTATGCTAATATTCATAGTAGAATGATAGTTTATAATAAGATATTTTTTACAACACAGGGGGCAAACGCGCCCATGATCACCCACAACACTAGAGGCATTAAAGAAAGTGGCTATGTATAGTGTAAGGATATGATGCAAATTATAAAATCACCAGAAAATCGTAGGCAACCCAAGTCGCTATCGTGTGAATCGGGCATCATAATCGCCGTTGAGTAGATCCCATATTCCTCGATCTGGTATAATATGTTACAGCTCAACTCTTACCTTGTCTCATTTCATATTTTATCTAGATATCGAGTCGAGATAAGAACGCACCGTTACAGCATAATAGATAGATAGATACTCTTTATTGTTTCCTCCAAAAGATTACAATAGTAAACTTATTATAAATATAAATAATTACAAGAAATAATCACAATGAGAAAACAATGGGCGACCTTATCGCTAAGAGTGATCTCTTGCAGGCAACCTTTGGATGGACGGGAGTAATTATAAACAATTTGGTGGAAGGCACGATGAAAAATTTTGTTAGTTCTAAATATGAGAGATGTTATACATATAATAATATAAATATAATCCCTACTCATTATTATATATATATATATATATATATATATATATATATATATATATATATATATATATATATATATATATATATATATATATATGTATATATATATGTATATACAAATATACATTGTTCAAAAAGATAATCAACTGCTTGTCTATTAAAAAAAATAAATGCAACTCTAGAAGTGGGTGTGCGGCGACGGCGCGGCAGTAGCGGCACTAGTGAGTCGGTGGGCCGGCGGCGGCGCGCTGCAGAGGTCGCTGGTGGGCGCGGTGCTGGAGCCGCGCCGCCTGCCGGCCGCCGCCTGGCCGCGCGTGTACGCCGCCCTGCTGAGCGCCGCGCTGCCCGACCACGTCGCCTTCAGCTACCTCTCCAAGGTACACACACATACTCATTCCCCAATCGCGAAACCAAATAGTATAGAAAAAAATAAATAAAAAAGGTACACACACATACATACCTCTCTCCGGGAGGAAAGGGATTGTTACTAATGTAGATTACTAGTCCTATTGCTAGCAATATATTCTGTCAGGTCGACCTCCACGTGATTCCGCCTGGAAACCATCCTGCTGTATTCCAGGTGTATTTATCACGATGAGTTAACAGATCTCCCTATTCATTCTCACCTATCACCCTTCACTGGTCTCTCGCCAGCGTATACGTTAGCGCAGACGGGGCTACCATTCCATTATCATCCATTAAAATAAAACATATCTCTCTCTCCTTTTCACACTCATAAGGGACACTTTGTACAAAAGTCGATTGCTTGAGTACCTCTGTCCCATTCGTGTTTCAACCGTGAAGCAGTTGTGTTTGCATGGCTATGTTTCAGTTTGAAGGGTGGGATATGGCGTGAATTTACTGGGTACAGAGGAATAACACCCGAGTCTTCAGGAATGGCAACGCATGGGGGGTATCATGGGAGAAACAGAATACTCTGTTATGTCCATGGTACTGCTCATGTCTATAGGCAACGGTTACCACTTTTCATCAGGTGGGCCGTCAGCTTGTTTGCCATTCTAAGTTGTATAAAAAAAAGAGCTAAAATAAATAGACATGCTACTACCAGACACTGCTATAAACCTGTTAAACTCGACTTATTAATTTCACTCATTCAAAATAAACCTCCATGCAGCAATGGAAGGACCATATATATTTATCTTTAGCATAATCTGAACCTTAGTGTACGCTAAACTAAATGCAATGTTTCATTTTAGTTCGAAATGAGTCGCTGGAGCGCTGCAGCACCGGCAGAGGCACGACGTAGCGTGTTAGAGGCGCTAATGACCGCCGTCACACGCTGGGGCGCCACTGTCGACCAGAACCATCATATGCTGCTGGAGGTAACTTCTATATTTCCATATTCTACATCAGCCTTTAACTATCCTGTGCTGAGGGTTTTGTCAATGGTTACTGCGCTTGGCAGGTGGATTGGCAACCGTACTTAGGCTGTAGCGACATTTTAAGAGGGTCGCTGCTGCCCATCTCTCGGTCATACTCAAAATTTATTATAGGGGAGACTTTGTACAAAAGTCGATTGCTTGGGTACCTCTGTCCCATTCGTGTTTCTACCGTGAAGCAGTTGTTTGCATGGCTGTGTTTCGGTTTGAAGGGTCGGATATGGCGTGAAATTACTGGGTACAGAGGAGTACCACCTGAGTCCTCAGAAATGGCAACGCATGAGGGGTATCATGGGCGAAACAGTATACTCTGTTATGTCCATGCTACTGCTCATGTCTATAGGCGACGGTTACCACTTTCCATAAGGTGGACCGAAAGCTTGTTTGCTATTCTAAGTTGTATAAAAAAAATAGTTATTATTAATTTATGTAGTCAATGACCACTGAATTCTAAATACTGTTTTTTGTCAGCCAATCTTGTTTATATTTGGCAAACTAAGTTTGTGTATACAATAGAACACGATAGAATTTTTATTCATTTATTCAATATACATTTCTTACCTGTCTACGTTTTGCGTTAAAGATCCAAACATACATACAATATGGCTATGTAGCATGCTTTTTTTAATGGGTGATAATGGAATGATAACATCGTCTATGTTAATGATGTACGCTGGCGGAGCAGCAGTAAGGGTTAATAGGTGAGAATGAAAAGGTAGGTCAGTTAGCCCACCGTGATGAATATACCAAGAATCCAGCACAAGAATTCCCATGGTTCCCAGGGGAGGACCATGTGAAACGCGATCTGACAGCGTATATTGCTATCAATGTAAAAAAAAATAGCTAGGAGTGGTAGTTGGCATTATTAATAAATCCTTCCCCCCTGTAATTGGTTGCGGGCAGCTACTGGGCATGCACTGCAGCGCGGTGGTGACCGCGGAGGAGGTGTGCTGGTACGTGGCGCGAGTGTCGCGAGCGGGCGCGAGCGGCCGCCTGCCGCCCGCGCACTACACGCACCTCGCCCGCGCCGTCTCCACACTCGCCGCCGCGCTCTCCGCCGACCAGGTATCTACCTCGCTCGTCTTGCACCACTGTGACAACCGCTGGGCCTAGCCGATATATATATATATATATATATATATATATATATATATATATATATATATATATATATATATATATATATATATATATATATATATATATATATATATATATATATATATATATATATATATATATATATATATATATATATATATATATATATATATATATATATATATATATATATATATTTTTGTTATATTTTTGTAGCTTTGTGTACAGCGCCTTGTATTCATATTGTTGCTACTTGTAAATACCTATTAGTGGTTTATTTTGTGATCCTAAAACTGTATCTATTTGCTGTAGTGTAGCCCTGGTTTTCCTATGAATAAATAAATAAATATACAATTCAACTGAAATTCAGTACCATGGAGTACAGATCAAAATATTCATATAAAGGTACAAAAGACGGTCTTTTCGCTAGGGCGATCACTTACAGACAACCTTTGGTTAAAGGAGAACATATACGAGGTCTGTCCGGAAAGTTCGTATAAAAGTGTTCTGGAATGCGAGAAAGAGGAGTGGGATTCTTCAGGTAAGCGCAGGACCCCTAAAGAGATGTCCCTAACAATGCTTCAGTTCTGGTCTGACCGCCGTGCGGTGCAACTGGCTTGTCACGCCATCTGTGAAGTACCTTTAACGAAACCCCGTCGGCATGGAGCCCGCTTCCGTTGAAGAGCAGCGCGTCGTAATCAAGTTTCTCTCGAAACTCGGCAAGAATGGCCGTGAAATTTTTGCCGATCTCAGAACAGTTTATGGGGATGATGCTGTGAAAAAAAACAAGTGGCTAAAAAGATTCAGAGAGGGCCGAGACAATGTTGATTGTTTTTTTCGATGTTCGGGGGATTGTCCATCAAGAATTCGTCCCTCCAGGCCAGACAGTTGATGGAAAATTCTACGTCGATGTGCTCAGACGCCTCAAAGCTCGTGTGGCACGAGTTCGTCCAGAATTGGCGCGAGAGGGGCGTTGGATTCTTCACCACGACAATGCCCCTGCCCACACCTCTCTTGTTGTCCGTGAGTTTTTGAGTAAAAATTCCATTAGGGTGATCGAACACCCCCCCTATTCGCCGGATTTGGCCCCGTGTGACTTCTTCTTGTTCCCAAAAACCAAATTGGTACTTCGGGGGCGGCATTTGGGGGACATAAATGAGATAAAAAAAGCTACGACTGGGCAGCTGAGAAACCTACAACCAGAGGACTTTCAAGGAGCCTTCTCACAGTGGAAACGGCGTTGGCACAAGTGCATTATGTCACAGGGGGAGTACTTTGAAGGGGATAAAATTGATTTACCTGAATAATTGTAAAATAAAATTTTTAAAAACTTTTATACGTACTTTCCGGACAAACCTATATAGATAGATAAATTTATAATTTATTTGTTTTATTTATTTATTTCTCATTGCATTCCATAATGTAATTAGTTTTTTTTTTATACAACTTAGAATGGCAAACAAGCTGACGGCCCACCTGATGGAGAGTGGTAACCGTCGCCTATAGACATGAGCAGTATCATAGACATAACAGAATATACTGTTTCTCCCATGATATCCCCCATGCGTTGCCATTCCTGAGGACTCAGATCCTATTCCTCTATACCCTGTAGATTCCCGCCATATTTCACCCTTCAAACAGAAACACAGCCATGCAAACATAATTGCTTCACGATTGAAACATGAATGGGACAGAGGCACCCACGCAAATGAAGTTTGTACAAAGTCTCCCTCTGATAAGTTGATAATATTTCAACTTCAATTATGGACCCTGTTGGGCACAACAAGTACGAGAAAGGAGAACAACCCCTATTTTTCACTTTAGAAATAGTACAAGAGTTTGTTACAATATTATCCAGTCATTGAAATTCACAATAGATGCGTATTTTGTGTATTATTAATAACTATTTAAGTATTGGTGTGTATCTATACATATTGTAATTGTAATTAATATTATATAGTTATTTAATATATTCTATAGTTCTTGCGTTACAGTATACAAATAACAACAGACATGCACAGTAAAAAGAGATAACAGAATCCTTACACAAAACAAAAGCAAAATATATAAAACAAGTAACATTTTTTGTTTCATGCATGTGCCATAGTAACACAAAATGGTCACAACTCAGTTTATTGTTTTGCCCTCAAAAGAGCAAAACACTAATATACTGTTGTGGCCACAACGCAGTCTTTAGATTAATTGAAATTCAAGGAAACCGTTTCATTGTGAAGCACACGAATGAGATTTGTCAACAACTCGTCAAGTTTTCTTTGTTAAATCTTTTTATTTCTTGAGGCGCTGTACCCGACGTTGACACTGCTCCTAAATAAAAATGGACGTTACTGATAGTTTATGCTATTTACATAAAAATTTACAAGCCTTTTATTACATTTTATAATGTAATAAAAGGCTTGTAAATTTTTTAATATATATTCTTTATTGCACTTAAACAATATATGCGACGATTAGTTTAACAACTTGTTAGCAAGGGAGGACTTATCTCTGAAAGAGATCTCTTCCAGCCAACCCAGTGTAGTTAGAGAGAAAATAATTTAATTTGGGTAATCCAGTGCAGGAAAGGTACCGGTGAAAATAATGTAAATATAACAAACACAAATTGTAAATAAATATATAAATAAATAAATAAATTTTCAAATATAGAAAAGTATGTTGCTAAGGTGTTTTTGCTTTTAATGATAAAACCCACCAGAAATGTAATATATCGGAACGTATTATTATGACAGCTGGGTAATTTGCTACGCGAGCTGGGCGCCATCTGGTGGGAGGTACGCAGTGGCCGTAATGGTGACGGGGCGCTGCAGTCGGCGGAGCAGCAGGCGTGCGGCGTGGCGGCCTTGCTGCGCGAGATACTCCGCGCGTTCGTGACGGCTGCGCGGGCGCTTAGCTACACGCCAGAGAGAGGTAGGTGTACGCACATGCTGCCTATATAATATTACGCCACTGTAAAAACCACGTGTGTGGATATAACCAAATTATTCAGAATTATTAATAAAGTCATATTTGTTTTGCCTTTTCCCATTTATTTGGAATCGACGCAGTATGTTTTCTTCTTTCATAATCCCTGTCAGCTGTCATTTCCAAGCTCATTCCTTTTTTATGCATATCTTTCACACAGTCATTTATCCAGTCGTGCATGATGTGACCATACTAAGACATCCTATTGCTTCACAATTTCTCCGTTTTTAAAAGTAATTTATAATATATCCTGTATACTGTCTAACACTTACGTAATATATTTTTCTCAAACATGCTTGGAAATGTGAGCATTATTTTGACAATCTTCTTCGAGATAAATCAAAATTGCCGTACTGGCCAAGATACATGCGGGCAGCGGCCGGCAAAAGTTGTATGAAAATCCATATCTGTCGTGTTTTGCGGCCAGATAAATTACTATGTAAACTCATATCTTTCCTGTAATTTAAAAATGGAATGACCTTGTACTTCGAAACATGGCTACCAACGGGGTAACTAATAAAAGGTTTTATTTAAATTTCGAACTGTCTTGCAAATAGAAAGCTGTTTATTGAAAAAAAAAACAAAGGAACATTATGGCGCGTAAAAAATTATTATTGTTCGTTATTTGTCATTGAAGTTAAAAGTAAAATTGTGTTTTTGATTTCCGCGCATTGTTTGAGAAAAGTACTATACAAGCCTTGGCCAAATAAATAAATAAATAAACATTATGATCGCACAGTGAGCAGATACGTGTGGTCGGGCGCGCAGGAGGCGTGGTCGCCGTGGGTGCAGCCGGCGCCTGCCGTGGCGTGGCTGCTGCCTGCACGCGCGGACGCGGCCGCCGACCACTACGGCGACATGCTCGCGCGCTTCGTGGCCACACTGCGGCTGCTCTGTGATGACTTCCCCGGTTAGTACACACGTGTGGTAATGGCTGGAAACAAGCCATATAGTATATTTGAAAAAAGAATTATTTCAAGTTTTTCATACCATTCTTGTATCTCATGATGTAATCTTTAATAGCTAAAATTTTATGTAAATTTATAAAATGTAAATAAATATAAAAACACTAGTGGAATTATAGAAATGGTATCATTTTGGAGTACGTCGCCTACATGTATTTACAGGGTTTCACTCTTCAGTACATTCTATTTTTTATTACAATTAGAATAATTCTGTTCGAATCATAGATTGTTTTATTTGCTCTTCTAATACAGTTAATTGTTTTTTTTTTTATATACAACCTAAAATGGCAAACAAGCTGACGGCCCACCTGATGGAAAGTAGTAACCGTCACCTATAGACATGAGCAGTACCATGGACATAACAGAGTATACTGTTTCGTCCATGATACTCCCCATGCGTTGCCATTCCTGAGGACTCAGATGTTATTCCTCTGTTCCCAGTAAATTCACGCCATATTCCACCCTTCAAACCGAAACACAGCCATGCAAACACAACTGTTTCACGGTCGAAACACGAATGAGTTTGTTATAGTAATATTTTATGTACTTATTTATGTATAGATTTATTTATTTAACATTCAAATATATGAATATATTAAATATAACTTTATAATTCTTAATACAATGGATTAAGATTTATTTTAATAAGATGTTTTGTCTGAATGTATGTAACAGATATGGAAGAGCACCTTCTGGGCCAAGTTTGGGAGTGGACGATACAGATCTACATGTCGGTGCATAGCGCTCAGGGTGCGCAGGAGTGCCGGCTGCAGATGTCCGCACTGCTGTCCGCGCTTTCACGTCTGCATTGGAAACGCCACCAGTGGTTCAGAGGGCAGCACTTGCACGCTGCACTGCAGGTACTGGTTTTTTATACTACTAGAAATAGCCAAGTATCGGTAAAACATGACGATAAATTTATACAGCAGTGAATGCGCTGACGCGGTCATAACTTGGATAACGCTCCCTGACGTTCATGCGTTAAGCTACATACGCTACGTACTGTTAGTGTGGAGCATTTGTTTAATATAAATTAAAAAAACATTTTGATATTTTTTAATTGAATTCACTTATAATCGTATTTTCTGATATTGCTCACAACTCAGGTTACATGTATATTTCTATAACTAATAACTCAACTTTTAAAATATTTGTAGTCTAGTGTTATTTAATTCATTATAATTGTTACTTCATTTTCTCGCACTGTATAACTATGTTAAAGTGAATGCTGTGAATACCTATAATAGGCGTGTGCATTAATATTGTATTATATTTATGGATAATATTGTAAAAGATCCTTAGAATATTTCTAAAGTGAAAAAAGTGTTGTCCTCCTCTCTCCTACCTGCTGTACCCAACAGGGTCCATAATTGAAATGTTATCTACAAATTATATTATGGAATGCAATAAGAAATAAATAAATAAATATATTTAATGTTTGTTATACCTATATGTTATAATGCAATATGCTGTTGGTGTTCCTTAAATAAATAAATAAAATAAATTAAAAACAACTTTTTGCCACGCACCAAAGTTATGTATTTAATATATTTACACAGTTAATAGTGCACTTTTAACTAATTTGTAAATCTACTTGTCTCGCGACGCGCAAAACCTTTGGTTCAAGGTTTTATTAAGTCTGGATGATAAATCCAACTAGTTAATTTTACTGGTCAGACCGGCGGGCAGGAACCAGAGGGCCTACCATGAAATGTTTTCCTAAATTTCAGATCGGAACGAAACAAAAATTTGATGTTAAAATTACTTGATACATACCGTTTAAAAATATTAAAAATGCTAAAGTATCGTTCCTTTTTACTTTTATGGTAGGATTTATAACAAATGAAATGTTAAGCTCCATTTACTGGGTCGATTTCGGTACGAACAAAAACACGAAATTGAGCCCGAAAATTCGGAATTTAATTTCATGGTAGACCCCCAGGTCCGTAGCTCGGCAGTAATTTTACTTGCTAAATTACGACTGACTGATTTAGAGTTTGTATCAGTTTATATAGGTATAATACTGCCGATTTTAATGGAAATAAATTATATTGCTGTCCAGCAATATGTCTACATGCTAAGGTTGGAACAGTACGCAACGCTATTCAGTACTGAGGGCCTACCATGAAATGTTTTCCGAAATTTCGGAGCCGAACGTAACACAAATTTGCTATTAAAATTACATAATACTTAAAAATATTATTCCTTTGGACTTTTATGGTAGGATTTATGACGAAGGAAATGTTAAGCTCCATTTACTGAGCCGATTTAGGTGTGAACGAAAACACGAAATTGAGACCGAAACTTCGTAATTTCATTTAATGGTAGGCTCCCTGTTTCTTTTCAAGTATACTATATAGACTATAGGTTTGTAATGAATTTATATCTGCGACCGCTTCCGACTTTAGATCATTGCTTATATTGACGTCTATATCGCCAGCGAGTGTACCCGTTTAGTGAATCCCGGCTTTAGTTGTACCAATTACCATAAAATGTTTCATGCCAGGGAGGGGTGCTGGTGCCTTGTGATACGGGTTCTTTGGATACCCAGTTCAGGCACCAGTTCTCTACAACATTGATGTGTCTATGGTATTATTCTAAATGTCTCATTGTACTCAAAAAAGTTGTGAGTTAAATAAATAAATAAATATATCTGCCTATTATTAACTGATAAAAAAAAAATTATATTGATGGCGTTTTTAATTGACATCTGTCATACGCACTTGTCGCGCAGATCTGCCGCAGCGCTGACAGGGAGGTGACGGCGTGGTGCAGCGCGACGTTGAGCGGCACGCGGGCGGACACTTGGGTGCGTGACGTCACGGCCGGGGGCGACGACCTCGCGCACAGGCTCGCCGCGCTGCTCTCGCTCTTCACTGCTGCCACCATGCCGTACTCCGCACAGGCGAGTACTTATAGTACATGGTATAATACCATAGACAATGAGGGTTACCAATGACCTGTTGTATTCATAGTGAGGTTACTGTTGCGGCTCCCGCGCTTCTGTAGCGCCTCAGCGATGTTTGCCGAAGCTCGCACAGATAGTTTTGATGCAGATAGTTTACCAGAGGCAGACTTTATACAAAAGTCCATTGCTTGGGTACCTCTGTCCCATTCGTGTTTCAACCGTGAAGCAGCTGTGTTATCATGCATCAGCATATGTGTGAGTACTCAGGAATGGCAACGCATAGGGGGTATCATGGGCGAAACAGTATACTCTGTTATGTCCATGGTACTGCTCATGTTTATAGGCGACGGTTACTTACCACTTTCCATCAGGTGGGCCGTCAGCTTGTTTGCCATTCTAAGTTGTATAAAAAAAATCTTTTAATGTTTTTGAAAAACATATACTTAATGCTAACCCTTGATCTGTATAAGTGAGGTATGCGAATTCGGATCCCGTCTGATCGAGCAGTCACCAGGCTACATTTTATAACCTAATATATTTTATTGCTGTAGCAACTGGAGGCGGCGTGCCAGCTGCCGTGGTGGTACCTACCGGAAGCGACGCTGGAGGAAGCCCTCGACAACTACTTCATAGAGCATTACGACCCCATGCTGCCGTATCACGACGCGCCGCAGTTCAGGTAACCAGTAACCACTTGTTTTATCTCTGTTTTAATAGACTATTGTCTATGGTATGGTGACATTTATTTTGCAAGCGTACCTTTCTAAAGGAAGGGGAGGGTTGCTCAATACGGGGACAGGAAATGGTCACACTGCACGTTTTATAAGTTCTATCTAATGTGTTTATTAAACATTGTGCCTTTCACCGGTGTGTTCGGTTACGATTTTTTGGAGCAAAATGTTCCTATTGCTTGTATGAGTGTATAATTTAATATAGCAAGTAATATATAAAAATATTGTATATTTATTTATAACGGGACAAAATTTTGTGTTATAAGCCCAATTTATAACTTTTTATTCCTCGTTATCTTTTATATCGATCTAGGAAATAATTCTTGTAACATATATTTGCAAAAATACAAACCGGTACACTGTTTGTATTTTTGTTGTTAAAAGAGGGACTGGCTGAAAACTAGTGCACTGGGACACTCACAGCACCAGCTGAGCCAGTTCATTTTGCCTAATTTGAGACATTTCTTATATATTTCTGTATTTTCTGTTATAACTATGTGTTTTTCTGGCAATAAATATTTTCTATTCTATTCTATAGATATGATTAAATAGTTTTCATTAAAATTTCTATGACGAATTATATATGTTTAACATATATTTTTTTATGGAAACATTAGTGAAAAGGCACATTTGTACCGCAGTGTGGTGGTGAGTGCGTGCGCGTGCGGCGTGCGTGCGGCGGGCGCGTGGGCCGAGCGTGGCCTGCAAGCGGCTGCAGCCAAGCGCCGCGCGCGCTTCGTGTCGCGGTGGCAGTCGGCCGCCGCCGCGCACCAGTTGCTGCAGCACGCGCCCGCGCACTGCGACACCATGCTCGCATTGCTACACGACCTCGGTATGGTTTTTATTTCTTATCAATCACGATCTTTGCTTACCTTCACATGGTCACAAGTATAATACTCATAAATTTATGTCAATAGAAATGAAATTCCATCAATAATTTCAAAGTCTAATCCCCCTGCATATTAAAATCCATTAAACACTTTAAAGAAGACGACCGGAAATAGATTAATGTAAAAAGCAAAAGTCGCACAAACAGAATGAATGAATGAGTATACTTTATTTGCGTTATACAATCATCGTCTTCCTACCCTTATCCTAATTTATTTGGGGTCAGCGAATTTTTTTTTATCCATATTACAAAAAGATTTGGCTTATAATTTGCATTATACAATATAAGACATAAACAAGACAATTAACAAATATAACGATACAATTGTATAAGTACAGTAAGGTAAACAAATACACTTAGTATAACGTATTTATACAGGGGGGGGGGGGAAGGGATTGTTAGCAATGGAGTTAGACAGCCCCATTGCTAGCAGTAAGCCTTATTAGGTCGACCTCCATGTGGTTCCCTCTGGAAACTATCGTGAACAATTCTTGTGATCATCACGATGAGCTAACTGACCTGCTTCATCCTCATCTATCATCCTTCACTGGGGCGCCGGTGTATACCGATAGCGCGGGTGGGATTACAACTCCATTATCACCCATTAAAAAAAAATTTATTATATACTTTGTAATTTAAGATCGCACATGATGGAAGGCGTGAGAAAGGTCTATGTACAGCAGTGGTTAAATACAAGCTGAAATGAATTGATGAAAACTGTTGGTCCCTTCAAGGAAATATACAGATTACAAAGATTATGAACTATATGTGGTAGCTTTTAATTAGCTTATTGTTGTCATATATATTTAATTATTAAGTTGTTATAGCTGTAAGATTCCCTCAAAAATAATAAAATTAATAAATAAATGAAAATGTTTAACACTATGAAGACATATAAATTTGCTTAACCAACGACATTTTGTCCAGCACCATATATAGAGGAGTCGAGCGGTGAACTGGAGGAGCTGTTCAGTCGAGCGGTAGTTATCATGTGCGTGGAGCCGGCCGCCGCCGCCGCGCTGCCGGTGAGTTAATAATAATTCATTTGCATATTTTTTTTTTATTATGCAACTTAGAATGGCAAATAAGCTGACGGCCCACCTGATGGAAAATGGTAACTGTCGCCTATAGACATGAACAGTACTATGGACATAACAGAGTATACTGTTTCGTCCATGATACCCCCCATGCGTTGCCATTCCTGAGGACTCGGGTGTTATTCCTCTGTACCCTGTAAATTCACTGCCATATCCCACCATTCAAACCGGAACACAGCCATGCAAATACAAATGTTTGTTTAATAATTGTTAATTTAGTATTTAGCTTACTGTGTCACCCCATCATTTTTATCTTAATTTTCTATTTTTTTAATGGGTGATAATGGAATGGTAACCCCACCCGCGCTATCGGTATACACCGGCGGGGCACCAGTGAAGGATGATAGGTGAGGATGAAGCAGGTCAGTTAGCCCATCGTGACGAATTCAACAAGAATTGTTCACGATGGTTTCCAGGGGGAACCACGTGGAGGTTGACCTAATAGGGCTAATATTGCTAGCAATAGGGCTGTCAAACTCCATTGCTAACAATCCCTTTCCCCCCATATTTCTATATTTGTATGTAGTATATAAGATCACTTTTATTTGCACTTTGATTATGCATTTTAAACTAGTGATTATTGTATGTATATGCACTATTGTGATAGCTGGTGTTGTGCCTGCAGGTGTGGACGCGCTGGGTGCAGGACGGCCGCGTGCACGCACGTGCGGTGCGCGCGTGCGTGCACGCGGCGGGCACGCTGACGGCGCCGCACTACTGCGCCGCGCTCGCCGACGCCGCTGCGCGCGCGCTGCTCGTACGGACCGGTTGGTACACTTGTTGTTTAACTCACCTATTGCTAGCGATCTATCTTATCACTTCTACCTCCACGCGGTTCCCCCTGGAAACCATCGTGATATAATTTTAGTGAAATTCGTCACGATGGGCTGACCGATCTGCTTTTATCGTCACCTATCATCTTTCACTGGTGCCCCGCCAGCGTATACCGATAGCGCAGACGGGGTTACCATTCAATTATCACCCATAAAAAAGTAAAGGAATGGTAACCCCGCCTGCGCTATAGGTATCCACTGGCGAGGCACCAGTGAGTGATGATAGATGAGAATGAAAGCAGGTCAGTTAGTCCATCGTGACGAATTCCACTAAAATTAACCGCGATGGTTTCCAGGGGGAACCGTGTGGAGGTCGACCTGATAGGGTATACTACTAGCAATGGGTTCATTAGACCCCATTACTAATAATCTCTTCCCTCCCAAAGTACTCAGGTGTTATACCTCTGTACTCTATAAATTCACTGCCATATCTCAGTGTTCAAACTGTATGTGCGATAGAGTGCGACGGGTGGGCAGAAGTGGAGGCGCGGTGGACGGCGTGCACGTGGGTGTCGGCGGCGGCGGCGGCGGCGGCCGCGCGCCTGCACGCCGCCTACGGGCTCGTGCACGCGCGCCCGCACGACCACCGCGAGCGCGCCTCTATCTTCCTCGCCCTGCTCGCGCTCGACATCGATTTGTAAGTTGTGCATAATGTCTACTTGTGTGTATCAGTGGCGTACACGCACATACGGACATTTTACACGCACACTACTCACATTTTATGTATTAAAGATTGCTCTCAGCAATAAGACCGCCTCACTGTACTTATACAATTGTATCGTTGTGTTTGTAAATTGTCTTGTTTATTTCCTATATTGTATAATGCAAATAAAGTATACTCATTCATTCATTCATTCATTTATAAAATTCTTATAGATTTTATATTTTATACAGATTTAAAAAAAAATCTTAGAATATATATATAAGAACTTGTTTATTTTTCGTCTATACAAATATGTCTTTATAGCTCGTTTCTCTAAATCCTAATGTCATCCGATGAACAATGATACAGCAGAAAGGTAATACGTACATCCCTCTCTCTCGCACACTGACCCTGTCACTTGAAGATGCGATCATGTACTCCGTTAAAATTATAATTGCGTTACAATATACCACCTGTGCATTCTTTTTTCAACGAAAGTAATCCTACATATACCATATATTATGTGTGGTCACCCCATAGGCCACCCCCTTCCTTTCCCGATGGATGGGTAGCAGCGTCCCTCTCCAAAGCCTAAATGCGGTTGCCGACTCGTCTGCAAAGCGTGGCAACTACTGACAAAAACTCCCTAGAAGGGTGGCTTATGTTCAGCAGTTAAAAGCAAATAAAACATTTTTTATGCATAACACAAGTTTATATTACATCAATCACTCCAAAGTGAAGACACGCTTAAATTTAAGAAGTTATTCGATCTAGGTGCTATCCAAAGTTTGTATTGAATGGCCCCTTGAATTAGGAATCGGAAATAAATAAATTGCTCTCAAGTCCTAAATACAAACTTAATTTTAGATTATTTATTTATTTTAGTGGTACAACAACAGATTACAAACAAAACTTTTAACAATAGAATACAACAATAGCATTATAAGTCTGCAGTCCAATTATAGTTGTACTAAACATTCACAGAGATGAAACAGAATAGGTTGATTTTTAATACAAAAAAGAATTAATGATAAAAACTACATACAAAACAAGAATCAAAAACAAAACTACCAAACTGTGCTTATAAACTATTAGGTTATCAATGTATGTAGAGTGCTTCGATATAATGAAAATTTCTGATAAAATATGTCAATATCCGATCTACAATCAGTGTCATTGTACAATTCGCACATTCTGTATATTGGATTATTATATGACACATTATTGTTTGCGAGCGGTATAGAAAAAAGTTATCATGTGTTTAAGAACCTTTGATATGTAAGTAAGACTCACACTTGACCATTTTATATTTCAGCCTGGAAAACGAAGTGATAATAGCTCTATGGATATGTTACGCGTGCCGCGTGGTGTGGCAGAGCGCGGACGAGGCCGCTGTGGAGGCGGCCGCCGGCGAGGAGGTGGGGACGGAGGTGGGCGTGGAGGGGGAGGAGTGGTGCGGCGCGGCGCGTACGCTGCTGGCGCGCTGGGCGGAGCCGCCGCGGCGGACGCTGCTGCGGCTCGTCACGCTGCAGTCCAGCACCGACTGCCCCACCGCCGAGTTAGTACACCACACGTGCACTCTCTCGTATTGATAAACATTGCGGCTATTTCCTTGGCTGATTATTAACCATTGTTTGCATGATTTTTTTTTATTGGTAAAATAAATCAAGGTGATATAATTCATTTTCAAAATTAAAGGAATAATGGTTAAAAAAATAAATTTTTTGGCAGGTATGTTTTTTCTTTTCTGCAATGGACATTAAAAAGGTATCCAGACACGATCAACTTAAAGTGAACTTGGTCTTTTAATTTTTGGGCATTCAATGATTACCAGAGGGAGACTTTGTACAAAAGTCGATTGCTTGGGTACCTCTGTCCCATTCGTGTTTCAACCGTGAAGCAGTTGTGTTTGCATGACTGTGTTTCGGTTTGAAGGGTGGGATATGGCGTCAATTTACATAGTACAGAGGAATAACACCTGAGTCCTTAGGGATGGCAACGCATGGGGAGTATCATGGGCGAAACAGTATACTCTGTTATGTCCATGGTGCTGCTCATGTGTATAGGCGACGGTTACCACTTTCCATCAGGTGGGCCGTCAGCTTGTTTGCAATTCTAAGTTGTATAAAAAAAGAAATAAAACAAAAAAGCTTTATTTTTCCTAGAGTTCTATGTATATTCAATTTGTAAATTACATCATAATTTATGATTGTTATATATGTTTCATACTATTATATATATTTTCCATATCTTGACATTATAATATCAAGATATAATTTAAAACTTGAATGAATTATGTAGGAAAAAATAGAGCCAGTTTTTTTAATGGATTATGAAATGGTAATCCTGCCTGGTGGTATACACTGGTGGGGCATCAGTGAGGGATGATAGATGAGGATGCAAAGGCAAGTCAGTTAGCCCTGTGTGATGAATACACCTGGAGTTCAGCATTATAGTTTCCAAGTGGAACCACGTGGAGGTTCGATTTTACCATATATTGCTAGCAATAGGACTTGTAATCTGGTAAATTGGGGGGAAAGGGATTGTTAGTAATGGAGACTGAGAATCCCATTGCTAGCAATATACCCAATCAGGTCGACCTCCTCGCGGTTCTCCCTGGAAACTATCATGGTTAATTCCTGATGAATTCATCATGATGAGCTAACTGGCCTGTTTTTTTATTTTTATTATACTTATACTATTACCCTTCACTGGTGCTCCGCCAGCGTATCCCGTTAGCGCAGGCGGGGTTAACATACCATTTTCATCCATCAAAAAAAAATCTGGTAAATTACTAATAATCCCCCCAATGATGAAACCAATTGGTGGTATTAAAGTATTGTGCATATAAATGATGATGATGATGATGTATTTCCGCCAGACACCGGGCGCTGTGCCTGCTGGCGCAGTGCATCGTGTCGCCGAGCGAGGCGGCGGCGCGCGCGTACGACGCGGCGCTGGCCGCGCTGCCGGCGGGCCGCGCGGCGGCGGCCGCGGGGGGCGGCCCGGCACGCCGCTCGCAGCTGCCGCACGTGGCCGCGCTGCTGTACCCGCGCTCGCGGCACTACTTCGACCTCGAGCTGCACCTCGCCACCGACCGCTGATGCTCAACTAGTAACAATATATATATATATATATATATATATATATATATATATATATATATATATATATATATATATATATATATATATATATATATATATATATATATAGTAATTCGCATTCAGTTGCGCGAATAGATAAGATTTTTTTTAAAATACAGCCCATATAAGTAACATGCTAGCTAATAAGGTAATTGTATATATGCACTATGAAAGAATTTTTAAAATTGATACATATTTTTAGATTATACAATACAAACAAAAAATTCTTTATAATAATAGTTTAGATACAGTATCATCAGTATGTATGCATCGTATAGAACAGGGAATGTTTATTTTGTTGTAGTACAACGGCTATTTCCTTTATCATCAAAATACCAATAAGAACTACGACTATAATCAAAATGATCATCGATATCCTTAAGAATCCTTCACCATGTACTCCCGGCATTGTATACGCCACCCCTTTTCTGTGCGTGTCGTAAGAGGCAACTAGTGGAGGGCGAGGGACTGGCAATAGCGTCCCTCTTAAAACATCTCTAAAAGCCTAACTGCAGTTGCCAACTCGCCTGCCAAGCGTGGCAACTAACAAAACTCCCTTATAAGGATAGGGAAGGATTATGTTCAGCAGCGGACAGTCAATGGCTGGAATAATAATAAATAATCTTTAAAGATCCTTATTTATTTATTCTTTATTGTACACAATAAATTACAACATATAATATATATAAAATAAAGATGTACAACAGACGAGCTTAACTCTGTAAGAGTTCTCTTCCAGCAAACCCTGAGTGGAAAGGAGCATTAATTACTAGCGGGCAGTGTGCGTACAATAATAGAAGGAAACATTCTTCCTTATTCTTACCCTTTAGGATGATAAAGAAATTGGCTAATAGAAACTACTTTTAGAATTATGTTCGCTTTTTATACTACATTTGTATTGATCAAAAAATTTTAAATTAATTACCTAATGATCTCGAGTTTACTATTACTTGCAAGGAAAGTGTTTTATACTATATATTATATTATTCGGGAAAATGTATAACTCCCAACTCGTGTGATGTACAACGACTGGGATCACTGATATTGACAAATGGACACTTTTTTTGCAACCAATTTCAATGAGAAGGAAGTTTTTTATTCGGTTATATTTTTTTTATGTCGATTACCTCTTAGTTCTATGAGTTCTAAACTCATTTGCAAAATTCTTTTTTATCTGAAATTTTATCAAAATTGATACAGTAGTTTAGTTTTTAAATCAAAATGACTGGTTTTGTCACAATTTAAGTCGGTTTTTTTAAGTGTAACACAATTTTTTAAATGGCAACTCTCAATGTAGCAATAAGTAACCTTCCAACCTTAATATTGTCAAAACCATTGGAGCCCCAATAGAGCCATAATATATGTATTATGTGTATATATAAAGTAACCTTTGTCTATGGAAATAAAAACACCCAGTGCCGACACGGTCCTGAAGTTAGTCGAGTGTTCTCTATAGGGTGAAATTTGCGTGTGCCAATATGGTGTAATTACACTATCGGGACTTAATGCGGCGCAATTGCATGTAAATAATACATTAACACTTCTTTGCATTTTTTTTTTATTGGTGAAATAAATCAAGGTAATTCATGTTCAAAATTAAAGGAAAAATGGTTAAAAAATAAATTGACAGCTATGTTTTTTTTCTGCAATGGACATTAAAAAAGGTATCCAGACACGATCAACTTAAAGTGAACTTGTTCTTTTATATAATTTTTGGGCATTCAATGTTATGATGGAAATTTCCACCATTATGCAAAGAAGTGTTAATTACATTAATAATGCAAGAATTAAAAGGCTTTATTATTATTATAGTACCTATATACCTGTTGAAATCGCGTTAAATCCTGATAGTGTTTTTAAAATATATGTCAGAAACGTGTAAGTTTAAAATTAAATTTGATGTAATTTTACTAAATATTATAAATGAAAGTTTATAAAGATATTTGATATCTATAGACATATATAATGGACATAACAGAGTAAACTATGACGCCCATGATATCCCTTATACGTTTTCATTTCTAAAAGATAAAGCTATTACGCCTGTGTACCCTGTGATTTTATTGTCATATCCCACCCTTCAAACCGAAACACAGCCATGCAAACACAACTGCTTGACGGTTGAAACACGGATGGGACAGAGGTACCAAAGCAAACAACTTTTGTACAAAGTCTCCCTCTGGTGTTATGCCTTGTAATTTCACTGCCATATTCCACCCCTCAAACCGAAACACAGCCATGCAAATAGATCTACTTGGCAACAAAAACATGAGAGCAATCGTATAGCGTTAGCGCAGACGGGGTTACCATTTTATTAGCATCCATTAAAAAGAAGAAATGGTATATGCTGGCGGGACACCAATGTGGCATGATAGGTGAGAATTAAAAGACAGGTCAATTAGCTTATCCTGATAAATATACCTGGAGTTAACTTTTGTACAAAGTCTCTCTCTGCTAATGCTTTAATAGTTAGAAGAATTTTCATGAATTTTGATACACTAATAAACCATTTCGTAGCTTAACATTTTTCATAGTTAATACGCGAAAAGCCGTGGGATAAATTTAGTTTAAATTGGCAGTAATTAATGAATGCATAAGGGGGAAAGGGGGTTTTAATGAATATTTATATATTTTGTAGACAATATCTTCACACCGGGCTTCTTAAAGGACGGACAGAGAACATCGATAAAATAAATCAATCGATTATTTATCGCTGCTCTCTGCCCGGCGATAAGAGAAGTATTTCAAGCGATTTATGTACAAAAGTATATATATATATATATATATATATATATATATATATATATATATATATATATATATATATATATATATATATATATATATATATATATATATATATATATATATATTAGTTATAGTATATAAGTTGTTTCATTACACTAGCTTCATAATTGGGAGACGAGCTCATTAAGTGTACATAGCTGATATTAAATAAGTAAATACCTGAAATTGTCGACAAAATGTATTAAAATTAAAAAGCAAATTTGTGATTCAAAATTATGTCCGTCCTTTTTTTGATCTTTACTCTAGTCATTTGTTCAAAAACTATAGTCTGTATGCATAAGGAATGCCATGGGTGGTCACAGTGTATTCTGTTATGTTCATGACACTTTACATGTCTGTAGGCATCTCTTATTGCTTTCCGTCATGTGAGCTGTTAGCTTGTAATTCATTGTAAATTACGTAAAAAGGTTCAGATTTAAATCGATTCTAATACGCCATTAGATTTTAACTTGATAAATATACTCATACTGATTTATTGTAATAAAAGTTAAAAATTAAGAGTCTGCTCTCTGAATTATACTCACCTGGTTTATTAATTCGAAGATTTGTTATTTATGTAAAAGTTATTGTTTGCGTGTCCAACCTTTGTTACCCAGGTCCCTTCTAAATGTGACTGAACTACTGTTTTCTGTATCTAGGTATATATAATTTAGACTAATTTTAGTTAATGTTTAAAATATTCATGTCGGCCATTTTCTTGCTATAGTCTATATCAATATGGCGGATACCTGAGATGATTTTAAATAAGTTTTCATTAGTATTTAAGTAATGTACCATATCTTTATGTATACAAACAAAATGTACAAAAAAAAATATATGTAAATTTGTATGATTTTTAATTGATTGTATGTGATTGATGTGGTGCTACAGAAGCCATGTAATTTTTATACTAATAAAACTATAAATTGCTTCGAAAAGATGTTTTATTTAATACAATATATACTTAGTGTACTCCTTATAGATATGACTAGTAGAAAAATAATAAACTTAGCTATACATAATGTTAGATATATACTATGTATTGTTAAAAATTACAATAAAATAACAAAAATAAAAAATCAAGAAATAAATAACAGGGAAAATTTTATTAGATAATAAAAATTTTATTTATTATAAGTTAATAATACTTTTTTATACTATGACACTAATGCATAGTACTATTGGTGATGTAAATGGTACTAAAGTAATGCCATAGCGCTATGTGCCCGATACCTAGTAGGGCAATGAAGAAATCTCCCTGTAATACTGCCATAATGCTGATAGTATCAGGAAATTTAATCTTCATTAGTATCTGAAACAATCACTCCCAATAGTAAAATATCCACTCTAGCCATTTCTAAATATTTAACAAATTTGCTTCGTCGATTGGAGATTGGTTATTTGATTGAATATAAGTAACAGATGCACGCCATAACCAAAGAAGTTCTAAATTTAAACAAAGTTTGCTCGAAATATATCCACATGTATGAAAACAAAGCCATCACAAAATAGAGGCTGAATGCTTTTCTTGTAAGACTTACTTACGTAATAACTTAGTATAAATTAAAATAACAATAATCTTTATTATTACGGGCTACAAAGGCTTACATTGTTAGTAACATAACCTTAACCTAATGTTAGAACATCTTACAATAAAATAAATAAATAAATAAAAGAACAAGAAATAATAAACTTTAGTCACCGCTGAAGCATCCCATTCGGGACACCACAACAGTGACCAATGTAAGGACAGTTCAACCAAATTTTGCTTATGTATACTTATTTATTTCCCCTTCCTTTTTCGTGACTGTCGTAAGAGACGACTAAGGGAACTTAATGATCGAGGGTAACAGCAGCGTTCCTCTTTGGTGATGTTTTCTCTTAAAACATCACCAAAGCTTAACTGTAGTTACCAACTTGTCTGTCAAACGTGGAAACTATTGGCATCCCCCCCCCCCCCCCCCCCCATTATGAGGAAGGTGTATGTTAAACAGTGGACAATTAACGTCTGATATGATTCTGATATGATATTTATTTATACCTACTTAATTCAAATTAATTCGACGACCTCTATAAATAAAGCACCAATTTGGTATGACAGTACCTACACGTGTATCATCATACCAGCCTTTAACTGCCTATTGCCGAACATAAGCTTCCCCCTAGGGGGTTTTGCACATTGTTGCCACGCTTAGCAGGCGGATTGGCAACCGCAGTTAGGCTTTGGAGATGTTTTAAGAGGGACGCTGTTGTCCATCCTTCGACATTTAACCACTTAAGCACCTCGAACGAGACCCTCTCGCGCATCAAATGTGTTCCGATTTGCGCTATTCCGAGTATCTCTCGCCAATTATAAATATTATGTTTATATTTTTATCTGGAGCGATACCTTCTCGCCTGTTTGTATTTCATAGAGTTTAGTGTATATTTATTGTATGCTCGTTCGAATTTAGTGCGTGCGCCAGTTGACCTCATTTCACAGAAATACCCTCTCATTAAGTGGTTAAGATTCCTTAATCGCCTTTTACGACATTCACGATAAAGGAAGGGGTGGCTTATTCTGTACTAGGACCACACGGGACTACATGTGTATATATTTTTTTTATTTTTTTTTTTACAACACGGGGCAAACGAGCATGCGGCTCACCTGATGGTAAGTGACTACCGCCGCCCATGATCACCCACAACACCAGCGGCATTGCAGGTGTGCTGCCGGCCTTTTAAAAAAGAATATATTCTTTTCTTGAAGGTTATGTTGTCGTATCGGTTCGGAAATACTGCTGCTGGATATTTGTTTATTAATTAGTACTTAAGATATACTGGGTTCAGATATTCCAGAAAATTTACATAGTTAACAATCATTTCGACTTGGCTCGTACAGTTCACTGCTTTAAAACACGACACATATTTGAACTATAAACAGTGTATTATTATATTTTGTTATCAAAGTTTAAGGCCACGTATTGGCACGTCACTGAACCTATTATCAATGCCCTAGATATATATTTATTTATAAATAATTCAGTTATACTCTATACGATTTATTATATTTAATATTTTAATTTTGGATTTTAAGATAAGCAGCTTAGATATAATTTATTGACACAAATATTTATATAAAGATTAATTTAAAATAATATTAAAATTTCAGGACATGTTTATTATATTAAAATAATAATAAAGTAACAGATTCATTGCGTTTAATGAATACTACCTATAAAGATTTGTATGCTATTAAATATAGTGAAACATACTGAAAATTAAAAAAAAAAAACTGTAACATCATATTTGTAACTATGTTTCCAACAAATAAATTATTATTATTATTTATATTTAAATATTTTACTGCAAACAATCACATAGTACGTGCTGTCGTTACAGCCTTTCTGATATTATGATTACGTCTAATGCAAGTATAAAGTATATAAATAAATATATAGTCCATGAGGAATAATATCAAATATACATAATCTTATCACTAGTTATACTACCACTATCAGATAGTGGTATCTATGTTGAAAAGCAATCTGTTTTATGATTTATACTGTTTCCTAGTCTAGATTCTAGATAAAGTGAACAAATATCTATATACGTATCGATTGCAAACAAAACGCAAATTTTCTTGTAGCGTTTCTTAAATAGAATCAATCACAGAGTAGTCAACGTGTAGCATTTTATATACTAGCGGATTTTAGAATAGAATAGAAATAATCTATATGGCGAACAGACTTGTTTACAAACTTTTTTAAACCGTCACTTTTTTTTTAATTTTATCATTGGGTCGTAATTTAGTTTTCTATTTCTTTTTAACGTTCTCTATGCATTATGTGTCTTTTTTTTTATCGTTTATACGTCATCGAGGTTCCTCCATATTTTAACAACGTGAATATGTGTGTGTTCATCTTAATACGAGTAAAGTCTTAAGAAATTACAGAAAATAAATGGACCCTGTAGATCCTTGACAACGACGGGGTCTCCTGTCGGTACATTTCCATCTATATAGGTATATCGGTAATGTTATGTAATTAATTATAAAACTAATATTTAAACAACAGATTTTTTTTTTAAATAAATCATTACCTCTGCTAACTTAGAAAAAGATCAGCGTGACAGATACAAAATCTGAAACAAAATCAAAAATGCCACAGCGTAGAAGTGTAAAGAAGAAATTACTCTCCAGATATGAATATCAACACTTCAAGTCGATCACAATAATCGTTCCCACTTTTTAAACGCTTACTATTTAGAAGAGGCAAGTCTCTTTCCATTGTGAAGTATAATAAGTGCTAATACAGCGGAGGCCGAACCGACGGCGCTGGCTTGCTGCGCGCTGAGGGTGCCGCCCCACAGCCAGCCCGGCGGCAGCCAGCTCACTGCGTGTATTACGTCCAGTAACAGCTTGGTGGAGGTCATGCACGCCTGCTTGTACTGCGCTGGGGCGCATTTTGTCCGGTCCGGTGATTTGAGTTGAGTCGCTTTTGCATGTAGGACTCGGATCGATCTGAGGACCAAGTTCCTTATAAAGAACCAGGGTGGGACTTTGTCCAAATGAATGTGAATAGGTACCCTATCCCACTAGCATTTTGCCAAGTACTACTTACAAGTACACTAGTAAAAAAGTTTTTTTTTTTTTTTAATATCATTTTAGGGGCTTTTACCTTCTTCAGGTATGTTTGTCCTATTGTACCCTGAACTGATTTCTCAAACAAAACTTTATCTACTTTCCCTAGACGCGGAAAGAGAAGAATTAATGGGCATCAATAATTTACAGAGATGTTAAAAAATTTAGTAAAAAAGTTGTAGTAGTGTTTTACAAGTAGGTACACTTGTGGTTTGCCAATTTCATCGATAGCAGGGAGGGGGAAAAGGAATTGTTAATAATGATAAGTACGTAAGTGAGTAAGTACAAATTATAAGAACTTTGAACGGAATAAATAGGTAGCATTAAAGTACAAAACGCGGAGTTATCGCTAATTTTAGATGCCATTTAATATTCATTCTAAAATTACATTCTTACTAGATAATTAAATAGGCAATTAATGCTATACATAATCTTGTTAATTTTTTTACGAAAATATATGTACCTAACAATTTAAGTGTAAGTAGGTACTCGTAGTAGATACCTACTTACAAATAGATATAAGTATAGATAGAAAATATATAAGTGATTTTAAAAACAGCATAGTATTGTGTCTAATTGATATAATTATGATGAATAAAATATATCTAGGTTCAGTTTTTTTTTTTTTATAATATTAACCTAGCTTTGTAATGATGCATGACTGTTTGGAAGAAGTCCGTCCACAGATTATAGAGACTATACTCCGTCATTATATTTTTTTCAATTCCAGAATGTGTTTCTTTTTTTTTTTATATAATAAAGTGATCTAAGGACAATTTTTTTTTTTTATATTAATTGCAATATCTTACCTGATAAATCCGACGAATGCTGAAAGCGACCAAAACAACTTATGAGCGGTCCTGACCCTGAAGTCTGTGTCCTTGGAGACGACTATGATGCCGGTGTCGATAAGGAACATCGCTTTCTCCGCTTGCAAGTACAGCAGTGAGAATACGCTGCTTGCCACGCCCAGAGTTCCCCATATTAGTCCATCCTGTAGTACAATGTTATAATAAAAAATACAAATGTCAATAAGAAACAAAATAGTCAAATTTTTTAATATTTATAAATAGAATAAAAGTAACAGACTTTTTTTACACAATAATATTACCTATTACCGATTTATATTACATTACCGGAGGGAGACTTTGTACAAAAGTCAATTGCTTGGGTACCTCTATCCCATTCGTGTTTCAACCGTAAAGCAGTTGTGTTTGCATGACTGTGTTTCGGTTTGAAGGGTGGAATATGGCGTGAATTTACTGGGTACAGAGGAATAACACCTGAGTCCTCAGGAATGGCAACGCATGGGGGGTATAATGGGCGAAACAGTATACTCTGTTATATCCATGGTACTGTTCATGTCTATAGGCGACGGTTACCACTTCCTATCAGGTGAGCCGTCAGCTTGTTTGCCATTCTAAGTTGTATAAAAAAAAGTTTTTTTTTTTAATTTGACTTTTTGTCTGGAGCTGCAGTCATATATATACAACATAGATATAGTCAACATATATACTCAGAATATATTTCACTGAATACTGTCATAGAAAATGTCCAATTTATATACATAAAATGTATTAATTTGTATTTTTTATACAATTATCGTCTGTTTGTAACATCAGGAATGTCATGCGCACGTTGCCAACCTTTAAGAACCCTTAATACACCCTTTTAGAAGGACCTAATGCTGTAGCCTCTAGGGAAAATCTTGGCGGAAGATCATGCCAAAACCTGAGTGTTTGTGGGAGGAAGCTCCTCTGAAACCGTATTGCGTGTTCTGGATCTAAGATAAGTATACCTAGTATATATCTACACAAAAACTTTTTCAGATTTATCCGTTTCTATGTTCAATATAGAGAACCAGTATTGAGATGCTGTAATAGCGTAACTCTTTTTATATATTTACTTATTGTACCTGCTTTCCAAGTCCATAAGCGCGCCAAGTCTTCAATGCAGCTGCATCATCAAAGAGGCGCATTGTAGCGCGCGCGGCGGACAGCCGACCGCTTGCTGTCAGCAGGTCCTTGCGCTGTGTAGTGGATCCCCATAACTTCAGCAGGTAACTAGTCAGTGATACCACCTACAGTCATTGAGTAAAAACAATAGTTTATTATAGTGCTTACACCTCAAAGATGGGGGTAAGGGATTGTTAGTAATAAGGCCTAACAGCCCCATTGCTAGCAATATGCCTTATTAGGTCGACCTCCACCTGGTTCCCCCTGGAAACCATCGTGAACAATTCTTGTTGAATTCGTCACGATGGGCTAACTGACCTGCTTCATCCTCACCTAGCATCCTTCACTGGTGCCCCACCGGTGTATACCGATAGCGCGGGTGGGGTTACCATTCCATTATCAGCCATTAAAAAAACAGCCCCATTACTAGCAATATGTCCTATTTTTTTAATGAATGATAATGGAATGGCAATCCCGCCCATGCCAACGGTATACATTGGCGGGGTGCCAGTGAGGAGTGACAGGTCAGAATGTAAAGGCAGGTCAGTTATCCCATCGTGATGAATATACCTGATTCAGCACGATGATTTCTAGGGGCCACGTGGAGGTCGATCTGACAGGGTATATTGCTAGCAATGGGACTGGTAGTCTGCATTACTAACAACCCCTCCCCCAATATATCCTAGGCTATTCCCCTTGAATACCATCGTGTATAATTCTTGTCGAAACATCACAATGTGTTAACTGACCAGCTTTTTTTATCATCACCTATCATTCCTCACTGGTGCCCGGCCAGCGTATACCAGCGTAAGCAGAGCTACCTTTTTATTTTCATCCTAATAAGTCCTTAAGTATAGACACCTGTTTATTGAACTCAAAATGTTTTACAAAACTTTTCATAAGATATATTAATGTTATTTATGAAGTTATGATCGTGTGGTTTTGCCACAGAATAGGCCACTTCTTCCTTTTCTGTGGGTCCGACGTAAAAGGCAACCAAGGAAAAGAATGGCAGCAGCGTCCTTCAAAAGCCTAACTGCGATTTCCAACCCGCTTATCAAGCGTGACCATTATTGACAAAGCCCCGAGTGGGGATGCCTACGTTGACTTGTAGCCAGTTAACGGCTGATATCATCATCATCATGGAGTTATTCAGATAGGTATTCAATTGTTTTCTTATAAAATCGTCGGGTACTTTATACCAAATCATGGGCTTAACCTTGAGACCTAATTCTAACTCTTAGCGTTTTAACAACTGAAAAAATTACTATAAAATAAACAATAAATGGTATACATGTACTGAATGGGATGGATAAGAATATAGGCTACATTATAGCCAGTAAAAATATACCGGTCACGCGGACGAAGCCGCGGGTAAATACTACTATGTATATAGAATTCGCTAAAATTTAAAAGTTCAAATTTCACACGATTCTTTTGAAAAAATGTTACTCCCTATTAATGTATCTTTCAATAGCTGAAAGAATTTTAAAAATCGATTAAGAGTTTTTTAGTTTATGAATTAACAAACATAAAATAACATCTTTTCTCTGTGTAATATTAGTTTGGTTGGTGAAAAGAAACGCAATAACATACCTTGTCACGATTAGCATGAGTTTGTAGGAGATCACAAAATTCATTTACCACATCCATTATCTTAACACTAATAACATGAGTGAAATTTTAAAACGAAACGAGTATATTACAAGTGTTTTTGAACTATTGTCATATGAATTAAATAATTTTATCATAATTCATATCTGTGTAATAATGTAAGATATTGTATATGCGGTAGTTCGGTGAAGCATGACAAAGTACATTAAAAATTTGCACTTTAGATAACACGACTTATGTAATTGGTATTAAAACATAGACTGCACTAAAAACGTTTATAAATATTAAAAATTTTGTATTATCTCAAGATTGGTACGTATGGCATTTAGCAAATCTTAGTACTTAGTTAAATTCATGTATGTACAGTCGCGTGCAAGAATGTTTGAACGTTTACTTTTTTATCACAGTGTAATTAAAGCTAATTAATGTACACTTGTTTTAACATAAATAATAAAGTTTAGAGATAAAGGTTTTAGTTTTAATATTTTATAACGACAGGATGATCCTGGGACAGCACTGGTTTTTAGACAAACACTATTAACTGTATATTATGAATAAATTTAATATTTGTTTTATTTTAATTTGTAATAAAAATATAAGATCATTTTTATTATTGTTTTATAATTGTATAAAATATAAACAACATACATTTTCCAAATATACTTTTTTTAAAAATGAAACAAATATAAAAAAATATAAAAATATTTTAATAGATTTATATACATCAGTGTCAGTTCTAAAATTCTTTTAATACCCAACATATATTCATATTCATAAAAATTTATGATAAATTCCATTTATCACACATACCCATGTAAAATTTGTAAAACAAGAAAGATTTACAAGTAGCCATATTAGTAAAATATCAGTAATTTCAAAGAAAACATTAAATTTGCAATTGCTTCCATTATCATGGGAATGCTTACAAAATATTTATTTAGGTCGGATTTGATGATCAAATTATTTTTAAAATCCAATTTATGATCTATTAGATAATTAATAGATCATAAACTAATTTATGATACTTAAAATGACGAGCAAACTGACCACATGATGGAAAGTAACCATCGTCTAATTATTTTTTATTACATTTGATTTTTGAAAATTCTTAACATAGTATTTAAGTAATATAAATTTTCCTAATACCGCTACTTTTATTTATTTGGCAATAATAATTGAGACAAAGGTAGGAAGATTATTAATTGCAAATAACATTTATGTACAGACAGTATATTACAAAAGTTTACTTAAAAATATAAATTTAAAAGCTATTTATGTGGTCCATTTGATAGTTTACGCCAATAGATGGCGATCACCCGAGACGCGTTACGCCATCTATTGGCGTACAATACTATATCAATGCTATTTGTAATTCAACATTTTCTACATAGCTACTTTTATTACCGACTGTACCTGTTACAAAAATAAATGAACATCTGTATAAATATATATATATATAATTAAAAAGATATATAACACAATTATAATATTTAATCTTACGGAAACCTTACATACAAGTATCATTGTATGTAATCATATATATCAAATATTGTATGTATCACTTACAATTTTTTACTCTATTTTGCAATAATTGCCATTATCTTTCTGTTTACGTTTTAGTTCTTCCTATCTACATATGTTACTATTAATTAATCAAATATATTTACAGATAAATGCTTTTTACGTCCAACATAAAAAAAATTAAGTTATCAAAATATACTATAAATTGAATAAAAACCAATGTCACAGTGTAAAAATACATCAATATGATTTCAATTTTGTATTCTATGGAAATTATGATATATCCTTTCGATGTTAAATCGAAATTATATGATCAGTATGAAATTTATAATAGATTTGAGCAAAAATTACTTTAATCCTGGCCGATTGGGGGGAAAGGAATTATTAATAATGTAGACTGAGAATCCCATTACTAGCAATATACCCAACCATGTCGACCTCCTCGCGGTTCCCCCTGGAAACTATCATGGTTGATTCCTGAATTCATCATGATGGGCTAACTAGCCTGTTTTCATTCTCATCTATCACCCTTCACTGATGCTCCGTCAACGCAGGCGGGGTTACCATACCATTTATACCCATAAAAAAAATCCTGGCCGGTTTATAGTAATAATGTGGTAAACAGAATTTTAATTACCATGGAATTACGTCATGGAATGTAGTGTCGACCACATTGAAATGTGTTTCAATGCGGTCGACACTCAGACGCAATTTCATGATAATTAAAATTCTGTTTCTTCAATATATGTGTATATTGAATTGTCGACAATTACAGCGTCATTGCTTTATCAATACATATAACAAAATCGTAACTGGTCGCTGTCTGTACATGGAAGATATAGAAGAAACACTATTATAGAGGGGCTTTATGAACGCAATAGAAACCAAAACAATGGTTTTTTTAATTTTCTATCTGTACGTTTGTGCACGTTAATCTCATAAACGGCTTAACCGATTTCTATGCAATATCACTAGTGCATTGCGATTTGTTCCACTTAACATTTAGTGTTTGTTTCATGTCAATCGGTTCATAAATAAAAAAGTTATGTCAAATTAAAGAATAACATATAAAATTGGCTGAAACTTTTTTTATTATATGTATTGATTTTCTATAATTCTGTCTACATGTGCAAAGCCGGGTCGGATTGCTAGTACACCATAAAACCTATGAAAATGTTTATAAAACATCACCAACTTGGAATCTCACTTTAATTTCTTAATAGTGTCTAAATACCATACACCACCACAACCACACCATGTTACCACAATACATATGGCGTTAACTATTTTAATAATCGTTTCCTCGCGAAGTACATCGCTATGCCGATGACAGAGGACGTGGTCGCAATAGCTGCGACGGTTGTGGAGCCTATCTTCTCGCCCCAAAGCCAGCCAGAGGGCAGGCAGCTGACCGCGTGTGTGATGTCCAGACACTGTTTCGCGGCGGTCACGTATTGTAATGTTAATCGCACATCGAGTTTCCTCCTTGCATCCGTGTCGGCGTTCTCTGAAGATTTCTTTAGGCAGTCTCGACTCCAGGACAGCTGGCGGATCGAGCGGATAGTTCTGTGAATAACATACAGACGCTGTTCAGTTAATTATATGGGCAAAGCAACCAAAGGTGTACGAAGACTAGTTTTTGGGAGGGGGGGAAGGGATTTTTAGTAATGCGGATCAGTCTCAGTGCTAGCAATATATGTCAGGTCGACCTCCACGTGGCCCCCCTGTAAACTATCGTGTTGAATTACAATTAATTTTTAATTAATATTTCCCATTTAGAGACATTACCCAGTTATAATTTTATTATATTAGTAAGATTGCATTTTAAATTGATATAGAAATTTTGTGAAAATCATATTTGTACAGAAAGAAAGAAACATTTTTGTAGTAGCTAATTATGGTATATTGTTTAGAAAGGCAAATAAAAGAATATAATTATGTAATCTTAACATACAGTCCACACACCAATCCATACACATGTACCTTACATCAATACGTAACGTACACAAACACACTACACACCGTCACCTAATGTTTTATATAAGTATTAGTAAGAAGAAATCGTTACTTTAGTTCGCAATAAAACAATATAGCAAGAAGACGCGTCATTTGATTATCTAAAATAAATCAAGCAAAAACATATTTGAACCTTAAGAACTACAACAATTTTTATTCAAGTAAACTTAGATTTAAGTATTTTTGAATAGTTACATTTTCTCATTGCCGCCCATTCGGAACGCAATTTCAGCTAAGATGATTTGGGCAAGAAACTCAGCAAAATTTTTCAAAAAAATTTAATTATATAAAGAATTTGTGTGAATACAAACTACTTTTTTAATAACTGTAGTGATTATAAAAATAACTTTTTTATAATTACTAAACTGTATCTAAAATCGGTGGTTATATATTAAAATTTTAATTTTTCGAAATTTTTCAATTTCAATCACACCATTATTTATTGGAATATATTTTTCATCTTATATATAAAATTCTCGTGTCACGGTGTTTGTTACCAAACTCTTCCGAAACGGCTTTACCGATTTTTATGAAATTTTGTGTGCATATTTGGTAGGTCTGAGAATCGACCAACATCTATTTTTCATACACGTCAATGATAAGGGTGACCCTCCACAAAATATTTTTTTTTTATTTTTTTGACAAATTTTTCCATTTTTATTTTATTATGATTAAGCATTAAAAAATACATACAACTTTAAATTTTCGTCATTTTACGATCAACCCCTGTATTTTAATTGCGATTTTTATATTTCTATTATATTATATTATTTCTATAATATTGCAACATTCAATACTTTCTGTCCAATGTTCAATTCAGTAGTAATATTGTGTCTTTGACCTATAGTTAATGTGGTAGATAACGGGTGTGAAGTCCAACATAATTATTTAATAGTTTTTGATGTGTACATAAAATCGAATAAAATAAAAAGATGAATTCCACAGATTTTTTTATGCAATTTACAATCATTTATTCATTACATCAGGTGGGCTGTCAGCTTGTTTACCACAAGCTGACAGCCCACCTGATGTAAAGTGGTAACCGTCGTCTATAGACATGAGCAGTACTATGGACATAACAGAGTATACTGTTTCGTCCATGATACCTCCCATGCGTTGCCATTCCTGAGGACTCAGCTACTATGCCTCTGTACCCTGTAAATTCACTGCCATATCCCACCCTTCAAACCGAAACACAGTCATGTTATGATGTTACGATAGTGTGAGCCCCAACTAAATCAATAGGACATTATATTTATAATTTTGGATGCAGGTAACTCGGGACAGTTCATTATGGCAGTCTATGGGTGAGGCCTATGTTCAGCAGTGGACAGTTAACGCCTGACAAGATTGAATGAATAATGAGATTCATAATTTTTTTTAGTCAATTTGGCGATTTAATAAAGACAATAATGAAACATTCATATTGACAATAATAACATATAGAGGTATAATACAACAAATTAATAATATTGCTGTATCCATATGTTATTTAATTAATACTGACTAATGACATTAAAATTGCATACCTACAATTTAAAGACAGTTAAACAGATGCTAAAAGTACTTTCATATGTCCTTTATTTGTTAAATGTCTGTTCTTTGCAAATAAATATTTCATTCCATTTAATACTTACTATTGTTCAGACAGCATATTAATTTAGATAAATGTGGTCCTGAATTCAATTTCTGGTCGAGTTATTTTAAACACATAAGTAATAAAATATAATATTTATATTGATGCTAATGATTCAAAATCGTGTATACTCACTGTATCAGAGAGATGTAGAGACTGGCGGCCCATAATCCGGTGCTGATCGTTTCAAATACATATGCTGTCTGAGGGCTCAGTTTCAAAACTCCTACATCATTCAGCCAACATATTTTTTCCACAGGCAGAAACGCTTGGTCCACCATGTTGGCGAGCACACCTAATGCAGCTGCTACCCTTGTGGATTCCTACAAATTTTGTTAAATCTACATTTAAAGATAGATAGATTTTTTTTTTAATTAATAATTCTAATAAAAATAATTTGAATTTTAAATGTTTTAAATTAAATTTAAATGTTCAAAAGTACTTCAAATAAAAACTGTCTAATTAGGAAAACAGTTTTAACTAAAAAAAAAAGGAGCAAGAAGTCTGCTGTTATACTATTTAACCTACTAAAGACAACAAGTGCATTTTTCAAAGTATTTACTATAATAGTATAAAATATATACTATAATTGGCTTCAAAAAAATCTTTATCAATATAACAATTCTCATGTTCATTATATACAATCTTTTATAATACATAATATAAAAGAATTTTTATGCAAAACATACCTTATATTATTTATTAAACTACATAAATTGTTTTTCATTTTTCAAAGTTGTTCAATCAATATTTTTATATAACTTATGTAGGTAAAAAAAAATTAAAGTTCTTGTTTATTACTTACATGCCTGCCAAGGCCATAGTTGTATGTGTGTCTAATCATAGGGATGTCATCAAACAGGCGCAGCATCAGCCTGGCACCGGAGAGCCTCGATCCAGCCGTCTGCCACGGCTTCTCATCTTTAATACAGCCATACAGCTTGAATACATAGCAAGCTAATCTCACAACCTGGTGAAGAGCAATAATAATCAAATTTAGTACTAATAACAAATTACAATTTCAAAACATGCAATGGTGTGCTATGTGGTGTGTCCAGGGTTAATTGTTTTTAAATATTTCTTATTAAAAAGATGAAGTACAACAGAAAGAAAAAAGCAATATTAAGTTAGTTTTAAAAAATATTTTAATAATAAACTGTTTCAGAGACATTTTTATGGATTATTATTTGAATTAAAATACAACTAATAATAATAAATCTATGTTGATGGAGTAAAATCATTAAGTGTCTCTGTTCTGTTTCATCCTTTTTGGATCATTGTCATCTTCAACATTTTGAATTATTCTAAAGGCAACTAAGGATACAAAGTATTTTTAACCAGTGTAAGAGAAAGGAAATTAGAAATATAACCCTATAACATGTTCTTTTGTCAGTATGCTAATAGTAGATTGTTTTCTCCTCTTAATGGAAATCTTACTCTTCCCACCTGTGCCCAGCAGTGGAATATTAACGGGTTGTTACAGTAAAGTAAATAATTAATAAACAAAAATTTTTTTCATTATAGTCAACTTTCCAAAGCAAGTATGTATCGGTATTTCAAGGCCGAGAGATAGTCGCATACTTTACCTTATCTCTCCCGTTGTAACTGTCCAAGAGTTCGCAGATATCTTCTAATACCGAAGTCATATTCACGAAAACTTTGATTGTTGCACTAAGCGTTCACACCGTGAATTTTGTCTACTGATAACTTATTAAGGACAAAACAGCACCACCGCGTACGACAATGTCGATTTACATTCGTTAACAATTACATTAATACATTCATTTCTCACTAAAATCCAAAGTTGCAGACCTTGAATTCGAAAGGGAGCAATCCAGCCGACCCCAGCTGATATTGACAAGTAATGACACCAAAGCACAAAACTAATTAGCGATGTGACGTCCAATATAGATATGATAGCTGTCAGTAACGTTACATCGTTGGGAGGTTGAACATACCACAATCTTTGTTCGGGTTTCTAAGAACAAAAATAGTATAAATATAAACACAGGAAAAATAAAATGATAGTAAAAAAATTTGCTGCAAACTTGAAATTTGGTTATTTATTAGGTTGACTTTGTAAAAAAGTTCATCTCGAAAAGTGGGATCAAAGACGTTATATAAATTTTTTGCAATTTATTCAAAAACTGAATAAATTTAAATAAAGAAAACAATGTATTTGAAATCTGTAAATTTTATATTAATTATTTTAATAAAAATGCCAATTTTTAAGGATATAAATTATTTGTAAGATCGAAAAATAATTTTGAGCATTGATTATACAAAATAACAAAAAATGATAAATTGTTTTTTTTTCTATTACTCTTTTTTAATATAATATATAATATCTATAAGAGTGTCTGTTATAGAATTTTAGAATTATAAATGATAAACTTCAATGTTTTTGCTTTATAGTAGTATTTGATTTTTAAATTAATTAAGTAATGATAAAGTTACAGTACTTTTAAAATAATGTTAGAAAACAATTATATGGGGGTGTTTCGCCGCACTTTATAAGATGTAAAAATATGCTATTTTAAAACTATAATATTGTGCTTCCCCTTTTAATGTTTTTTTTAAGTTGTTGTATAGTTATAAAATTATTTGTCTAAAACGGATTTTTTTATTTTCAAAATAGTAGGTCGACATAGGGTAGTATTATAATAAACATATCAATGACAATGACAGCAATTTATGACTGCGTCTATTTGATAGTGACAGTAGCATACCGATTTAATGTCAGTTACAATAACAAAATAAATTTTTGAATAAATAATTTCCAATAACTTTGTAAATAAATGAAAACAAACATTATTTTCTCAGGTTCACTTATGTTCATTGAATAGTTACGGATATTATATACAATATATAGTATTCCAGTTGAATATGAAGAGATTTACGATAAATGATATACCGGAATTTTCAAAAAAAGAGCGGATTGTGGTTGTTGGTGTGATAGGAAAGTCTCCATATCGGTACCCTAATAAAACAACCCCACTTTTGCCCTCAGTGAAATATGACGAGGTGTGTTTACTGTAATACGATTATTTTATTAGTTGAAAATTGAATTATAACGTTACGATATGCTCTTGATATTTGCTTCTGGGTACTCGTTAGACATAATAAGTAATGAACGTCAATTTGTTCATTATGAAGAATTTACAGGAGTTGAACCTGACGGCTTATACATTTAGCAATACTACTATTATATTCCTTATTGGCTATCCTTCCCCTACATTTCAAACTATAATATGTTCCAAAGAAATTAATAAAATTGTATATTTGATTATTATATGTATGTATATAAATTGCAGAATGGTATTGAGTGTCATTGGGATGAGCATAGTGGTGTGTTATACCTGCATGCAGTCACATACCTGGACACACAACGCCTGGTTGCCCTAACAGAGACCCTTGATGAAAATTCAAAGACCACAGAGAAAGATGCTGATGCTGCACACTGGTTGGTCGCTTCAGGAGAGCTTGCTGCTGATTCCTGTAAAGATATAGCTTTGCTGTTCCACCTTTGTCACATTGTGGTCCTCTCTTCACCGACTTCAGTGTTTGATCTTGGTTATCTGCAATTGTTTAAAGCCATTGATGCTTACAGGTAAGATTGTAAATTTATTTGTTTTTAAAAAATATTAAACAGACTAATTAATTTTTATTAAGTAAAATTTTGAAATATTAAAATTCATTTGTTTTAGAAGTGTAGTTATCTATATCAATATATATACACATTACACTATATATATATATATATATATATATATATATATATATATATATATATATATATATATATATATATATATATATATATATATATATATATATATATATATATATATATATATATATATATATATATATATATATATATACATTCACAAACATACTCTGTTATGTCTATAGTACTGTAGGTAACTATTATCACTTCCCATCGGGAGGGTTGTCATCTTCTTTGGTAATCTAGGTTGCAAAAAAATATATAAAGATGACTTTTTTTATTCTATGTTTTGTAATGGGAAACTAAAAAACTATTTAACCAATTTTTATAATTCTTTTACCTATAGAAAACTATATTATCAGTGAGTATTATAGGATGTATATTATTAAAAAAAAATAATAAAGAAACCTATTAAAATTACAATAATGTAACTCAAGATGTTAAAAATATAATAAGAAGAAATAAATATATAGATCAAAGCCAGTATAATATACTAAATTATCTCTCTATCTATTCATGTGAAGTTGGTGCAGATTGCTAGTTGTAGTATAAAAACTATTTTCTTTGAAAAAAACTTCTGTTACACAACAGAAGTATTTGTTTTAAAAAAAATAGTTTTTACACATAAATTTGTATGGTATTAATATGGATGTAGTATTAGTACACTGAACAAATAATCATTAAAGTCTTTTTCTGTAATTTTAGTTAATTTTTCAAGAATTTTTCTATTCCATTCCAGAAGAATTCCATACATTAGGTCAACATCAGGAATGTGTCGATTTGGAATGGAGTTCTTGTAGATTATTTTTATTTTACAGTCATAATAATGATAATCACTTCAAAAATAATTTTTAGAAATACAATTGTTTATTTTTTGTTTTATCATCACCATATCAGTTGTTATTTGTCTACTAGTGACTATAGGACCATTTAACATTTTTTGTTAATTTGTGGCAAATGAAGTTTATTATTATAATTATTATTTTCTCTCTTTTTTGTTCAAAATAGGTTGTTTCAATAAATGATATATGTTTTAGTTGGTCTGAGAACTCATTTCGCTTTAATAATATACTCATTCATTTAATTTTTTTCAGAAATGAATTATCCCAACGTACGACTACAGCCCTTATTGATAGTGGGCTGGACGGTGTGTGGGAGTCTCATGGTCGTTCATGTTGCCCGCGCTTATTGTTTCACTTCCGTCGAGCTCCGACACCATTGCGAGGGGCGCCAGCAGCTCTAAAGAGATTGGAGCATGCTGTAGAAGACCAACTATATTTTATATTGAGGAAAGCGAGAATTATTACTAATGTGTGGTGAGTTTACATGAGGGGGGATGAGATCATTTCATCATTTTAACCATTAACTGTCCACTGCTGAACATAAGCCTTTTTCATAAGGGGAGTTATGCCAGTAGTTTCCATGCTTGGCAGGCAGGTTGCCAACCACAGTTAGGCTTTTAGATATTTTTTAAGAGGGGTACTGCTGCCCATCCCTCTACTATTAAGTTTCCTTAGTCGCCTTTTATGATACCTACAGGAATGGAAGGGGTGGCCTAATCTATGCGGGACCACATGACTTCAAGGTAACAGAACAGAGAATAATTGTTAACATAAATCTCTGGCTCAGACTGTCTGGACTTATAGATCATGAATATATTAAGTGAAATGTGGTCATATAAACTGATACAATCTCACATTGCATGGTTTATGTTTTTTAAGAGATGGGAATTAAGACAATTGTGTAAGTAAATTATTATATGATAATTTGCTTGGGTTATCTAAATGTGTTGGCCAAATAGTGTAACCATCTGGAGTCAGGAATACATTAATTAATTGATTATTTAAATGATATGACCACATTTATGGGGGAAGGGATTGTTAGTAAGGCAGACTACCAGCCCCATTGCTAGAAATACACCCTATCCACGAGGAGGTCTACCTCTTCGTGGTTCCCCGTGGTTAATTCTAGTAGAATTCGTCACGATGGGCTAACTGATCTGCTTTCATCGTCACCTATCATCCCTCATTGGTGCCCCGCCAGCGTATACCGATAGCACGGGCGGGGTTACCGTTATGACCCATTCAAAAAAAAAAAAGCACAATTCATGTACCTATGTATTTATACATTTCGGAAATAAACAAATTCAAAATGTTTTAGCGCAAAATCACTTTTTGCAATACCGAAAAATGAAGAATTCGTGTACATGAACGCGGAGCAGAGCGCGGGCGGCGCCCGGGACGTGAGCGGCCTGCTGCGCGGCCTGCTGCAGCGCTGCGGCCCGCACGCAGACCACGCCACTGCGCCGCCACCACACAGGCCCAGCTTCAAGCAGTTCCTGCAGACTCACATAGACCTGGCCTTCGGAGAGGGCTTCGACGACAATGTTGGGAAATATGCCATGAGCACTTCGTTTTTTGAGGTAAATTGATAGGAGTTTTATCAGGTGGTGAAAACATAAAAAACCACAAAGATCAGAGATTCCCGAATTGGTTGATATCAACTCCTTGAGATTTTTTTTAATGGGTGATAATAAAATGGTAACACTACCTGCGCTATCAGTACACGCTAGCGGGGCACCAGTGAGAGGTGATAGGTGAGGATGAAAGGTCAGTCAGCTCATCGTGACGAATTCCACTAGAATTAATCACAATGTGTTCCAGGAGGAACCATGTGGAGTTTTTTTTTTGATGCGTGAAAATGGTATGGTAACCCCGCCTGCGCTAACGGGAGACGCTGGCGGAGCACCAGTGAAGGGTGATAGATGAGAATGAGAACAGGCCAGTTAGCTCATCATGATGAATTTATCAGGAATTAACCATGATAGTTTCCAGGGGGAACCGCGAGGAGGTCGGCCTGGTTGGGTATATTGCTAGCAATGGGATTCTCGGTCTCTATTACTAACAATCCCTTTCCTCCTATAGGGTGTATTACTGGCAATGAGTCAGTTACCGTTAGAAACGTGGAATAATATAATAATATGTGGTCTAGCTGCCGAGTGCGTCGTCGTGGCGGCAGGCGGCGCAGGTCCTGGCGCCGCTGTATGCGGGCGAGCCGGGGCCGGAGCCCCAGCCCGAGGCCGAGTCTGCCACGTCGGGCTCCTCCGCCGCCCCCGCAGCACCCGGCGCGCTTTACGATTCGCTTGCCACCGACGTCCGGTTCTCGCAGGCTCGCTGTGCGAAGGTATGTTTATTGTTTTATCTATTACTATCAATCCATCATGACTTCGATTTTAAGTATATACATATAATATTGCATATTTTTTTAAAATAATAATAGTACCAGAGGGAGACTTTGTACAAAGGTCGTTTGCTTGAGTACCTCTGTTCCATTCATGTTTCTATCGTGAAGCAGTTGTGTTTGCATGGCTATGTTTTGGTTTGAAGGGTGGGATATGACAGTGAATTTACAGGGTACAGAGGCATAGTAGCTGAGTCCTCAGGAATGGCAAAGCATGGGGTTATCATGGGTGAAACAGTATACTTTGTTATGTCTATAATACTGCTCATGTCTATAGGCGACGGTTACCGCTTACCATCAGGTGGGCCGTCAGCTTGATTGCCATTCTAAGTTGTATAAAAAAAAATAACGATATTTTGCTATCTCAAAAGTAGTATTGCATATCCTATAGTGTTTCTTACGTTTGCCTTCTTTCATACAGGTACTGCCTATAGCACAGGCTTCATACGCGGAAGGTCTACCAGCACATTACTCCAGTCAGCATCATGCGCACAAGGTATTTTTTTTTATTACTAATATATATTCTTTACTGCACTTGAACAAAAGATACAGCGATCAGTTGTTGGATGAAAATGGATTGGTAACTCCGCCTGCGCTAACGGGATACGCTTGCGGAGCACCAGTGAAGGGTGATAGATGAGAATGAAAACAGGCCAGTTAGCCCATCATGATGAATTCATCAGGAATTAACCATGATAGTTTCCAGGGGGAACCGCGAGGAGGTCAACCTGGTTAGGTATTTTGCTAGCAATGGGATTTTCAGTCCCCATTACTAACAATCCCTTCCCCCCCCCCCCCCAGCGATCAGTTTAATAACATCATTAGGATTTAGTGGGTTTATTATTAGTGATATCCAATATCGAAATCAAAAAATAAAAAATTGGAAAAATTGAATAATAAATGTTTATAAAATACGAACCCTTGGATATTTGCAAACAGCACAATGGGCGACAACAGTCTCGCAGTCCGTATGGACGCGGCAGTCGCTACACGGAATCGAACACTTGATGTCCCGACAAGACTGGGATCCACCGCACTCGCAGCCTAATTATTTAGGAGAGCAAATGTGAGATACATAAAAGAGAATTGAATGAGTAAATTCAATAATGTTATGGTGTATCACCTTTGATGAACTAAAGATTGTACTTCATTATTTATCGCAATACAACACTGCCCATAACAAACAATCATAACCAAAAGGCTTTAATCTATGTTTTTAGAATTGTGATGCAATAAAGCATTGTAAAAATCTAAGAACACTGTGGGCAAATAAATTGCGTTTGTGTTTGTGAGGGCGTGTGTGAGGGCGTGCGTGCGTGTGTGTGTGCAGGCGGGCGTGGCGCTGGCCGTGCTGGGGCAGATGGCGCGCGGGCCGCTGGCGGCGGCGGCGCGGGCGCGGCTGGCGGCCGCGTGCCACGCCACCTGGCGGAGCCGCAGCCTGTGCGAGGCGCCCTCCCTCACGCAGCATCCCTGCGTGCTGCCCGAACAGTGAGAACTAATACTTTATTTTCTTTTATTTTGCGTCCATTTGACGTCTGACAGCGAAAAGCAGTAATGGCAAAATATTTTACTTTAGAACTGTTCACACTTGTTTAAATTTACAGCGTTTGGAACTCAACTTGGCTAACTACTGATCGAGCGTGTTTCTTCCCGGATATATGTCTGTCACGATCAACACGGTGGGATTCAGCTTTTGATATCAAAATTGTTGATTGGAATTTATTATTCAATTGAAACAATAAAAGCACTTTCATCAAAACAAGTTTTGCAAATACACATTATATTTTGATTGAAACAAAAGCGGAATGACTGCGGATGTGCAAACTCGCATCATGGCCACCACGAGTTATGGCCCCAGACGATTACGAAATCTTCAAACTTGGTCTGAACTGAATTGGCTATCTAGGATCTCAATTGTACAAATATATTGCATTGTATATAATAATAAGAAATAAGAACGTTCTAGAAGTGAATTTCGAGTAATATGCCCGTCCCCCGTGCCGTGTTGTCCGGCAGCGACAGCAGCACGGAGCACTCGTCGGGCGTGCGCTACGTGGCGGCTTGCAGCTGCGGCCGCAGCAAGTGTCCGCGCGACGACCCGTACTCGCTGCGCCGCGCCAACCACACCTTCTACCAGCTCGCCGCCGACGACTGCGCCGGCTGCCACTCGCTGCACGCCATACACTTCCCCGTCTTCCAGCCCTCCACGCCCACCTACAGGTACCCACCAATATATATATATAATATATATAATAATTTTTATTTCAGACTTTTTGGTCCATTAAATATTTATTAGATAGATATATGATATAGATATTTGAACAAAAACTTCTCTAAAGGATATATAGGCCTTTACTGGCACTTTATTTTATTTTTTTAAGATAGCTTTACGGCTTTAGACATTTTCTCTTACCTCTTTAATATCTATTGCTCTTATTGTAGTTTTATTGTATTGGGGCTTAATTGGTTTAGAGGTGCGTAAAAAAACATATATAAAAAAAGAACAGTCATACACACTGGCTGAAGACGCTTTTAATGAGAATTTAGTCAGCAAATCAGCTTAGGTCCATACACACTGAATCTACATATTCGACTTTAGAAATACTGAAATCGGATGTAAATCTGGAACTCATTCTTGTACTACTACTTTATCGCTGCGCTGTTGAAATTAACGCATACGTATTTTTTTTTAATGGATGATAATGAAATGGTAACCCCGCCTACGCTATCGGTATACACCGGCGGGGCACCAGTGAGAGATGATAGGTGAGGATGAAAGCAGGTCTGTTAGCCCATTGTGACGAATGCAACAAGTATTAGTCAAAATGATTTTCAGGGGGAACCGCGTGGAGGTCGACCTGACAGGGCTTGCTAACAATGGGGCCATTAATCCTCATTACTAACAATCCCTTTCCCCCCAACGCATACGCATTACGTCACTTTACATCTATTTTATTTCATTGGTTATGATGATTTTCTGGTAGGTTAGCAATTGTTTCGTTGATAAATAAATAAAAAAAAATGTAACACTACAGAGCGGCCTCAGTAAAGGGCGCGTCAAGTCAAGAGGCGACAGGCGAGGGCGCCACTGCGACACCACCGGACGGCCCGGAACCGGATGGCGGCGAGCCGGACGGCGCGGACGGTCCGGACGCGTGGTCGGAACCGGACGCGCTGTCGCCAGGCGAGGCCCACGACGAGGATGATGACGACCGCTCGTCCGCGTCAGACAGTAAATATGTGGTGCCGGTGCGTGGGGATACCACTTCTGGTGAGTGAATAGTGTTATTACGGCGACGAGGTGAGCCGGGTCGTTGAGCTCCCTAAAATATGGTTAAGCGCAATGATGGCTGGCTCATCCGTCACAGTTAATTTTAAAATTTCGCGTTGTTTACACATATTTTTTTTTTATTACAACTTAGAATGGCAAACAATCTGACGGCCCATCTGACGGAAGTGGTAACCGTCGCCTATAGACATGAGCAGTACCATGGACATAACAGAGTATACCGTTTCGCCCAAGATACCCCCGATGCGTTGCCATTTCTGAGGACTCAGGTGTTATTCCTCTGTACCCAGTAAATTCACGCCATATCCCACCTTACAAACCGAAACACAGCCATGCGAACACAACTGCTTTACGGTTGAAACACGAATGGAACAGAGGTACCCAAGCAATCGACTTGATCACGACGTGGTGCAATCCACGTCGAAACGTCGACAATAAAGAAGCTGGTATGTAGGTACTATTTACTTGTAAAGATTTTTTCATCGCGTTAAGTCCCGATTGTGTATTTAAAATATCATCCGTCATACTCGTGAACGGGTGCTGCCTGTGGGGCCTGGTCTGCTTATGTTTATTTATTTATTTTATACTGAATAATACATATAAATAGAATTCAATGTTATTTATAGTCACAATACTTATAGAAACGTAAAATTATCTGGTACATAAATAATTTGAAGAGTAACTATGGATTTTTTTACGGTTTCTTCTAAACAGATAATATCTGAAACTACCTTTGACTCATTCCTAAAGTCCCTCTCTTTTTCTTTGATACTTTTCTGTATACTATAGATGGTGGATACCACTAACAAATGTATTCCCAAGGAAACCTTCCTTCTCAGGTGGACGACATGTCGTAAAACTTAGAATCATAAGTTTTTTTTAATGGATAGAAATGGTATAGCTACTTCGCCCACACTAACGGTATACTCTGGCGGGGTACCAGGGAGGGATGATAGGTGAGGATGAAAAGGCAGGTCAGTTAGTCCATCGTGATGAATACACCTGTGATTCAACATGATGGTTTCCAGGGGGACCACGTGGAGATCAAACTGACAGGGTATATTGTTATCAATGGGACTGGTACCCCGAATTACTAACAATCCTTTCCCCCTAGTATAGATGGTGGATACCACCAACAAATACATTCCCAAGAAAGTTGATGTCAGATAGGCAACAGGTCTTAAAATTAAATACCAAATTTTTTTATTATATGGATAAAAACATATTACGCCAACCCCAGATAATTGGGATAAAGGCAAGATGATGATAAGTCGATGATAAGATATGTGGCGTGTGTCAGAGCGCGCGATGACGCGGCAGCCGTCGACGACGGAGTACCTGCCGGGCATGCTGCACGCGGGCTCGCCGGCCGGCCTGCTGCCGCCGTTCCCCAGCTGGAGCCTGCTGTGCCTGGGGCCGTCGTCGCTCTACTCGCACGCGCAGGGGCTGCCCGAACACCTGCAGCCCGGCTTCCTGCCGCACACCAACTACCTGCTGCCCTGGGACTGCGCCGTGCGGTACGTACCTCCACTATTTATATATATTATTGGAGACTAATACTGTATTTACTAGCTGTATCCTTCGGTTTTGTCTGTCAATCAGTACATTAAGTATCCTATGTGCTAAGTTCGGATACAACTTATTCGTGTATCGAATTTTATTCAACTCTGTTCAATAGTTTTTACATGAAAGAATACCAAACATCTATAACAGAGTATACTGTGTCGCCCTTGATAGATGTTAAATTTCACCAGGAAGATTTTCTCAGACTTCTTTGAAAGGACGTTAACAAATTTTATTGAATTTTACCAGAGCCGTTTAAGGTAGGGCAAAAGAAATTTTTGCTAGGGCAGAAGTCATAATTACGTGACTTCGAAAAAGCGAACCTGTCTAATGTTATTGGGCCTTTCATTTTAAGGTAGGGCATTGGGCCTTTTAAGGTTGCCCATTGCCCCTCAATGTCCTATAGCCATGGAAGTAATATGAAGGTTGCCTGGAAGAGATAGCTCTTAGCGATAAGGTCGCCCATTGTTTTCTCATTGTAATTATTTCTTGTAATTATTTATATTTATAATAAGTTTACTATTGTAATCTTTTGGAGGAAACAATAAAGAGTATCTATCTATCTATCCTCCTATCTATGATGATGTATATGGTGGACAGCATGGATCAGGTGAGCGCGTGGCGGTCGAGCGGCGCCGCCGGGGCGGGCGGGCGCGGGCGGGGCAAGGCGGCCGCCCCGCACCACCTCACCGTCAAGATATTCATCGGCTTCGAGTACGAGTGCCCGCGCGGACACAGGTACGTAGCACTGCATACTGCTTGTAGTATAGTTACTACCTTCACGGCACTCGTTCACCGTGTATACCCCGGGATAGAATGGACCACGCCTTCCTTTCCCGTAGATGTCGTAAGAGGCGAATAAGGGAGGGCGAGTGATAGTGACGAGCATGTGATGGACGGGGAGACGTATGTACAGCAGTGGACGGTTAAGTACGTCGTTATGCCCTATCAGGTCAACCTCGAGGTGGTTCCCCCTGGAAACCATCGTGAACAATTCTTGTTGAATTCGTCACGATGGGCTAACTGACCTGCTTTATCATCTATCATCCTTCACTGGTGCCCCACCGGTGTATACCGATAGCGCGGGTGGGGTTACTATTTCATTGTGACCTATAAAAAGTTAAGTACGTCTACGTACGTACTACATACGTAAATAAGTTTCCCCCTTGGGGGTTTTGCCAGAAGCTACCATGCTTGGCAGGCGGATTGGCAGCTGCAGTTAGGTTTTGGAGATGTTTTAAGAAGGATGCTACTGTTAATCTCTCGCCTTCCCTTAGTCGCCTCTTACAATACCCACGGGAAAGGAGAGATGGCCTATTCTATGCCGGGACCACACAGTAAATTAAAATATCTATTAATACTGAACTATGATTGCAACACATGTGCGCGCGGCAGGTTCATGATGTCATCGCCGGACACGGTGGTGTCGGGCGGCGGCGGCGGCGGCGGCGCGCGGCTGGCGGCCAGCGACATGCCGCTGTACAGCAGCTGCGTGTGCCGCGGCGCCGCGCCGCTGCCCGCGCAGCTCATGCGGCTGCACGTCGTCACGCCCAAGGCGCCCGTCCACGTCACGCTCGACCCCAAGGTGCGCGTTTTCATCCTTATACCATCATCACCTCTCACTCGTGCCTTGCCAGCGTATACTGATAACGCAGGCGGGGTTGCCATTCCATGTTCACCCATTAAAAAAACTACTACAACACAGAAAGATAGTCGAATACTGATGGTATATGCAATGCGTAGGCGCAGCCGGTGCCCGGTGGGCCGATCTTCGTACCGCAGCCGGTTGGGTCGCCGCCGATCAAGCTGTCCGCCTCCGCCTACTGGGTGCTGCGCCTGCCCTACATGTACTGCGACGAGCGAGGCTGCCTGCCTCGCCCGCGGCCGCCGCGCTCGCACTCGCACCCGCAGCTGCCTCCGCAGCGGGCCGGCTTGCTCATAGCACCCGTCTTCGGCTTGCAGGACTAGTCAACAACTTACGAAATCCATTGATAAAGCTACGCGTGTGATCTACGTTGTTACATCGACGAATACCAGTTGTCAATGATCAGTAATTATGCAAGGTATGTTGGTAATCCATTCGAAACTCAAAACCAATGTGAGAGTTAAAGATATGCAAACAATTTGTTGTTCTAGAACCGTCGATAACTTTTAATGTTGAAAAGCAATTTACAACGAAATATATGCATCAAACTCAAAAAAGATGATATCTATATGTCAAAATTATTTAAAAAGGTTTATGTACCATTTTGAAACTTTATTTTCTTGTATACTGATAAAGCACGGAAAACGTCGTTCAGGAAACTACGATAATCCGACTCGAAGGACCATGATATATATCTGTCAGAATGCTAATGTTGATATTTAAATGAGAAATGGAGATAATAAAATAAAAATGTTATATTTATAAATTACTAATTATATTTTTATTAAACATATTCATATCGTATGCTCATGATTGTTATATCTATCTTCACGCCATGTCCTTTGCGAGGTTGGCAGAGAGAACTGACTGCCAAAGATCTCTATCCTTCCATATATCTCTTGCTTCCTCATGATTGTTTATAGGGAAATTATGAGTATATTATATTTTACTAACTACAAAATTTGTAAGCCAACACAAATATTGTAATGTGTTACACCTTTAAACGAGACATCGTCAAGTAATCCATTGAAACAACACCCTTTCAATCCCTCTCTTCCATAACTGCTTTCACAATCTTTCTTCTTTTCTAATCGAATATTAATGCTGCGTCAGGGTTCTATACCAGTCAGTTGTAGTTTGGACATCGAACAGCCAATATTAGCTCTTCAAATTTCGATCAATTCATTAAATGGTTTTACTTCGTTTAGTGGTGAAACAGGTGTTGCTATATACAATCCAAATTGTATAATAAAAAAAAGCAATAACAGTCGAAGAATGATCATAGATAAGCCGTTTTGAAACCTATTTCGACATTTATCTATGGTTAATCTTCATAGATAAATACCGAAATAATTTATCGCTAGATAATCTTCATTGCCGTATGCATGAAATGGAATGAAATGGCAACGTCTAGTGTTTTGTTCCTATGCGTGCAGCGACGAAAATGTATCTACCGATTGGTTAGCGCAGAGTCCTTCATACTAAATGATGTTGTGCATGTTGATTGTAATGCAATAAAATAAAATAATATTCACTAGCCAACTAATTGTACATAATAAATTGATTATATTTTGCCTTATCTAGTAAGTAATATTTGAACATTTTTGTTTATGACCTTAAAGTTATTTCTAATAAAAAAAAAAACAAACATACTCTGGGCCCACAATATTGCGTAAGTGGTCAAGAAAGGTTACTAAGTGAAGAGCTTTGTACTAGACGTTGTAACCGATGCACAAAATTGTAGAGTTTAACACATTGCATATTGATACCGAAAGTGGTAACTAAGGAAACCATGCATGATATGACAGTGCAAAGGGAAGGAATCTCAAAAGTCTAGAAGGGAAAAAGTTTAGAAAAATGAGGTTGTCCATTCACCATAATGTCAGGATTGTATAAGAAAACATTTATTTTCATAAATAATGTAATTTTTAGTTTTTACAATAAAGACCAATTTCGTTTGTGATTTTTTTTTTATACGACTTAGAATGGCAAACAAGCTGAGGACCCACCTGATGGAGAGTGGTAACCGTCGCCTATAGACATGAGCAGTATCATGGACATAACAGAGTATACTGTTTCGCCCATGATACCCCCCATGCGTTGCCATTCCTGAGGACTCAGTTGTTATTCCTTTGTACCCTGTAAATTCACGCCATATCCCACCTTTCAAACCGAAACACAGCCATGCAAACACAACTGCTTCACGGTAGAAACACGAATGGGACAGAGGTACCCAAGCAATCGATTTTTGTACAAACTCTCCCTCTGGATCAACTCAATTTTACATTACATTGATTTAGTACATTACATTAAAAAATGTATCATCATATCGGCTGTTAAATGTCAACTGCTACTTATAAGCCTCCTCCTAAGAGTTTAGCCAGTAGTTGCCATGTTTGGCAGGCGGATTGGCAACTGCATTTAGGCTTTGGAGATGTTTTAAGAGTAACATCGCTCGCCCTCCTTAATCGTCCTCTCATACGACACCCACGGGAAAGGAACGGGTGGCGTATTCTATGCCGGGACCACACGGGAAAATAAATAAAATAGTGATAATAAAATTAAGACTCTGTAAAATATAAATTAAAATTTCATATACAAAAACTACATAAAACTAGAAATTAAATAAAGTAACATTTTGCTTTCAATTAGAATTCACTCTTCGTTTCGTTCTTACAAAAGGTGTTTAAAATGCACATCATTGGAACTGTACGATTTACCTACCATCCAAGGGATCGGACGTGAACATGTATATTTTATTGTATATAAAATATTAAGACGAATTTCAATAAATAAAATTTGAAACTGATACTAGATAGTTTTTTTATCTTTTTCAGCTTCATTTTTTAATTTAGGCGTGCGTACACATATTGAGAATAACGAAAAATCTAGCAAATTTTTTGGTAATGTAAACTGGTCACTATGGTGTAACCAGTTTGGTCACAATACTTTTATCCAATACTGAAGACAACATGTCTTGGTTTATTTTTAGATAGATAGATAGATAAACTTTTTATTTGAACCATATTTTATTAGTATACCATACCATAGATTTCCTCGTTGCATTATTTTGAACGATTAGGTTTATTAATTATTTATTTTTAATATACATATTATTAAAAAGTGATGTAATAATGTAAGCACATTTACTATTGTATTTATTGTTTATACTGTTTGGTGCGAGAGTTATGTAATATTAATTTGTAAATTATAATATTTAATTGTATATATGTAATAAAGTATATACGCGGCGTAAAGTGCATTTGTTTTATTAATGTAGTAATAAAGTAGACAAAAATCCCTTTTATATATAATACAATCCCTATTTTTAGTAGGAATGTTTAAAGAAAAGGTAACATTTGTATTACTAGTTATTGATTTCGTTATAGCCGTTAACCGCATGACTCTATAGTTTACTAATTAATCCACAAAACAGTTTCTAAGAAATAGATGCGACTAACTCGGTTACAAAAGAGTCACGGTAATATGTATATCAATTATCAAATAGCGGCAGGAAATGGTCTATATTTATTTTATATTGATAGCACATCCATGTTAAAACGAATATAACGAATCGCCATTTCAAATTCATCAAGTTACTTAGGCTATACTGATATACACATATACACGAATAACATTATCTTCAAAATCGCCATTCAAGTAAAATTCTAGTATTTTCATATTTTAATAGTTGTCTGTACAGTTCTATATTCTTTAAGTTTGCAAAATTTGTAATATATAATTGTAATAAAGACGCTTTCATTTTAAAGACAAATAAAATTTTCAGTTTGGGAATTTAGAATGTTTCAATTTCCTTTTTTATAATTATTATTTTAATCATAACAACTTCTTTATAATTATTTTCTTTTTTTTTTCTTTTTATAAGTAAAAAAAAAAATATTAAATTATAGCATAGTATTTAAAGGTATGCCTTTATTATTAATTTATCAATAAAAGTAATATTTATATAAATTAAATTAGCATATTATAATATTTAATCACTAGTAGTAAGTTTAATAAAATTTATAAGTACGAAATTGATTAAAAATTACACGCATGCGTTTTTCGTTCTTCCTGTTTGACTTTGGGCGCGAAATATTAAAGTGTTTTTATTTCTTTATAACTTAAGTTTTTTATAAATATATATATCTAAGAAAAGAATATTAATGAAAATATTAAAAAAATATTCGTATTCGAATTTTAAAAGTAAGTAATTGAGCGATCTTTTATAAAACAAGTAAAAAGGATTGAATTTGGGCGTGGCGTGCAATAAGTGGGGGTGTCGTGGTGGGGTGGGTGCGGCTTCGTGCTTCGCAGCTCGCGATGATATCCTCAGTCGACTGTGCGCTGTCTTCGCGCGAACACTTGAGCGGGGACTCTGTCGGTTACTTGGCAGACTATCTAAGTACATCGAGACTTCGGAAAACTTTCAGCGGCACTCATGCCGCTTTTACATCGGGTAATATATCGTTTATTTCTTTTATTTTAAATTATATTTTTTTATCCTTTCAAAGCGGTTTATCTTTTTCAATATTTTTATATTAATTTTTTTTAATTTTTTTTTTCATTTTTATTTTTGCCTCAAAAAAATTTTCTTTATTACAATTTTAAATTTTATTTATATGCACAGGACAACAATCGTGGAAGCGGCGGCAGTTCTAATGAAAACCGCCGCTCACTAGCAGAATTTCTTGCGCTAGACACACGGCACCTAACGGAGCCGGCCGCAGCGCCCATCAATCTTCGCAACAATGTAAGTACTTTTAGAATTATTAGCTCGTTTTTAGCTCGTCTGTTAACCTAAAATCCATGCCAACACCACAATCTAAAATTTAAATATGGCGCCAATTTTTCCGTTTACCCTCCAATTTTCGCACAATACTTCTAGAAGTACATTGTATATTTCAACTAAATACTATACTTGTATACTTTTATTGTCGTAATTTTTCCTTCTGAACTGATAATTCAGACTAATCTGTTAAAACGATCGACTGATTGATACCTCTGACTACCCCCTACAAGGTATTGCGGTCGTAAGCATATTCAATTTTATTAATCAATAACTTTACTACTATATAATTTTATTAATCATAAATGTTCCGTACGTCTCATAACTTAGTAAAAATAAAAAATCACACTACCCTCAGGTCCCACGTTGGGCGCCATTTTTCTCTATTCACTTGGTTTCCGCGATGTCTTTATTTTTGCATCTCAATAATCATAACAGCGTCTGTAGGCTTTATTGTCCGTTCATAACGTTGCATACGACATCCGTTCGGATGTCAGATAATGTTCGAGGGGGCTGCCAACGGCGCCCGTATTAATGGGCGACTGGTGCCAAATACCGCGGCCGGATTGTGCCTTACTGCGTTTGCATTAGCTCCCACCGCCGCCAGCCGCGGCTTAGTATTTACCGTCTATTTTTATGATGAATAGGACACTCAACTGTGGTTTAACATTGGCTTAACGTTTCATTGATTGAAATGAAAGAAAATTAACTACCCTCGAGTCGCGTTAATGCCGTCCTATTTTTAACCGTTTAAAGTTTAAAATGGACAACCCTATTTTTTTTTTATTTTCGTGAACTCTGTAGATGAATAGGATACTTTGCTGCCGTATTTCTAATTAATAGTTAGCGTTTGTGATAAAAAGGCAATTTCTATTTTCAATTGAATAGTTAAAATTTGTCTACCCTCTAAATTAATAATCACGTCTTTTATATTTAAAATACGTGTAAAACCACCAAAATTAGTATTTTTTTTTATTTCTATAGTTTCTAATGTCCATGTTTAATGATTTTTTTTATCTACCCTCAAATCGTTTTATTTTTGCAATTTTTTTTTCGTAATATTACACAAATTTAATTTTCGTGAAAATTTGTGTAAAAATGCGAAATTTTACATTCTACTTTCTTTAATTCCCGACGCTACAAATTGGTTGTTACCGTCGATATAAATGATTAGGATACATAACTTATTTCAGATTTACAGTTTTAATGTTCCAAATGATATTTCGATTTTGTCTACCCTCAAACTAAATCCTTTAAATCCCGTCCCAATTCTCTTGCATTTAAAATTTTTATAATTTTTTTTTAACTTGGTTGCCCTCTTTTAATTTCTGGTGCTAAAATTTGTTTTTACTACTGTCTTGTTATAAATAATTAATAGAAAACTTATTTGCTTTCCAATTAAGTCATAGCGTATAGTATTACTATACACATATAGTAGTTTTTTTTCTAATCGGCAATTAATTTTGTTCCTTTTTACTCGATTAATTTTTCTTGTCAAAATTTTTTAAGCGACTTAGAAATGGCAAACAAGCTGACGATCCTAAAAATCTTATATTAATAATAATTCTAAAACTAATACTAACTATCTACATTCATTTATGCGTTTCGGACACTTTTTCTTTTCCCATTTCAAAATTTGTAAGTTCACAGTAACATATTAGAAGCATAAAAACCTATTAATTTTAAAAAGCCATTGAAAGCTCTTATAATCCACGACAATATACGAGTGCAATAAATAACCGTTACTTGCCAAGTTAGTTTAAAATCTCTGGTCTCCACAATACAACTTATACGAATGTAAGGTTGCAATCGCGCACTTGGCAGGCGTGTGGCCGCGTATTGCCGGCTATTGGCATGCTGTTGGCAATTTAATATTATTTGTGTAGGCTCTGCCAAGGATCAGACTCTAAAACGGCCCGCGCTCGCGACCCCGGAAAACCCGTCTTGATTTCACGCTCATTGACTTTTGGAGAGCGGTTCCTACGTTATTAAATGTAGGCGGGGGATAGTTTGGAATGGTTTCTCGGATACTGTCATAATCTATCCAATCTTATTTATTTTTATTTTATTTTTTTTACAATTTATTCCACTATTCATACAGACTAAATAACTATTCAGATATTCTGGTTATTTTTTTTTATATTTTTGAAAGTTTAGTCGAACTATTTTTTTTAATGGATGATAATGGAATGGTAACCCCACCTGCGCTTTCGGTATACACCGCCGGGGCACGAGTGAGGGATGATAGGCGAGGATGAAGTAGGTCAGTTAGCCCATCGTGATGAATTGAACAAGAATTGTTAATGATGGTTTCCAGGGGGAACCACGTGGAGGTCAACCTAATAGGGCATATTGCTAGCAATGGGGCTGTCAAACTCCATTGCTAACAATCCCATTCCCCCCTAGTCGAACTATTATAAACATTTATTGAAAATTCTCATGCTCGCACGATCCCCAGTTGTAATAGGACTTCAGTTTTATTTTTAATTATTTTCCATAACTTTGCAAATGTTTAAATTTATAATTGATCACTGTGTGTGTCTGTGTGTGTGTGATGTGAATGTACAGTTACCAACGAGCGGAATTAAATTTTTTTTTATAGTAGTCTTTTTATATTTATAGATGAAAACTTGCATCTAGATCACAATTGCTACTTTCCATCGTATACGCTTTGCATTTCAAAGGTTTTTTTTTTAACTAGTCTATACATCGATACAAATATTCTATGTAAATCGATCGATTTTTTTATACCACGAATGTGTCGAGCAATCATACAGCCAGTCTGATGCTAAACAGCGACTTACTATAGACACGTGATATTTGGAAATCCAAATCCTTTTTAGTTTTTTTTTTGTCATTTAAAAAATCAAACTAGCTTATTATGACCCACCCGATAGTTATAATATAACCAATTGATTTAAACGTCACCATGGACCTCATAGAAAACATTGATAGCGTATGGCACGTGTAACGAGTTGGTATTCCTTAGGAGGGTATCAGGAATGGCGACATGGACTGGCGCTGGGAGGAGCCGCGGAGCCCCGAGGCGGCGCAGACGCCGCGCTCGCTGGTGCCGCCGGCCTGCTTCCCGCCGCAGCACACGCGCTCCTTTTCTAGCTATAGGTAAGTCGTCAAAATCGTCTTTTGTCACAACCAGGTCGACCTCCTTGCGGTTCTCCCTGGAAACTATCATGGTTAATTCCTGATGAATTCATCATGATGGGCTAACTGGCCTGTTTTCATTCTCATCTATCACCCTTCACTGGTGCTCCGCCAGCGTATCCCGTTAGCGCAGGCGGGGTTACCATACCATTTTCACCCATCAAAAAAAAAAAACCAAAAATGTTAAAGTAGCAAGTGACTGCAATACTGACTTTCAGAATATTTCTAACGCCCAATTTTTCAACTTCAAAAAGTTCTCATTTGTCGTTGCTTAGATATGAAATTTTTTTTATACAACTTAGAATGGCAAACAAGCTGACGGCCCATCTGATGGAAAGTGGTAACCGTCGCCTATAAACATAAGCAGTAGCATGGACATAACAGAGTATACTGTTTCGTCCATGATACCCCCCATGCGTTGCCATTCCTGAGGTTTCAGGTGTTATTCCTCTGTACCCAGTAAATTCACGCCATATCCCACCCTTCAAACCGAAACACAGCCATGCAAACAAGTGTCATGGAAAACGCTACCATTCCTCAGGACTATGATGTTATGCCTTCGTACCAAGTAATCGTAGCAAGCAATTATAGTAGTTTATAATTGTTTCTTTCCGTTCAAAGGTTGCCTTTCTCGGTATAATATTTTCTTATAATTGTTTATATTTATAACAAGTTTACTATTGTAATCTTATAAAGGAAACTATAGAGTATATATCTATATTAATATTTACTTGCTCCGTTTAACAAATCTTGTGGGTACTTGGCAAAGTGAGATTTCGTTTAATTTATTACTCGCACGAGTCGCGCGGCTTATTTAAACGACTTGCCTAACTGGCATACATTACCTAGTAACGTGACGTATGCTACTCGGTTCCCGGTGCATTAAGTGCATTGCGTAGTAGTTTTAATGCACCAATTAAGCATGTTATTTTTGCAGTGAGAGCGCGCGCCCCGGCGGAGGCTGGGCCGAGGAGCCGTCGGGACAGGGGATCAAAGACCTTGTGGCATCTTTAGTAAGTACTTAAGAGTTATTTTTGTGAAAAAATAGGGTTTTTTTTTGTTTTTACATTAGTATTTAATTGCGAAATTTAAGAATGTATTTTTCTGAGATTTCTTTTAAATTGTTACTCAATATTCGAGGAACTGGTGTTAAATTTTTATATCCTATATTTTCACTTACAAAAACAGAAATACAAACGGCAAACGGCTAATTCACGGCAAAAATACAAATGGAACAGAGATACCCAAACGGATAACTTTTTTCAAAGTATTTCTTGGAACCATTATTTGCAACAATAGTGACGCATAAGAGAATAAAGTAGATGGAAAGAAATATAATAAAGTTTACAGGATTTAAAATTTTTTAAACGAAAGTTAAATGTTTAAAGGTACAGAGAAATAACAACTTTGTCCTCGGGAATAAAGGGTATCATGGGCGTTACAGTATATTGTTGTACATGAGCAGTACGCTCATGTCTATAGGCGACGGTTACCACTTTCCATCAGGTGGGCCGTCGGCTTGTTTGCCATTGTAAGCTGCATGAAAAAGTTTGCCTTTTGCAACGGCTCTACCAATTTTAAAATTTGCTATACATTCTAGTCGAAATATACAAGGAATATAGTCTACATTTCTCAGTCAATCTATTGGAAAAACATATTTTTTATCACGCGAAATCGTGGGTAAACACTAGTATAGTTCATGAGTGAAGTGGAGCGACAAATAACATTGTATGTATGTTCCAGAAGGCCCTCGCCATACCGGCAGCGGCGAGCCCCCGCGCCCTGCAGACTTCCATACAGGTGCGACTCAGCTATGAGGGACTCGAAAAGGTTAAAATTACACGCATTCACTTATTTTATATGGGGAGGTCAAGGATATGGCCTGGGATAGAGCTGGCTGGAAGAAGACGCATGAATTAGTTGCACCGACGACAGGGAACTCTTAAATGCACAGAACTTATTTTACAACAATGTCTGTATCTAGGCGATTGTTACCATTTCCCTTCAAGTAGGCAGTCAACTTGTTTGCCAGTTCTAAGTTGCATAAAAACTTAAAATTTTCACAAAAATTTAGTACTTTACGCTTTCTTTGCCTGAATCTATTTTGATAATTTTCATTTATTACTTTGTGTTGGTTCTACACTAATGTTAAAAAGTTTCGGTAACAAAACTACTTTTAACCGCTTTGAAAAAAAAATGTTTTATTTCTGTGTATATTTCGAAAGCTTTCCTTATTTTTACTAGTTGTAAAATTAAATGTAATTTCAAAACATGTGCCTACAAACATTTAAAATCATCCAGCAACGCACAAGCAACTCCTCTCGTGTTGCACGTATTCATGACGGTAGCCGCTTTCAATCACGCGGACCGTCTGATCGTTTGTCTGCCTAACATTAAAAAAGAATTACTTTTTAAAAAGTTTTTTTTTTGGAAAATTTCATATTGTACCCCATACAACTAGGCTAAAGTATAATTTTTATTTTTTCCTTTCTCATCTTAATTGCAACTTTTTTTTTATTAAATTATAAATAATAAATATAATAATAATTAAATTATTATTTTGTCGTCAGATACAGGATAAAGGTGACTGAAAACTATTAAAAATAGGTTTATCAAATGCGTTATCAATAACTTGTTAATGTTGTTCCTAGGTGGAGCCACCGTGGCCTCCAGAGCAGGCCAAGTCGAACGTGCATGCACGCGACGACAGGGCGCTGGCTCGACGCGCCTCCTTTTGTGAGTACCTACCTTCCTAACTTCTATGAAATATAATCTATTATTGTCAGTCGTTAATTGCCCATTATTGAACAAGATTCTTTGCCCATAAGGGGGGGGGGGGGGGCTATGCCAGTAGTTGCCACGCTTCACATGCTGCCTTGTTAAAGTTTTCCGAAGCAAAAACAATTTTCAATAAGTTTCTCAATTCGATTTTTTATCACCTCATAACTCCGTCATTATGAATAGATTTCGAAGAATCTACTTTTATGTAAAAAAAAACTTTCATATTGGCTCCATAGAAATCTTGTGAAAATCTGTTTAGTTGTTTGGTTTTTAAATTAAAATAGGTTTTGCTACTATTAAAGTTTTTTTTGTTGAGTAAAATATTAAATTATTACAATAAATTGTCTGTATGTTTATGTAAATAATGTATATCAACAGGTGGCGTAATGTCCGGAGGGCGCATGAACGAATGGCGCGATAACGCGGGTAGGAATGGCGGAGCCTCGGGTTCAGGGCTGGTCGGGCTGGGGCTGGGGCTGGGTTTAGGTGTGGGCGTGGATCTAGGGTTGACCACTGGCGAGCCACTTTTGTGGACCGGCACACTACCACCACGGTGTTCAGATCCTAGCGGCGGGTTCTCGCCCAAAGTATTCCTGGGCGGGCTCCCCTGGGATATCACGGAACACGCCCTCATGAACGCGCTGGAACTGTTCCATCCGATACGGTATGTATTTTTTTTTATAATCAATTTAGAATAGCAAACAAGCTGACGTCCCACCTGATGCAAAGTGGTAACCGTCGCCTATAGACATGAGCAGTACCATGGACATAACAGAGTATACCGTTTCGCACATGATACCCCCCATGCGTTGCCATTCCTGAGGACTCAAATGTTATTAGATATTCACTACTTTAATAAGGATTTGGTATTTATAATTCTAGTTACGGTTTAGTTGGGCTCGACACTACTCGCAAGTTCCAATATTTTTGTGATGTTAATAAATCTATAAATAGTGAATAAATAATGAATTTTATTGTTGGTGTGCAGCGTGGAATGGCCGGGTCGAGAGCCGTGCGGCGGCGGCGGTGGCGGCGGCGGCGGCGGCGGGGGAGCGTCGTCCCCGCGCGGGTACGCGTACGTGACGCTGGAGAGTGAGCGGAACGTGCGCGAGCTGCTGGCGGCCTCACGCCGCGACGGATACAACTGGTACTACAGGGTCGCCTCGCGCAAGATGCGCTCCAAGGAGGTACCGCTCATGTGCTTCATTACTTCTATTTTTATAATTACTAAGAGCAACTTATTGAGAAAAATGTATTTTTATATAGAAGTTTTAGTTCGGAATCGGAAACTAGATGGCGTTGTTAATTATTTACAAGTCGCTATTAAAATTTTCTAGTATAAATATTACTTTTGTTGATCTCTCCTAAACATTTTTTTTTCTCGACACAATCTGCAACAGATTTTGAATTAGTTTTTTATTTATTCTCAACTTGTCCTCAAATGGCGATCTGGAAGCAACCCAGTATATCCAAACTGTAGTAGGTTAGGTGTTGTACTAGTCTATACTTATTTCTTGAGGTACTCTAATTTTTAATAGAACATGGAATAGTTAACAAGCTGATCGCTCACATAAGTGATCACTGTCACCTATACACAGGAACAGTAGTGTGTACAATGGAGGCTGAATGTTTTGTGGTGTATGTATGTATGGTAAGGAGTGGTTGTGCAGGTGCAGGTGATCCCGTGGGCGGTGGCGGACTCGACGTGGGTGTCGGGCGGCTGGGCGCGGCTGGAGCCGGCGCGCACGGTGTTCGTGGGCGCGCTGCACGGCGTGCTCAGCGCCTCCGCGCTCGCCATCATCATGGACCAGCTGTTCGCCGGCGTCGTCTACGCGGGTCAGCACCACCCTTACATTGCACTCTATGATGCTGTAGCGCCCGTACTGGCCATCTAATAACTCTTGCCGTATTTCTAATTTAAATTTCGAACGTCACATAAAATCTATTTTTTTTTTATACAACTTAGAATGGCAAACAAGCTGACGGCCCACCTGATGGAAATTGGTAACCGTCGCCTATAGACATGAGCAGTACCATGGACATAACAGAGTATACTGTTTCACCCATAATACCCCCCATGCGTTGCCATTCCTGAGGACTCTGGTGTTATTCCTCTGTACTATGTAAATCCACGCCATATCTCCCACCCTTCAAACCGAAACAGCCATACAAACACAAATGCTTCACGGTTGAAACACGAATGGGGCAGAGGTACCCAAGCTAACGACTTTCGTACAAAGTCTCCCTCTGAACATGTTTAAGATTACTTTTGTACTCGATTTTATCAAACTTGTAGTGATGTTTTGTTGTTAGCATTGATGCTGACATACACTTCCTCGCCTTATCCGAGAAGGGGGAGACCTTTATCCATATTTTTTTTTTTATAATTTAAAATGGCAAACTGGCTCTATTATCCACCTAGCGAAATTACAATTTACTATTTTATTTGTAAAAAAATTTCCTTGCAAATTCTAGTAGTTGTTTCATCTATAACTGTCATTGAAAAAAAAAACCACCGTGAACTTTACAAAATCCATGACATCATAAATTTTAAAGTGTATGACTCTTAATATTAAATGCAACCATTGTTTGTGTATAAGGTATCATTGCCAATTCCAAAACTAATTTGAAAATTTTATTATACGATCTATTTTAAAGTATCTTGATATAAAATTATTTATTTATTTATTTATTTAACTCTTTATTGCACCATTAATAAAAATATACAATGACAAGTGAATAATTCAAGTGAAATACAGTAACATAAATATAAATTGAAATATACACATAAAGGTACAAAAGGCGGTCTTATCGCTAGGGCGATCTCGGGGCGATCTTATCAGACTCGTTAAAAACTTTTCAAAACTAATTGAATTGAATCCCAACTGACGGTGACGATTCCATTCCAGGCCTGGACACTGACAAGAACAAGTACCCGATCGGCTCCGGCCGCGTCATGTTCAACAACCTCCGTTCGTACTTGCGCGCCATCGCCGCTGGCTACGTGGAGATACGCACTGACAAGTTCACCAAGAAGGTAACTCTTCGAGCAAATATACCATTTATATCCCTCTATGATTTATTTTTAAATTTAGAATGGCAAACTAGCTGCAAACCAACTGATGGAAGCTAGCATCCATCACCTTTAGATATGAACAGCGTCACGGATATTGCAGAATACACGACTTCTAATGTAATCGTTCCAGCAGGTTACATTATAAATTTAGTTACTTAACAAATAACTATTAAATTTTGTCTATGGATTAGTTTTTTTTTTTAAATAACTAGCATACTAGCTAATGCCCATATTTTTTACGAAGTAAGAGTGGATAGCATACTAATTGGCCATAAAAACCTAATTTTAAAACGCTGTTGTGTTAAGTAAACTTTAAAATGTAATAAAAATGCCAACTTAAAATTATCCAACAGGTGCAAGTGGACCCGTACTTGGAGGATTCGATGTGTTCAGTTTGCAACTTGCAGCAGGGGCCCTACTTCTGCCGCGACCCTATGTGCTTCAGGTATGTAGTGCATTTATTATTAAATTGATTCAATGTCTTATTAGTCAGACACTGTTAGTTCTAGGGAAGGTGTAAAATTTTTAAAAATATATATCATATTTTGCTTCGGATCAATTAATTTTTATCGAAAATAAAATTAAATAATTACCCTTTTAGTTGGCCATTGGCCATTTTTAATAATCAATGTGAAACATAGAAAGTAGTTAGTTTTTGAGAATTGACAAATAACTGCGACTTTGCCACACTTCGGTAAGATCGATTATGAATGGTTTTAATTTTCTCGCAATTGAAATATCTTATTTGAGAGCAGAATCAGACGTGTAAATTACGATTTAGTTATTAAATGGTATTGCGTGTGCGCGCAGATACTTCTGCCGCTCGTGCTGGGTGTGGCAGCACGCGGCGGCGACGGAGGAGCACAAGCCGCTGATGCGCAACTCGAAGGGCACGCAGCTGTCGTTCGCGGCCGCCGCCGCGCTGCCGCCCGCGCGGCCCGCCGCCGCGCCGCATGCGCTCGCGCATCACTCGTACAACGGCGGCTTCGGCGGCGCCAGTGAAGGTACTACATCGCATCTATCCTATGCATTACTTAGGTGCTAAGATATTACGCAATTTAGTCGGAAAATTTAGCATTATCGTATATGTAGTAAATGTAGCTTTTTTAATTGGAAACTATGTAGATCTGGACATTTTCAAAATATTTTTTTTATTTAATTAATAATTAATTTTTTTTTCTTAATTTACAACAATTGGGATATTTTTTTTTTTTTTTTTTTTTTTTTTTTTATACTTAAATTTGATGGACAACAATTGGACATAACAGAGTATACTGTTTCGCCCATGATATGCGCTGCCATTCCTGAGGACTCAGGTGTTATTCCTCTGTACCCAGTAAATTCACGCCATATCCCACTCTTCAAACCGAAACACAGCCATGCAAACACAACTGCTTCACGGTTGAAACACGAATGATATCCTTTTGTACAAAGTCTCCTCTGGTATATGATATCCTTATTCCTCAGGAATGTTAGTGTATGAAAGGCGTCATGGGCGATACAGTATACTCTGTTGTGTCCATGGTACTGCTCATGTCTATAGGCGACGGTTACCACTTTCCATCAGGTGGACCGTCAGCTTGTTTGCCATTCTAAGTTGTATAAAAAATGTTAAACTAGTATTCAATCTCAAATATACTCGTATTTTTTAAGATTTATTTTTAAATTGTCAATATGTCAGCAGGCACAGCATCCCCGTCGACGAGCGGCACGAGCACGAGCACGAGCCCGAGCGCGAGCACTAACACGAGCGAGCTATCGAGCGGCGCGGCGAGCGAAGAGCCGGCCGACGCGTGGGCGCTGCACTAGGCGCGCCGCACGGCCGCGCGTGTTGTCGAGCCGCTATTAAGTTGGGCGCTCTGCCACCATACACGCTTATTACACCACTTCGATTAACGCTCGCTGATAATTATGGAGATTTCTACTAAATTCCTTAATAGATTGTACTGTGATACCACTTTCTATATCGTACAGATGTTTCCAGTTTAGTTTACAGAAATTTTCGCAGTATCAGCCCCTATTTATGACTACCTTTATACACTATTTTGTATAGTTGATTTTTTCCTGAATTTAATTAACTTTTTAAAGAATTTCTTTTGATTTCTATTTATTAAGTTTATTTTTTTATTACAATTATGTATTTTTCATTTTTTTTTTTTTACATAAATTTTGTTTGATTAAAAGGCATATTCTAGATGTGTTTTTGAGCAAAATGAATTTGCCAATTAATTAGTGAATTTAATGAGAAGTATTGTTACGATTATAATTACGCCATCCGCGTAGACATGTTCATTAGACGAATTTTACATGTGCCTCTGATAATTAGGCGATTTTAATAAGGTTTTACGGTGCCTGTTGTTTGGCCGCGTCTAGGCTGTCCATTTATTAATCATTTTAAATTTTTAATGGGCTTTTAAAATTGTATAATCGTGATTTTATAGAATTTTAGGCGTACATCCAATTAATATAAGAATGTTGATTTTAATCGGTGCTTGTTCGATTTTAAACATCGTTTATTGTTATCAAGGAATAAATATTTATTAAAATACAACTGACCTTTTATTTACTTCACTGCAGCACTACCTACTTTAGGGATTTCTAAACACATAGTTCAGATTTCTGCTGACCTGAGGCATGTTTGATTGCACTAACTAAAACAAGTTTTTTTTGATGGGTGAAAATGGTATGGTAGCCCCGCCTGCGCTTACGGGATACGCTGACGGAGCACCAGTGAAGGGTGATTGATGAGAATGAAAACAGGCCAGTTAGCCCATCATGATGAATTCATCAGGAATTAACCATTATAGTTTTCAGAGAGAACCGCGAGGAGGTCGATCTGGTTGGATATATTGTTAGCAATTCTTAGTCGCCATTACTAACAATCCTTTTCCATCAACTAAAACAAGTTAGACAGGGAGTTCACCCACGGGGGTTTGAAGAGATTTGCTAGTATTATATAAAACTGTAGATAGGGTGAATGTTTTTTTTTTATATTTGTCATAATATAGACCAAAAGTAAATAGACATTTCACTCTTATATATTTTAGGCTAGGATAGGTTTTAAGAGGCCCTTTAAGCGAGATCTCCGGTGTGATTGAGACGTAACATATATCTTCATACATTTTGTATCGCGACAAAATCGATGAAACATCGATAGTCTCAAACCTGTGGATTTTACCCGATGTCGCACGAAATTGTAGCACAATATCTGTACTAAATCGCTTCTGTCGCACGTTACAAACGGCTGAAAGTAACGACGACGTGCGTTAACAAAACGCGTGGAAATGGACCATCCATGTGTCTAGACGTACCATCGGCAGTCTACAGCGCCCATGTTGTAATTGATAGAAGGTTCAAGTATTAATTAGTTTAGCTCTTAACTTTATAATACCAAGTCTGTGGTTTAGCTACTCTTAAGGTTACTATAATCATGTTTAAATTTCAATCTATACTTATAATAAATCTGTAGAGGTCAATTCTGTAGAGGTCAATTCTGTACATGAAATATATTTCCAAAATAACTATCGGGGGGTGATTAGTGATCGATACTGATGCCAAAAATGCAATCAATAAAATTTTTATCTGTCCGTCTGTCTGTTCGTTATAAAAACAAAAACTACTCGACGGATTTTAACGAAACTTGGTACAATTGTTCTTCATACTCCTGGCCAGGTTATAGTATACTTTTCATCACGCTACGATCAATAGGAGCAGAGCAGTGAAAGGGCAATGTTGGGAAAACGGGAGAAGTTACTCCATTTTTAAGCTTCCGTCGCGTGTGCAGCCACTTTTTAAAATGTAAAAATGTCCACCCGAGCGTAGCCGGGACGGGTCGCTAGTTAATAAATAATAATAATAAACTTTATTAACAAATACAGGGTTGCACAATTACATGTTTTTTGCCCTAGCTTACAAATTAGGGTAACCTGTGCCTTGTAAGCCATAATAAAATATATAAAACGATTTAATATTTTTCCTAAAACCTGCTGCCTTGACCAAATCTACACTAGTACTTGTATGTAAATGTATGGACATTTATCTACGTAAGTATTTACATATTAACATTTTATACGGACAATAAGACAATCTCACTGCATATTATAATTTTATTCGGAAATATATACAAAAATTGAATATTTACAAAAATATTGGACATTTTGTTTACATAGAACTGATTGATGTACCTCGCCATTATGTTATATTATATTTATTTATAATTTAAAATCATTTATTCACAATTTCCATCATTTACTTATATTGTTAATATCTATTATTCATTTAATGACATTTAATAATTTAATTCCATTATAATGTTTCTCAAACATAAAGCATGCTGTGGTTGCTTCTAAATATAATAATTACTGAGTACAGAGGAATAACACCTGAGTCCTCAGGAATGGCAACGCATGGGGGGGGGTATCATGGGCGAAACAGTATACTCTGTTATGTTCATGGTACTGCTTTCCATCTTTCCATCAGGTGGGCCGTCAGCTTGTTTGCCATTCTAAGTTGTATAAAAAAAAAAGTTTGCAATATTTTAAAATTACATATGTCTAAAGAACTAGAGGCACGGCAACTGTTAGAAAACCTTGCGGTCAAAAAGTTACTAGGCTAAAGGTATTTATTACAATTATTTATTTATTTATTCTTTATTAACAACATTACAAAAAAATGTTTTGTACAAAAGGTGTACTTAATGCTACATATTCTCTCACAGTCAAATTTTGGAAAAACAATTTTAATTATGCGGTGAAAAAAATTAAAAATTCTTGTGGATAAATAGTTAGACGTATCTATATTGACTCGGAAATTATATAATATATATACACATTGTTATATGTATTTACAAGGTGTCTATGTCGGTCCACTGTTACTGTCACGTGACACGACGACACGCCGCCGTCTCGTCGGAACTGCTCGGTCCAGAAAGTACAGCTCGTCTGTAAGCACAAATAATACTGCATCACCACATAATAATGAATAATAATAAATAAATAAATCTCTTTATTTTCAGGTATATACCATATATATACCACCATTTATAACATATTTATAACATATTTGAATGTAATATTAGTATAAAGAAAATATTAATATTTTCTTTAATATAAATATTAATATTTTAAGTTGGCGTGAATTTACAGGGTACAGAGGAATAACATCCGAGTCCTCAGGAATGGCAACGCATGGGGGCTATCATGGGCGAAACAGTGTACTCTGTTATGTCCATGGTACTGCTCATGTCTATAGGCGACGGTTGCCACTTTCCATCAGGTGGGCGGTCAGCTTGTTTGCCATTCTAAGTTGTATAAAAAAAGACCCGTTTTTCAGGCTCGACGTTATCTATATAATCTAAGATATAAAATTGTAAATAATTAATTGGAGGGTAATTTATTGGAGTACATAAACCTGAGAGCCACTGAACACTCTTCTCGTACAACTAAACTCTTTTCTATATCATTCGGTAACAATAATGTGTCATATAATAATCCAATGTACAGAATGTGCAAATTGTACAATGACACTGATTGTAAATCGGATATTGACATATTCCATCAGAAATTTTCATTGTATCGAAGCACTTTACATACATTGATAACCTAATAGTTTATAAGCACAGTTTGGTAGTTTTGTTTTTGATTCTTGTTTTGTATGTAGTTTTTATCATTCATTCTTTTTTGTATTAAAAATCAACCTATTCTGTTTCACCTCTGTGAATGTTGAGTACAACTATAATTGGACTGCAGACTTATAATGCTATTGTCGTATTCTATTGTTAAAAGTTTTGTTTGTAATCTGTTGTTGTACCACAAAAATAAATAAATAAATAAGATATAATGATTTTAATATTTTTCTTAATTTTTTGAGATAACATACAATAATTGGGCCCACAATGCATTATTTACAGAATTAGGATTAGCAGATAAACGAACCTCAGTCGAAGCTCATGCTCATGTCGGCCATGTTGGTGACGTCAGCGGCGCCCGTAACGTCAGCGGAGGCGGGCGCGGCGGCGGGCGTGGCCGGCGCCGCGGGAGAGATGTTCAGCTCCGGGAAAGGGAACTGGGGTATTTCTTCATCTGTACAATTAAAAAATAGTTTTGTAAAAAAAATAGTACAACTTGTTTGATGTTTGCATAAGAGAAAGTAAGATTAATATAGTTAAAGAAGTCGCGTTGCTTCTGGGGCCTTTTTACAACTAGCTAAGAATTTAACGCTGGTAAATAGACCGAGTACTCTCTTGAGGGTACGTATTAATCATCGGTTTAGTTCACTAGCGGAGTACTTTATAAATAGTTAATTAGAAGCATTGAAAAATGTTAAATTGTTTTTAAAAATTGATATATAATTGCTACGTGGCTGTACGTGTGAATAGTAAGAGCCGTGTGCGTTTTGAAAATAATATGAATATTTTGAAAAAATTGCTCAGTCTTATAATTAGTAACTAAATTAGTAAAATTGCGTATTGCTAACATGCGGGTTTTAGAAGTAGGAAAAAATAATAAAATTGATCACTTTTAGATGGCGTATCATAAAGCATGTATCACTTTTAAAATTAATCCTTTAGGATCACAACTATGAAAACCGAATTTAACTTGGTGTAGCAGTTTTTGTGTGATGCCGAAGCAAATGTATTGCTTTGATTTCTGTTGCTCTTATTAAGATGGCTTGGGTATTGGATGGCATGTTTGCTTGGGTACCTCTGTCCCATTCGTGTTTCTACCATGAAACAGTTGTGTTTGCATGGCTGTGTTTCGGTTTGAAGGGTGGGATATGGCGGTAATTTACAGGGTACACAGGAATAATACCCAGGAGGAGTCTTCAGGAATGACAACATATGAGGGGTATCATGGGCGAAACAGTATACCCTGTTATGTCCATGGTACTGCTCATGTACACTTTCCATTAGGTGGGCCGTCAGTTTGTATGCCATTCTAAGTTGTATAAAACAAATCATATGAATGTGTGCCGCGTAGCGCGGTGGTGCGGTGCGGCGGTGGTGGTGCGGTGGTGCGGTGCTGACCGGGCGCGTGGTCGTCGTGCAGGCGGTCGAGCACGGCGTCGAGCAGCGCGTGCGCGACCACGTCGTCGGGGTCGGCGGCGAGCGCGCGGTGCAGCGCGCGCGCGGCGGCGCGGCGGCGGCCCAGCAGCGCCAGGCACAGGCCGCGCGCGGCGTGCGAGCGGCCGCGCGCCGGCCGCCGCGCCAGCGCGCGCGCGTGCCAGCCCAGCGCCTCGCCCGCCGCGCCCAGCGCGCGCCACGCGTGCCCCAGCGCGTCCAGCGTCGGCGCCCAGCGCGCGCCCACCTGCGCCGACGACACGCAACATGAGGGCGGAAAGGGATTGTTACTAATGGACACTGAGAATCCCGTTGCTAGCAATATACCCAACCAGGTCGACATCCTCGCGGCTGTCCCTGGAAACTATCATGGTTAATTCCTGATGAATTCATCATGATGGGCTAACTAGCCTGTTTTCATTCTCATCTATCACCCTTCACTGGTGCTCCGCCAGCGTATACCGTTAGCGCAGGCGGGGTTACCATACCATTTTCATCAAAAAAAAAAAAATGTCACTCCTCATTATACACCCGGAACATACAGAACAAGTACACACTACTACTACACGTATTGCTAGCAATATACCTTTTCACGTAATCCCACCTAGAAATAGTACATTCCTGCAACGGCCAGCAACTAATCTCACTCTCACGTATGTGTGCCTCGGCTACGCCTCGGCCCACATTTACACGTTCGTCCATCAATGCCTAATTGTAGCCAAGGTTTATATAGTATTTTTCTCAAATAATGCGCGGAAATCAATTTTACTTTTTAAGTTCAATGACGAATAACGAACAATAATAATTTTTCACGCGCCATAATGTTCCTTTGTTTTTTTTTTCAATAAACAGCTTTCTATTTGTAAGCCAATTCGAAATTTAAATAAAACCTTTTAGGAGGTAACTATACCTCCTTGGTAGACATGTTTCGAAGTAAAAGGTCATTCCATTTTTAAATTACAAAACAGTTATGAATTTACATATTAATATATCTTGCCGCAAAACACGACAGATATGGCCTTTCATACAAATTTTACCGGCCGCTGCCCGCATGTATCTGGCCAGTACAGCAATTCTGATTTATCTTGAAGAAGATTGTCAAAATAATGCTCAAATTTCCAAGCATGTTTGAGCAAGCAATTTACTAACAATTACATCTATAAAGAGGAAAATGTATGATCACTAATGAATTCTAAGGATTCGATTGCAATATACCATATCAAATCTCCATATCAAGAAAACCATCGTAATTAATTCTCACTGAATACTTGTTATTTTTCACTAGTTCCCCACCTGTATATACCAACAGTACAGGCATGATTACTATTATATTTTCACCCATAAAAAAAACTAAGTCTGTAAATGTACATTAACAGAACCCTAAAATTGTTAACAATAAGTATAACAATATGCCATGTACATAACCATGTTGTGAAATGTGTGAAATAATTGAATTTGTAAAAAATATTTTTATGTAATGTACGTACCTATATTTGTGCAATAAATTATTTGGATTCGAATTTAGATCTATCTTTTCCTCAACATACAAATAGAAACAAACATGTGACACATGTTCAAAATAAAACTGGTTTAGTTTGTCGGCGGTGAGGCGCACCTCGTCGACGGGCCGGTCGCCGCGCGCGGCGTCGAGTGCCCGGGTGAGCAGCGCGCGCGCGGCGCGGTAGTCGCCGGCCGCGAAGGCCGCCACGCCCGCCTCGTGCGCCACGTGCGGCTCCTGCACGCAGCGCACCACGCACTCCCACCGGCCCTTGTTCTCCGCCTCCGCCTCCTCCTGCGCCTCCTCCGCCTCCTCCGCCTCCACCGCCTGCCCCGCCTGCCGCGCGCCGCGCCCCGCGTCCGGCCCAGCCTGCTCCGCCGTCTGCATCCACATCCACACACTCACACACGTGTACATACCAATACGTACAGTCCAGATATTTGTCTAAAAAAACTTACGCCAGCACCACGCTACACCGATACTTGGTCGCCGATCATCCGCGACTAAACGCTAATATATGCCCGAAGATCGACGACCTAAAATATGTCACATGTGGCGGCTACATTTGGCCGCATAAATCAATTAACCAGCGCTATTAATCTTTTTTTAATAGTAAGCAACGCGGACCATCTACTATATCGTAAAAAAATACATGCAATACAGCGTTGCCAAAGTATGCCGAAGAATCTTCAGTCGAAGGAAGATCGACTGGAGATCAGCACGGGAATAACCAAGCAGGCACCAAATATAAAAGTTCTACGACGTCACATCGAAAAATGACCAATTCTGCAGTGACGAACATAACAAATTTAATGTATTCGCGTTCCGTCGCGGATGATCGGCAATCAAAGATTAACTAAAAATAGCGTCAACCCAAGAATCTGAGGGCCTACCATAAATTATTTTCCGAAATTTCGGGCACAAACGAAATAGAAATTTGATGCTAAAATTACATAATACATGTCGTTTAAAATTATTAAAAATGTTAAAATATCATTCCTCTGGACTATTAGGATAGGATTTAAGATGAACGAAATGTTAAGCTCCATTTACTGGGTCGATTTTGGTACGAACAAAAACACGAAATTGAGCCCGAAAATTCGGGATTTCGTTTCATGGTAGACTACCTGTTTTTATCATATAATTAAATTTTATTGAATAAATGTAACGAAATGAAAGTGCTCACATGTAGGCCTGCGTGCAGGGCGGCGGCGCGCGCGAGGAACTTGGCGCACATGGGCGGGTTGTTGAGCAGCGAGCACTCCACGCCCACGTACAGCGGCGGCACGTGGCAGCCGCTCATCAGCTGGCTCGCCTGACACACATTGCTCAATGTGAAAAAGACTCTATTTTCCGGGCTTAGCCTTTCATTTGGGTCGTTGTACGTATGAGTCGTGGCTAGTACAGCCAACCTAGCTCCGCCCAGAAGCGCAGAAGCTTCCTAGGTTCTTCACAGGCCTCACGGAGCGACCTCACCGTTCCGAGGATTTCTAAACGTTGATGGGTCACAGCTTCACATTCCAGGATTACGTCAGCAGCCGTTTCTTCGGCGTCGAAACAGCCTCGACACAGAGGGCTGTCTGTGGCTCCTATTGTGTATATATGTTTGTTTAATGGACAATGGCCCGTTATTGTCCCTGTCATTATTTTGACATACATTGCTAATGACACCACTGTCCACTCACGTACTTTAACGTGTCATCACTTGTGGAGATTGTCACGACAAACAGACAAGAGCAAGAGAAAGAAAATTAAAAAAATATTGTATCAAGTCAGCTATCTAAAACGGTAAAGATAGGCATTCTTCTGAGGAAAAATTTGAGTGAGATGTTAATGGGTTGTTAAGGCGTAAGACCCGTCTGTCAAAATAAATTTTAAAATTTATAATGGCTAAATAATATGCAATACGAACGAAGTCCCCATATGATCCCAGCATAGAATGGGACAACCTTTCTTTTCCCATGGGTGTCGTAAGAGGAAACTAAGCGAACTGACCACGAGATGGGCAACAATGTCCCTCTAAAAACCAACTGTGTTTGCGAATCCACCTGCCAAGAGTGGCAACTACTGGCAAAATTCCCCTTATAGAGGAGGTCTATGCACAGCAGTGGGCAGTTAACGGCTGATTTAATAATAATAAAATGTAAAATGATTTTTTCGAAAACTAATAATAATGAAATTTTTTTAAGTGATTATTAAAAGGCCCTAATACAGAATACATCTCATTTTCAAAACCTCTGCTACCTACAAAGGAAGTTGAGGAGATAGGGGATTAAATGCTAATGTGCTCCTGAGACCCCTTCTTACTTCCCTGGGAAGAAAGACCTATTTCAGATGGTCAAGAAAGACATTTGAAATAAAGAGAGAGCAAGTGTCAGTGTGATCTCCGCAGCTAACCTTGAAGTATGCGGCCATGGCCTGGTCGTGCTCGTTATCCGCGGCGAAGCTGTGTCCGTAGGCGAGCCACACGCAGCCCGCGCCCGGCTCCAGCGTCTTCGCCTTGCTCAGGTAGCGCCGCGCCAACTCGCTTTTACCTAAACATATACATGTTCAAACTCTAATTATATTTCTTCTTCTTTTTTTTAAATGGCATCCACTATAGAGACAACGATGATTTTCTGTCAATGTCAAGGTTATAGAAAAGTTAGTATCTTTCAATAAAATAAATATTAATATTAAAATACTCAAGGTAAATAAATAAAAAAAAATCGTATTCAATGGCATTTGTCAACTGTTGCCATTTTTTTTATACAACTTAGAATGGCAAACAAACTGACGGCCCACCTGATGGAAAGTGGTAACCGTCGCCTATAGACATGAGCAGTACCATGGACATAACAGAGTATACTGTTTCGCCCAAGATACCCCCGATGCGTTGCCATTCCTGAGGACTCGGGTGTTATTCCTCTGTACCCAGTAAATTCACGCCATATCCCACCCTTCAAACCGAAACACAAGACATGCAAACACAACTGCTTCACGGTAGAAACACGAATGCGATAGAGGTACCCAAGCAATCGACTTTTGTACAAAGTCTCCCTCTGGTGACTATTGTAGTATACATAACAAATGGCATGCTCACATCTCGTCTAGTGTTCAAGAAATGTATTTTTTTTTTATTAATATTTACACAATTCTATAATTTAATAATTTATTTCCTATTATTTCTACTGAAGTGGTAATTTTTCTCTACACCATTGGTAACTGTTTTTTGACTCATGACACATACTTCATCAAGCATGGATAGAGTTTAAAATCCAACAGCAAGGGTTTTTTTTTTTAATGGATGATAATGGAATGGTTATCCCGCCTGTGCTATCGGTATACACTAGCGAAGTACCAGTGATCGATGATAAATGAGGATGAAGCAGGTCAGTTAGCTCATCGTGACGAATTCAACAGGAATTGTTCACGATGGTTTCCAGGGGGAACCACTTGGAGGTCAACCTAATAGCGCATATTGCTAGCAATGGGGCTGTCAAACTCCATTACTAACAATCCCTTTCCCTCAACAGCAAGGAGTTAGGCTGCATGAGTCAAATAATATTGACTATGGAGATACAAGATCACTATAGATTGGCTATTTGGTTTTTTAGATTTTGGGGGTAAGCTAATTCCATGTTAGCTTATGAGTCACTCACCGATGAGGTAATAATAGCAGCCGACCGCGAACCAGGAGGTCCATTCTTGCGGGTACGCGTCTACGAGCTCGTGCGCGAAAGCGAACAGCTCAGCGCTGCGGCGCAGCTCCACCAGGCACGCCACGCGCTCGGCCGCCGCGCCCCACGGCTCCTGCAGCGCGGCCAGCGCTTCCCGCCAGCGGCCGCCCGCCGCGAGCCGCCGCGCTCGACCCACGCTCGCTTCCAGCGTGCGCGAGCGCACCTCCTCCACTTCCGCCTCCACGCCCGCTTCCGTACTCGCACCGCCGCCCGTATCAGCGCCCGGCGGATGCTTTCAAAATACGTGTTACTGTATATTTATGTTTTTTTTTTTTTATGTATAACAACAACAGTAATAGATAATATACTAAAACATCATCAGAGTAGCAAATTTGAATAATTCGCGTCCCGTCGCGAATTTACCAAATGTGGTGTCAGCCCAAATTTGTTTTTATCATATATTTAGATTTTATTGAATAAATGTAGCGAAATTATGGCGCATAGCCGAGATAATGATGATGAATATTATAATTGTAATTTTTTTTCCTTTATTTGTTACCTGTTTTTTTGTAACGTCTTAACAATTTAACCATCAGAGGGAGACTTTGTACAAAAGTCGATTGCTTGGGTACCTCTGTCCCATTCGTATTTCAACCGTGAAGCAGTTGTGTTTGCATAGCTGTGTTCATGGGCGAAACAGTATACTCTGTTATGTCCATAGTACTGCTCATGTCTATAGGCGACGGTTACCACTTTCCATCAGCTTGCGTGCCATTCTAAGTTGTATAAAAAAAATTACTATAAAATTTGGGATAAATTTACTATACGAGTATGACATGTAGAAAGTTATAGGCTGTTTTTTAGGTTAGTGATCATATCTCGGTTACGCGGACGAAGTCACGGGTGAAAGCTAGTGAGTTAATAATTTCAAGATTTTTTCAAAAGAAATACGATAATCATGTACATACAGTTCCACTAGAAGGAGGCAAGGGCTCAGGCGTGTACCGCAGCGCCCTCTCGCGGTACGCCAGCCGCACCAGAGCGCCCTCTGCTACGCCCAATTGCGAGCTCACCGGTAGAGACGAAATTAGCTCCAATTCTGTATTAATATATATATGTATATTATATATAGTGGAATTATAATAAGAAGGAGTCTAATTTTCTGACGCGTTGCGATTTCATAAAAGGTAGTTTTATACATTCTTCACAGAAAATTGGAATAACAAAATGTTATTATTAAAATAATGTTGTTTCAAACGATGCGGTGTAATCTACGTCGAAACGTTGGCAATAAAGCCGGTATGTAGGTAATATTTACCTGCAAACATTTTACATGGCGTTAAATCCAGATACTGTATTTAAAATATGTGTAAACAACGCTTAAAATTAACAATTGTTAATTAGCTGAAATATACGGCACTACAAACCTCATCAATTTTTCCGTAACACATTGCAATAGTTGATTTTTAATATCGATGCATCATACCACGGCATTCCTAAGAATTAATATATCATAGCCCATATACATACATTAAGTATTGTTCCAGTTTTCAAAGCTAAACATCAGAACAGAAGTCATGTACGCAGAGAACAGTGTGAAAACAGTATGCGTGCATTAACCTTGCGCGGGCGTGAGCGCGTGCTGGTCGAGCAGCAGGTCGAGCGCCTCGTAGCTGGCGCAGTCGGCCCGCAGCGCCGCCGCCAGCGCCTCGGCCGCCGCCTCGCGCCGCTCCAGCGCCGACAGCGCGCGCGCCTGCCACACCAGCACGCCCGCCAGCGCACGCTGCCGCACACGCCGCCCGACATCGTATTATTATTAGCCAAACAAATACATTTGGCTTTATGGAAAACCACAAATGACAATAAAGCCATGAACAATCAGATGTTATAGATAGATAGATAGATACTCTTTATTGTTTCCTCCAAAAGATTACAACAGTAAACTTATTATAAATACAAACAATCACAAGAAATAATCACAATGAGAAAACAATGGGCGACCTTATCGCTAAGAGCATTTCATAATACATTACATTTAGATTATTTAAATTTAGAATGTAGATTGTGTCTATACTTTGCTTTAAAAATATTTTTTTTTGCTTTACCTGTCACGTAATTAATAAACATAATTTCCTTTTTATAAAACCAATTTTTTTATTTCATGAGGGTTTTATAAAATTTTGCACACATATTTTTTAAAAAGGATTTTTCTAGATTAAACTGGGATCAAGGGATAACAGATTCTAAGTGAACCAGGTAGTAATGGACAGCCAATCTTTATAAATAAATAAAAGTGAGAGTAAGTTTGTTTATTTGTTAACTTGTAGCACCTTAATGGCTTAACCAATTACTATGAAATTTGGTATACATACCTTATGGAATGAAGAAGGATATAGAAGCTATTAGAATCGTAAATATATCCCAATTACGTGGAAAAAGTCACAGGTAAATGCTAGTATAGAATAAAACTATTCAACATCGTACATTGTGTGTTTGATCTGTATTCCGTGGTTCCAGTAGTGCTGGATCACACTCGTCCATCATGTTGAGCGCCGTCGCAGGCTCCTTGGCCGCGAGATACGCTCGCATCACTACTCCGAGACATAACAAATGCCTCCTGAAAAGATAATACTATATTTCCTATACTGTAATATAATCATCATACCAATCGCCTTATCTAAGCTAGGATGATGTCAGAACCCAAGAAGACCTGAATTAATGTAGTAATACCATCAAAAAGCCACAATAATTATAACAGATGTGTTTCTGAAAGTCAAAATTAAAATGTGGTATATATTTCATTATACATGATCCACAAATGGTCTACTTAATTTGTTTTTCAACAAACTCCCAATATTCACACATACAAAGTTGCAGGTAAAAGCTATATCCTAAGGGACAATCTAAATAAATGAATAATTAACTTTCATCTTGTTTAGACATGTTTCGAATACACTATCAGGACTTAACGTGATGAAAAATTTTTGTAGATAAATAGTACTTACATACTTCCCTCTTTCTGTACTATATCTAATTACCAAATACTTTACAATCAGAATAATTAAGAAAAACTTACCTATGTAGTGCCCTTGATGTCACAGCATGGGCAGCTCTGTGGAGTTCACCTCGAGCCAGCATAGCGCTGGCCAACAGCCAGATGTCATCCCCGCTGGCTTGTCCCATGCCACTGCATGCAGCTGCAGCCACATCAGCCCAAAACAATGCACTTGTCCACTGTCCCTGATTAAAATGGGTATTTAAATTCAATTAATTTGTTCAAAAACAATTTGTCCCATGGTTCCGGCATGGAATAAGCCTCTCTTTACCACGGGTGTTGTAAGAAGTGGCTAAGGGAGGGCGAGCAGATGGGCAGCAGTGTCACTCTTAAAACATCTCCAAAGCCTAACTGCAGTTGCCAATCTGTCTACCAAGCATAACAACTATTGGCAAAATCTCTAAGGGAGAGGCTTATATTTAGCAGTGGGCAAGTTAAAATGGCAGAGTTCAAGGCTGATATGATAAATAAATTCATAAACATTAGATGTCTTGTATTCAATAGTCAGTAGGTAGATAGATGAAAAAAAAAATGTTATGGAAATATAATACTTCATATATCCATTTTATTTTATATACAACACAAACTATCCTCTTGTGCAAGTAATGTCTTGCATTACTCCTCTTTTTAGTAAACTCAACCTGTTAAGAAACTTCATAACAATGTATAGCAAAGTTGCAAGTATTTACTAGCATATTCAAACTTTAATTATAAAATAAGCTGCATACAATTTACCACCAAAAACTTTGTATCTATTTCGTTAAATTTTTCAAATACATTTTCATCATCAAAAACCAACTTTTTAATGACAGCTTTGTAAACATTATTGTGTTTAATGTTTTTGTTCATTAGCAGAGAACTTTTTAAATAACTGTCAGAAACATTGAAAAATGTGCAATAGTTATTAAAAATTAACAGATAATTGTAAAATTTCCATATTATATATATCAGTAAGCTAAAGTTATAGACATTGTTACCAGTCTACATCAACTCTATAGAGCAACCTCATTATTTATATAATATACTCTTTTTTAACATTAATATTGGCAGAGAATTGCCATCACTGTAGAAGCCATAATATTTAATAACAAAGAAGAAAAACAAAAATGCAGCTCATTTGGACCACCATAAAATGGGCTATATTCAGTTATATATTGGGCAATATTGTATATAACTCCATAAGATGTAAACAATTTAGTACCAAAATTATTTTTTTATTCTTTTCAATATAGATTGAAAGTTATTTGCAACTTTAACTATGCTTCTTAAGATTATTTTTTTATCTGTATATATTAAATATCCTACGCTATACTGCTTATTGTAATTTTAGTATGAAAGTTTATAAAGATGTTTAGGTGTTTATTACACAATCATTTTCAAAGGCTGAACAGTTTCAAATAAAATTTGGCACACAGATGTATTATACACTGGACTAATATTTAGGGTTCTTTTTATACTTATTCAAGTATGTAAAGGCACGGAAACAGCTATTATTTTAAAAGTGAAAATTCGTTTTGGAGATCTAAAGGCAAAACCCAGTTATGAAATATGTCATACACATGCAATATCTTGAATGGAAGACATTGGCAAGTCAGATGAACAAAATTGCAATCACAATACATTCCAATTTAATATGTGCAAATATTATTAATGCTATGGTCACTTACTAATTCAGAGTATTGCTTTACGAGGGATCTCATAAAATCGATATTTAAGCATTCTGTAGTGGCTGCAGACACCGATTTGGCCATTATAGTAATATTTAAGAATATAAAAATCCCTGCTTTTAATTATTATAAAAAATAATAAAGAATTTCGTTAAAGACTATTATTTCGCGCCGGTAAACAAATGAAAATTAGAATTTTTTGACAACTTGACGTCTGACATTGATATAGGAAAGAATAAATAATACCACAGAATAAATAATAGTACAAAAGATATTACTTTGTAGTGATTAGACTATTTTAAGTCTGTACATGGTTTTAAACCAAATAGATATTCAACTGTCTTTTCGTTATTTAACCATTTTATGTTAAACAGTCATAGACGCCCCATGTTAAATTAATAACCATTAACAGAATTTAAGTAACGGAAAAGGATTTTTTTTTATAAATGGTCTATTAAAGTGTGTAATATAAGTTATTATTAAAAATATGTTTTGGGTAAATAAGGTATTTAAGATAAGAAAGAAAAGTAGGTACCTATCTTTGACTATAACAAAAGTCACAATATGAAAAAAGTCACCCATGCTGTCAACTGACAATTTGAATTTTGATCACGGAAAGAAAAAGGTTATAAACAGAAAAAAGTAATGCAATATTGAGATTTAATATCTGTTTATTTTTAACGTTTACACAAGTATTATAAAAGGTGATTGAGAATTTACTGGTCGTCTTGCCTTTTATCTTATTGCCTTTGTATTTACTCATTGGAATTTTAAATATCGGTTCTTGTGCAGTCGGCTACCTCAAAAAAGCAACGTGTCCTAGGTTAGGCCGTAAGCGAATCATGTTAGTACCATACTTGGAATAACATGAATGAAAGGAAAATGTGCAAATTCTACAATTTGAACGTGCCTGATCGACGATCTGGAGAGGGTAGTGGTTTGCAGAACCACGGCCACAACGAGGAGGATGAACGGACCACTGACGAAGCGATCCCGCCGCCAGTGCCTCCACACGAGCACAAACTCGAGTATAGCTATTGGATGTGGTTTTCACGACGGCCGCCCGCCCGTGAACTTTCCGCCTCCACCTCTGGTTATGGCCAGGTATTATTCTTTAAATAACTCCCTGTTTATTACTTACACCACATCTGATCTTTAAACATATTGTAGGCATTCCACTAATATTCCATTGATGTGCAAGGGTCTGAGAACCATAAGTGGATATGACTTGCTATTATTGTGCTGGCCAGGTATTATAGAGTTATACTTATTCTATGACTATAAATTTATAATATCTATTTACAAAAGTTTTATAGTTATAATATTTACTTAATTATATAATTATTTGGTCACATCAGTCTCTTGTTCAACATACCTTTAGACACAAAATCCTTTTTGTGCAATTTTTTTCTCACCAGTTATTTATAATTTTTATAATAAAAAGATGAATAAGGTCATTCATGACCAGTTAAGTTGCTATTATTTAAACATTTTCCTATAATGTGAAAGAATAAATACAAATTATTTATTTCTTATAGTTTTTATATGAAATATACTGGTGATATTTTTAAAAGGTTTTCTTGTAAATACCTATTTTTTCAGTTCTCCGATACTCACTGCTGGTTTTCACTAAAATTTTTGTCAGTTCTCGACTATAAAAAAATCATTAATGTATATAAAAGTATTTTTATAACATAAGGTACAAAATAAATAAATAATAATGAATACAAATTACATTTACAATGCATAGAATGGACAAATATAACCATATTCTGTTACTACTGGTATTATTTGCATGAATTAACATTTTTTAAGCACACATGCACATGGCCTAAATTTCTTCAGCCTATAAATCATCATCAACACTCATTGGTTATTAAATTACACACAGGAATGTGTGTAATGTATTGAACTTGTTTTTTAAAATAATAACTTCTGTCAGCATTTATAAGCACTCTTATTACAGTTTTTAGCAAAATTGTCTGAGAACCAGCAGTGTTCGGTGAACCAGCTCATTGATCCTATAGTAACTTTAAGCTTGACTGTAAGTGGGTAGAATTCTTTTATTACATCCCTTCTGTGACATACTTCAACTAGAAACAAATCTGAATTACTCAACTCTATTTTAAGGTCAATTTATGATGACACAGTCATAATACAATGTTACTGGCTCCTTTTCATGTTTATTATATCATTTATATTTAAATTGGGGCAATAAAGGAACATAAAATAGTGCTAGAGGAGCATCTTATTAATATAATAGAATTGTAACTGGACAATGTGTGTACAAGAAAGAAAAAAATCTGTGTTAGGAGTTTTAATATGAGCAATAGAAGCCAAACAATAATTTTCAGGATTTTTTTTTTTATGTTTGTTCTAGTATTATACAAATACTACAGCATCAAATTGTATATGATTTTCACTGTTGCATTCCTTAAGGTCTAACTTAATATTTTTTTTTGGGGTGAAAATGGAATAGTAACCTTGCCTGCGCTAACGGGATATGCTGGCGGAGCACCAGTGTATGTAGGTGATAGATGAGAATGAAAAACAGGCCAGTTAGCCCATCATGATGAATTCATCAGGAATTAATCATGATAATTTTTTTTATACAACTTAGAATGGCAAACAAGCTGACAGCCCACCTGATGGAAAGTGGTAACCGTCGCCTATAGACACGAGCAGTACCATCGACATAACAGAGTATACTGTTTCGCCCACGATACCCCCCATACGTTGCCATTCCTGAGGACTCAGGTGTTATTCCTCTGTACCCAGTAAATTCACGCTATATCCCACCCTTCAAACCGAAACACAGCCATGCAAATACAACTGTTTCATGGTAGAAACACAAATGGGACATAGGTACCCAAGCAATCGACTTTTGTACAAAGTCTCCCTCTGGTAGTCTGGTCTTTCCAGGGGGAACCGCGAGGAGGTCGACCTGGTTGGGTATATTGGGCTAGCAATGGGATTCTTAGTCTCCATTACTAATAATCCCTTTCCCCCCAAACTTAAAAACTGTTGTTTGTTGATATGGTTTATTTTCATATGCCATTTAGAAGTGATCTATTTAATTTATTATCCTACTTTTGAGATGCGGGTCTAAAGTTAGTTTTGAAGTATACTTGTAATTCTGTACCTGTTTGCATTGACTGTGACCTGTGCCCAGAAGTGGAATTTTATAGCTTCTCATACATAGAAATATCAAGTTCTTCATTATTGTATCTTTGTTATGCTGCTAAGACTGTTTATTTTTTTATATTTTGGAATGAGATAAACAATAAACATTTTTATTCACCGAAAAAATTTGGATTATACAGGCGTTACGTCTGGTGGGTCGGGTGGCGAGCGTGGAGCAGTGGTGGGGGCTGTACACGCACCTGGCGCGGCCGGCGGACCTGCCACCTCTCTCCGACCTTCACCTCTTCAAGCTCGGCATCAAGCCTATGTGGGAGGACCCCGCCAATGTTAACGGAGGGAAATGGGTAAGCTCTTTTTTATACAACTTAGAATGACAAACAAGTTGAGTCACCAATGGGAAACTTTGTACAAAAGTTCTCTTCTTGGGTTCCAATTCCAAGTTCTAGTCTTGTCCCACTCGTGATTATACCAGTATATCATAATTAGACCAGAATTTGACACGGCATTAAACGAATTAAAGAATGAAAGCAAGGTTAGGTTACATGTGAAAAACAAAATGCAGTATAGTCTTATATAGATGTGGATACATGGACAAAGACGCGAAAAGAAAAAAAAATGCTTGAAGCATTTGAAATGTGGCCATGGAGGAGAATGGAAGGATAAGCTGGACAGAAAAAGTAATGAATTAAGAAGTCTTGAAAAGGGTGAATGAGAAAAGAACAATAATTAAAACAATAGCAAAAAGAATAGAAGAGGCAAAATGCTGGGCCACCTTATAGAACATGATGATTTTTTAAAGAGCGTAGTAGAAAGTAAAATAGACAGCAAAATGGGAAGAGGAAGACTTTGATATCGCTGTAATTTCAATGCCATATCCAAACTCTCTAATTGAAATGCAGCAAGCACAACTGCTTTTTAGAAAAAAACATGAGAGGGACAGGCTGGCTGGTTGGCTTTTCAGCTTTGCCATCTATTTAGTAAAAATAATACCAATATTCTTATGTTATCACGACATAGAGTTACAGAAATGAAGATATATTAACTTGGTCACATTCACCTTAGTGAGCAACTCTTATGAGTCTGCATGCATGGTTATCTTTCGTAAACAAACGTCATTTTTACCCATACAAGTGTGTTTGTACTTTTTTACTCAAGAATAGGCTGTGAGATCAGCTCTAATGAGGTACAGGAAGTAGTCATATTGAAATAAATTGTAAGTTATGCATATACAGCCTATATTTTCTAATTTATGTAGGTCCCGGAATAGAATAGGTCACACCTTGCTTTCTCGTGGATGTCATAAAAGGCGACTAAGGGAGCTTATGGTGAAGGGATGAGCAGCATTGTCCCAGCGTGGCAACTAGTGGCCCCCCCCCCCCCCTTCCATGTTCAGCAGTGGACAGTTAAGGCTGATACAATATTTTGTAAACCGGTTATGTAGGTGGTGCGACTCCGGAAAGCGCAGACGGGGCGTGCGTGGGAAGATCTCTGCATGGCGATGCTGGGCGAACAATTCATGGTGGGGCCTGAGCTGTGCGGGGTCGTGCTCTCGGTACGCTTTCAGGTTAGTGCATTTGTACTATTTATTATGTTCTATTGGTGTGAAATGCTGATGTGATTTGAAAGGCGTTTAGAGACCAAAGTAATGTATAAATAATAAAAATCTATTGGAGTCAAGCAGGATCATGGGATGGACTGCTGTCCATCTCTCTTTCTCTCTCTTAAAACATCACTCAATGCTAATAATGATTGCCAATCTGCCTGTCATGCGTAGAAACGACTGGCAAAATTAATGAGGAAGGCCTGTGTGGACAGTGGACAGCTAACGGTTTAGATTAATAATTGTGATTATGGTTTATTAGAGGGATTTGTTAAAAGTCTCTGCACGCAAGTTATCAAAATTGTAATGTTGTCCATTTTGTATGTATTTCTCTTATTTAATAGGAGTAGAACTCTGTTTTGAACAACATAGGTGGATGCCATAGATAGAGTATATTTTGATGTACATAGACAAATATGAAATGTGTATCAAAGTCATGTTTTCCTACTACATTGTATCTGTAGTAGTGACTGTAATGTGATGTGGTGTGGTGTGGTGTGATGTGGTGTGGTGTGTGTGGCAGGAGGACCACCTGGCGGTGTGGCACCGGACGGCGTCGGACACGGCGGCGGCGGCGCGCGTGCGGGACGCGCTGCGCCGCATCCTGCAGCTGCCGCCGTCGGTGCCGGTGGAGTACAAGGCGCACGGCGACTGCCTGCGGGCCACCGCGTCGCGCGCCGCCGACGCCGAGCCGTCGCCGCCGCCGCCCGCCGAGCCGCGCTCGTAGCGCCGCGCCCGCGCCCGCCCCCGCACCCGCCCCCGCACCGCCTGCACCCGAGCCCGGCCGCGCACCCTTTGACGATTCTCAGTTCAATATTTCGCAATGTTCGGACACAGGGGGACTGTTGGCGGAGCTGCTCCGTTAACTGAAATTATTATGTGCCGCTGTCGAGCTGTACGTTTTCGAATATTTACACAGAATTCGTGGCAAAATTATAACGAGTTTTTAGTTTTGTGAGAATATATACCTACGAGCAATAAAAGCTTTCCTATTATCAGTAAAAAGTAGCCTTCTAAGCGATTTTGGGGTTGTATATAAAGTCGAGTCCCAGTTTGTATGCAGCTTCTGTCGGTTTTTCATCAACAATAAATATTACTTTTGTAATTTGTATATGATCTTCCAAATAGTAGTAAAATGTCAATCACCCCCCCCCCCCCCCCCAACTAGTCAAGTATGATGAATTCAGAACTATACCTGTACAATACAATAGACTATTTACAACCAAGGACCAGTCATAAGTTGTGGATCGCATCGCTCTCACCAGTCACGTTAGTTCCGGGGCGATGTACATATAGTCAAATTCAGTGAAGAAATTTGTTAAATGCGAGGTTAGTGAGAAGCGACGCGCCGCGGCCGAACGCCTGTATCGACCCTGTGTACAGTGAAAAATATCTTGAATACTGAAAATAAAAAAGATCAGTTTTTTTATTCTCTAGTTCTTTTTCTTTACAATATCCTAAAATGGCCAATTGACACTCCTATAATAAAGTCTAACTAGATAAAGATAAATATATATTTATTTAACAAAGTATGTTTGAATAAGCACAGAATTTATCATTGATTCCTACATAAGGTTGAACCTGTCCTGTAGGACTAACTCTTAAAATGGCTAACAATCTGACGGTCCATCTGATGTAAAGTTGTAACCATGGCCTATAGACTTGAACAGCACCATAGACATTACAGATTAACGTGTGTCGTCCATGATACTTTTCAAGCATTGCCATTCCTCAAGACTAAGATATGCCTTTGCACTCTAATTTCACATGTCATATTCCACCCCTCAAACCGAAAAATAACCATGCAAATTGCTTCACTGCAGAAACACGGATCGGACAGAGGTACCCAAGCCACTTTTATGGTCTCCCTCGGGTAAAAATCTCGCCATTATAATCTAAGATGGATCGCCAATATAATCTTAGATAAGATGGAACAGTTGGGTCAATATACCTAGTCATCAATCACGCACATTTTTTTCAGACCATTATTATTTATCAAAAGAAGCCTGGCTCTTTAAAAAAAAGCACACGTTTCTTGAACCTATAACTATAGCTGAAAGTAGGCGTATTTAAAGAGCGGCCGAGTTATCCATGCCCATCTTAGGATGTTAGCAGTTTCACAAAGACATGTCTGGTTACATATGCCAATTTTTAAGTTTTAAGCCTCCCCCTGGAAAATAATTGAAAATCTTTTTTTTTTATACAACTTAGAATGGCAAACAAGCTGACGGCCCACCCGATGGAAAGTGGTAACCGTCGCCTATAGACATGAGCAGTGTACCATGGACAAACAGAGTATACTATTTCGCCCATGATACCCCCCATGCGTTGCCATCCCTGAGGACTCAGGTGTTATTCCTCTGTACCTAGTAAATATATTCCACCCTTCAAACCGAAACACAGCCATGCAAACATAACTGCTTTACGGTTTAAAACGCGAATGGGACAAAGGCACTTAAGCAATCGACTTTTGTACAAAGTCTGTAAATACAGTAATTTTTTCGTCCTTTACTCTTGAGTGGGCACGGCTAAAGTGATCCCCTGGGTGGAAAGGGATTGTTAGCAATGCGGATTATTAGTCCCATTGCTAACAAAATACTGTAACAGGTTGACCTATCCATGGTCCCCCCTGAAAACCATCGTGCTATATTCCAAGTGTATTCATCACGATGGGCTAATTGACCTGCCTTTTCATCTTCACTAGTGCCCCGCCAGCGTATAGAGGGCGTAGTTACATTATCATTCATTAAAAAAACACTGACCCCTTTATATTTTCTTATGCAATTTAGAATGACAAATAAGCTGACGGTCCACCTGATAAAAAGTGGTAACCGTCGCCTATAGACATGAGCAGTACCATCGACATAAAAGAGTATACTTACCCATGATACCTCCCATGCGTTGCCATTCCTAAGGACAGTGCATCCTGTAAATTCACTGCCATGTCCCACCCTTCAAACTGCAACACAGCTTTGCAAACACAACTGCTTCACGGTAGAAACACGAATGGGACAGAAGTGCCCAAGCAAACGACTTTTGTGCAAACTCCCTTTGGTAAATGTATACATCTATAATTGTAATTTAAACCAAAAATGTTTGTACTTACTAACTGTTTGTAAATGTTTGTAATTACTAATTGAAAATAGATACACACCCGTTTCCAGGTCATTTATAAATGAAACTGCAATTTTTGTCTAGAAAATATATTTTAATACGTACATCAAATTTCAACAGACATTTAGTTTCGTTAATTAAATAAAATGTATAGCTGGCGTGACGTTCGTTAAACTACACGAGAAGGACAATGAACGCATAGTCTAATAGTTAACTCTACTCTACTGAATCTAACCTCGCTAAAACCGCTAAATACTCATTTACAATTAATTCTATTATTCTAGTTGTGGACTCGTGGCTAATTATATATTTGAAATACATTTAGGCCGATCAACATTCGTTATCTTATTGTTAAAAGTGTCGTAAGCACACATTTTAATGTAATAACTACCGGTTCCACTTACGTGTAATTGGATTGAGAAAGCTCTATTAGTTTCAGGATCAATACGTGACCCTTAATCATGAGCGGCTGTTACACGAGCGCAATTGATACTTATTATATTAAATTACTTGCTACCTTGTTATGGTAAAGATATTTAATTATTTATATATTATTGCATCTCCAATATGAATTAGGTATACCTTGTATTTAGGTAGATATAAAGGAAATGATTGGTAACATATAAAAGAATTTATAAAAAAAAATTGAAATAATAAATCTAAAATAACGCTGATTTTACTGTACAATAAAGTGTTACCAACATCGTTATGTTCATTTGTTTTGTTCTAATAATAATACAATCTATACGTCTGTTTTATATATATATTCTAAACACCACGTGTCCACAACCTAAACTGCCGACATCCAGACGAGAATACTAAAGCTATCTTACATTATAACTGTATATACATTTGGCAACTTTACTTAGTCTATGTATGGTGATATGCACATGGCATTGGTTAATCAAATAAAATATGATCTCCCATTGATATATCTTTCATACACGCTATCATGATAATTGATCACAATTATTTTCATTGATATATACATTCAAATGTTTCGAATTTTACTTGTACGATTTGATACTAACAAGTAATTATGTACAATCAATAGTTTTGATGCAACTGTTAAAGTTTTGGAAACAAAAAAAAAATCCTTAGGAAAATTACCTAAAACAATTATTGTTCAGATTTTTTTTAATTCATAATCATTCACGTAGCTAGGAGGAGAAGGGGCTACGGACAACTCTAGAAAGTTAGTTGACCGGCTAATTGGTTGTTCAACTTAGCTACGCCATTGATTATGATATTGATCGATAGTGACAATATAAAGCATTTGTACATGTTTTTTTGTAGTACATAAGATTTGCCATAAACAATATTCCCATCTAGTCTCAAATTTTGTTCGCGCTGCAACTATTTTCATTTCACTGGACCATAGTTTCTTAACCTTATTTTGCCGCTCCCCCCTCTTTGCCCATACGTATTTTTCTAGTTATCGCCATGTTAATCTTACTTATCTGCCTTTTTTAACTATATTTTTTAATCTACCCACGCCCCCTCTGCGTATTCTTAATAATGAATGATCTCATCTCTCACTCCTTAATTTTTCCTAAGTCTTCTATTGCCCTTTAATTTAATGTTGATGTATTCCTTTTTTTTAATTCGATCGAATTAGCAATGAGGAGGTCCTGTTTTAAGTCCGGTTAAGGAAAAAAGACAAATTATTAGAACTATTGAGGACAGAAGGAAAAAAATGTTGGGACACTTGATACGACATGACGAAGTTAAGAACATTATAATAGAAGGTAAGATAGAAAGAAGGAGGGGAAGAGGGAGACCGAGACAAAGTTACATCAGGCAGATCAAGGCAGGAGTTGGTGTCGTGTCGTATCAAGAGGTGAAGAGACTCGCTGAAAATCGTAGTGAGTGGCAAGAGCTCCACCGACAAGAGCGTAGCTCTTAAATAGATAGATAGATAGTATCCCTTTTATTGCGGTGTCAGATTGTGAATGTGTTTGTGTTGGTTGTAAAAGTTGAAATTTTACACACATACGTTATGTAGCTCTTACTAAGTAAGTCCAAAGTAACTTTTTATTTTTATCATCGCGAAAGGGTGAGACCCTCTCTAGTGCTGTCTATACCCCCTCTGTTAGTGTATATTCACAGCGCAGGCGGGCTTACTTTTTTATTCTCATACCCTCTCTGTAATAACGTACTCTTTTGAAAAAAGCACAAATCTATATGTGTTTTTTTGGCCATAGAACACGGCGTCCATAGTCTTGTAATTGAACCGCTTAAATAACTCTTCTGCAAAAATCAACTTATTCATTTATGGTAACACATAGAAAATATTATACGTACTGGCAAGTAATTGAAAATAGTTGAGACACAAAATTACATAAACTGATTAGGATTATTCCTAGTTTAAATAGTCCAGTTTAAATAGTGATGTTCACAATACAAGTGATTAATGGAAACTAATTTCATACTTTAATGGTGTATTCATGTCACTTGAAGTAAATCAAGTAGACTATAAAAATTTAAAATTTTTATCACCAACGTTTCCTATGGCACGAATCTCAAATTTATTCTAAAGACAAATACAGCGCTAAACAACTTTTTAATCACTTTATTTACATCAGTTTAAAATTAATGCTTACTTCATTGCTTTCTTTTCGTCATAATTTAGCACTTTCAAGTTTTCAAGTTGCAACTTATCACAAACTAAGTAAATATAAAGCCAATTAAATTAAAACATGTCGTTTGCAATAGGAGGCGTCATATGTAGAATGAAATAAGAGAATTTAGAAATATTAGGAACTTATTTATGGAAATGAAAACACTTAAATCTATTTTAAGACTTCACACAAAATTGATTCTTATAAAAGTTCATAAAGACTATTATAACTCAATAAGTCTTGTAATCTAATCGATAAATTAAATGACGCCGCATATTGCCAACATTATAAATAATAAAATAATGATTAACGCCAGTCTTACTAACATTGGGGTGGGGTTCTCTGTTAAATAGTGGGGCAAGATATGTATCGTGATATATTTGTATGGTAAGTTATAGTTACAACATGAATGGATATTAGCAAGAACCCCTAGGTGAAAATAATACGACTTAATTGTAAATCTGGCAGAATTAATAAATAATTATACATGCTCAGCTTAATAATTACGTCAGTCAGCTTACCCTTGACTTGTGCCACAAATAAAAAAAAAAAACCCAATAGTTCTGTTGCGATATTTGTAACAGATAGCACTCGGGAGTATATAAGAACTGCAAGACAAAATAAATGGTAGTAAAGTGCGAGTGTTATTCGATAGGGGGATTCCCCTTTAGATACCGCAAAATTCGCATTTACAATCTCGCTTTTGCGGTATTGAAAAATAGAGAAAAATTTCGCTGAAACGCGGTAAAAATATTACAGTATTGCCTCTGAACAGGCATATCTTTCCAAGACTGGAAGCAAACACTAAATAATGTTAATAAGGAAACCAACCTAAATTCAGTAACCCTATTCAATTAAGAAATAATTATTCAAAGCTGTGTACATAGGCATTGAACTTCTCTTTTGAAGTTGGTTAATAAAAACAATAAAAAAGATTGTGTGCGAATAGAGGTGGACCTCTTTGTAGATATTTGGAGCCTTAGGGCTTATGCTGGCCAAGGAAGTACATTGTTACTACATGCATACGCCGACAGCGTAACATAAAAAAATCTTCATACATACTAAAAGTATACGACACATTGTCAGGTGCATCATACATCTCTCATTCATTAATTAAATTCCCAAGGAGGGTTGACGTCAGACAGGCGGCCTGTCGTAAAACTAAATGCCAAACCTTGGGTATTATCTATAAAAATATGTTACGCCGACCCCAAAATTTATATACTTGGAATAAGGGTAGGAAGATTTTTCATTCATCAATTTAAATTTGAAAAATTGTTAAATATTATTATATCAATAATTAGGTAGGTATTTATACTAAAAGATAACATAAAAAACATGATCACGACTGTGATCATAGGTGGGGTAGTTAGTAGCTTTATACGTTTGTCACAGTTTTGTTAAATGTTACATACAGTAAACATTATAAACAACGCTGGTTTACTTAAATACCGAAAAAGTAGGTTGAATTACATATAAATTTATAAACAAACTTTGTCAAGACTATTACATATATGCATTATTATTATACTGAAATAAAATCAAAAATTATACATTATAATCTAATACATGTTTCATTTATCAATTCCATGATCTATATAACTCTTTTGTAATTATGTTAACATTATATGTATTATATTACAATAAAGTATCGCAAATTACATAGCAATTATGGTAAGTATATAAAAATATAAATTAATATAATTATTATAAAAAAGTCAAAATTAATCTGATTTAATTGTTAATATGATTTTCTTACTAATTTGATTATAAAAACTCATTGCATATAAAAATTCTTTTGAATTTATGTCGTACAACACTTGGGTAAAATAGTGATGTACCTATTATTCAGTTTTGTTAAGTCGATATTTACAACTTTTTTTATTAAATTTCCCTCAATTCTCTTCACATCTCAAAATGGATCAGTTTTCTAATTGAACTAATACCAAATATCTATCAGAGATTTATTGATCTTTGTTGCTAAGTTAAAATATAGCAGTCAATTCATAGCAGACATTATCGCCTTGATAAATTCATCATTATAAAACAAATATAAATGTTTAACACCACCTCTCAAATTCGTTTCATTTAATGCAATAAATTGTTTTAATTTTCAGATTCTTTTGAATTGCTTGAGATCTATAATAAACTTATATATGCTTAATTGTATATAAATGAAATTGCATTTTTTTTAACTTATAAATTATAAATACAAACGTTACAAAAAGCGAAAATCTATTAATCAATCGAATAAAAAGATCGATTTGAATAAAATCGGAAGCAATCGAAATTTCACATACAATTACGTATAAAAATAATATTTAATTACAAATAACAATTTCATAGATTTTCTTTTCTACAAATGCCTTTAGAAGACTTCTACTACACGTCAAATGATATCACCGAAGAGCAAAAGTCAACTATTGGGTTTTTCTGAGACTGGAAAAGGACGGATAGTATTTTACAGTGACGATTATAATGAAAGTTCACGTTGATCAGCTATTTAACACGATTGTGGCTCAACACTAATATTTTATATATTTATTTGCGTGAAAATTCTCAAACTGTACTATGCCCATCTTATTATTCCTCGATGACAGTTCAACAGATAAATTAGTGATGTTCAAACGATTGTTTCGATTCGATGTTTTATCGATAATCGATATACATAAATCGATACTTGACCAGAGTGGTAGTGATACGCATTACCATCAATATATATCCATGTTTCTTATTTCGATTAGTGACCTGAATTATTATAGGATTTATCAGTCATATTGAACATCGACCATTTAAGATATAGAATTTAGAAATGTCACTATCTATATTCGCAACAATGATATCTGTTATATATTGATGTCGATTATGAAGTGGCATTTCTTTAAACCTATCTCTATTTATTTATTTATTTAAATTGTGATACATAGGTAACAATGGATGGTAAAATAAGATGTCTATGATCTGAAATAAGTCCTCTATGATATACCCCATATATCGAGGAATACAAATTTGCAATTTATATAAGAAAAAACAAATTATATAAAAAAAAAAAAACACTATGATATATCTCTCTGATTAAAATTTTCATTTAATATCACTAATAGCGAAATCTTTATTCTTAAGTTAAAAGACAGATAAATTAAATTTCTATTATATTTAAGTCAAAATTATTAAAAATTTTGTTTATGATGGATTCAAAAATAATAATATCGCAAAACTTTAAATAATAGGTTAAGAGACAAGTTTAAAGAAATAGGGAACTTGATAGCAGTTCAACCGTGAAAAAGAAAATAATAAGATGGACGACGTATTAGTAACTAACATTTCATAAATGTATCTAAAACTCTCTATAGTTTATAACTTAATCATGTTAAAAAAAAGCCATACTGTTCAATTGATAACAATATTTTTAACATGTAAAAAAATTAAGAACAATTTACTCAGTTTTAGTCTACTGGATTATTAGCCTGGGATCGTTTTTAGTTGTGTTTTTTAAAACACATACAACTGGTGAACTCAAGATAGACAGTGCAATGTAATAAGTGAATGTTGTGTATATTTAGGAAAATATAAACACACTTTCAATTTTCTGAGAATTAGAAAAATAAAAAGCGGTTTTTCGTAGGCGAAGGTTACCTATTTAAATATAAAGATGTGATAAACGTTGAATGAATGATGAAAAAAAAAATGGTTTAAGTCTCAGGATTACACAATTACCATATTTCATTGCACTAATCAATTTGTTTAGACAAAATCAAAGCCTGGGGGAGGCCTATGTTCAGCTGTGGACAGTTCACGACTGATACAATACAAAGGCTTAAATTATGTTACGAAATATATATATTCATCTTGTCTAAATCTTGAAATCTATATAAACAAGTCAAAGGATCCATGTCCCGCCCAGGTGTGACATAACTGTGTCGAGGAAGCCCACATTTTGTGTGCATTTCATGAAATGACCGTCGTGTTTATTTTGTGAAGTTTAGTGATAATTACAAATATAGATGTCAATAGATGTCGCTACTTGTTTTGCTCGACAATTGGTTGTAAGTATGCTCAAAAGAGTTTAATTGGACTCGTTAATTTTTATATTAAAAAAATGTCTAGGTTTTGCAAAATCTATTATATATAAACTATACTACAGGTGGCATATTCGAAAATACTGAAAGTAATTAATAGCTATCAATAAATAGCTCTTATAAGACAAAAAGTATAAATAACATGGCGTGTTTAGTCTCATAAAATTCTCATCTATTGTCATCTATATTTGTGATATATATGTAGGTGTTGGCTTACAGCAGTATGAGGGGCAGGTGGTGGTGGTGGTGGTGGCGGCGGGCGCGGCGCGGCGGTCAGCAGGCGCGCGGCGGCGCCAGGTGGTGTATGAGCAGCGGCGCGGTGTCGGCGGCGGCGGCGGCGGCGGCGGCGGCGGGCGCGGCGGCGGCGGGCCGCTGCGCCGTCACCCGTTCCAGCACGCACGACGCCGACAGCCGCGCCTCCGCGTCGTGGTCCCAGCACTCCTCCATCGTATCGCACACCACCGACAGGCCCTGTCGCCATAAACAAACGGCAAATTTTTATATACATACTTTTTTAATACATAGGGGCTACGCTAGCATGCGGCTCATAATATACATACTTTTTTAATACTTAGGGGCTACGCTAGCATGCGGCTCATATTACTGCGCCAAAAGACGACTTCGTGAAAACCTCTGTCATTTAGACAAGATGTTTAGCAGAATCCTACATGAAGTTGTAAATATTCGAATTCAGAACGCGGAAACGCATGTGTATGTGTAAATTTTTCATAGCGACTAATAGTTTTTTGCTCTGTAAAAAATAGCAATTACAATCGCCACAATATTACATGTGAATAAATTTCATTATATAAACAATATTCTTTTGGAAGTCACTTAAAAAGAAATAAACAACGTCACTGGTAAATTCCAATACTTGTTTTGATAAATTCTAATATATATTGTTGATTTTATTACTTTTTTCACTGTTTCCATTTTATATTCCTTTTTATATTAATACCCGCCCACTATGTACTTTTTATTACAACACATTTGTGATTTGTTAATCTTTGTCGGGTGCCCACGATACAGGTTTGCCTAGTGTGGAGCTCATTGTATCTTGTTTTTGTAACTTTATGTTGTCAAATAAAATAAAAAAAAAACTGGTCATAAGCGTACATATATAGAGGGGGGAGGGGGTATCCGTACCCACTTCAGAATCATCTGGCGCCCACCCAACATTGCTTGCAAGATGCAAGCAAAGTTTTGCAATAATATGCTTGATTATGCATCTTTTTAAGGGGCCAGTCCCCCCCCCCCCCCATCTCTGGAAGCTAATCTTAAACACGCCAATATCACTGGTGCTAACAGGGTGGTCTCGCCAGACGGCCGGTATGAGCGGCCGCAGCTTCCTCTGCACCACCGCTTCCTGCATTTCCTCGAGGCTGGGATGCGAACCGACTTCCTCTTCGAGCGGCAACCGGTACTGCGCCGTCGGCTCCGCGCCCACGTCGGTACATCTGTATATAACAGAATAAATGATATACAAACTTGGTTTTAACAACAAGATTTTGACGTTGACGACAAGGTTCTGGTGTGACGATTCGTTTTGCATAAATAGCAGATTTGTTTTTAATTAACCCTTTGAGTGCCGACGAGCGCCATCGCGCACGTGCGCATTGCTACTAAAAGTGTCACGAGCGTCATAGCGCTCGTGAAATCAGTCGCTGTTTAGTTTGCTGTAAAAAAAAATAATATTAAAATTGGATAATTTTTGGAGGAGATACAGTTTTTTTAGAGACAATGGTAAATGACATCAACACGACAAAGATTTCTTTGGCATTTTTAAGTAGATATGAGTAAAAATCAACGGCACTAAAAGGGTTAATGATAATGGAATTGTAACCCCGCCTGTTCTATAGATATACTTGTCATCAGCAAAGGATATTTTTTTTATGGATGATAGATAATGGTATGGTAACCTAACGGTATACGCTGGCGGGGCACCAGTGACTGATGATAAGTTAGCCCATCGTGATGAATAAACCTGGGATTCATCACGATGATTTCCAGGGGGGACCATGTCGACCTGACAGGGTGTATCGCTAGCAATGGGACTAGTAGTCCGTATTACTAACAATCCCTTCCCCCCTGACAAAGGAGGTTAAGCCAGGATAGAAACAGGTCACTTGGCTTATTGTGACCAATTCAACAATAAATAACAACAGTGGTTTCTATGGTGAATCGCGTGGAAACTAAACACCAGGGGGGGGGGGGGGGTAATGTTAGTAAAAACTCGTAGAGGTTGGCAACCGCAGTTAGGCTTTGTTAATGTTTTACAAGGGACGCTTCTGCCCATCTCTCGACCATTATGTTCCCTTAATTGCTTTTAATGACACCCTCGCGAAAGGAAGGGGTGTTTAAGGAATGATAATGGAATGGTAGCCCCACCCGCGCTATCGGTTTACACCGGCGGGGCACCAGTGAAGGATGATAGGTGAGGATAAAGTGGGCCAGTTAGCCCATCGTGACGAATTCAACAAGAATTGTTCACGATGGTTTCCAGGGGAAACCAATTGGAGGTCGATCCAATAAGGCATATTGCTAGCAATGGGGCTGTCAAACGCCATTGCTAACAATCCCTTTCCCCCGAAAAGAAGGGGTGACTCATTCCATGCCGCCATGTCTTCGCAATAATGTTTATTTTGTACTCTTTAAATAATAATTTATCTTTGCATGAATTCTGAATTTATCATTTTATACTGCGTGTATTTACTAATTACTTAGTGATAAAAAAAATGCGTAAGTTATGTCAACAAGAAAGGTAACGCCCATGACTCTTGGATTTGATAAATGCTTTGATAGTTTGGAATAATCGAAACAGGCTTATCATTGCAGTTGTATAAAAAAAAAAAAAAATTACCAACTGAAACTGTACCTAAACTGAGGCTGGCCATTTAGAATCGAAAAAATTTAGAACACGGAAATATAAACTTAATAATTTTGCAAACGTTGTATTGATATTGTCCTTTACCGCTAGTAATAGTTTTTTTTTTAATTAAATCATAAAAATTATTTTTATTATTAATTTATTTAACTTTTTATTGCACCATAAATAAAAATATACAATGATAAGTGAATAATTCAAGTGAAATACAGTAACAAAATACAGATTATAATATACACATAAAGGCACAAAAGGCGGTCTTATCGCTAGGGCAATCACTTACAGACAACCTTTAAAAAAAAATATTTAAAAATTATCCTATCTATCTATTTATTTTTTACTAGCTTTTACCCGCGACTTCGTTCGCATAACCGCGTTATACTGAGCGAAATAAAGCCGCCTATATCCTTCTACATACCATATAGTACGTGTATATCAAATTTCATAGATTGATTAAGCTGTTAAAGCGTTATAAGGTAACATACAAACAAATTCACTGTCACATCATCACGTCGATCTGGTTGGGTATATGGTATCTGCGCTAATGGTATACGCTGTCGGGGCACCAGTGAGGGATGATAGGTGAGAATGAAAAAAGCAGGTCAGTTAGACCATCGTGATGAATACACTTGGAAGCACGATGGTTTCCAGGGGGACCATGAGGTGGTCGACCTGGTTAGGTATAATGCTAGCAATAGGACCCTTAGTCTCCATTATTAACAATCCCTTCCCCCCCCCCCCCCCCGTACATACTATACTTATTAAACAAGTACAATATAATACTTGTTTGCACATACGAGGTCTGTCCGGAAAGTTCGTATAAAAGTGTTCTGGAATGCGAGAAAGAGGAGTGGGGAGGCCAGGTAAGCGCAGGACCCCTTCCTTATGTCCCTAACAATGCTTCAGTTCTGGTCTGACCGCCGTGCGGTGCGAACTGGCTTGTCACGCCATCTGTGAAGTTACCTCTAACGAAACCCCGTCGGCATGGAGCCCGCTTCCGTTGAAGAGCAGCGCGTCGTAATCAAGTTTCTCTCGAAACTCGGCAAGAATGGCCGTGAAATTTTTGCCGATCTCAGAACAGTTTATGGGGATGATGCTGTGAAGGAACCAACCGTCCACAAGTGGCTAAAAAGATTCAGAGAGGGCCGAGAAAGAGTTCGATGTTCGGGGGATTGTCCATCAAGAATTCGTCCCTCCAGGCCAGACAGTTGATGGAAAATTCTACGTCGATGTGCTCAGACGCCTCAAAGCTCGTGTGGCACGAGTTCGTCCAGAATTGGCGCGAGAGGGGCGTTGGATTCTTCACCACGACAATGCCCCTGCCCACACCTCTCTTGTTGTCCGTGAGTTTTTGAGTAAAAATTCCATTACGGTGACCGAACACCCCCCCCCTATTCGCCGGATTTGGCCCCGTGTGACTTCTTCTTGTTCCCAAAAACCAAATTGGTACTTCGGGGGCGGCATTTGGGGGACATAAATGAGATAAAAAAAGCTACGACGGGGCAGCTGAGAAACCTACAACCAGAGGACTTTCAAGGAGCCTTCTCACAGTGGAAACGGCGTTGGCACAAGTGCATTATGTCACAGGGGGAGTACTTTGAAGGGGATAAAATTGATTTACCTGAATAATTGTAAAATAAAATATTTAAAAAACTATATATATATATATATATATATATATATATATATATATATATATATATTTGCGCACGAGTCATTTTTATAATAAATAAACTAACTTTTAGCGGCGACTCCGTCCGCGTATATATATATATATATATATATATATATATATATATATATATATATATATATTGTAACAACAATATATATATATATATTTTTTTTAATCAATGATAATGGAATGGTAACCTCGCTTATATATAGATGTATAAGCGAAGTTACTATCTTATATATAAAATTCTTGTGTCACGGTGTTTGTTACCAAACTTTTGTGCTTATTGGGTAGATCTGAGAATCGGCCAACATCTATTTTTCATACCCGTCAATGATAAGGGTGACCCACACCAAAATATTTTTTTTTTATTTTTTTGACATTTTTTTTTATTTTTATTTTATTATAATTTAGCATTGAAAAATACATACAACTTTAAATTTTCATCGTTTTATGATCAACCCCTGTATTTTAATTGCGATTTTTATATTTCGCTATAAGTGGTAAAACAACGTTTACGGGGTCAGCTAGTATGCTATATATTACTCATTCGTGCAATGATAATATAATTTTATATATTACTAGCTTTTACTCGCGACTTCCTCCGCTTGACTGAAATATATAATTTTTTTTTATACAACTTAGAATGGCAAAAAAGCTGACGGCCCACCTGATGGAAAGTGGTAATAGTCGCCTATACACATAAGCAGTACCATGGACATAACAGAGTATACTGTTTCGTCCATGATACCCCCATGCGTTGTCATTCCTGAGGACTCAGGTATTATTCTTCCGCACCCAGTAAATTCACGCCATATCCCTATCAAACCGAAACACAACTGCTTCACGGTAGAAACACGAAATGGGACAGAGGTACCCAAGCAATCAACTTTTTTACAAAGTCTCCCTGATTATTATCCAAGAATATTGATATTATCCAAGATAAAAAAAAGTGTGCCATACTGTTTAGAACTCATAAATAGAAGGATTATACTATAGTTTTTATGGTTGGTGCCATGGGCAGTACAGCATATTATTCTTCTGTGATATTTAAGATGCACAATTTGATAGCTGCATGAGCAATCAGTCTGAATGCCATTTATCGTAAATAAAATATAATATAGACTCACCTGGACGCTATTTCCCATAACACCAGAGCGCACGCGTACATGTCTATCCTAAGGAAGGCGTCCTTAGTGAAGTTGATGGCGCCGTCCAACACTTCTGGCGCCATGTACCGCCTCGTGCCGACCTGACCGTGAGCGTCCCCGCAGCCGCGTCCCGCCGCGAACACCAGCGCCAGCCCGAAGTCCGCGATGCAAGCGCTCATGTCCGCTTTCAGGAGTACATTCTTGGACTTGAAGTCTCTGTGCGCGACGGCCGGCTTCCCGCCAACTTCCTCGTGTAAGTGCGCCAGGCCGCGCGCCACGCAGACCGCCACGCGCCACGCCTCCGCCCACGTCAGGGTGTTGGCTTTCAAGTAGTCACAGAGAGAGCCCTACAATAAATATTTAATTGTACTAATAATAAACATAAAATTTTGTATAAATGTTGGTTAATGGAATTACGTTTAAATGGTTAATTTGATCAGTTTTTTGATTTGATTTCGCAGTCACTCTATGTTCACGTCCAATTTAAAAAGTTGATGTTTTTTACCATTATATTTTATTTAGTTATAATTTATGTTCACGTCCAAATTTAAAAGTTGATGTTTTTTACCATTATATTTTATTTATTTATAATTTATGTTCATGTCCAAATTAAAAAGTTGATGTTTTTTACCATTATATTTTACTTATTTATAATTTATGTTCATGTCCAAATTAAAAAGTTGATGTTTTTTACCATTATATTTTACTTATTTATAATTTATGTTCATGTCCAAATTAAAAAGTTGATGTTTTTTACCATTATATTTTACTTATTTATAATTTATGTTCATGTCCAAATTAAAAAGTTGATGTTTTTTACCATTATGTTTTATTTATTTATAATTTATGTTCTTGTCCAAATTTAAAAGTCGATGTTTTTTATCACTATATTTTATTTATTTATAATTTAACTTAAATTCAATTAAAATAATTTAATTACAATTTCCATAATTTGGATTGTTAATATATTTATATTTTAGGATTTACTTTTCATGAACACAGAGTGCTTTTTAGCTTAAGCACGCGATTATCTATATCTATACTTATATAATAAAGAGAAAAAAGAATCGATTATTTAGTGTGATTATGTTTTAAGTAAATGGATCCATTATTAATATAGGTTCATAATACTTTAATATATACATACATTAGAGCAGGCTCTAATTCAGTCACTCTCAAGCATAGATCAGATACCACAGAGCAAGTAAATCATTCAGAAACACATTACAACAGATTATTTCTTTGTAATGGATAAAATTGAAAACTAATTAACCAAATCTTTAATTTCTTTTTAATCTAGAGTAATCTACATTATCAGCGAGTAACATAGGATTTATATTATTATCTATCTACCTGTGCGAAGCCAGGGTCGGTCGCTAGTATTAAATACATAGGTTACAGAGTACGGTGGCTAGTTTGTACAATTGTGTAATGTACGCAATTCACTGTGCTCTTATTGCATGACAAAGCGGCGCCGCGCGGCTCCGTGACTTTTGCCTTATATGTATTGAGCAGTACTTACTTATTTGTGCATTGAATATTAAAAATATAGGATAAATATTGAGCTTTATTATTATACAGCAAGATTGTAATCTCAGATAGACTAGTCAGAGCTCTATTAAAGACTGCTTCTTTGGTGCGATCATTAATGTAAAAAAAAAAAAAATTGCTGACTAGGCATAGATAATATCGGTATCGCTACGATATCTATTTATTGGATTTCGCTGGACATTAATAGCAGAAAATAGGTCATATTCCATTTCTATATCCCTCATTACAGTCGGTTATTTATATTAGTTTCGATTAGGTTCTTAATTCTAGTACTATATATCGGATATTCATATTATTACATATAAAGCATATCCGTTATTAGGCCATTATATTGATATTGTAACAATGATATAACTATATATATATATATATATATATATATATATATATATATATATATATATATATATATATATATATATATATATATATATATATATATATATATATATATATATATATATATATATATATATATATATATATATAATCATTGGAACATTGATAATCTATACTTATAATAAATCTGTAGAGAGGTCAATTCTGTACATGAAATATATTTCCAAAGTAACTATAGGGGGGTGATTAGTGATCGATATTGATGCTAAAAATGCAATCGGTAAAATTTTTGTATGTCTGTCTGTATGTTCGTTATAAAAACAAAAACTACTCGACGGATTTTAACGAAACTTGGTACAATTATTCTCCATACTCCTGGGCAAGTTATAGTATACTTTTCATTACGCTACGATCAATAGGAGCAGAGCAGTAAAAAGAAATGTTGGGAAAACGAGAGAAGTTACTCCCATTTATAAGCTTCCGTCGCGTGTGCACCCTAATGGCCACTTTTTAAAATTATATTTTAAATGTCCACCCGTGCGACGTCGGGACGGGCCGATAGTAAGATAATAAGACACTAGCTTTTACCCGTGATTTTGTCCGTATGACCGGAATAAAAAGTAATCTATATCCTTCTCTATCCAATATAGTAAGTGTATACTAAATTTAGTTTAGTTATAGTGATTAGTTAAGGCGCTATGATGTAACAAACAAACAAACTCACTTTCATATTTATAAAGTTAGTAAGGATTGCGTTCCTTTAACTGGTTATTACGAAAAATGTACATAACATACCTTCTCATGGTAAGCAGTGATGAGCCTATACTCCGCTTGCAAATTATCTCCTTTCTTATCAACCCCAATAAAATGCAATATGTCTGGGTGGTCCATCCTTGGGAGCCTGTATATTTCCTGTTCAGCCATCCAGGACTGTTTGTCTTGCAGTGGAAACACCTTGACTGCTACATCCATCTGTCCATATTTTGCGCGCCAAACGGCCCCAAATCTTCCCCGAGCTCTAACTTCGCATAAAGTTATTTGGCCCACCAAGCCGAGCCCCTCATTTTCCATACCAGCGGTAGCAGATGGTGGCCGCGAGAGAGACGGTTCTCCACTAGCGAGTTCAGCAAACGAACTACCCTTGCGTCTTCTGTATAAGAAGTAACACGCGAGAAGAATTGCAAACAGCAGAAACAATGGAGTCAATGTGTAAGCGATGACTGCTTTGGTATCATCATCGGAAGTGGGCACAGGAGATGCTGGGATAATCTCTACAGGTGCATCAGTCTGAGCTAGTACAACTTCCAAGCCTGGGAACGTCACATTCTGATTGCACATATCACCTTCGCAGCAACAATGCAGTAATGGCAGCTTAATATTATGCAATCGACAATTAAACGCCCTGTCTGTACATGAAACAGTATCGAGGAAGCATCCCTTAACCTTTGGATATGCAGTGTTCGTGACATTATCAAACTGCCACAGTACGAAGCAGTGACTGCTTTTATCAGTCGTTTCAGTTGGTAGGCATTCTTCTTTCTCCGGTGTCTGAATGCAGCTCGTGCTGTTGTTGGGGTCGCAAGGTTTTGAATCATTGTAAAATGCGCAGTAACGCGTAGTTACACCGCCCTCTCGCGGTCTCGGTGGTAGATTTTCATCGTTCGGTGGTGCAGCAAATGTTGTACCTTAAATAGGAAACAATAATATTGACTATTGTATAAAGTTACGCATCATGTTGAATTAATTTTGTGCAGCTGTTTATAATCTGTAAAATAGTAGATGAATCATAGGCATTTTGTGTAATCAGTACAAAACGTGTTTTGAATAATTAATTACATACTAATTGTTAATGTTACATTATAATTAGTATCTATAAATATAACAAAAAAATATAACAATTATATTTTGTGTACATTAAATAGATAACAAAATTATGTGCAATATATTAACAATATCTGATGTTTTGTATTGCAAGTTCAGAATAATAATAATGTTTCTCTATAAAATAATAATTATAGGTACTTATGGTTAATGGATGATAATGTAACCCCACCTGAGTATACGCTGGCAGGTTACTAGTAAGGGATAATAGGTGAGAATGAAGTCAGGTCAGTTAGTCTATGAATCATGTCATGATGAATACACCTGGAATTCATCACAATGGCTAATAGATTTTTTTTGATGGGCGAAAATGGTATGTTAACCCCGCCTGCGCTAATGGAATACGCTGGCGAAGCACCAGTGAAAGGTGATAGATGAAAAAGAAAACAGGCCAGTTAGCCCATCATGATAAATTCATCAGGAATTAACCATGATAGTTTACAGGGAGAACTGCGAGGAGGTCGACCTGGTCAGGTATATTGCTAGCAATGGGATTTTCAGTCTCCATTACTAACAATCCCTTTCCCCGTTGGCTAATAGATTTAATGTTTATAATAAACATAACAGCCTTTATTATGATACTTTTTTTACTATAGTGTAACATGTGACCACACCATCCTGGGTAAACACTATGGTCCATGAATATGATCAAATACATAAATATTTACTATTACACTATTAGATTACTGTGGTGTCTGTTTGCTAATGTGCAAGGAGAACTTGTTTGCTAATAAGGTAATTATTATTACAAGGTAATTTTTTTTTGCTGACAAGCAGCTTTTGTTGTGTAGAATAATAAATAATAAATTTATTTGCTTCAAATAGTGTCAGTGTCAGTGGTTTTAGGTTAAATAAAGTTTCTTAATTCTATTTAGCTATTACAAAATAGCATGCAAATGTCACATTTTGTTAGGAACTGATTAATTGATGCATCGACAACACCAACTATACTAGATATTTATCTATCTTTTTTTAAATATTTGTCTACCAGGTAATAAATTTTATTAAATAGCCATTTACGTAATTTAATTTTAAATTTATTTATTAGAAGTTCTTTTATATCTCATAGGAATATTATAAAAAAAAGTAACTTTGATCATAACTACATTAATAGTAAATCGTAATATGTGGTCCTACTTTGAACCTAAATTTTCACCTGTTACTTCATATGCATGGATTTGAGAAGTAGGAAAATCAATGAAACAGACTATTTCTAGATATTGAAACAAGATAAAACATATATCAGGTTATAAGTGAGATCTGGATTAAGGGGACTATAGGGGGATATATATATAGACTATATAAGGGGGATAATAAAAATTGTGTCTCATTTGGTGCAGTAGTTTTTGTATGATGCTGGAAGAAACATATAGATTGATAGACAATTTTTTGCCTACCCTAATGGGAGACAGGCCTAATCGATATGTATAATTTATATTTTTTTTAAGAATTAACATTTTGGCTTCTATTGCTCTCGTATTGATATTTAAATTTAAGAAAATCCAATTACTTATGTGGTTAAATTTTTATTCTAATATTAAGATGAATAAAGTACACTGATAGAAATATTATATATAGTTTCTTTATATATTTAGTTGCTGTATTATTAATTTATACAATAGGACAATAGTTTTATCTTTTTAGGTACTGTATTCATATTCATAAACTCAACATTTTAACTGTGTCATTGATAATATAAGAAAAATTATACAGTGTGGAAAACTGAGAGTAACGGGCAGTCGTGGTACAGATTACCTATAGAAAAACAGAAAAGTGATGTCTATAGTAAGCATAAATTTAATAGATGATTCCACTATGTATCATGGTATAATTACTAGAAGTCTTACACCTCTTCTGTTTAGTTATCAACTAATTGGATAATTTGTACATAAAAAAACTATTTGAGTATCAAAGTTAATTAATATTTATGAAAGAAAATGATTAAAATAACAATAACGCAGGTGAGTTTCTTTAATGCACATAAATGTTTATCTGGCCAATAATTAAATATGTACAGGATGAAATATATACATTTTTGGTACTATTTAATCATAAAACCTGATTATTATTATGATTAACAATAAATAGTGTTTGTAATTAACATAATTATTTCTTTCACAAGATAAAATAACAATATTAGAAAATATAAAAAATTTATAATGTTTGTTCAATTCATAATTTTTATTAATTTTAGCCCTAAGTAATCTATACACCATGTATTTATACATAATACCTAAATTTAAATAAATCTAAGGGCTACTTATAAAAGGATTTGGTGCTAAGTAAGGCAAGTTTAACAGGGCACAACAAGTCATCATGAATGTACTCACCAAGAACAAATAGCACAATATGCAAAACCATTTTTTGGGCCATCATCAGAGCCATGGCGCAGGCGGGATTAGACCTTCTAACCCGTCGCGACAAACCAATGTTATTTTTAAACCCGGTCCCGACATGAAAAGTCTATTCTATTTACGAAATTCCAACATAAGTACATGTCAGACAAACAACGCACATTCAAATAGGGTCAATATAAACACAATAACATCACAACACCACTTATAATGTGTGGCAGTGTGTATAGAATAGTGTTTAAATTACAACAATCGCCGTAATTGCGCTGATTTAATTTGTATTTCCGAAAATAAAACAAGAACAAGCAATCATATTTCACGACCAAGCCACGGTTTTTTTATTATTTGCTTTTTTTTTTATTTTATTTTCTAATCTTACAATTTTTCAATAGTTCTGAACTCTAGCGTTTTAGCTCAAATTTTTTAAGGCTCTATTACACGGTATAAGCCAGTGTTTCTTATTATTTTGTTTGTTGTTCTAGATTAATGTAGAGCTTAAGTGTGCTGAACTTATCGATAAATATTTTCTTATGAGAGTTCATATTTTTTGATTAAACAATAAAAACAGTGTTAAGAGATCTTTGCTTTTGGTACAGAGTGTTAGAGGGCGCCAAGCGTCGTTCGCGATACCTCTAACGAAATGCGTCTCGCTTGCAATGCTGACGCTCCAAAACCCTGAGTGCAATGTCAAAGAACGGTATGCTATGAACAGTTCCTTTATATATAATAACTTTTGTGTTAATGTAAGATCAGATGGAGTAGCTCTCATCGATAGCACTAATGAAAAGAGCTTTGGCATCATGTCTTAAGAAATAAATTATATTAAAAACTGTTATTAAAAAATCAACAAATTTCTTAAATTTTGTTGAAATTGAACATTTAGTTTTACAGGGAAAGACTGGTAAAATTAGGATGCTAATAATGTTTTTTTTTTGTGAGAATGGATTATCAGTAATACAGACCACCAGTCTTATTGCTAGCAATATACCCCCGTCAGGTCGACCTCTCAGTGCCCCTCCTCCCCCCTAAAAATTGTTTTGAATTCCAGGTATTTATCACAATGGACCTGTTTTTTCATTTTCACCTAATATTCCTCATTAAGGGAGAAAGGGATTATTATTAATGCGGACTATCAGTCCCAGTGCTAGCAATATATCCTATCAGGTCGATCTCCAAGTGGTTTCTCCTGGAAACCATCGTGCTGAATTCCAGGTGTATTCATATATACGGTGGGCTAACTGTCTTGCCCTTTCATATCACTTATCATCCCTCACTGATACCTCCTTAGTGTATACCATTAGCGCAGGCGGAGTTACCGTAGTAAGAACTTGAATATTATTTATAATAAAAATTATGAAACATTATGTATCAAGCGTGCACTACATAAGTGTTAAAGTAATAATAAAAAGTCGCTGCCACGTCGTCTACCGCCGCCACCACATCGACTACGAACACGTCCGGCGATACGACGACCACAGGAGCCACGGAGACTACCGAAGCCACAGGAACGACAGAGGAGACAGCAAGGAAGAAGGAACCGAAGCACGGCACGGCACGCACGGTTCGCACCACGGCCTCGCAGAAGAAGAAGGCTCTGGCCAAGGCACGGGAGGAGCTACTTCGAAAGGAGGTGGAATTGGCCGCCGCACGTGTCGCCGCCCTGGAGGCCGAATCAGAGGACGACGAGGAAATAGAAGACGACGACGCTACCGTCAGAAGAGAACGAACGTCGGATTGGGTTCATCGAAGCACGCTGGCACTCACGATGGAGCCGCATGTACCAGAGATAGAAGAAGTCACCGGCAAGCGTCAGGGGTTCGTCCCATCGAGACCCGTTGAAGAGGATTCGAGAGCGCCGCCGCCACAGCCGAGCAGCGACGCACTTCACCGGGACCACGCACGCCACGTTGACCCACATGCCGCCATGCCTACGATAGCAGCAGCGATGCAGTCGATGAAGAAGGAAGAACCGGTGCTGAAGGTGGGCATCGATTGTAATGAGTTTGCGATCGCCATGCAGATGGCCGCTCGCAACATACTGCCCTCCACAGCGTCAAGAGTCACCGAGTTGCCAGTCTTCAATGGATCGTCGAGCGAGTGGTTACCATGGAAGATGGCCTATGAAGAGAGCGCAAGTCAACTCACAGAACAAGAGAACCTAGCAAGACTGCGCAGAAGTTTGAAGGGGGCCGCAAAGGACGCGGCACGCTCCCTATTCGTCGGGTCTACGACCGCAGAAGAAGTGATGAAGATGTTAGCCGCGAGGTTCGGCCGCCCTGGAGCACTCGTCACAGCCGAACTGAACAAACTCCGCGCGCTACCACGACTCTCGGACAACGCAAGAGACGTCTGCCTCTTCGCAAGCAAGGTGCAGAACGTCGTCGCCACGATACGAGCGCTGAACAAGAGTCACTACCTCTACAATGAAGAAATAGTGAGAAACGTCACAGAGAAGATGCCGTCGGTACTACGCTTCAAGTACTACGATTTCGCCAACGACCAACCGGAGGGACAACCGGACCTCATAACACTCTCTCAGTTCCTGCAAAGGACCGCCGCACGATGTGGAAACTTCGCCCCCGCCGAGGAGATACCGTCCGAAGACCGGCGGGAGTCCGCTCCTAGGAAGACGGCGAAGACATACACGACGCAGGAGAAACCCGCTACACCACCGTGCCCGATGTGTCGACGAGAGGGACACGCTCCATCGGACTGCAAGACGATGAAGGAAGCAGACACATCGGCGAGATGGGAGTTAGCGAAGACTCATAGGCTGTGTTTCCGCTGCCTCAAAGTAAGAAGATTTCGCCACGCCTGCAAGAGCAAGAGATGTGGAGTGGATGAGTGCACGCAGACTCATCACCCTCTGCTGCACACCACGCGACAACAGCCGGAGAATGAAGTAACGACACACGTCGTCGAGGACAAGTCCGCCGCAGTCACCGCATCGGCAAGGGGAAACGACAAGATCGCGTTCCTGAAGATCCTGCCGATACGAGTCACCGGTCCCACGGGAACGTGCGACACCTACGCGCTACTGGACGACGGGTCGACTTGCACCATCATCGAGACGACGGTGGCGGAGCGAATCGGTGCTACGGGTCCCCCCGCACCATTCTACATGGAAGGTGTGGCCGGGGCACGGATCAACGCAGCTCAATCGACGCGTGTTCACTTCAAGATCCGCGGGCGGAATTCACAAGAATACACAGTGGGGGCACGGACGATGGACAGACTGCAGTTATCACCGCAGTCGGTACCGCGCAGCGTCATCAAGGGCTGTCCACATCTACAAGACATAGAGAGGGAGTTGGTCTACGAAGAGGGCAAACCGACGGTACTGTTGGGGCAAGACAACTGGCATCTACTGCTGGCCCACGAAGTTAGAAGAGGATCCGACACGCAGCCGGTCGCATCACTCACCGATCTGGGATGGGTACTGCACGGTACGAGTCGCGGCAGGACAAGACAGCAGGTGCACAGAATCAGCCACATAGTGACGACACATGAAGAGGAACAATCGATGGAAGAAATGATGAAGCAACATTTCGCGCTCGAATCGCTGGGAATCGCACCGAAGAGGTCTTACAATGAAGAGGAACGTCGCGCCCTACGCATTTTAGAGGAGAAAACTCGTCCGTTACCGGCGGGAGGATACGAGACGGGGTTACTATGGAAGAAGGACGACCCTGTGCCGCCGGACAACTACGAATCGGCAATGCGACGTCTCCAACTGGTCGAAAGGAAACTCGACAAGAATGAAGAAATTAAGAAGAGGTATGAACAACAAATGGACACGCTACTCAAGAACGGGTATGCTGAAGTCGCCCCGCCACGGAGTTCCCAACGGGTGTGGTACCTGCCACACTTCGCCGTCATCAACCCGCAGAAACCGGGGAAACTGCGGATCGTGCACGACGCAGCAGCCAAGACGAAGGGCATCAGTTTGAACGACATGCTGCTGCCGGGCCCCGACTTACTTCAATCGCTACCGGGGGTCCTCATGCGGTTCCGGCAACGACGGGTGGCAGTCACGGCGGACATAAAGGACATGTTCATGCGGGTCACCATACGGGAAGAAGATAGGGACATGCAACGGTTCCTGTGGCGAGGAGATCGACGAGAGGGTCCACCTGTGGAATATAGGATGAAGAGTGTCATATTCGGCGCAACATCGTCACCGTGTACAGCGATCTACATCAAGAACAAGAACGCAGAACAGTACAAGGAAGAGTTCCCGGAGGCAGCAACGGCGGTGGTCATGAACCACTACGTCGACGACTACCTCGCCAGCTTCGACACGGAAGAGCAAGCCGTACGCGTCTCAAGACAGGTCGCACAGATCCACGGTCGAGCCAACTACTATCTCCAACGGTGGGCGTCGAACTCGCATCAAGTGCGCGCCGCGTTCTCCGACACCGGCGGGGACAGCGTGGTACAACTCGACGCAGAGAAGATACTGGGGATGGTATGGCGACCTTCTGAAGACACCTTAGGCTTCAACTTCAACGGACACAAGCTTCCGCCACAGATAGCTAGCGGGGAACAGACGCCGACGAAGAGAAGCGCTACGAGCAATCATGTCGCTGTTCGATCCACTGGGCCTCGCCACTCCCATCACCATACAGGCGAAGAAGATATTGCAGGAGACGTGGCGTACCGGTATCGACTGGGACACCGAGCTGCAACCACGGGAAGCGGACGCCTGGCGGAGCTGGATGGACCACGTGCGACGGCTGTCCGCGCTGGAGGTGCCGCGGTGCTACCCGGAGGTAGCCACGGCCGATACAGCGGAGCTGCATACATTCGTCGACGCCAGCTCGGACGCGTACGCCTGTGCCGTGTACTGGCGGGCCGTAAGCGCGACCGGCGAGGTCCACGTGTCGCTGATCGCGGCAAAGGGACGAGTGGCCCCACTCAGCAAGGTGACCACGATACCGCGACTGGAGCTGCAAGCGGCCGTCCTCGGGTGTCGCCTATCGCGCACGGCAGTCGAAGAACACGACCTGAAGCCCGCTCGCCGAGTATACTGGTCGGACTCACGCACCGTGCTCGCATGGCTACGCACCGGTCCTCGCGCATACAAGCCGTTCGTCGCGCATAGAGTCGCCGAGATCGTCGAAGAAACGAAGACGAACGAGTGGAGATGGATACCGACGCGGCACAACGTAGCAGACGACGCCACACGCGACCCACCGACGGACTTCGGCTCGCAGCATAGATGGTTCCGTGGGCCGGACTTCCTGTACCTCCCCGAAGAGCAGTGGCCGCGTGAAGATAGTACGAGCGACGATAGTCAAGCGGAAACGGGAGAAGAACGCGTACACAAGCTACAGAACGCGACGCAGTTGTCTATAGCATTACCCGATCCGTCACGTTTTTCTAATTGGTTGAAACTTGTTCGCAGTTCAGCACGAGTGTTGCAGTTCATCGACCTCCTGCGACCGACCAGTCAACGCTGTACCGCTATCCGAAAGAGGAACAAGAAGAAAGAGAGCACCGACCCCACTTGGACCCGCACGAAGAAAGTCGATAGAGAGAAGACGAAGATGAAAATCAAGAACAGCAATAGTCCATCTGTGTGTTTCATTCCCATAGACACACACTACCTAGATCGCGCGCGACGACTATGGATTCGCGCGATACAACAAGAGGCGTTCGGCAACGAAATCGCAGCAGTGAAACATGGAAAACAGCTGCCGTCATCCAGTCGACTCATACAGCTGTCAGTCGTCATAGACAACGACGACATTCTGCGACTTCGATCGAGAATAGCAGCCGCCGCCGATCTGTCAGCCGAGCAACGAGAGCCCCCATCGTCGACGGAAACCACGCCTGGGTGCGCCTATACATCGCATGGGTGCATCGGAAACTTCACCACGGCGGCTTCGGGATCACCACGAACGAGGTGCGACAACACTTGTGGGTGTTGCGCCTACGACACGCCGTCCGCAGTGAACTGAAGAGGTGTCAGCTGTGCCGCCTACGAAGAGCAAGACCGGCGCAGCCGTCAACGGGCAACCATCCACAGAGCAGGCTGGCGCATCATCAACGACCGTTCACGTTCACCGGCCTAGACTACTTCGGGCCTATGACCGTGACAGTGGGCCGCACTCACCAGAAACGATACGGAGTGCTCTTCACCTGCTTAACGACACGCGCAGTCCACCTGGAAATCGCCGGCAGCCTCAGCACGGACTCCGCCATAATGGCCCTGCGGCGCTTCATAAGCCGCAGAGGGTGTCCCACTGAGCTATGGTCCGACCAAGGCACCAACCTCAAAGGTGCTGACGTCGAACTGAAGAAAGCAGCCGAGGAAGCCATCCAAGAAGAGTCATCAGTCCATTTCATCCGGTGGCGCTACATTCCCCCGAGCGCACCCTTCATGGGAGGTGCGTGGGAACGGCTGGTGCGTAGCGTGAAGACCGCACTAGCCACCACGTTGAACGAGCGGGCCCCCAAGGAAGAGGTCCTCCACACTCTGCTGGTCGAGGTCGAGCACACCCTCAATAGTCGACCGCTAACCCACGTGTCAACATCGGCAGACGACGACAGCGCCCTAACCCCCAATCACTTCATATTGGGCGGTCCATCGCGCGTCCCACTGCCAGGCAGCTTCACCGAGAGCGACGCGGCGGGACACAAGGAGTGGCGTGCCAGCCAGAGGCTAGCTGATTGCTTCTGGAACCGGTGGGTGAAGGAGTACCTACCCGAGTTGCAACACCGGCGGGAGCCCCGAGCTACACACGGAGCCATCAAAATGGACGACCTGGTCCTGATAGCTGATGGGACCTTGCCTCGCAACACGTGGCCGCGAGGCGTGGTGGTGGCGACCTACCCTGGACCAGACGGCGAGGTTCGAGCAGTCGACGTGCGGACGAACAAGGGCATCCTACGGCGACCCACTAAGAAGCTGATCATACTGCCCACATCGACATCGAGCGACGCGAACACGAGTTAACTCCAGCTACGAGAGCTGCGGCGGGAGATTATGTTCGCGACATTATTTGTATATATCGTAATTTATAGTTGTTAAGTCCTAGTTAATCGTTTTGTATTCTGTTATTTATATAGATTTACATAGATTTAAGATAGTGTAAGTTAAATAAAGTATTCCTTTGTGTGTTGTCCTTATTACCTACGAATAGAAATAGAAATTGTAACAATAAATAGAATTAAGAAATTGTAAATTGCAATAAATAGACGCTATAGAGTACCGATCTGAAGAGACACGCGTCTCGTTCATTCTCGCCCCGTCCCGCTCGCACAGATCGCTAACGCGAGTTGGAAATGTTATCGTGCGAGCGGGCGGGTATAAAGATAGGCCGCCTCTCGTCGAGCGGCATTCGCTTCCGGGCAGCGACGCACTACACTCGAGAAGAAATAGGACAAGAAGAAAAAATACTCTCTTCAGACGGTACCGGAGGCTTCAGAATAGTAATCGCTGTGTTTCACTCCAGCCTGAACCAACGCCCCTACAGTCCACGCTCACCGAACGGCAGTCCACACCGCACAATATATATATATATAAGAATTATTTATAGTGATTGGTTAAGCCGTTTAGATGGTGTATCATATAATAAACAAACACACTTTCATATTTCAAGGATTCTTTAAACCGAATAAATAAGTTCTTTTGTGTGATACAATATCTAAATGAAATAGAAACAATTGAAAATTGTTTGTTAGTATTATCTAGAGATTGGTAAACATGGACTGATATCAATTCAAATATCTACTCGGGCTGTTTACAAATCTTTTATTAATATGGAGGCTTATCTGTTAGTTTGAACAGTTAACTCTCTGTCTCTATTAACCTTTATAGGTTAATAAAAACTGTATAAATAGAATTTTAATATATAATAAGTTAATACATATGTAATAATAATTACAACGCCATCTAGCGGCAAACTAAATTTGTTTGATGGGTACTAAACAATTGGTAATTTTTTTCGTAAATATATTACTACATACTTAATCACATTACTGATGCTTTCCTGTATGAGTGTATTGAGTGACTGTAAAGTCAACCAGTTTATGTAATAAATAAATAAATTATTGAAAATAGTACATAGAAAACTCTCTGATCAATGCAAACATACACATACATACAATTATTTGTATTGTGCGGGAATCGAACCTGCGTATCAGAATTTGTGGCATTATTTTAAGTCGCTATATCACTAAGACCTCATATCGTATGTAAATAATAAATATTACGTTTTTTCTTACTTAATTATATTTAAATGGGTTTTCATGAAATTTAGTGCACAGAAAAATTAGATATAATTTTAGATTATTTAATGGATCATCCAGTTTAAATAACAAGTCAAAATTTTGTTAGCAAAATGTTGCTTTTATTGTTTCAGCCCTTAACTGTTCACTGTTGAACATAAGCATACCCCATAAAGATTTGCCAGTAGTTGCCACGCTTGGCAGGCGGTTTGTAATAACCGCAGTTGATGTTAAAGACGTTTTAAGAGGACGCTTCTGCCCATCCCTCCACCATAGGCTTCCTAAGTCACCTCTTACAACACCCATGAGACAGGAAGGCGTGGCCCTTTTTATGCCGGGTCCGACATGGCAACGGAAATGTCGCTTTAGCCGATGGAAATGGATAAAATAATTTTCTAAAAAAAAACTCAAATCGCGTCTTTATTAGTGTTAAAGTTATTATTTTTTTTAAATTTGATTACTACTAACTATTTCTTTCTGATAAAACATTAATATGCATTATTGGTACTAAAATAAACACTAAGGCTGTTCTGACGTCGAAGAAACGGCTGTTCATGTAATCCTGGAATGTGTAGCTGTAGCCCCTCAACGATTATAAACCCTCGGAATATTCAGGTCGCACCGTGCGACCTGTGGAGATACCAGGAGGCATGTGCTCCTGGGCAAAGCTTAGAACTAGCCACGACTCACACATATAACGAGCCAAATTGATATGCCTAATGCGAAAATGAGAGTCCAATTTACATTATATTAAAGCGACCGAGTACCACTTTCCATCAGGAAGACCGTCGGCTTGTTTGCCATTCTATGTTGCATAAAAGAATTATCTAAAAATTGCGGCTCAAAAATTCATTTCCCAAACATTAAGCAAAATAACCGAAATACAAAGGGGATGACCCCGTCCTTATTGCCGTGTTGGCTCGAGACAAAGGCAGGCTTAATTTTGTTTGTGACAAATAGATCTCATTCGGAGTCCGCGCTACATTTTTATTCAAAATAAACGTGTGCCCCGTCTTGGGAGTTAATACCCAAATGTATATACGCTCAACGGCACAGAACGTTAAAAGCCACGCGCTCCTACTATCGCAACTCGATTGTACTCCGAGATTATAATGTGGATTCGATAAAATATGTATATATATGCGTACGTGCGTGCATGTGTGTGCGTGTATGTGTATATATATATTTAATAGTTTTTTGCTCGCTACTTAGTACGTATGGATTTATGAAGTACGATAACCAATGGATCATACCTATACGGCGTATAAAAATAAAAGATACATCAGTTTTTAAGATAAACTTCCAATAACAGAACAATATAAACCGCATTTAATTTGTTGAGGTGGTAGTATTTAGTTATTAAGTAGGTAGAGGGCTGGAGTTGAGATCTTTGCGGGGGGGTTGTTATAAAGGGAATCGCAGTCTGTTAAAAAATAATAAAACCTCGAAAGATTAGTTTAATCAAGGAATTAAATTTAGTATAGTAAATTCAAATTATTTGATATTAATGGGAACTCTCAATTCCTAAAGAATGGGAACGCGGCATTGAGAGGTACCATAGGTATCAAAGAGAATTCTGTGACGTCCGTAGTACTGTTCATGTCTATAGGCGATAGTTACCACTTTCCATCAGATAGGCCTTCACATTGTTCGCTATTATAAGTAGAATAAAAAAAAATAATAATGGAATAGTACCTTTGCCTGAGCTATCTGTATACGCTGGTGGGGCACCAGGGTATCTCGTTACTTAAGGATAGGCGAGAATGAAAAGGTAGGTCAATTAGCCCATCGTGATAAATGCACCCGGATTTCAGCATGAGGACTTCCAGGTGGCACTACATAGAGATGTCAACTTCAATGAGACTTTACCAGAGGGAGACTTTGTACAAAAGTCGTTTGCTTGTAATACCCTATCCCATTCGTGTTTCATTATACGCAAAGCAGTTGTATTTGCATGGCTGTGTTTCAGTTATAGAAGGGTGGGATATAACGTGAATTACAGGGTACAGAGGAATAACACCTGAGTCCTCAGGAATGGCAACGCATGGGGGGTATCATGGGCGAAACAGTATACTCGTTAACAATACGTATGTCCATGGTTCTACTCATGTCTATAGGGGACGGTTAACCACTTTCCATATAAATGGGCCGTAGCCTGTTTGCCATTCTAAGTTGTATAAAAAAAAGACTGGTACGTCACACTACTAACAATCTCTTCCCTCTTTGCTTGTCATCTTATGTACACGAACAAATTCAATATAGACTATCTCGATATATATATATATGCATATATATTGATACCAATGGTAACACAGCGGCTTAATACCCGTTATAAAATTGGTCCCGTCATTTGTCAGGGCAGCATTAAAACACCGTCTGAAAGGGCACAAATGACGCACGCCGCATTTTTATATACGGCCGACAGTATGCCGACTTGTGATGCACGCTGAGTTTGCAGAATTTATAATGTTACATTTATCTGGAACCTGATTGAAGCAGATTGTACCCAAATGTTCTTACACTGCTAGTCCTAAGATAAAGCTCTAAATTGCGCGCGAAGCTAAGCTTTATTTTTCACAGCTATAAAGTTTAGTCATGTTTGTAATAAGCAATTACTGATAATGGCCGCCATATCAATCCCGGCATAGAATAGGCCACCCCTTCCTTTCCCGTGGGTGTCGTAAGAGGCGACTAAAGGAGGGCGAGTGATGGGAAGTATGCTTCTCTCTTAAAAAACCTCCAAAGCCTAACTACGGTTGCCAATCCGCCTGCCACGCGTGGTAAGTACTAGCAAAACCCCCCAAGGGGGAGGCTTATGTTCAGCAGTAGACAGTTAAAGGCTGATATTATGATGATGATAATCAATTTAAAATGGCAAAAACAAACTGACGGACCATATGATGGAAAGTAGTACACGTGGTCTTCTATAGATATGAGCAGCACTATAGACATTATAGGATATACTGTGACGTCCGTGAAAAATGAGGGACACTATATAAAAGTCATCTTCATGGATACCTTTGTACTATTTATGTTTCTACCATAAAATAATTGTAGTTGCATGACTGTATTTCGGTATCAACTCAGGACTGTATAATTTATTTATTGCACCAGTTAAAGAAAAATATAAGCCATAGAATGGGCTACCCGTTCCTTTCCCGTGGATGTCGTAAGAGGCAACTAAGTGAGGGCGAGGGATGGACAGCGGCGTCCCTCTTAAAACATCTCTAAAAGCCTAACTGCGGCTGCCAACTCGCCTGTTAAGCGTGGCAACTAATGGAAAAACTCCCTCTTATAGAGAAGGCTTATGTCCAACAGTGGACAGTTAATGTCTGAAATAATAATAAATGTAAATTACGACAAGTAAACCGCCACTCTAATTAGTCTCTCCTAAAACATATCTGTTTTTGACATATTAATAAGGTACAATACAGGTATAATACTGTATATCCATTTCTAATAAAACTACGTTAAAACTTCACGAAACGATCAATCTTTCTTTACCTTTCTTTTATAAATTGCTTTTATTCATAATATGTATGTACAATATTTATTTTGTACTAAACATTTTTATTGTTGCCCGTTCACTTAGCCGCAATTTCGAGTCCATTAGAGGCCCGCTTAATGCTAAATGGTTTAACAATAGGCCTTCTCTGATGATATGGTATTAGTGGGATAAAACACATGTATTTTAGAGTTCCGTGATTAAGTTAAAAGAACTAAAATTTTATACAATATGGATGGATCAGTGCGTTTTGTTGTTATTTTTTTTTTATTTCAGCCATATTGTACCCTGAACTGATTTCTCAAATAAAGTTTTAACCACTTCGCTTAATCATGGAAAGAAAGAGAATTAATGGGCATCAATAATTTACAGAGTTGTTCGATTTTACTATAAAGAGGGAAGATTAGATTTTTCTAATAGATAAATTAGAATCCTTAACAGATTTTGAAACTTCTTTCAGCTATTGAAAGCTACATTATCTTGTCATTAATCATTTTCTCTCTCACTGCATTGCGTTGGCTGGAAGAGATCTCTGAAAGAGATAAGTTTAACCTTGCTAACAAGTTGTTAATCACTGGATCATATTTATTTAATGACATGGGCTAAAACGACAAAGATAGCCATGCAACAGCCATTTAATGGCTGAAACACCAGTGGGACAGTAATATCCGAAGAGGCGACTTTTGTACAATATTTTTTTGGTATATTAAACTTTTCCCTTAATTTTTAAATTATTTATTTATTCATTAAAAATAATTATAACATTATAACAACAAAAGCCAAATCAATGTTATAAATCTAGTTTGCTAACATACAAAGTTATAATAAATGTATTTAACTCGACTTTAGATATTTGTGAGCCGCTTCTATTATCTTTGGCAGGTTACTACTAAATTAAAAATGGAGTAGTATACTACTCAATTTTTAATAAAAAAAAAAATGAGGGAAAAATTGAATGTATTCAATTTAATAAAACTACAATAATATTTATGTATATACAAATTACAATGTTCGCACTTAGCCAGTTTTTTGTTGGTAAGTGGCTGTGTAATTTTAGGGGCAGCTCAGCCATTGTTTTCTCATTAACGAAAATAAGGTCTGCTACAGACGTTGAGACGCTAAGCTATAGTATTTTTACTAATATTATAAATATATATTTTTTTATACTACTTAGAATGGCAAACAAGCTGACGGCCCACCTGATGGAAAGTGGTAACCGTCGCCTATAGACATGAGTACCATGGACATAACCGAGTTTCGCCCATGATACTCCCCATGCATTGCCATTCCTGTGGACTCAGGTGTTATTCCTCTGTACCCTGTAAATTCACGCCATATCCCACCCTTCAAACCGAAACACAACCGTGCAAACACAACTGCTTTACAGTAGAAACACGAATGGAATAAAAACATCACCCTTTCACAAACAGTTGGGCAAAAGTGGTGGTCGCGTTCAGTACTATTACCTACATACACGTATCCACTATAATATTTCTGTATAAATTCAACGAAGCCCCGAGCGGAGGGCTTAGCATCCAATTTATTATAAATTCATATGCCCTCAGACCCTTTTGTGCGGGTGTAATTCGGACCATCGGGAAATGACATATTTGTCGGGAAGCCGTAGTGTTCATTCGATTGATACGGTGATTATAACTATAGTATTGATTTATTTCGCGGTTTTTTGGTTCACTATTCAAATAATATAATAAAATTAATATAATTAAATTATAATTAATTATCTTTTCTTATAAATTATATTTATTACATTGAATTCAATTATTATATTACAAGTACTTAGTAAGTAACCCTGCGGAGTGAGGCTCTGGTGACCTGTAAAACGAACATACAGATAGAGAGACAAAAATTATACTGATTGCATTATTGGCATCAGTATCGATCACTAATCACCGCCTGATAATTATTTTGGAAATATATTTCATGTACAGAATTGACCTCTCTACAGATTTATTATAAGTATAGATTATTACTTATATTTTAATTACTCTATCGATTTTAAATTATTGGAAAATGTGGTAAAATGAAACTAATATTTATAAATTAAATAAAATTAATATAATTTTTGATTATTTTCTGATTGAATAATTTATCTCCAATAAAAATGTAAGACGTATTATAAAATATTTTTTTAAAATAACAGTCAGTTAAAAGATACGCTAAAAAATTAAGTCTTCCGTACTAATTA